CTTCTTTGCTGCTCATTTTCTCTCCCTGCAGACGGAGCACCGGACTACCAAACCCTTCCACTGGGCAACCCGATCTATTCCCTTCGGCTTCGGCTCCCGCCTCACTGACATGGAAACAACTGGGAGGGGTCGAGAAGGGTTTTATTTTTTTTTCCCCTTCGTTCCCCTTGGATACACGCTTGCTAAAAGGTCCGAGTCCGGGTACGGGCTGGAAAGTGGCACCAGATCCTCTCTCAGACTGCATGTACTATGTAGTTTAGTTCCATATTCCCAAGACGGAAGTCTCAGGGACGCAGCAACGGCAACGGGGTCCCGACGGGTCGAACATGAACATGACACCGGCTCACTGGTGCAATGGTTTGACAAGGCGGTCCAGACTGGATCCCGTGTCCCAGAAGCTGCCCAGCGACCATCTCGAGTGCTCCAGTGATGGGCGGCCACAGAGACCACAGACCACCGGCAGTCCACACGGAGGTGCAGAAGTGCAAGACTCACAGACCATTGCGGGCATCAAAATCTCTTCCCAGAGACCCCGATCTAACGCCAGACAGGAACAAGACCGGTCGGGTGGGCGACGACTTGACAATTTGAAGCACGGGAACCACTTGAGCCGCTGGAGACATCACACATCACTGGGGACCAAGGACGAGACCAGACCGAACAAGACGTCGCTCTTCTCCGTGGCACTGCGAGCGTACATACGTACCTCCGACAGTACCGAGTCAACGGGAGTACGGCGCGAGCGCTTGTCTGCACACACAGCGCCGGGCCCCTAAAGGCCATTCTGACCTATTCTCTCTCTCTCTCTCTCCCCGCTGGCATGGTCAGAATGGCCTGGTGAACAAGCCCCTGACGGACTGACGCCTCATCCGATAGAGGCATCCATCGTCACCTGGGGCAGCCTGGTGGGGGTGAACATGGGAAAAAGGCCGCCCGCTGGAGTGCGGTAAGCAACTGGGCCTGCAACCCATCAATCGTTGCGGCAACCGCCTGTAAGGGGGGAAGTTTCCCAGGGGACTTGGGGCCAAACGTTGGCGCCCCTGTACGCCGCAACGGCGTTGTTGGGCGCCTGAGTCGTTGGAGAGTCAGAGGGCGACGGGGAGTGAGAGAGTCCCAATACAGCGTTGGTGTCAGGCGCCATGCCCGCCGCCGCAGCGCTCTCGGCAAGCTAAGGTACGTACGGAAGACGGGGTGTCTCGCGGGAAGACATGGCGAATGTGGGCGTGGTTCATGTCGGTAATGCTGCTGGGTGGACGGGTGGGTTTGGGGGCGTGCCGTGTGTAAGTGACGGGCCTTGTCTTCTGTATGGACTACGGGGGGCCTGGGGCTGAACGGGGCATGGAAGCATGTCTGCGGAGGACATGCTATGTAGTGTATACACTATACGTAGACAGACAGGCACAGGTCAGGTACCTGCTTCTGGAGCAATGACTTGCTTCCGGCCATGGCTCCGTTGGTGCTTGTGCTGCTTGTGCTTGTGCTGTGCTGTGCTGTGCTGTGCTGTGCATCGCGCCGAGCAGGAGGCAGAGCACGGGAGAAGCTTCAAGCGCATTGGCTGGGGAGCGGAGGGCATTTGTACGATTGGCACGAATCTGGCCGATTTTTGCTGCATAGCACAGATAAGAGCCGGCCCAGTCGGCCAGCGAAGTTGCTGGTCAGCTTCGACGCAGCCAAGGCGAGGAGCCGGGCATCAAAGGTCGAGGGACGCTACGCTACGCTACGTACCGCGGGCCACGTGCTCTTTGCACGTTCTCTGCCCTGCCTTGGTCGAGGCAAGGTGCCGTCCAACCATTTGTTTTCCTTTTCTACACCAAATACACCCATCGTCGCAAGAAGGGGGAACAGGCGGGCGAAGCATCGGACGCAGGGCAGAGAAAGCAAACATGACATGAGGGTCCTGTTGAGGCAACACGCACCTTGTCGGTGTCTCTGCCTTGGCAACGTGTGCAAAGGGAGAGGGAGGGAAGGAAAATAAAACACAAAAGGGACGCTAGAATAAGGTGCGGGTGCATTGCCGGGTATGGCCCTGTGGGAACGGGAAACAGTGCAACGCAGACAACGCAGAAACACAGCCAGACCGGAGACCGGGGCCATGCCTTCTGGCCATGCAAGAAACATGGCATGGCATGGCGCGCTACTCTAATGCAGCGCTTCAGATGCAAGCAAGTGCTGGATGCATTATCTGCATCTGCACCTGTAGGTACCTGTATCTTTGTCTATGTCTATGTCTACGAGTGCTCTGCCCAATAGGTACAGACAGTACATACATAAAAGTGGCGCGGGCGTATTACACGCATGTACACTACCTCTCCCACAGCGACAGACATTACACGGTCAGGCCAGCCCAACCCAGACACTGGCAAACAGGAAGCAAGGCACGAGGGGGTGCTCCATGATCCATCTTGCTGCACAGCTGCACAGCTGCATCACGGCCCCTGTCGTCTCCGTCCAGCCAGAAGGCTCTGACGCAGCTGCACGACTGCAGTAGCTGCAGCAGCAACCAAATCGCCCCTGACAACCGGTCGTCCAAAAAGTTGTTTGAATGGGTGCTGGTCGTAAACTACGTTGCGCGCAGGGCAGCAGAGCGAGGGCCAGGACACAGAGGAGAGGGAAGATCATCCATCCATGGAAGAAAAAAAAGGCCCCATCCAACCAAGCAAGTCCCATCGCGAAAGAAAGAAAAAAAAAGAATTCGGTACGTACCCCACGCCGACAGGGGTCGGAGACTCAGCAACAAGTACGTACCGTCCCCTTGGTCGTCCTTCCTACCTTATCCGCACCTTGGCTCACTACTACGTAAGGTATCCGTAGTCTGGGCTGGTCTCCCCCCCGTTTGGCGCTTCCTTGATCTGGCTCCTTCTGGCTCTACTGGCTGTGTCCTCCTCTCTGACAGACGCCGACCGAAAGGTACCTCGCAGTCTCTGGCAGAGTACCTGCCTGTGTATTGTGCTGCGTGCGCTGTGTGCCGTGCTTATCCCGTCCTACCGCATGTACCCAGTCTCTTGTGTCTCCCCTGGCCATCTCTCTCTCTTACTCTCTCTCGCTGTATGTCATCTCGTACCCGTTCGTTCCTGTCTTGTTCCTGGCGGTTCCTGTTCCTGTTTCCAGTTTCCAGTTCTAGTTCCAGCTGCCATTCCCAATCCCAGTCCCAGTCGAATGTGTCCCCCCTCCATCCATCATTCGTCCATCCTAGACTAGCTAGTAACTGACAATGACATCCCAATCCCAGTCAAGTCTCAACCCACCCCGTCGAGTTGCCTTCCTGGACCTGGTTCATGTTCCCATCCACACACACCCTCTCACTCCTGCTCTCACGGCGACGCAGTCTCTCTATGGCCATTGTTTCTGGTTGTTGCTTGGTTGCTGCTTCAATGTTCCGTCCCATGGTATCCCACCCCGTTACTCACACACACACCCTCCCGTTCTCCATCTCTGGGCTGGCTCACCTCACCACCACACACCTTCATTCAAATATCTCTAGTATCCTCTTTCTTCCAACCTCTTCCCTCCCTCTCTCTTCCTTCCCCCTCATCCCCGACCAGCAAACCACCAACGGTCCGACGGTACGGTAGGTTTAGAGAAGTTCGTTCCGGATACCTTAGTCAAAAGGTCCCAGGTTCAGTTCAGGTTCCCAGGTCCAAAGGTCTCCTCCTGGTCCAGCCGTTCTCTACAACTTATCGTACTCAACGTGCAACCCCCCATCCATCATCTCTCACTCACTTTGACGCCGCACCGCGCCCTACGCTCACCCCGTACTCGAGCATCGTCCACATACTCGACGCCGCCCATTCTGTTGGCAAGTCCACACAAACCACAAACCACCACCACCAAACAGCGGACCTTCGTTTTTTGTTGTACTTTTTTGCACGCTGCTTCTCCCGTCAGGCATTGGGGAAAGGAATCAAAAAAAAGAAAAAAAAGGAAAGGGACAAAAAGGACGTTTGTTCAAGGCTAGACCCTGCACGCCGGCACTAGATACCTAAGAATTGCATTGCTCCTCTGCTCTGTCATTCTTGTTGTACTCTCGGATCCTCTCGCTCTTTCTCCTTCCCTCTGCTCGGCCACCGAAAAAGCGTAGCTCGAGCGAGAACTAAAGGTCGTAGCCTCCGAAACGCACAACGACACCGACCGCCGCACTGCTGCATCCCGCATCGCACCGCATCGCACCGCTTTGCTACTGCTCTGCTCCTGCTCCCGGGACCAAGGCAGAAGGATCGTCTACCTCTCTCAGGCTTCCCTTCGAGAAGGACGTTCCATGCAACAAAAGCGGCTCGCTCCCACCTCGACTCCCGCCCAAGCCCACCTAATACATCCCAAGGCCCATCGTGGACCGGCCTCTTTCGCCTCGACTCTCCTCCCCCAAAGAGTCGCCGTTGTCGCCGACCCCGACCTCGAGTATTTGCACGAGGACGAGAAGCCGCACATGAACTTGAGGGAAAGGACGGATTTGCAATTCACCCGCAAACTCAATTCGCCCTCCGCTTCTCCGATGTTGCTTGCAACGACACAATAACGAACGGCCCCTCCATCCCAACCGTTTCTCGATCCCAGCCGAAGCGCACTCTGCACTCCCGCGAATCCACACCCCGCTGCGATATTCCACCATCTCGCCTAGCGAACCCCTCGACTCCGACTTCGAAAAGAAGAAGCCCGATTCTGTCCTGCTCGCAGATCCGACTATACTCGACCTCCTACCTCGTCCCCCCCGACGTTGACCAAGGCTTTTGCGTCTGTTCTTCCATTGAGTGGCAAGGATCAAAACAGAAATCATCTTAGGAACAACCGCAACCTTCGTTCTTGCGGCCTCTAAAAGATTGTCTCTCTTTCTTCTCAACATCCCTCGTCACGACATATCGAGTATCGTCTTGGACACAACGCTCCCAACCACGCACCATACAGAAAACACCACCACTGCACGACTAACACCACCAAATAGTACTTTCGCTGTCGGACTCGACACCACATACACACGCAACCTCCCCCTTCGACCACTAGCAACCATGGAGTCGTCCTCGCCCTTGGCGGCTATGCATCGCCCCATGGCAATGCCTTCCTGGGGAAACAAGGACCTCTTCCGTCCTCGTCCTCACACTTTCACCGGCGGGGCTGGTCCCGTAAGCCTGCGCGAGCAGCTTCACAGACCAAACGACTACTTCAACGTGAAGGACGTCCACGGCTCGTCGCCCGCCGCCAGCCTGGCCGCCGATCTTTCCCAGAACTTTCGTCTGGACAGTGAAGCAAGGTAGGACAAACTCTGCATTGTCAATTGTTTCAATCACATTGTGACTGACACTGTCTCTAGCCCCAAGTTCCCGACGCCTCGTCGTGCCTTGTTCACATCCAACATGATGGGTGACATGGAGTCGCATGGTGAGTATTGGCGCTGACAGCCTACGCTGGAAGAGGGAATGGTGACGCTGATGTGACACAAGATTATTTGACGACGCCTCCTCTGCCCGACTCGTCACCTGCGACTCACAACGAGATGATGGATGTCTCGCCGCTGCCGCACAAGCTCCCGTTCATGACCCAGATCGAGATAACGTCACCGACTCCGGGCTCGACCCCTACGGGCGACGAGGACGACGAGATGATGTTGGACTCGCCAGCCCCCATTCCTCGGCAGGCGTCGTTGGAGCCACCCAAGCCACTGGTAGCCGAGTAAGTTTGATTGCCACATTCCTCCTAGCTCAAGGGGTCGCGTCTAACTCAGGGGGCAGACGGAGAAAGCCAGCCATGCGCCGGCCTTCCCTGACTCGGATGAAAGGCTACTCGACTAGTGGCGTTCCCGGCCGTTCCAACACAGACAACCAGCTCCCGACTTTCCGATTTGGTGAGAATCGTTTGACGCATATGAGCAGCGCCATGTCCCTAGGAGAGTGTTTCGATGCCACATCACCTCCCCAGGAACGACGACCTCAGACTGCCAACAGCCCAACCCCTGCCGTGCCCGGTGCCGTTCGTCCTCGTCCTCAGTTTTCCAGCCTGTCCGGCAACCGCAACAGTCCCTTTGGCAGTGGTCACGGCCGTCGGCCCTCCAATCCCTTCATGCGTCCCCGCAAGCAGTTCCGCCGCTCGCTGAGCATGTTCGAGCACCCCGGCGACGTTGTCAAGTCCAAGTCGGAAGGCGGCGACTCCTCGCCCACCACCCCCGAATCTCCTGCCAGCATGGAAGCCGATGATGTCCAGGAGCCCATGCTGCCTCACTTTCTGGCTGATGATCCCACTGATACCATCCCCCGCATCACGAGAGAGACCATGGTTGATCTTTTGGATGGGAAGTACAGTGACAAGTTTGATCAGAAGATGATCATTGACTGCCGCTTCGAGTACGAGTACGAGGGCGGTCACATTGACGGCGCCGTCAACTACAATAGCAAGGACCTCCTCGCCTCCCAATTGTTCCAGCACCCCATGCAAGGACGCACCATTCTCATCTTTCACTGCGAATACTCTGCCCACCGCGCCCCCATGATGGCTCGCCACGTCCGCTCCGAGGACCGGACTGTTAACGCCGAGCACTACCCGCGACTTACATACCCTGACGTGTACATTCTTGAAGGAGGATACAGCGGCTTCTTCGCCGAGCATCGCTGCCGGTGCTATCCTCCTAACTACGTGGAAATGTCGGACGAAGCCCACCAACGCACCTGTGAACGTGAACTGGGCCGCCTCAAGAACCCTCGCAAGGGGTTCGGCAGAGCCCAGACGTTTGCCTTTGGCCAACGCGAGTCTTGCGGCGTGGACCAATCACCCACCGCCCCCTCGCGCCCCAGCGGCCTCAGGCCCAGCATCAGCTTCCGACAAGATCCCATCGCCATGATTGGCAACTCTCCAATCCTCGGCGAACGATGCCATGCGCGGCGCATGGCATCTTACTAGCACATAACCCGCATCACGCCCCCCATACTACTACTGTCTGCTGCACAAGTGGATTGGGCAAATCTCCTTGTTTGGCAAGGGGAATGGGGGCCTGCCCGCAGACCCTGAAGGCGTCTATTTGCTGTACCACTCTTTCCTGCGTACAGACCTGACCTGTCGACTACTTCTCGGCATCTCCTAATAGGGCGAAACACAGCAGCCTGATCGTCGATTCTTCACGTCTCTCTTCCTGCACATGTTGAACCCTATTCAATTCGACTGCCTATATTCCGCCTTTACCAATCCGGACTCAACAGCAGCTAACGCTCACGGCCGCGATGACTTCAACTATTACGCTAATAGAACTCGTTATGAACCCTGTTGTGCACAGCAACCTGAACATACAACAAAAACAACAACCCGGCATTAGACGCATTTGGCATATTGTCCCCGCATCGCCTTGATATGGTTGTTCGGAGTCCACTTTGGATCTGGCATCTTGGGGTGGCTCCCTGTCGGCATTTTACAGCATTGTCCTTGGCTTTTCTTTTTTTTCCTTTGTCACAACATTTTCTGCATCACTCGACGCTGTCGAGCAAGTCCGCCGAGATGGGAGTAGGCCTCGACGCACACGATACCACGAAGTCTCGTGTCTCCGCAGATCAGACGCGGGATCATTTCGGTATGACATCTCGGTCTTGCAATTCTGTCGGTCTCCCCACATTATCCGGAGGAGTATTTCGGGCTACACACTCGGCGGACTCCCTTTTTCCTTTGTGCTCAACCCGGTCACTTGACCATCTTCACCTGATACCAAACCTATTCTATCCAAACGCCGGATACCCGACATCCTTGTCATCGGATGGCACAACAAACACTCACAGACCTCTAGACACCAATTCCCTTTACATTTTTTATCTTTTCGTCAAAACAAAGCCCCACGGACCTTCCACCGATGGGTGAGCTTGTTGGAGGACTACAACCTCCGCTGTGTATATTTGTAGGAGTGACTGCAACAGTTGCACGCAGGAGCGGAGAAGAGCTATACAGTGGATGAAAAGCAGCTGCTTGGGATTGCCTTGTAACATTGGCGAAAGGGGTTGAAGAGCACTGCAAGCTTGGAAGCTGCAAATCGTGTAATGCCGCATGGGTGAATCCATGCTCTTTCTGTACAGTACTGGCGATCGAAAAGAAATTGCCAACAACACGAACGGTCCATGGTCGGATCGTTCCGAGCTAGCTCATACTCAATTACATGAAAATACACACAAAAACAACAAACGCACTCACACTTGCTTGGACTCTCTGGGACGCGCTCGATCGCGGTTGATTAGCAATTGTCGTGGGATGCGCGGACGCGCGAGCCCGGCGCGTTCGTCCAAGCCTCCTCGACGTTGGACGTTGAGATCACGTTCGGCGAAGTCTGTGCATTCCCGGGACGGAGGTCACAGCTCCCCTCCCTCCTCCAATGTTGTTCATCCATAGTTTCGAAACCTTCCCCACAGACGATCAGGAACCGCCACGGTTGTTCTTCCTTATTCTTCGTATCGACGTTGCGACCCTTGTCCCTGTGCCTTTGCTTTTTCCCAACCCCCGTTGTACTACATGGTTTCACGACCCGGATTCGGTGTCTGGCTTGGAGACTCGTTCGGCCGAACCGGTCGACGGGACGTGGGCCGTCTCCCTCCATGACTCCAGATCCTGCCTGATGTGACAGACGGGGACCCGGGTGATAATGGAAGAGGCTTGGAGACCTGGGAGCTGTGCTCGGACCCCCTCTCCCAGACTTATTCGGAGGTTTACTCTTTCCTCATAGCCTCACGCTAGGATCTCACATCTTGGCCCGCTAATCCCTCGCTTAATCTGAGGCGGGTTCCTTGTTGTGCCGTGTGTGTGTGTTTGTATGTGTTTGCGGTGTGTATTTCTATTTGTGACTTGCGGTCCAGGAGTACCCTTTGTGGAATGTTCTAGTGTTACGGTGACTTTCCCAATGGGAGATGGGAGGCTCGTGAGGTCGAGGACGACATGATGATGATGATGATGATGATGATGATGATGATGATGTCAGAGGAGGTGAAGGTTTGATTGCCTCGGCGGGAGGGACAACTCGAGTAGCGTGGACGGCCTGATGTTGGTCCGGGTACACTCGATGGAGGATGGACGGACGTTTTCCTTTCATTGCGGGAAACAAGTATGTGCCGCCTCCTTGCTTGTTACTGGGGCTCCAACTGTGCATGCAAATAGTGTCGTAGAGAATTCCTTAGAGACGCCCGCGTGCTATGGTGTCTTTGACGGATCCCGGCAGCTGTTTGGGTGTTTCCATTGTTCCCGTGTTCTGGTATGGGAATCTGCAGAGAGGGGATATAATTCTTTGAGTCGAGGGAACGTTGCCGCTTCCGGCGCTTCTGACGGGGTGGTTTGGTGGTTGCACGACTCGAGATGCCGCGCCCATTCATCCCGTCCCTTACTCGAGGCTCACAGTCTTCATCTCGCGAGTAAGAGGGGGACCAAAACCGGCTTCACGGGAACACCTTGGCGGTTTACCTCAACGAGCCCAGGCATGCCACTGTTTGAAGCCAAGCACTTTCCCTTTGTTGTGTTTGAGAGCTTTCCGTCCTGCCCCCCCCCCCCCCCCCCCCTCCCCTCCCCTCCCTTCTCCCCAACGCGAGTCCGAAGGAAGCGTACGGGCGCGAGGGAAGAGCCCGCGCGTAACGTTTCGAGGTGTTTCCCGAACGGGAAAGGGCACCGAAAAAGTCGAAGAAGAAAGACGTTTGGCCAACGGTTTTTTTGTGTTTTCCCAAAAACAAATTTGAAAAATGTCTGAGCTTGACAGCGTTCCGCGGGCCAAGCCACTTCGCCCCCCAGGGGAGTTGAGACATCTCGCCGAAGGAGGCTGGCCCTTGACGCGTGGGATGGATTGTCAAATCTCCGGGTTTCGCCAACTTTTCTTTTCTTGCCCGCGTCTCCGTTGCCTTGTTCGGATAGTCCCTGACAGCTCCATTTTCGGCAATGTGTGTTTTCAGCCGCAGGCTTCTGGTGACAATCCCTTCTTTCCGCAAGGGAGGAATGGATTCAAGTAGAGGAAAGTGGCATCTTGAATGCCCGGGACCCCTCGAGGCCCCAGGGCTGACAAAGTTCTTGGATTGAAGCCATTCCGTCATATGAGTCTCGCGCCAGTCGATAGCCAAGACTTGATCAAGGTCAGACGGTAAGATCGGGTGCGGTTGCGTCCAATCTCCGGCCTCGTTGATATTCCTTCGTGGCCTCCGTTCCTCTCCAGTGGATAATAACTAGCTCGCCCGTAGTTGTTCTTTGTCTGGCACACGGCAACGCTGATTGTCTCTGCAAGGGAGAGGAAAGGCCGCATTGTTCGGGGCTAGTCGGTGCTGGGGGGGAACCTCGAGAGGCCCAACTGAGTAGATTCCAGAAAAACACAAGGCCCGTTCTGGTTGAAAGGTCTGTTCTCCAATCGAGACATCTGATCAAGGAAACTACTCATCAACATGGGGTGTGCACTTCTCAATCTCCAAGTGTAGCCGACCTTCCCATCCCTTGTCACTTGGCCGTGATAGCACCTAGCCGCGTCTCGGGTGTATCGACCACGCCGTACGGGACGACGTCCGCCTGCAAGGGAGAGCGCCGGGGAGCTCTGCCTTGCAGCCCGGAGAGCTCAATGCATGAAGCCTGTCTGGATATCCGCCGGCGCTGGTCAATTCGTGGATAGAAGAGTCTTGGCTCATCTCAGGCGAGCCTTCCGGGACCTTCCTGTGACTCAGTCTTGCCAGACTGCCGGGGTTCAGACAGGAAAGTTGACGACGAGGTCTCAGCCTCCCTTGGATGCGGCTCCGCAAGAGAACCAGCACGCGGACAGGGTCCTGTGGGGGGAGGGGGAGGGGTCGGCATACGCCCCGAAGAGGCATGCCCGATCCAACGTGGACGGGACTCGTGTCTTCTCAAGGGAGAAGCTTGTTTAGGGATCGAAGGTTGTTGACTTCGCTCGCGGGGAACATCTCCGGGTTGTCTCTGGCCTCGGATGGTTGCCATGTTACATACCGACAGCGTAGGCGTGAACGAGATGGCGCCAGAATGTGTTATTGACATGGATTTCTCGAAGCAGTAGGTTAGTCGACACACAGATGGCTGTCTGGGTGGAGACAAGGTGATGGAAACGAAAAGCCTCAGCCAAACTGTATCATTGATAGATCCGGGCGAGGGATGGCGTGGCCTGCCAAAACAAATAGAAACACATAGCAGCCTGCCTGTTGCCGCAGTGAGTCGGCAAGGGACATCCAACATCTCCAGCCAGATCGCTCGCTCTGGTTTGAACTCTGAATGCCAAGACCTGCCACGAGGAGCAAACTTCATGGCAAAAGTGCGGTGCGAATATGAACGCAAAGAGACGGTGGTGGGCAATTCATAAACTTTTGGTACCTCTTCCTGTCTATGCAGATGCTCCTATTCCTGAAGACAAGAAAATAGAATAGCTTTTTGCGAAATCCCATCTTCCAAAGATAAAGCAAGACCCCTTCCCCCAACATCCCTCTTGCAGCCCTAGATGAGAGTAAAGCTACCGCAGATGCAGCCTGCCCCAGGCCGTTTGCTCGTATAGCAAGAATATGCAGATAACCCGGGTATTATTTTTTCAAACGCCTCCCATGCCTAATGCCATTTCAAAGATGCAAAATTATGACCATGGCCAAGATGAATAGACTCTTCCGGTGCAAATGTGCGCCCATCATGCAAAGTCCCACTCCTTGAAGGCCTCGCGGAGAGCCGCCACGTCTTTCTCTTCCTCCTCCTTTGTCTGTACGCAATCCTGCCAGACAAAACGCTTCTCGAGACCGAGAAGCTTCGCGACGACCTTGCGCGGGTATTGCAGGTCGAAGCGCATATTGGGGTCGAGCTTCATGACGAGGTTAGTGCCCTTAATTCTGTCCTCGCCGTCGTCGGCCCAGATCCAAATGCGGAAATAATCGCCAAAATCAGCCTGCTCCTCGTAAGAAAGCTCACGGTTCTCAAACTCTGGGTACTTGAGGTTCTCGGCCTCAACACGGAAGCCGGCCTCGACGAGCCCCTTGTAAACGAAGTCGGCAGGGACGGGATGGAACTGCCAGTGGGCGTGAATATTACGGCCACGGCTGATTTCCCACGTGATGGCACCGAGCTTGTGACTAGACTTGGTCGATACCATGGCTTGAAGCGCCTCGCGGAAACGACTCATCTCCTTGTGGGTTTTCTCCGCCTCCTCTGGGGCGTAGCTCTCGACGCCAGAGTGGTGGACAGTCGGGGTGTGCGCGAGCGGCGTGATGATGACATGACCAGGGAAGCCGATGCCGTGTTCCTGGAAGGTCTGCGACGTGGCAAGAGGGCCCTTGGCAGTAGCAAGATAACTATCTTCGCCGATGGAGCAGACCATGTGGGTATCCAGGTTGGGGTTACTTAAGCAGAAGAAGCAGCGATCCGGGCCAGGAGGGGGCGACTGGTGGCGACGGCGCTTGTTTCCACGTCGATGCTGACGTCCATCGTCGTCGCCGTTGGCAAAGCGGCTGTAAGACCCCTCATCCTGCGCGCGTTTCTTCGGCTTCTGGGAGTTGAATGGAGTATAGGTGGCGTTAGCAGGCCGCTCGACATTGGTCTCGTTGGGCTTCAGTGAGAACGCATAAAGCGCCTTGGCCTTGGCAGGGTTTCCGTAAGGTGCCATTGAAATGAAGCGGGTGACCGGAACTTCCTCACTGCCTTCCTCGATTGGGTGGACAAAGGGCTCACGCTCGTAGAAGAATTCGGCGGGAGAAGAGGCGAAGTGGTAACGGGGCTTCAACGTCGCGCACAACTCGGCGACTTCTGCTGTGCTCTCGACTGCAGCCTGGTTTTCGGGGGAAAGCGCAACTTTGGAACCAGTCCAGACGCCTGCCGGCCACACCGTCGTCAGTAGGATGTCCGCCTTGTTGGCACCCTTGAGTGACTTCGCATCGTCTGCGGTGTGGTAAGGCAGATGCTGCTCCTTTGACTGTCCTCCCACAACGTCCACGTCAAGCTTTCCGCCCAGTGTGACGATCCTGATTCCTTCCGAGGACTTGGTGATGCTGCGCTTGCCGAGGAAGTGGAGGTTCTCGCAGATTTCCTCGTCGGCCTCGATCTTCGCGACAATTCGCGGGGGAAGGGGCGTAGTTCCGACGGTAAAGTAAACGGGAAGGGGCACCTTAAGCTCGCCGTTTAAAAGGGTATCAACCGTGGTCTCGTTGTCAACGCCGAAGAGATTGCCAGTGACGATCGCGAAGCTAAAGTTGTTCTTCGAGTGAAGCGCCGCCAGCTTCGTGAAGGCCGGCTGCAGTCCGCCATCGAGGCTTCCCAGAACGATCCTAGAAACAGTCAGATGCAACGTTCATTCGAATTGGTGTATAGTTGTTTGCGACTGCACTTACACCTTGGGTGCAGCCATTGCGCTTCGGTTACTGATGCTTGGGGCTGGTGGGCTGGTGTTGTTGAGGGAAGCTTGGGTGGGCTTTGAGATGCGACAGAAGGATGCGCGTAACCTATGAAGTAATGTGGGACCCGTTTTATCTTTAAGCTCCGTGACTGGACTGGACCCGCTTTTCGCAATCTTATCAGCTTATCGCAACCGGCCGACCTTCAGCCGGCAGAAAAAAAGTCCAAATTTTTTGAGCTTTGAAGAGTTGGCGGGGAACTTTTTTTCGCGATCAAGCAGTGAAGTTGGGAGGCGATCAAAGACGGGTTTCTGCACACTCAACCTGTCAACTCGCCCAACATGCCTTCCACTTCGTCTGGGCGCATCACAAAGTCCCATAAGGGCAAGTATTCAACTCCTCACCAAAAGAACCACCGGTGGGAGTCCTTCGCTGCCAAAATCTCGAAACTCAACGCGCTCGATCCCCTGCGAAAAGTCCGCCGACACGACCTCGATGCCGAAGACCTCGAATCCACGACCTCCTACTTCCGCAATGGCCTTCAAAGATGGGGAGAACTCAACATCTCCAAGGGCTTCAACGACTTCAAGAGGCAAGCCTTGCCTGTGAGCGAGAGTCTGGCCCAGATTTTGCACTTTGAGGAGAAGATCTTCGGCTTGCTGGAGGAATCGCTGGCGAAACAAGAGAAAGAGGCATTGGAGCCGCTGCTGGAGCTCCTCACAGCGTTTGCGCATGATATCGGCACACGCTTCGAGAAGTATTATGCAAAGTCTCTGGATCTCATCATCGCCATTGCGGGCAAGCCCCAGGACGCCGACGTTATCGAATGGACTTTCGCGGCCCTTGCCTTCCTCTTCAAGTACCTATCGAGGCTCATAGTGCCTAACTTGCGGCCAACTTACGATGTCGTGGCGCCACTCCTGGGAAAGGCTCGCCATCCCCCTCACATTGCCCGTTTCGCCGCCGAAGCTATGAGCTTTCTGATCAAGAAGGCCGCTGCGCCAGCGAACCGAGAGACCGCTCTCGTCGCAATTGTCAGCCACGCAAGAGACGACCTTCGGAGCATGGTCGGTGAACGTCAATTCCAACTATACCAAGACGGTCTCATGACCATGTTCTCCGAGGCGATCAAAGGCCCTGGTCAGACCATCCACTCGACCGGCCCGGCCGTTCTTGCAGCTTTGATGAAGGCGATTCCCGAGACGGAAGCTGATCTCACACCAACTACGACATGGACTGATCTCGTTTGCGGTGTTTTGACCAGCATCACCCACCACTCCAACGACAAGGACCTCGCTCCTGTGCTTGAGGCGATGCAAGAACAAGTGCAGGAGGCTTTGAGCGATTCTAAGCCGAACAAGACATGGAAGTTTGTCCCACAAGTCAGGGTGCTTGGCACGGCCGCCGGTGTCCGACACGGATCTCGAATCAGCAACTGGACTACCCTGGTGGAGAACCTTACCGCAATGTTGGACTCGATGGCACAGCACTCTCCCGAAGCGACGGAGGATAAGCTGGGCCTTGTATGGAAACATGTGATTGTCAACGCTGCAATCGTCTGGCACCAAGCGCCGATAGATGCTTTGATTCCCTCGATCAAGGACTTCATGACTGCTCTACAGAGGGAGCGCCTCATGAGATGGTACATCCCCTTCTGTGCATACTTCTCGAACCTCGACTCTACACGTTTCCGAAGTCTTTTCCAGACCTACTTCCAAAGGTAAGTGCAATCACTTGGCAACAAAGTCTTCTCGAGCTTACACGATGCAGATTTATTGTCAGCCACTGGTCTGACGGCAACAATGAAGACATGCTGTGTGTATTCCTACCGCGTATGGTCCAAAATGGCAGTTTGCCTTCACCAGGAGGCAAGGAGACTTGCAATCTTCCGCGCAGCTGGCAGGACCAGATTGTGTCGAAGTTCGAACGTCTTGAGGCATCTCCTTTCCCTGAACGTGGGGCGTACGATAAGGACCCTCAGACATGGCGCGACAGATGTTTGCCAAAATACTCGGCGCTGCTGGACTTGCTGTTCTCTACGACCGTTCACCCCTCGGCCAACGCCAAGATCGCGGAACTTCTGCTTAGGAAGCTGAGGCTTGCGCTCAAGCCGTCCTCAACGCTGGCGTCCGACGAGGTGCATTTCAGTATCAGTCAAGGCTTCCATGCCTATCTGCGCATGAGCAAAGCAGCAGGTCCAGTGGACCCTGCGTTGAACCCGCTTCTCCGGGCTGCTTTGCCCAGATTCAGCCGCTCAGTAGGCTTTTTGGAGGCGTATCTTACTTACACCGAGGCCACAAAAAGCCAACCCTCCCTTGCGGATCGCCATAACAGTGATAGCAGCGAGGGCTCAACAGAAGAGGACCCGGTCGTTCAGGCGCTCATTGAGAACCTTTCGGCTCCTTCTCATGATCTTCGCCTTGCATCTCTGAGGATTCTCCAACAATTCGAGTCAACTCCGGACGAGCTCCAATGCCACACCCTTATGCTGGATATTGAACATACAGCCATGGACTTGTCCAGCCTCAGAAATGTTGCCATGCACCTTCGCAAGCTTGGTCAAAACTACTCACAGTTGAAAGATAATTCGTGGCTGATAAAGGCGATTCCCTCCTTCATGTTCGGCATGTTGACAATCAAGCTGTCGCCCTTGTGGGATGACACAATCACCGCACTCAAGCTTGTTGGGGAGTCCAAGAAGGGCGAGGAGGCCATCACTGCGACAGCCTTCAACTGGCTTGAAACACCCTCTCCCAGGTGGTCTGGGCCAGGTGGCCAGTCTACGCTCCAGAACCGTCAAGCGATTACCGACTTTGACTGCCGACACGTGCAACAGCTTTGGGGCATGGCTGATCATGTTGAGGAGGTGGTGAACAACGCCATCGACCTTATGCTCAAGTCATTCGACGAGCAACAGCAAACTGTTGACGCTCACGCCAGTAATGCACGTGCGCAGGCTCTGAAGGTCCTCACCGCGATGCCTCACTTGGCGGAGAAGCGTTCTCGCAAGCTTGTACCGTCGTTCCTGGCCTGGGCCGCTGCCGACGAAGACTCCTCCGACAGCCAAGAGGACGAGGAAGTCCAGGCCAAGGGCGAAGACTGGTCGCTTCAGGATCGTAAGGCGCTCATTGGCGTCTTCGCTCTTTTCATCAACCCCAAGGTGCTCTATCAGAACGAGAGAGTTTACCGCGCACTTCTCCATCTTATGGAGAATGGTGACGTAGAGGTCCAAAAGCTGGCTCTGAAAGCCATTCTTGCATGGAAGCAGGATGGTGTACGACCTTACCAGGAAAATTTGGAGTACCTCCTCGACGAGGCCAGATTCAAGAATGAAGTCACCGTTTTCCTCCAGGGAGAGTCGGCCATCAGACCCGAGCACCGGGAAGAGTTGATGCCCGTTCTCCTCAGGCTCTTGTACGGTCGAACTATCTCGAAGAAGGGCGTTGCTAGCGGCCGACATGGCCTTCAAGCTACTCGTTTGACCGTCCTGAGAAACCTCAGCGTGGAAGATACCGGCAGCTTTCTGGACATCGCCATCGGCGGTCTGAAGGGCGCTCGCGTTATCGACGAATCCGGCTTCCGCGCCACCTTGTTTGACAAGGAGATCCTCCCTCCTCGCAAGCAGCTTGGTTTCATGAACATGATGCTCCCACTAATCAACGAACTTGGCGCACATGTTGGTCCTTACGTCGAGAGACTCATTCACCCTGTGCTGTACTGTCTCATCTTTGCTTGCCGACGGCTCAAGGAGTCGGCTGCAGAACCAGATGAAGAGGCTGAAGAGACAAACGAAGCCTCACAAGAGTCTATGCTCAAAGTTATCCGTACCACAGGTCTGAAGTGCTTGATCACCCTATTCCGCAATGCACAGGACTTCAACTGGTCGCTTTACTCGGAGCCCATCGTCAACGAGGCCGTCACTCCTAGGATTGAAAAGCTTCCCATCGAGACAGCTCAGTCGGTCTCCAGCATCATGCAGCTTCTGTCAACTTGGTCTCAGCTCCCCAAGGCCGCGCTGTTCATCTCAATCAACGACCAGATCTTGCCAAAGGTCATCGAGTGTGTGTCTGTGCCTAAGGGCAAGGAGAATGTCAAGGTCTTCGCCTTGAGCATCGTCCGCAACCTTGTCAAGCTGGCGCAGGCTCCTGCTGAGGAGTCTGAGTTCAATGAGCTCATTCGGACTGAACTCCTTGATGCCAACATGGAGCTGATGCTGAAGACCATCACCACCACGCTAGAGACGCAGACCATGGGCAACGAGCTGCTTGAGGCTTGCATCGAGACCATCGTGGAGTTGTCACCTCTTGTCGAAACCTCTGCCAATGTGCACGAGACTCTCAAGATTGCCACATTCCTTCTCAACCAGCCGCCTAGAAGAGTAAACCCTAGAGCCAAGGGCAAAATTCTACTCATTCTCGAGCGCTTCATCACCATCCTTGGCTCTGAAGAGGCGGAGGAGAAGACTGCTGACATTGCTATCTTCGAGACTCTGTCTTCCCTCTTCAGTTACTTCAAGGACAGAGATAACAGACAAGCCCTGGCCCGTGTTCTTGCCGCCCTCGCAGAAAAGGACAACACACTTCAGGAAGTTGCCGAAATTTGCAGTGAACTCAATTCTTTCGCGAAGGACCGCATTGATGAGCCGGACTACGACAAGCGGCTGGTGGCATTCACTCGGATCACAAACAAGGAAACCCCCTTCACTGTCAAGCAATGGCTCCCTTTGCTTCACAACCTGATTTACTACATCCGTTCGGATGAAGAGTATGGTATTCTGGCATCGAACTCTGCAGACTGTCTGCGCAAGTTCATCAGAGAGGTGGCCTCCTGCGCTGATCAGGCTGCAAAGACCGGCTTCGAATCTCACCTGAAGACCATCCTGTTACCTTCCATCTATACTGGAGCCCGGGAGGAATCCGCCACTGTCAGGCGGGAGTACCTTAGAGTGTTCGGCTATCTTCTCTCACAAATGCCCACGTGGGAGCTTGTCGCAGACATGAAGGGGCTCTTGACTGGCGAGGTTGCCGAGGAGACGTCCGAATTGCCCTTCTTCTTCAACATCCTCAGCCCTGCAACCTCACGACAGCTGGAAGCCATCCGCATGCTCGACACTGTCAATGACAGCTCGGAGATTGGCAGCCAGAACCTCAGCCAGTTCTTCATCCCTCTTCTCGAGCACTTTATCTTTGGTCGCGCAGAGGGAAGTGATGACCAGGGCTTGGGTGCTCAAGCAACGATCACGATTGGCAACCTGGCACAGTCTCTGGATTGGAAGCACTACCGCGTCATTTTACAGAGGTACATCAGCTACGTCGAGTCCAAGCCAGACAACCAAAAGCAGGTTATTCGACTACTTGCCAAGTTCTGCGATGCCCTCATATTTGCTGTTGAACAGAAGGGCGCCGAGCCAATGCAGGTGGACAACTCAGAGATGACCTCGCCTTCCGTCAAGAGACTAGTTCTCACGATACCCACGCAAGACAAGCTCAGCAAGGATGTCAATAACCTATTCCTGCCTTCGTTGATCAAGCATCTGCACGAGAAAGATGAGTCCGAGGTCAGTTACCGTGTACCGGTCGGTGTCATCATCGTTAAGCTTCTCAAGCTTCTGCCGTCCGAAGAGATGGGCCAGAAGCTTGCTGGTGTACTCACCGACATCTGCCACATTCTGCGCAGCAAATCTTGGGATGCTCGTGAGATGGCCAGAGACACTCTCGTCCAGATTGCGTCGGTGCTGGGTCCTACTTACTTTGGGTTCATCCTGAAAGAGTTGCGTGGTGCTCTCAAGAGAGGTTACCAACTCCACGTCATGTCCTACACCCTTCACTCGATGCTTCTCAAAGTCATTCCGGAATTCCAGCAGGGCGACCTCGATTACACTCTGCGATCTATTGTCTCAATCATCATTGACGACATTTTTGGTGTTACTGGTCAAGAAAAGGACGCCGAAGGTTACATCAGCGAAATGAAGGAAGTGAAGGCAAGCAAGAGTCAGGATTCTATGGAGCTCATTGCCAAGTCAGCCTCCATCAGCCAACTCGTCGTTCTCGTCCACCCCCTGCAGTCTCTTCTCATGCAGAAGGTTGACCTCAAGCTGGTTCGCAAAATCGACACATTGTTAGCAAGAATCACCGCCGGTCTTTTGCAGAACCCTGCATCGGAAAGCCGGGACACTTTGATTTTCTGTTACGAAGTTATCCAGGAGGTCTATAAGAACCAGAAGCCCGAGGTGCAGCCAAAGATCGACTACCGTCTGAAGAAGTACCTTTACCAGAAGGGCGTCAAGAAGGATAACCACGGTACCGCCGGCAAGTACACATTCAAGCTGGTCAAGTTCGCCTTCGATATCCTGCGGTCTGTTTGGAAGAAGTACGATAGCCTGCGCACCGCAGCGAATATTGCCGGTTTTGTTCCCATTCTCGGTGACGCTATTGTGGGCGGCGAGGACGATGTTAAGACTGCGGCTTTCAGGCTTCTCACGGTCCTGGCTAAGGTTCCTTTCAATAACGACGACGATGTTCAGTTGTACAAGGTTGCGGCCAAAGAGGCGACGAAGAGCATCTCAATGTCAACTTCGACCACGACCGAGCTTTCGCAGGCTGCTCTGAAGCTGCTCTCGGTTGTCCTGCGCGAGCGCAAGGATATTCCTGTCAAGGACGCAGCAATTGACATGCTGCTAGGCAAGCTGAAGGACGATCTGACAGAGACTCTCTACCGCCACGTCACCTTCAACTTCCTCCGCTCCGTGCTTGAGCGCAAGATTGAGACTGCAGTCGTCTACGACACACTCGACTACGTAGGCACTGTCATGATCACCAACGACGACAAGGATACCCGAGACCTGGCAAGAGGAGCGTTCTTCCAATTCCTCAAGGACTACCCCCAGAGGAAGGCTCGCTGGGTGAAGCAGCTCAACTTTGTTGTCGCCAACTTGACCTACGAGCGTGAGGGCGGCCGTCTCTCCGTTATGGAGGTCGTTCATCTCCTGCTCATGAAGTCCGCGGATGATTTTGTTCAAGAGGTCATCTCAACCTGCTTCTTGCCTCTTGTCATGGTACTAGCCAACGATGACAGCGAGAAGTGCTGCCTTGCTGCGGGCGAGCTTGTCAAGGAAATGTTCCGCAAGGCCGACAAGGAGAGGACGCAGAACTTCATGACTCTTCTCCGGTCGTGGCTTGAGCAGGAGGACAACGCTGCGGTCACGAAGTTATCTCTGCAAGCCTTTGGCTTCTTCTTTGAGGCCAAGGAGCCGTCATCCAAGCACAAGAAGGAGTTGGAGCTGGTTCTCGGCAAGATTGGCGAGATTGTCGGAACCGGCGACATCCGCGTCGCTGATGAAGACCTCATCAATACCGTTCTCCATGATGTTCAAGTTCTTACGGAGAAGTACCCAGCAAGACTGCTGTCTTCTGAATCCAAGGAGCTTTGGGGAGATGTCCGCGGCTGCCTGGTTCACCCCGAGAACTCGGTCAAACTGAGCACTACCAAGGTGTTGAGCACGTTCCTCGCTGACTATGCTGGCAAATCCAACAAGTCGGGCGAAGCACTAAAGGGATCGCATGGCCTGGACCTTGAGGTTGAGGACCTCGAGGAGCTTGTCAGACTGACCCTGTACGCCCTAAGAACCCCCGAGATCGACGACGCCCTTGCCGCGGAGATCACGCAAATCCTCATCTTCCTTGGCCCCCGTCTGCCCGTCAAGGTACAGAGCGTACCGGAAGCAGAGACTCTGGGAGATCGCGATGAAACCGCAGCAGAGGAGGACAGGATCGACGAACATCGCAAGGATCTCCAGTACCTGTTCTGGAAGCTCTCCTCGATCCTGCGCAAGGATGTCCGCCCCAAGTCTACCGCCATAACGCCTAAGACAGTCGCCATGGAGGTGTTGGAGACCATTTGCCGCCGTGTGCCCCAGGAGAACCTCGAGCCCTCGTTCAAGACCATACTCTACCCGCTGCAGAACCTTACGGACCCCAACATCCCCGTACCCTTCTCGACGGACGACCTCTTCAAGACTCGGCTCGAAACGCTCAAGACAAGGGCGCAGATCCTCATGGACTCGCTGCAGAAGAAGTTTGGCACCGCCGAGTACACCAAGCAGCTACTGGCCATTAGGGAGGAGGTGCGGACACGAAGACAGCAGAGGTCGAGCAAGCGTAAGATCGAGGCCATTGCGCAACCGGAGAAGTACGGCAGGGACAAGAGAAAGAAGACGGAGAAGAAGAAGGAGAGGAAGAAGGTCAGGAGCCACGAGCACAAACAGCTCCGACAGGCGTACAAGGGGTGGTAATCATCGAGTTTGCATGGACCGGCGTTTGCGGCAAGGGAAAAAGGATGCGCAAGATTTAGAAAGGGTGTATTTGTATATAGTACAGGGGCTGACATTGCCCATTCATATGTGAGATCTATTTCCTATTGTTACAATATGCCTTGTCTTTTCGTGACCCAAGATAGTGATGTTGGGTATCCGGAACGCCGTCTTCTATGCAGTCATTCCCCGGCGAACTGAGGCCGTTGTGGTCCGATTCCCTCCCCACCACATTTTACCACAATTATTGTACAGTATTATTCGTATTCGACGCGCTCAAGCAGAACCGTCCTTCTTTGCGTCGGTGGCTTCAGCCTCTGCTGTGCCCTCATCGGGATAGAACTCGATGTCGCCGTCCTCGCCTAGTGTGCCTCTCTTCACCAGGCGTCCCTTCTCGCGCATGAGGTCCTCGACGGTGACCTTGCGATCGCCAAAGATGCCTAGGTGGTCGCTGATGACGTGGCGGTTGCGGCATGAGGGGCAGGTGATGAGGACGGAGCCGTGGTGGTAGCCCTGCTTGGAAACCTTGTGTCGGGAGCGGGTGTCGCACGGCACGCAGGTGAAGTCAAGCTGGTAGTGCGGCGAGGCCTCGAGGCGCATCTGAGCAGGCGACTTGGCCTCGGCCTCGCGCGCTGCTTTCGACTTCGGGATCGTGTGGGCAGAGCGCGTCGCGATGGTGGGTTGGAAAGGCAGTTGTTGTGGGCGCTGATTTTGGAGGGCTTGGAGGATGGGGCTGCTGCGGTTGAGTGGTGATGCGCCAGGGCGAGCTTGTCGCAGCATCGGCGTGAGTTTTGTGAAAGCTGAGCGCGAGGCCATTGTGATATGTATGAGGCGTCCGTGAGTATGAGCTGATGGCTTCGTGGTGTTTATGGTTGCGGTGGTGTTCGTCTTGAAGTCTTGGTAAAGCTAGGCTGGGCTGGTCTCGAATTGGCCTGGGAATGCCGTCATCTTTGACTCGAGAGCCCAGCATCTCAGAAGAGCAGAAAAAAAAAAGATTGAACCGAACGCCACAGGTGGCGCTGTTTCTCGGCCCACTATGCTGAAAAGACAAACGAATCAGGGTCCTAAAGTCCTACCATTCCCGGCTGATCCGTGCGTCAGCAGCTGGGATGATGGTCCGAAATGATTGGCTTTCATGGCCCGATCGCACCTTCCGCCTTGTGTAATGTGCGCGCGGACCATCCCGGCCGGGGGAGCGCAGCGCAGCCTTGCCGTCGGTTCCTCATCGAACTTGAACACTTACATACCTCTTTCTTCTGCGATGTATTGTATTAGATCCCAGCACTCCAAACCCTCCTGCCGCGGAACCCGCATTTCTTTGCGCGGCCGACCTTTTCCACGCTAGCCTGGCCGGGATTTTCTATTTCTCCCCTCGTTCCCTCTTCGCTTTTTCCGTAACATCAAGTTGCTTTCACCCATCCCGCCACACTTTCTCAGAGGGAAAGCTACCCCGCCGCCACCGACTCAGGTATTCCCGCGATAGCTTTCTCGACCTGAAACGACCACCCACCACCACCAATTTTTCCAGAGATTTTCTCGACGACATATCCCGACAGATACGCATACACATACGATGATTTCTGGCAGAGGTGGAGGAGGCACGGCCATGCGGGCCGGCCGCATTCGGCCCCCGCGCCGCCCGGGTCGGGTGAGTTGTACCCCGAGCATGAACAAACTGGGTGTTGGGTGTAATAGCAAGCTGGTGTCGTTCATACTGCCATCATGGTGGTTCAATTTGCGCCAGTGAACCCTGTTACTACTTGTCACCACATCTTCTCCTGTTCGTCCTGTTGGACCGCCATCATGTGTACCCTGCAGGCCCTTTGCCCGATTGCCGGCCGCCACTGAAGCAATGATGAGACGGAGAACACCAGTCACGGGCGGGACAACCCAATATTCAGGATGCGCGCTAACTGTTTAATAGCTCACATCCGGCATCGATACTAGCGACTTCGAGCAGTGCTGGGAGACTCTGAAGCAGGCCCTCACAGATATCCACAACCAGAACTGCAGCACTCTGTCGTTCGAGCAACTCTACCGAGCGTCCTACAAGATAGTACTTAAGAAGAAGGGAGAGATGCTTTACGAGCGGGTCAAGCAATTCGAGGAGCAATACTTCTCCGAGCACGTCATCCCCACCATCGAGCGCCTAGTTACAGCCAACCTCGTGAGCGCCGCAATGGGGGGTGCGGCCACCTCGGTCAACGAGCGGCGAAAGATGGGCGAGATTTTCCTGGGAGGCGTAAGAAAGTCTTGGGATCACCACAATACCTCCATGAACATGACGGCCGATATCCTCATGTACCTCGACCGGGGCTACACCCAGGATGCTCGCAAAGCGTCCATCTACACGGCGACCATTGGTTTGTTCCGTGATCATATCCTCCGGGCGTCTCTCAACTCGAGTGGACAATACACCGTCTTCGACATCCTCAACTCGGTCATCCTTGACCACGTCAACATGGAGCGCGATGGTGATACGATTGACCGCCACTTGCTGCGAAACATTGTTCGAATGCTCGATTCCCTTTATGAGTCCGACGAGGAAAACGAGGCGGAGAAACTGTACCTGACCGTGTTCGAGCCCGCGTATCTGCAATCCGAGCGGGAATACTACAAGCGCGAATGTGAGCGGCTACTTCGCGACGCGGACGCCGGCGCATGGCTGCGACACACTCAACGTCGACTGCAGGAGGAGAACGACCGATGTGACACCACAATCCATTATGAGACGAGAGAGAGGTCTATCAAGGTCGTCGAAGAAGAGCTCATCTCGGCGCATCTGGACGACTTCTTGAACCTCGAGGGTAGTGGCTTGAAGTCAATGGTCAATTACGACCGCGAGGAGGAGCTATCCATTCTCTACCAGCTGGTATCGCGGGTCGATTCGAAGAAGGCCTCGCTGAAGAAGATTCTATCTGCACGTGTGGTTGAACTTGGTATCGAGATTGAACAGATGTTGAAGGATACGAACTTTTCGGCCGCCTCTGCACAGGCTGACGGGGAGGAGATTGACGGTGGAGAGAAGGCCAAGACGTTGAGCTCGTCCGCTCAGCAGACGGCTGCGGCTATAAAGTGGGTGGACGACGTCCTCAAGCTCAAGGACAAGTTCGACAACCTGTGGACCAAGTGCTTCCAGGAGGACCTCATCATCCAAACTGCACTTACGAAGAGCTTCTCCGACTTCATCAACATGTTCACCAAGAGCTCCGAGTACGTCTCGCTGTTCATCGACGATAACCTTCGACGCGGTATTCGAGGCAAGACTGAGACCGAGACTGAGGCGGTGTTGGAGAAGGCTATTACCGTGATCCGCTACCTCTCGGACAAGGACCTCTTCGAGCGATACTACCAGAAGCACTTGGCAAAGCGTCTGCTCAACAACAAGTCAGAGAGTCACGACGTCGAGAAATCGATGATTTCACGGATGAAGCAAGAGCTTGGCAACCAGTTCACCGCCAAGTTCGAGGGCATGTTCAGAGATATGGAGTCGTCTGCCGAGTTGACATCAGGCTACCGGGACCATATCAAGGGCTTGGGCGACGTGTCACGCAAGCAAATCGACCTTGGTGTCAACATTCTAACGACCAACTCTTGGCCTCCTGAGATCATGGGCCGTACGTCGCAGTTCTCCGAGGGCGGCGGCTGCATCTTCCCTGAAGAGATCAAGCGTCTTCAGGAAAGCCTACTCAAGTACTACCTCACCAACCGTAGTGGCCGCAAGTTGACATGGCTCGGTTCGACCGGCAGTGCCGATGTCCGTTGCGTCTTCCCCGCCGTCCCCGGCGGAAAGGGCCCTCTGGCGCGTGAGCGTAAGTACGAGATTAATGTTCCGACTTACGGCATGGTTGTGCTCTTGCTCTTCAATGAGCTCGAGGAGGGCGAAGAGCTTTCTCTCGAGGAGATTCAAGCCAAGACCAACATCCCGCCTCAGGACCTTGCCAGGACCCTCACTTCCCTTGCCATCGTCCCCAAAGCTAGAGTGCTGGCCAAGGAACCCGCGACCAAGTCCATCAAGCCCGGCGATAAGTTCAAGTTCAACGCGTCTTTCGTCAGCAAGACTGTCCGCATCAAGGCACCCATCATCAACGCTACCAGCAAGGTCGAGGGCGACGAGGAGAGGAAACAGACCGAGGAGAAGAACAACCAGACCCGAGCTCACGTCATCGACGCCGCGCTTGTCAGAATCATGAAGTATGTGTTCCGTGCCACTCACTATCTCTGTTTCGTTCCTAACTGTAAACCCAGGCAACGCAAGGAGCTCGGCCATTCGCAGCTCATCACCGAGGTCATTGACCAGCTCAGCGGTCGCTTCAAGCCTGAGATCAGCCTCATCAAGAAGCGGATCGAAGACCTCATCGTGCGCGAGTACCTCGAGCGGGTGGAGGATGCGTCGACGCCGACGTATCGCTACCTAGCCTAAGGGCACCACTTGCAGTGTGGTACGAACGATGGATACGATTCTCATGAAACGGGTTAGAGGGGTCATTTAGGGCTGCATCAGGGAGGTTTACACGGGATTTCTTCTACCAGGCACGGCGTTTTCAGGGTGGTTTGACTGAGGACCTACACGTTGACCTCTCTTTCCTTTGCGAAAATGGGGTGGATGGTGTCTGGGAGACGGTGGGGAAGCATGCACCAAGCATTTAACATTACGTCCATCGTGTGCTTCAGACGAACAAAATCTCTTTGTGGTTCTGCAGGGCCAATAAAAGGACGAGCTTGCGACTATTTGGACTCGGCTCCTACCTTGGGGATGTGGGGACCCCCAAGGCCGGTTACGGTTGTGTCAATACTTCACTTCTTTTGCATGTACAGAATTCCAGGGGATAATGACTTTTGATGGCTCAGAAAATCTGACCCGTGTCTTTTGTGAAGCGGAACGTTGCGGTCGCAAAGCGGTCGTCTCATGCTGATCGGATTCTATGAGTTTCTATCTTGCACGTGTTCTGTTTCGGTCCAAGAGAAGGGTTCAGGTCAGCGGCGGAATGGGGAAGAGTCGTGTCCTGGCTTCTCTTGCCCATGGGGGGGGGAAACTGATTGGACTGCTATTGGAGATGAACATCACGCGTTCCAGACTCAAATGGGCAGGACTACCTCTATTGGATGCCCATGGGGCATTAAAAAAAAGAACTAAAAAAATCAAAGCTGGCCTTTCGCCCCCGAAACTCCTTCTGGAAATCCATTACAAAGATAATACATCGGCGGGTACCACCCTCTTCTCCTTCTCCTTGGGCTCGACGATGGGCTTCGCGTCGGTGATCTTGAGCCACTCCCCGTTGAAGGCGTTGATGAGCCAGTTGCTAAGTTCTGCAAAGGAGGCGCATGGTTAGTCAATGGGGTCTTGTTTGAGGAAAAAGTGTGGGGGGAAGACTCACTGTCGTAAACAATCTTGTTGGCGCCGTGAAAGTAGATGCCGTGGTCGCTGTCGGGGAAGACGTGGACGTCGTAGTTCTCGATGCCCTCGAGGTTGAGCTTGTCGAGAAGGGTGAGGGTGCTCTGGTAGTGCACGTTATCGTCTGCGACGCCGTGCATCATGAGCCAACGGACGTTGCCGGCGAGGGCGGTGACGTTGGAGATGGCCGTCTGGTCGTAGCCGGACGGGTTGAGCTGGGGCGTGCGCATGTAGCGCTCCGTGTAGATGGAGTCGTAGAAGCGCCAGTCCGTGACGGGGGCGACGGCCATGCCGTAGCTGAACGTCTGGCCGGCATCCATCTCGAGCGTCTTCAGGGTGTTGAAGCCGCCGTAGCTCCAGCCCCAGATGGCGATGCGCGAAGAGTCGACGTACTTCTTCGCGGCCCAGGCCTTGGCGGCGGCGATCTGGTCGTGGGCCTCCCAGTGGCCGAGCTTCTCGCGGACAAGTACGCGGTTCTTGCGGCCGATGAAGCCCGTGCCGCGGCCGTCAACGGTAACGACGACGTAGCCCAGCGCCGAGGCGACGTAGGACTGGAAGTCGACGGAGAACTTCTTGTGGACGCTCTGGGAACCGGGGCCGGAGTACTGCTGGAACAGCACGGGATACTTCTTCTTCTCGTTGAAGTGGGGAGGACGGCGCTCGAGGTAGTTGAGCTCGACATCGTCGACCTTGATGGTGCCGTACTTGAGGATGGGGAGCTCGTACTTCTTGGCGTTCTCGGCAAGCTCTTCGTTCTGCTCGACAACGTGCTCGTAGCTGATGGGGTTGCTGGGCGTGCTGACGACCTTTTGCCAAGGGATCTTGGGGCCCTGGTACGTCAGGAGACTGAAGCCCGCGCCGCTGGAGAAGGAGATGTCGTAGTAGCTCTCGAACTTGGTGTCCGTGAACGGCTTGAGGTCAGACCCGTTGAGGTGGACGCTGTAAACGTGGCGCTGGATGGAGGACTCCTTGGTTGAGACAAAGTACACCAAGTTGTTCTTCAAATCGACTGCGGAGGCTCCGCCTTCGACCTCCCAGTTGCCACCAGTGAGATAGACCGGCTCGGGGTTGTCCATTGGCGAGAAATACGCAATGTGGTCACCGTTGTCGTGGACCACGGTGTCGACGTAGCCGTCCTCTGGTCGTCCATTGGCAGGGTCCGCGGGAATGAACTGGGTCTCATGGGAGATCTCGAACCAGCCACCGTCGAGTTTGCCCACGTCAACGGTGTTGACTGTCTTGCCAGTACGAGCAACAACATCTACGAGCACCACCCGCATGATGTCACTCACGCGGTTGGTCTCCTTGATCAGGACCTTGTCGTTGGCCCAGAGGACCATGTTGATGAGTCGATCGTCATCCGCGAAGCCACCGTCGATATCGACTGAGAAGACATCGCCGCGCTCGACATCGTAGAAGAGAAGGTCTACGACGGGGTTGTGGCTACCAGCACGAGGGTACTTGATGCGCTTCTCATCTGGGTACGTCTCTTCACCGGGAGGCTTCTGCTTGCCCGAGGGCCTCGACACGAAGTACTGGAGGGGGTACTCCGGGACGCCCGTCTCGTTGGTCCGTAGGAAAGCAACGTACTTGCCGTCCTCGGAATACCAAGTGGCGCTGTTACCGGCAAAAACCTCCTCCTCGTAGACCCAGTCGGGAATACCATAGAAATACTCGGGTCCACCGTCCGTGGTGATCTGCGTCACCTTTTTGTCGCCATCCAGTTTTCGCAAGAAGAGGTTGTTGTCTCTGGTGAAGACAATGGCGTTGCTTTGGGGGCTCCAAGTCGCAAGCTGCACGCGGCCATCGGGGCGCTCGGGATCAAGAGCCTCGGCTGTCTGGGTCTCCACGTCAAAGATCCAGTACAGCGCGGTAAACGAGTGACGCCAGTTGTGCTGGCGGTCAGTCGAGACGAGCACCTTCTTCATGTTCTTGCTCGGCCAGACGCCGGACGGCGTCAATTGCCGGCCATTGACGTTGATCCACGGGTTCTTCATCAACGTGCGGCTCTGGACGACATTCGTCGAGACCTGGCGTTCATTCTTGCCTAACCTGACGTCCTCCACGAGGAGGTAGTCCTTGCCCCGAGCACCCTGCTCGAGCAGCAAGCCGTCCTCTCCGTTGGGTCCCTCGATCCAGCTGATCGAGTGAGATTTTGCGTACCAGAAGCCGGACATGACCTGGTCCAAGGTCACGGGCTTTCCGGACCCGCGCGATGTCGCAGAAGGGTCGTGGTCGACGGTGCTGCCATGCCTGTATGACTTGTTGGATAGAAAGACGAAGAGCGCGGCGCCCCAGGCGAAGAGGAAGGCAGCGCCGAGTATCAACAGCCCTTTCTTCAGGCCACGATCCATGCCCACGCGGCGCATCATGCCGGTCGACGTCAGGAACGGCCCCGTCTCGAGGTCGTTTGTGTCGGCCTCCTTGTAGTCATTCTCGTCATCGTCGTCGTCGGGAAGGTCGGCGTAGCCGCCGCGCGAAACAGAGGGGGCGCGGCGCCTCTGGGACGAAGAGTGGTAGCTCTTCTCATTCTGCTCGTGGAGTCGGTCGAAGACGAGGCTGGTGGTGGAAACGCTCGAGAGGGACGATTCGTGGGACATCCTGGAGTCCTCGGCGGTCAGTTGTCGGGAGGCGGCGCCTGGTGTGTCCATTGTGAGGAAGACGGGACTGATATGCAGTCCTCGTAGGATCCCTTGGGAGGGATCGTGTGCCAAGCGGATGCAACTGTCAAAGCAAAAATAAAGATGGGATCGAGACTAGGTTGATTGCGGAAGGACTTGAAACGGCATGCTGTCTCGAGGCGGCTTCAGTCCTCTTTCGGGTATGGGAGGACGCAACGACGACGACTCCCCATGGACCGGAACACAGTCACACGACGGTCGGGGGGTTTAATGGGAGGGCGGCGGCAGACGACGGACACGGAGGACAGTACGGAGGGCAAAAGAGGGGGGGGGCGGTTCGAGAATGTCGGGGAGAGTTGTGTATGAGCGAAGGTTCGTGGAAGGCGAGTCAAGGGTCGCACAAAGAATACGTAGTAGCCATGCGCAGGAAGCTCGAGCTGCGCTGCTGCTGGTTCGAGTTAGTGGCGGTCCCTCTTGGCCAAGGCGTGCCACAGCTGTGGGAGTCCCCTGAGAATCCCACGGTGCCCCCATGTTTTTCGGGTCATGGGGGCCGTTTGGGGCTATTCAAGGATGCGGAGTGCGGCAGAAGTGGGCTTGGCCCGTTTCAATTGTCACATCCCCAGCAGACGACGAAGCCTGGGGACTGCTGCAAGCATCCTCTGGTCGTCTCGTCGTGCTCAGCAATGGTTAATCGCCGCATGTCGATGGCTGGCAGCACAGTCCATTTATGGCAGGCCCGTGTCCTTCTTTTCTCTTTTCCATTCGATAATCACCAGCCGTAGAGTCGTGCAGTCCTGCCCGGCTCGGCCTATCCGCACGCTATCCGTCGGCTTCATAACCCGCCGTCAGGACCACCCTGAGAGGAAGTTCCACACACACGGACATGGACATCGGATGCCAATTGACTTTGCGAGCTACCTTTACAACATGTGAGGGACCGCATTTGACTGGTTTGGACGATATATAGTGGTCTTGCACTAGTTATTTAATTAAACACAAAAATACAGCTTTAACAGTGGTATCGAACTCCCAACCAAACATTCCAATATCCTACACATCATCACGGCAAAAACGAAACCAGCCCTCGGTCCCTCACGGCCTAGGAAGCAAGCTGCGGCGCGACCGCAGCGTCCTCGCTGATCTTCTCCACGACGCACGCCGTCCCGTACGCGCACGTCTGCGCGAACCCGCCCAGGTCCGCCGCGTCGAACCGCAGGCAGATGATGGCGTTGCCGCCGCGCTGCTTGCACTCGCTGACGACCCGGCCCAGCGCGTCGTTGCGGCAGTTGTACAGCATCGTCGTGAACCACCGCAGCTCGCCGCCCGCCAGCGACTTGATCACCATGCCGAGGCTGGCCGCGATGTTGCGCGACCGCACCGAGAGGCCGTACACGGCGCCCAACGTGCGCACCACGCGGTAGCCGGGGATGTCGAACATTGCTAGCAGTTGGGCGGTGTGTAAGTCCCCGGCGAAGCTCGCTCGTGCTAAGTTTGGGCGGATTACTCACTCGTCGTGATGACCCCGCCGGTCTCGGTGAAGCAGTGCAGGTCGGACAGCTCGGGCGGGATGTTGGCCACGTCCTCGGGCTTGACGTCGCTCTTTTTGTTCATGAAGTTCATGGTGCGAGGTTGCAAACCAGGGTCCGACGTAGAAAATCTCTCGGCGTATCTGTGTACAAGATGTGTTGAAGTCTGTAATGGACGGTGGGGTTGAGGTGGCATGCTACAACTCCCCAAGATGCGCAGAGACGCGAGCATTGCCCAGCTTTATATACAACTTCAAGCTCGAAATCAACTCGCTACTTCCGAAGCTTCGTCGCCCGTCCTCGAGACAATGAGGCCAGTAATTTAGCCCCGTGTAAGCCGGGCATCAACGGAATCGAATCCGCATCCAGTCGGCCCCACACGGCGCACGCCCGAGCTCGCCATTGGCCGCGTTTTGGGCTGAGTCGGCGGACCGTATTTCGTATCTGCATCGAAGCAGAGACATGCGACGGACCCGGGTGGGTCAGGGTAAACCCGGGTGCCTTGGCGCGTCATCGGCATGCTTTGGGTCGCATGCAAGGACCATTGGTCGGCGACTGTTTTCTCCAAGATGTTGTCAACCCTTTACTCTGTCACTGCCCAGAGCTAGTTCCTCCATGGTCAGTCGCAGGCATTTAACTTGTTGATCGAGTCCAAACACCAAAAGTTCCGACTCCAGCGCCGATATGGAGTCGTGGAAAGCATTTCAGAGAGCCTCTGTTCAATCGGCAAGACGGTTCGGACTCGACTCTTCTCGTGATATTCTTGTCCCAAGTTACAGTTGTCTGCCTGTTGCATCTGACTACCCGTCTCTCACTCGCCATTTTCTCACCTCGGCAACACAAGACAGCCGAAAAGAAACACGTAGATGAGAAGCAGAACAGAAGATCACACGTCAACGGATGGAGGCGACTAGTGACCCAGGACAAGGGGCGGTTTGCAACCCGGCACGTCGGGACACGGCGACTTTAACCGGGCCACTCTCCTCGCCAACCTCACCAGCCAGAGTTCCCGACAGCTGTCACTACCCCCAAACGTAAATATACCAGAATGCTACCTTGGAGAGCTTATTTCCCGATTCGTCCATTAGTGCAAAACAAACTACGCAGCCAAATGCAGGAGATCAGGCACCTCGCCGAGGCCGAGCACTTTCCAACCCCGAAGTCGAACTTTCTCGGAGCGTAGCCGCCGTTGTAGATTAAGCCTACATCCGACTTTCCCGAACCCACGACGATGAAATCGCCCGACGCAAAAGGTGACAATGTCGAGTAGATATAATGACCACGCCGCCTTCATTCTCCCTGACAAGCCACCTTCTTCCGTGACCCGTCCCCCGCTGACCCAATATCCAAGATGTTCTCCCACGCCGCCCTCCTGCTCCTCGCCCCAGCCGCCCTCGCAGCATCCACGCTGAACTGCCGCGCAGCAGCCATCCGATGCCCCATCGTCTTCGACGGCCGCGTCCCCGCCACCGCGGCCCCCAGGACTTTAACTTGGCCTCCGGCGGCGGCTGGAATCCCTACAACCCGGACTACGTCAAGGGCGCGGGCCTGCTCTGGTCCGACATCATCTTACTGCCCCAGGCCGCGCCGCCCTCGCGCTTCGACTCCGGCGACAACAAGCGCCCCCTCGAGGTGACCATCTCCGACAAGAGCATCTTCATGAACCAGCGCGGCTTCCGGCGCGCCGGGCTGCAGTTCGCAAAGGACGCTAACACCGGCAGTCCTGCCGCCACGGGGGTCAAGACACTGCATTTCAGCGTGAGGCAGGATGCGGCGAGGCCGTTGAACCTGACGCATGAATATCTCGTAAGTCACTGTCCTGCGGAGGGCGGTGAGGCGGTCTTTGAAGAATACTGAGTGCTGCGAAATCAGAACGTGTGGCATGAGACGGCCGCGTACGACGCGAATCAGTTCAACTTCCAGACGGGCACCATCATCGGCCAGACGGGGCTGCCAAAGAACACCTTCAAGCTGCTGGACCGGAACAACCAGCTCGTCTGGTCGACGCCCATGGCGACGGATGGCTCGTGGCAGAACTTTGCCCTGACGTTGGACTTTTCCGCAAAGTAAGCCCCCTGTTTGTTTGTTTTTGGTTCCGTCTACTGCTGCGAAAGGGCTTCGGACTAACACATTGTAGTACCATCCAAGTCTGGTACTCTGCGGGAGACGCGGCGCTCGTCAAGCAGGGCGGCGCCACCTCAGCCAACCTCGCCGGCAACGGGCAGTACCAGATTGGGATTTTGAAGAAACCGACGGGCACTAGCGACGTGGTGAACTCGGGGTATCAGTCGAGCAACTTGAACGAGGGCCAGATTTACGGGGGCATCTTCATTGAAGACAGCGCCAATGGGTGTGTGTCTACTTGAGGCTTGAGCCGGGCTCGTCTATGATGTTCTGTGTCTATGTCATACTTCTTAGTCTAGGTTGTTCGTCAACAGACTTCTTAAGCATCCAATTCGGCGATGGTATGTCCGGAGTGAGCATACATGAGCCTCATTTCTGCACATCAACAGCAGTGAAGCTCGCTCTCAGAGGCGCAACGCTGATGACGCCATTGAGCGACGCCCACAAGTCCTCACCCTCGGGACTCTCCTCGGCCTGGCGCTTGATATCGGCCAGCTGCGGCGCCCACCGGAACTGGTAAGTGCGTGAAGTCGCTAGCTTCTCAGGATCGGCGGGCGCGGGGCTGAAGAGCCCTCCCGTGACCCATCGGCCGTGTGCCGTGGTCGTCAGTCTCACCGGCCGATCTGCAATGTCGGCGACCATGGGGACGTTGACGCTGTACACCTCCACGTCGGGATGCCAGTCCCGGGCAAGATCCTCAATCAGCCCAACGGCGCGATCACATGCCGCCCGGATGACTTCATCAGGTTGCACTTCCTTGCTGCCGAAGCTAAGAGCCACTGCCCTCCTCCCACACTGCGCAGCCTCCATTGCGCCGCCAACGGTGCCGCTGCTCAAGGCGTACACGGTGCTCGCATTGCGGCCGTGATTGGGGCCCGACACGACCAGGTCAAAGTCGTCGGGCTTGAACCCCGTGTGGAACAGCCCTATTTGGGTGCAGCTGGCAGGGAGGCCGTCTACGACAAGCCAGCGGTGGGTACGGTCCTCGGTCTCGTCGCAGCCGGGGACGTTGCACGTCTTGTCAGCAAAGGACGCCGGGCATCTACTGGCGGCGGTCAAGGTCTTGCCAACTGCATGGGCCTTGCCGATCCAAGACAACGGACGGTCAGGAAGCACAACGACCGTTGTGTGGCCAGCCTCGTTCAGGGCGTTGACGAAGGGAGCGAAGTAGGGCGAGACGGACGACGGGGGCCCGTCATCGTTGACTAACTACGGTGGAGACGCATCAGTATGTCGTTGCACTGCGTCATGATGCGCGTTGGGGGAGAGCGCGGCGGGAGGTAAAAGTATTTACCAAGAGCCGCATTATTCGCAAGTCGGCGAGTTCCTGGTGGGGGAATCGTGTCTTGCCGAGGGCCAGGCAACAAGATAGTTGGCAGTTCGACGCTGCCAAGTGCTCAGGCCTAGGTCCGCCCCGAGCAGGCTGAGCCGCAGCAGAGACAGTTTACCAAAGGTTCGAGAAGGCGGCCGAGAAAAGCCAAGAATCAGGCTGCCGGATGGGTTCCGCGGACGGAGGATGGGTGGTGGGTGCAGACGAGAGTTTGCGGGACCGACTGTAGCTGGGCGAAGGATGACGCGCTCGGTCACTCGAAGAGGAATAGAGGGTTGCTTATGAATGGAAAGGCAGGCGGTCCGATGTTATGACTCCGACGTTGTCGTGGAGTTGCTCTTATCTGTGGTATGGTAAAGCGGTGTTGACTTTGTCCGACCAAGGTGTGAATCATTGTTTGGTGTCCTCGACCCGCCGACAACGGCGTCGTCGTCGAATCGGATGGACCCACGAACAGGATCGAGGCGAAATGTGCAAAAAAGGGCCATTTGAGGTGGAATAATGCCTCAGTTCGGATCGTGGGCCACACAAGGCCTAAGAAAGTTGAGACGAGGCATCCCGTGTCGACGGTGCGCCTTGCGGTTTGCCCATTGCTTCCGGCAGATTTGGGCCGCTATTCGCTCGCCCTGCCTCGGATTGCCTACGAAATGGTGTGCGCGAACCAGAGAGGAGGGGGTGGCATGGTATGGTAGGAGGAAGGATGGAGTGGGATGAGAGAGGGGTGAGCAAAGACAGTGAGGAGACAGTGAGGAGAAGAAGGGACGAGGAAACAGCCCCGCGTAAGCCGTCGACTGCCGCCCTATATCGGAGCCCATCCCAGCGCCCACTCTGCTCTGTAACTCACCGAGACGCACTGGTCTCCTGCTTGTGGTTGGCTCACTCAGGGCACTAAGACCCCTGGCGGAAAGCACCGCGCAGCACGTTGGCCACGTCCAAGCTTCCGTCTCGACCACTCGCCCTCATCGTGCTTCAACCCACATGCAATTGTGTGCGACACACACTCGCACCAAGCAACGGCACCAACGAGGCTCCCGGCTTAGAGACACAGGCACACAGGCACACATAAGATGTCTGCTCCCCTTGATACCACGCCCGTCGAGCCATCGGGCCACGCTTTCTTCGCCACCTACCGGGCAAAATCTATAAACACAGCCTCTATATCGGATTTGATAGTCCGCCAGTCACACTGACACTGATATTGGGTGGGCATGGCATACAGCTTCAACGCCAACACAAACAACCCCTTCTCCTGGGCCGGGCAAACGGCCGACGACCCTTTCGACCAGAAATGGCTTCCAAACACTAATCTGTCGGCTCAGCCCATCGGGGGTGCCGGCCTCCTCAGCACTGACACCCCAAGGAACGACGCGTCCCTCATCAAGTAGGTTTCGACCATAGAAACTCTAGTCGCAACATGGACTGACAAGCACAGGGACTTCAATGATGAACTTTCGGGTCAAGACACCCAAGAAGACCTTCTTGGCCAGTCGTCATGGCTGCTTGTCAACGGAGCGCCGGGCGACCATACAGAACTACCGTTCGACCTCGTCATTGATAACGGAATCGACCTGGATGCAGCCAGACCCGTCTCCTACGACATCGCTCGGACGAGCAGTCAGGCAAGCTCTACGGGAATAGACGAAGAGTCTGTCGGTTTCAGCAACGCCGAGGACGTGTGTGATATTGGCTTTAGTGCTGGCTATGGCGACGGCTTTTTGAACGGCATCGGCAGCCCAGGCACAAGCCTCTCTGATGTTATCCTGTCGACGAACCCCTCCTTGGAGAGCAGTCCTGTTTCTCCACGATGCCCGTTTCTCAGCATGCAGGCAGGAAATGCCGGGCGTGGTGCCTCTCCAAGGACCGCAACTAGCGCCCCTCAGCCAGCCATCGTCGATGCCAACAGCAGTTTCCCAGGCATTGGCTCCGCAAGTACGCCCAGAAGTGTTCCGAGACAGAATGTTAGTGAGTTGTCAATGGGACTGGCAAACCAAAGCCTATACCAGGCGAGCGATTCCAGTCCTTCTTCCGAGTTCTTTGAGCGATGGAGTTTGCGTGCCGGCGGCGATGCGATGGAATCTCTCGATGTGGCCATGTGGGATGACTCGTCCCTCTCGGAGAGTTTCGTTCCATATCCCCAGAGCCAGCTGGGACCCTCCTTCGTCATTGTCCCTCCCGAGGCTCCCGACGTGACGATGAGGGACTTGAACGACTTCACAATGTCTGAGACTAACAGGTCCCCCGAAACACATCCCACCGGCTACTATCTCTCGGCAAGCTACGCGCCCACCCAACTGACGGAACCTCGTAGTGTTCCCAGTATGGCGATTCCACAGGCCTCTGCAGCGAACACCACGAGTCGCCTCGTGGTTCCACCCCGCCGGCGTCGTCGGACGTCAGACCCGGTCCGTACGAGCGCTCTCGCGAGGGCGCACGCATCAGCTGCTCGACTGCAACCGATGACAAGCGGCACGGACTATGTGTCGCCTCGAGGAAGCCCCGCTCAGAACGCCAGAGCGCAATTTTCCTCGCCAGTAGAGAGTTCTCGGTTTCAGCGGGTACCTCCGGCCGAGCCAACGAGGAATTCAGGGGTCACGCTACCCATGCCTATTGCCTCTCGGCCCAGAAGGTTAAGCAACACGGGCCAATCTCCCGAAAGTCAGATCGTGGTGGGTCGGCCTAGTCGGCCGGGACCTGTGCGTGGACGCCGACATGGGCCGATGGACCCGGTCTCCCGCGGCCAGGCCAAGGAGACACGAAATAGGAAGATGGTCTGCATTCGATGCAAGCATTCTAAACAGAAGGTATATGATCAAACTTGGTATGGATGAGTACACTGGCTAAAATACACTCAGTGCAAGCGGGTCGACGATTCCCTGGACGGTTCTTGCATCGGCTGCGACAGACACGGCGGCTCTCAAAGATGGCCGGGACCATGCGTAAGGGCTCACTTTGAGGATCTCGTCCTCTCCGGCTCCTGTAACTACGTCTGTAAGTAGTAGAGTCCACTTCTTGGTTACGATCCGCTAACCTTCCTCCAGCCTCGCGTGCCATCATTTATCCGACACTCAACAATGCCACGCGCATCCGCAAGGAGCTTCCCAAACAGATCCATTTTGACGAGCTTTTGGCGAGATTGGATCGCGCTCGCCGCCAGTTCAACTTCAAAGTCTACCAAGATGGGCGGCCTCTTTACGTGCTCGACCTTGACTCCTGCCACGAGTATCTACAGGGCCTTCGACAGCACATGGATGCTACTGAGTACAGTTTTCCAACCTTTATTGACAAGGATATCTTGCGAACAGATACAAGGAACGACGATTGGGAACGGTGCATGACACAAACGACGACGCCATGGGGAGACTGGCTTTCTCTGCTTTGCGATGTTAACAACATGCCCAGCTGCGCCAGCTTCTCCTACGTATCTAAGCCCTACTACCCCGCACCAGGGGCAGCCATGGAGCAGCCCATCAATGTCGAAGATCCCAATGAAGCGGACAATCTCATACTTGCAGCCCAGCTCTCGCGGATCATGTGCCGCAAGCTCGAGGTCAAGGCTTACCAGCACCTGCAGCGCCTTCTGCACGAGTCGGGGACGATGGAGGACGACAAGATCTTGCCGTTCCTGCAGAGCCTAGGCCGCGTCCTCTTGACACTGCGTTGGCGGCTATCCTGGTGGACTGCGACTCGCGAAGTCTTTGGCACCGGCGACCACAACGACGAGGCCGAGCGGCAACGAGTCGAGTTGCGGGTTCATTCCTTGTGCCGAGTGCTGTATTTCTACTACTGCTGCGTCCGCAGACGGCTCCCGGTATGGACCAACATCAACACGCCGAGCGGCATTCACTCAAGGTATCCGGACACGGAGAAGGAAGTCTGGGATAACTTCCCCGGCAACGAGAGCGTCGAGGGGTTCGGGGAGTGGATGGGCCGGGGTAGACAGCTCATCATCGAGGCTGGGGTTGTGAGCCGGCTGAGGTCGATGGGACTGGCGGCGTAACTTTTCGGTTTTCGCTTCTTTAATTAGGCCAGTCTCACATCGACTGCCGTGAGATTGGTGGCCTTACAGCTGCCTTTGGGTTAGGCCGTTTCATTGTTTCTTATTCTGCCTCGACTTTTCATGCCTTCGTACATCTGTATTCGCTTGGGGCGTACATGGGAGTGGGTGCTCTGTTTTTCTTCTGGGCGAGATTGGCGTTGGCGGCTTTTGGGACACCAATGTTCTGGGTGGGAAACAGCACACTCACTTGTTGCAATGGCGAGTTCAGGGCGTCATAATGAATGTATTTTTTGCACGAGATACCACCACACCTTAGAAGGACTGCACCTTGGGGCGGGGCGTCGGTCGTTTCTAGTTCATACATTATGCACGACTAAGGCGTGTCTTTTCAACTGAGCCAACATTTTTCGCGGGATTCGTGTGTGTGAGGTCAAGATAACGATTTGGACCAAGTGCCAGGCTTCAAACATCGCCCGAGACACGACACGTGCCAGGCAACAAACAGCCTCGAACTGTTTCCGGGGCATGTCGCTTGCCGTCAAGTCGACCTTGATTGCATTCATGTCTAGCTCGAGGTCAACTCGGCGTAGCAGCAATTTTTGGCCGGCAACGAGCAGCAGTCTCTGTTCTTTCATCAATGCCAGAGACGACACAACTTTCCCATATTTTCAAGTCCAAGAAAGCATGGACATTGCTCGCATCCCCACCAGACCGCAACTGATCATCCACGAACCAGCCCCGAAGCCGTCTAGCCTAGCACAAGTGTATGCATCTCTGCCCCCCTTGCTCAGAGTTCCCAAGCTTTTTAGCTTGCTTTGCAAGAAAGGATTTGGAGACCTGACAGAGGGGGGGAGGGACCCTGCAAAACCCTGTCAGCCCGTTCTGAATTCGAACACCTCCCCCTCCCCCCAGCCATTCTCATTTTTGCCCGACCGTCTTCGAGCAGAGTACGTATCTCGTCGTACTTTTTTTTCCTTCCACAGTTAGGCTACGAAGTTTGCGTGGGATAGTCAGGTTGGAAGAAAACAGACAGAGCATCAGAAAGTGAGCAAAACCAGCGGTGTACGAAGCAAAGAGAGAACTTGTCCCAGCGCGATTGGCCGAACCAAACAAGTCCTCTGGCCAGGACCTCGCGTCTTGCTCCTCTGCTCCTCAGTCCAGTCCAGACCCGATCCCCATCAGACGACAGATTCCCACATTCCGCCGCTCCCCGCCCACTCAGAAGCCCAACCGCAGAAGGACGGGGGCCTGAAAAACCTCCCATTTGCCCAACTGTGGACGATACAGAACGATTGCTTGCATGTGCATTGCTTGCATCCTGTTTTCCCACGCGAAAGAGGGAACGGGGGGGTTCCAAAATACAAATACAATTGAAAAAAAAAAAAAACCTGCTAAAAAAATCCAAAAGCTCGAGAGCTCAAATGGGCTCCACGATCAGATCTTGCTATAGTACAAAGTGACTAAGGGGTCCCCCCTCGTCCTCCCGCCTCCCTCCCACGAGGATTCCCTTTTTCGCCCACCATCCCACCAGTTCGTGAGCTCCCCTTCGCTTCGTGGGCTACTCCATCGACTTCAATTAAAGCCCATGTCACTAGAGTCATAGCTCCCTCCCGGCCCCCCCTCCTGCTCCTCCTCCTCCTCGTCTTCCTCCTCCAGCTCTATCTCGTGTCCGCGGTTTGCGCCACACGGGGTGAAAGCGACCAAAACCCGCTCGAGACCAGATCTCGCAAACATCCTCCTCGCCCCCCCCCCCCCCCCCCCCCCCCAGCGTCGCATTCTCCAGCGTCGCATATCGCCGCGCACAAGGGTTTTTCGGACGGCCCGTCTGTGTGGGTTTTCTCCTCCCACCGGGTCTCACCTCTTTCTCACCTTTCACCCTTCACCCTTCACCTCTCTTCCACTCACACACACTTTCAACCTCCCCCCCTTCCCACCTCCACAACCCATACACCACGACAGCCTGATCCCGGCTGTCTCTTCCCCCCCTCCATCCTGCCCCTTTCCACCCTCTTACAACCTCTCCTCGTCGCACAGACGGAAGAGACACCACCAAGGGGAAGAAAAAAATGGGCTTCTTCGACTTCGACACGGGGAGCGTCATCTCCGCCCGCTCCTCCCACTCGCGCCGCCACTCCTCCAAGAAGCACCACAGCAGCAGCAGCAAGCACCGCTCGCGCTCGCGCTCCTCGGAGCGCTCCAAGAAGCGCCACAGCAGCGGCGCCGCCCCGGGCATCGCCGCGTCCATCTTTGGCGGCAGCGACCACCACAAGCACAACTCGTCGCGCTCCTCCTTCTTCGGCATCCCCAGTGCCTCGCGGTCGTCGTCCTTTTTCGGGTTCGGAGGTTCGTTACTCATGTGTCCCAATTGGACCCCCTCAGAGACATGTCAAGCTGACACTTCCGCCTCCAGGCCGCCCCTCGTACTACAAGCGCTCCCCCGCAACGGCTTCGTCCAAAAGATGCTCAAGCAGGTCAAGCGCCTCTGGCGCGACCTCGTCTACTACGCCAAGAAGCACCCCTACAAGGTCTTCGCCCTCGTCATCATGCCCCTCATCACCGGCGGCTTCCTCACGGCCCTGCTCGCCCGCTTCGGCCTGCGCCTGCCCCCCGGCATCGAGCGCATGATTGGCATCGGCGCAAAGGCCGCCTCGGGCGACTCCCTCGGCCTCGTCGGCGAGGCCGTCCGCATGGCCAGCGGCGCCGCCGGCCGCGCCGGCAGCGTGCACGTCGAAAGGGGGTACGACGGCGACTACGCGTGGGAGAGGCGGAGCCTCGACCGCGACGGCGGCGGCGGCGGCGGGTTCGGTAGTGGTGGTGGGGGCTGGGCTGACGGTCTCATGAATGGCGTTGCCAAGATGTTCATCTGAAGCAGGTCCCCTACCTGGAGGGGTTGTTTGCCACGCGTCATGACTCCAAGGGCTTGGGCGGCCGTCTGTCTTTTTTTTTCTTTTTTTTTTTTTTGTTGCTTTCGGCGTTGGAAGAACATGGCCTTGCTGTTCTGGTTCGTCCCGTACGGTCCAGGGACAGACCCTGCGAAAGCTTCGGCCACGTTGGAGAATGCATGGCGCATTATATACCTTTGTGATAGAACTATCAAGAGACGAATTATGACTACAGACAAAAACCATCTATATCGTCGATTCACTGAGACTTATGTCAAAACTACGAGTTTGGGAGAGTAAAGATATGTATTAGGAAATATAGCTCTATAATTGACACAGGATACGGGTGATGAACGCTGAAAGTGGTTGACGGAGGATTCCTCATTTCTTCTTCCGACGACTACTGGTAGGCTTCCTCTTGGACGGCGACGGGTTGGCAGACTTCTTACCCCGCGATACCTCACGCGCCGGCTCGCGGGTAGCAGCCTCCTCGACGACAATGGCCTCCTTACGGCCACGTCTCGTCGTCGGCGGCTGCGGTGGTTGGACAATCTGGGCGCCGTTGCTAGTGTCGTCGCTGGTGCTCTCCTCGCTGCTCTCCTCGCTACTGTCTTCGCTGCTGTCCTCTTCGGGTGGCGGACCGCGCGGAGCCCGGGTGCCTCGCCCCGCCGGAGGTGCAACGGAGGCTCGCCGTCCATCGGTGGAGCCTGAGACGTTGCGGCGCGAGGCAGCGACACGGGGGCCCTCGGTCTGAAACTGAAAGGGGTCGACGTTTGATCGCGACTTTGACAAGGACGACGTGGACGACGCAGGCGACATGTTTGGAGCAGGACCCCATCCTTCTTCGGACGGCGGGGGCCCCCGTCGAGAGTGGGCGGAATCTGAAGGCTGCCGCTGAGCCGCCGCACCCTGTACGTAAGTGTAGTTGAACGGCGACGAACCTCTCTCGCCCATGATGCGAGACGTGGGTCGCTGAGAGGCTGACGTTGCTGAGCGGGGCCGGGTACGAGAGGCGTTGGGTGGTGGGAAGTAGCCCATGGGCGGCATCGGATCTCGCGTCTGTACCTCGGCGAACGTGCCCGGAGATGGATGGCGCGGCAGGTCATCCTCGGCAGTTATGGTCGGCGATCTTCTGCGAGACGTCGGCTCAAACTGGGACAGCGGAATGGCGAACCGCTGCTCCCTTTCTCGGCGCTGCTTGCGTTCTTGCTTGCGTGCCTCCTTTTCCATGCGCTTCCTCCGCCGTTCGAGGGCTGCCATTTCTTCCTTACTGAGATTTACCTCCAACTTGCCCCGTTCTTGTGCGCGCCGGACGCGGGCGAGGGCTCTTTGTGCCAGCGCCTCGTCCCGTTCCCTCGGCGACAGTTGCTCCCAATCGATGTCGTCTTCGTCTTCGTCTTCGTCCTCGTCGGAATCCTCTTCGGAATCCTCACTGTCGTCCTCCTCGTCCTCGTCCTCGTCGTCGTCTGAATGCTGATATCCGTGTCCTCTCCGCAACGCAGCGGCCTTGTCACCCAAGTCCGTACCCGTAAAGCGAAGCGGATCGCTGGCGAACCGCTGCCCGCGCGAAACCAAACCAACGCCTTGTGTATCCGAATCGTCCACCTCCGTCTCCAGCTCCTCGACAACTCTCCTCCCATCCTCCCAGGATCCCTGTTGCGCAGCTCCCTGTTTCCTCCGCCCGCGCCTTGATGGTCTTCCCCATTGGGGCGCAAATTTGGGAGCTCGCGGCCGACCATCTAGACCGCCTCCCCGGAAAAAGCCTCATCGATGGGCTTGTCCATAAAAGCGGCGTGGCCAAGAATGACCACGCCGGAAGCACCCACGAGCCAGAGCAGCGTCGCGAAGGGCGATGCGTACAGGCCGAGGGGCACGGAGATGACGAGGAGACCGGTCCAAAGCTGGGAGGTGGTAGCCTTGAAAGAGCCGATCTCGAGGTCACGACCGTCGAGTTTGCCAATGAGGAACATGCCTGCAATGACGAAGATGATGTCGAACAGCAAGACCCAGTTGGTCAGCAGGGCGTAGATGCTGAGCATCAGGAAGACGACGCTGTAGTTGCTGGAGAAGTAGGAAATGTTGTAGTTCCATCGCGATTGGACCTCGCCAAAGTTGGCGGGCTTGGACAGGCGCTTCATGTCGAAGAACTCGGAGATGGGACGCAGGTTGGCGAAGCGGCCGCTCAAACCGCCGGAGCGCATGCTGTTAAAGCGGTCCTGAAGGTTGAGGCGGGACGTCAAGGCGTCGAGGGGGATCTGGATGCGAGCCATGGTGCCGGTGGTGGATGGAGACGTCGAAGGGTGATGTAAACGCGTCGGTAGGTGATGGCGGTGAAAAGAGGTCGATGTCGAGAGGAGTGGCAAAGTGTCGAGGATGGCAGCTTTTGCTTTGTCGCGCAGGGAAAAGACCGTGTTCTATTTAAGCGGGTGCGGGTTAGTGTCAGGCGCAGGGTCGACAGGTGAGAAGAGAAAGATGGGTTTGAAACATTTTGGGAGGTTCAGGCCATGTGTCTTTTCAGCTCCATTCCATGTGGAATTAGCTTTTTTTTTTTTAACGCGCGGAACGGAACACACGTACGTACCTCTCGGGGCGTAGACTAGGCTGAGGTACTCGGGAAGCGGATGAATGCTGGCGCAGGCAAATCGAGCGAATGCGAGGGCGATGATGGGATTAGACGGGCAGTGACTGACCGAAGTCGACAAGGTCGTGGTTCTGATGATGTTGATACAGTCGTAGCCGTCGTGGCTCGGTAAAGTGATGCCGAACTATTTTTTTTCTTTTTTTTTCTAGTTCTTGGCAGGTTTGGCTGGATCCGTAATCTCTCGTCAGTCCAGTTCAGGGGTGCGTCGACGATTGGCACTAAAATCGCACGGCTTCCCACACGTCTGGGTTGGCGTGAGACTGGGGAGAGGGGAAGGGACCCCTGTCCGCTCGTCTGTGTTGCTGGCTTGGATGGGGGGGGGGACACGGTGAAAGCTGAGGGGACTCTCTCGCACCCTCACTCGGAACAAAAGAATTCAAATTTCAGTCGCCAGGTCGAGGAGGAATTCGCCGGGGTGGAAGCTGAGAGGATGGCAAATGCCAGACGGGGATGCAGAGATGGAAGGGATGAACGGTACGAAGGGGAAGGTGAAAGAATGGGAAGGTGAGAGGACCAGGGGAGCACCTGTCCGAGAAAGCGGCGATTGCCCAAGATGGGATTGGGATGCGATGGGAAGGAAGGAGTTGCAGGGAGAAAGGAAAAGAGCAATGGCGAAGCTGCATCACATACCTCGTCTGTAAGATAGGCACTTCAGCAGGTTTTTCCTTCCTTCAAAACTTGGTCTCGATGCCGTCCCTCTCTCGATAATGAGGTGGTTGAGGCTGGCTTCCGTCCTTCTGCCCTACCGGCTCCGATGGTTTGGTCGGCTTGTGATGAGGCGAGCCGGTTGCGGGGGCTCGCTCGCCTCTCGTAGAACCTCGACGTTGTTCTCTTTCTCCCTTCCGCCCTTGGAAAGAACGAGAAAAATGTCACTGGTTGAGACGATGCATTTCCCGCTGTCCGCCCTTTCGACTCTCGCAGTCAGAAAAGGACAGGAGTGCAACAGGTGACGGTGCAAGACGAGGAGAAGAAGGGACAATGAAGGGAGACGCTGGAGGGGATATGCGCAAACAAGGTTAATGAAGGAATCGCGCGGGCGCGCAACGAAACAAGAGTGAGAGGAGACCTCTGACCGCCCCTCTTGCGCCGGCAGCAGACTTTTTCTTTCTTCCTCTTGCTGGTGGTGGTGGTATATCTGACTTTGGGGCTGCAACTAATGCCACACCGTATCCAATAGGCCTTGGTTTGCTATGACACTACTACTACGTCTGCTGCGTTCCTCGGTTTTCTCCCGCCTTGCTTCTGACGCATCCGGATGGGGAGAGCAAGACACAGGACAGGACAGGCCCGGCTCGGAAGAGAGCCCGCAAACCTGGAGCGGCACACATATTCCCACAAACACATCATGGCACGAATGGGTTCGGCGGGATGGGCCACATCATGCACGGCTCAGCAAGTCAGAGCCGGCCAAGTCACACTCCCAGGCTGGCTGTCGAGCGTTTTCACACCGCATCGGCCTACTCCGTTCTTTCTCAGCGGATACCGACGCAAAACTCAAGGCACAGAGATGGGGCCCCGATGTTTCTTGCTGATGGGACCCGAAGGCGGTGGGAGCGGCACCATCGACCATCGGTCATCGGCCATCGTGCCCTTCAGATGGTAAAGGCAGAGAGAGAGAGAGAGAGAGAGCCACACCACAGAGTTGCGGATATGCCAGTGGCCAATGGCTGTCTAGCGGTACCTAATGACGGCAACCCAAGCGGCCGCGGTGGCTGGCCCCCCAAGGAAACCCCCAGATGTCCAGATGCCTGAGCGACGCTAAAGTGAAGCCGTCGTCCGCTGATCGTGACGTGAAGCCAATGGGCTGGAATGGCAGAAGGGATGACGGCCGAGCCAGAAGTAAGGAGACGGGCGACGGGCAAGATGCAATCTCAGCCCAACGGCGCCATCAATGCCTCTCAGTCTCAGACATCGCCAGTGCCTCACATGCAAGTCAACTGTGATCGGCTTTCGAAGGGCATTGGCATGCCAGGAAAGACACATGCCGGGTCCCAACCCTTATTCAAAACAACGACTTGAAGCTCCAAGCTCCAAGCTCAAAAGAAAGCTCATTGCGACTAATGTGCACCTTCGGCGGCCGGGGTTGAATCAAACGGCCCAGCTTGTGTGGGTAACTCCCGACTCGCTTAAAGTATGACCGGACCGGGCTGGATTACATACATACATACATACACACACACATACATAATTGCAGCGCTCCAAACACAGATGGCATCTTGGCAGCACACGTGAGAGGTCTCGTCGTCGCAGTCTCGTTATGGACCAACTGCCTCGCCTCCTCATGCCTGAGGTGTGCAAGAAGACATTCCGAGGTACGTACAGTCAGTCTCTTTGGATACATAACATACTCCTGATATGCTGAAATCGCGCCCCCGAGAGTACGTATCACCATAATGGCAGAACAAGCGCGGTTAGCCACAAAAATATTCGGCCTCCCAAGATGCTGCGCGCCCGCGCCCGCGCCTCTGCTCGCTTGCTTGCTTCTTCCCTCACCGTCCTCTGCCGACCCTCCGTCAGAGTCTGTCTCGCCGTGCCGTCCCCGGGGCCTCAATGACAATTGCAGCCCACATCAACAACACACACTTTTGCACCAGCCAGCGTGAGATGGACGAGCAAGTTGTAACTGGACACCAACTTCCGAGCCGGGCCCACTCGCTCCACAAACTGTTGGAGCCTGCCCATGCTCGCTGATCATCACGAAATCTCGCCCCGTGTCCACTCGGTCAGCGGCCAAGTCCCTGACTCAGGATTTTCGACTTGGCCCACGGCGGCTGCGGTGAAGCTGTGAGCACACCTCGGTGACCTGGGTCAAGCTCAGAGCTCAAAGCTCGAGCCCGAGATGCAGCTTCTGTCTGTCTGTCTGTCTGTCTGTCTGTCTGTACTGTACGCAGATGCGCTCCATGTACGTAGCTTGACACCTCATGCCGTCCAACTCGGCTAACCTTGGTTTGGCGGTATTCGCCGGCAGCTGCCATGCCTACTATGACTACGTAGTTCATCTTCCTTCCCAGTCTTGGCGTGTGAAATCGTAATGCAACTGCACTGCACCTACGGAGGAGCACCGCTGTGCATTGTTGACATTGCATTGCCTATTCTCACCTTCCCCTGACCTTGCTTGCACTTTTGCACCGCCGACGACCGTCTTTCCGACTCCATCGCCGGAAGCGAGCCAATTTAGTACCAACGTCATCTCTCGCTGCTGCCCATCGCCATTACATCCATCCCCGCGAGATCCTCGCCCTCTCAAACAATGCCGGGCGAAGTCGTCTCGCCTCGTCTCATACGGTTCAAACACACTCAGACGCAACGAACTTTGTCTATCCGGATGAACGCGCACGTCCATGATCCTTGCCGTTTCTTCTCCTCCCCCCCCTCCAACTCGCCCACTCACCCACCCCCCCCTCTGATCCCAATCCTTTTTTTTTTTTGCCTTTGAGTTGGGACAATACACTAAGTTACGGGCCAACTTATTTTTATTAGACATCGTTTCTATTCTCATTCATCACAGTGCAGCGGGTACCCTACCTGCCTGCCTCATCACTCACCCCTACCTTATCCAACGTCGTGCTTTGCACTGCTTCTGCGTTCGCCCATACAGTATCCGTACATGCGAACACCTGTCCGCAGCGGGACGGTAGCAGAAGCGCAGCACATCCAACCCGCACCGCGCGATATGCCGTGATTGCTGCTGCTGCTGCTCCATCACATCTCATCCCTCACTCTCGCGCCAAGTGAGTGACTTTGGGGTGTGAAGCAGCAGCAGCTGGGAGGCACACACCCAGACATCCCATCCTGACACCCCCTACCACACCCACTCTGGGACGGAGAGAGCTCACCTCACTCCCCTCCTGCTCGACGCCGAGCTGGGCGTGCCATCCTTCCCCGGGATTGGGCAAACAGCGTGCACCCCGCCACACTCACCAGATACGTTGCTGTTGCCGCGACGGACGGAATACGTACCATGTCCTATTGTAGCAGTTGCTTCGCAGTTACTTTGCTGTCGCGACAGCTGCTATTGCTGCCGCCGTTCCTTAATCAGATACTGTATCCGTACCTACGTAGGTGCAGCAGATACAGGCGGCTACAACAGCTACACACCTTCCAAACGCCATCTCCCAAGAACTCACACATGACCTGAAGCGAGAGTGCTGCATATGCCCGCCGTACCTGAACCTGACTGGGACCTTGCTCAACCTACCTTCCAACCTGGTCTCGCTCTCGGAGCTGGACCGATTGCTGCTTTGCCTCTTTCTCTCGTTTGGGCCAGCAAAGCTGGTTGCTCCGTTGGTTGGCTCGCCCAGCTTCGGGCTGGTTGGTTCGCTGGTGCCCTGGTTGAGGAGGGACGTGGGAGTAGGAGTAAAAGTACGGAGGTACAGTACCACCCGTGGGAGTGCGAGGGGAGAAAAGCAATAATCATCTCCTGGTTTCCAGAGGAGGATCGATTGTTCAAACAACCGAGACCATTAAGGGCCTTTCCGTCTTTTTCGCAAACTTACTTTCTCATCCTTCCCGTCGGGTACCGGAGGGCCAGTATGAAATGACCCCTACGTCCACTTCTTCCCTCCTTCAACCATCCCGCCTCCGTTTACCTGTCGCCGTCTCATGACGATTCGGTCATCATCAGCCTGTTTGGTCCTGGCCTCGCTTGACACAGACAATCGACGACGACCACAACGACGATTACCACCACCACACAGTCTCTGGCTGTTGTAGACCCCCGTTCATCGCCGCGCACTCGCGCCTTGCCCATGCCCCAGCCAAGCCGGAAGGTGTGTTTATTTCTTTCCATTGTCGAAATCGATTGACTGCTTGGGTTTGTTTGTCCGCAACAACCCCCAATCGCCCATTGATGGATTGATGGGTGGTTGCGAAACGAACGGAAGAGTCCAGCAGCACGAGGGCGTCGGTCGAGAGGACAGATTCGCAATTCTGGGGGAAAGAGAGACAGTCGCTGATTTAAATCCGCCCGAAAAGAAGAAAGCCCGGCATCGTCCATCATGGCCCCTCCAACAGCCGCAAAACGCCCGCACGCCGCCGTGAGCAAAAGTGGCGCGAATGTGTCCATCACTGAACCATGGTGAGTTCTGATCGATGTCGATTCTGAAGAGTTTTTTATTGGGAGTTTTTTTGTGTTGTTTTTTTTGCCCTTTCCACCTTCCAGATGGATCGTCCAAACAGCTCCGTTTGCGCGGCCGCTGTTCATCCACACCCGCTCTGCGCAAGCTCGCATGCTGATGCTTGTCTTCACAAAGGACCGAAACACCATACGCCAACTTTGACTGCTCGAAATATGACTACGTGCCGACCGATGACGGCGGATTCTGGCAATTGCAACAGCAGCATGCGCCTTCAGAACAGCTGCCCAACGTAGTACCGCTTATTGCCACAAGCAAATCGCCTATACAGAAGCACCAGGACGTCGAATGGACCTGTTTGTCGGCGGCATGTCCATCGAAGCCGTTCAAACGCAAAATCGACCTTGACCGGCATTACATACAAGCCCACGCCGACAGCCAGGCACAGCCGTCACCTGCGCTTTCTTTCAAAGACATCACGCCTGCGACGAGCATTAGTAATCCGAGCCCTAAAATCACCACCAAAACGTCAGCCAACGGCAAACCCAAGGGTGCCGTGGGCGCCGGCGCGGTAGCCAATGCAGGGAACAGGAATAACAGCGTCAGCGGCACGGGCAAGGAGAAGGACGGGGCCTTTCTTTGCGACTACCCGGCCTGCAGTCGCAAGAACGAGCCTTTTAGCCGCAAAGACCGTTTGCGCGTCCACCTCACCGACGTGCACAAGGAGGACGTTGACAAGAAGACGGGAGACATGTCGGACTCGTGGCTGCAGGAGCGCAAAATCTATCCCAAGTGGTGGCGCTGCACGAAGTGCCTCGACAGGGTCAAAATTGAAGAGAGCGGATGGGAGTGTCCCAAGGATGGCTTCAAGATCGAAGAAAGGCGGCGTGACTTTCGCCAAAAGCAGCAAGCCATATAAGGCGCGCGAGAGAGAAAGAGAAGTCATTATCCTGCGATGCATCCCGTCTCATTGCATTGCATTGCATCACATCGCATCGCTACGCCATGGAGGTTGGGATTATCGGATTACCCCCCCATAAAAAAAGGAGTTATATCGCATAAAAAGTGGTCTTCTGATGGATGACGGAGCGGCGTTTTTGTTCTTATCTTCATTCTGGGTTTGGCGGGAATTATCTCAAGATTGAGACACGGCACGGGGGACATTTGGGAGTCTTTTGTTTCCTTCGCCATCTGTTCATTATTTACTTCTTGGATGCCATCAATGGTATCGTGGCCTAGCCCTGTTGGTTGCGGTCAGCACTTGTTCGTTGTACATTTCAACGCCCTCCCGTCTCTGGGGGTCTTTTTTTTTTTTTTTTTTTGGACGACCGCAGCGTCGGCTCCTCTCCCCCTCAACAATGAAGACACGATTGGGACATTTCCCCTGCCTCTTTGCTGACACTGAACACCAAAGTACCTTCCTGATGTCCGGGTGTGGTGGTCTTGGCAGCACGCATCCTCAACGCACTCTCACGTCGGAGCAAAGGCCCAAACTCCTGGGCTTACCCCTCGGACTAATAACCCGCCGTTCATCTCTTCTTTCCACCCTCTCGCCCACCACCACACACAAAGACATTCATCCATCTCGTTGGAGGCCAGCGGCAAGTTTCATAGCAATATCCGCTGTTCGAGTCGGCAAGTCCGTCACATCTTGCTGAGAACGCCCTCCGAAACTTTCTCACTAAGGCCGCGCCAATATGCCGTCAGCATATCCTTACTACTGTTCAGAACTATCGCAGCGCACATCCCATACCCCGGTATCCCACGCGTAGAGAGAACAGAAAACCGAAGGGGTGGTCTGATTTACACCAGCTACGGGTCTACGGGCGACGGGCCCCCCTGGAACGGCGGTGGTGCTCAGCTCAGCCTCCAATCTGGCAGTCTCCATCTTGCTGCAGATGCCCACAACGTCGTGATTGGCGAGGGAAGGGAAAAGAGCCTGCAGCTCTAACGAAACAATGCGGCCCTGCGGCCTTTTTAGTCCCCTCCTCTTGGGGTATCTCCCCTCCCACCAGCAGGCACCCCCTTGCCCTTGAGATTCGCTGAGACCCTTGCGACCCTCCATCTTTGCTCTGCGTGGTATTCCTCCTTGCTCCCCGTCCGCAGACGCGGTCTACTGCACCGTGGCCGGGTCTGGAGGGGGGCGCTTTCCGTGGTGCCGATCATACCAATCGGTTGCCCTTGTTCTGAGAACGACCTCGCAGGACAACCTATATTGACCGTTGGATATATCTGCATCTCATTGTTCATGAAGAGCATACCCTCTTGAGACTCGACGATAAGTCGTTGGACTTGATCCGAAAACGGACTGGGACGAGCTTAATACGAATTGATGCCGAGAGTTTTGTTGGTGCCGATGGGGTTGACGTGCTTGGCATGCGGGCTCGAGACGACTACGGCACGCGACGCATTGGTTGGCGCCCCTTTGTTGACCGAGTGTAACATCGACTCTAGATAAACATCGTGGTGCTACTGACGTCTTAAGATGGTGAACAGAGGTGAACGTGAAGATAAACGAGACAGCCTCGATGGGACGTCTTGCTGGGACTCGAGGTTCCCGAGCCCAAGACACAAGACACCTAAGTTTGCCAAACCAACCCGCACGCCCGAGAGGCTCCCGAGGCGCTTTACTACTGCTCGAGACGAACCAGTTGCAGTGTCGTCCTTTGCTTCGGGCAGACGACAATGACACAAAACACAGACGCTTGGCCTTGCGAACCACGACGGGTTTCTCTGTTCATCCAGAAACCAATCCACGAACAACGAGCATTGTCTGCCAAACACAACTACCCTTGGTCTTGAGACACGGTGAAAATGCTGTGGTCCCTAGTACCATGGCGGCCCTCGTTCTTTATCGGGTCAGCCCCCTTCTCGATGGCCACGAGGACTCGATATCGCGGTTTTAACCCGCCCAAACGTCTTTCGGCTGGCCAACCCCCAGGCCGCAAGGATTTAGGGACACAATCTACTCAACTTATCAACATTAGCATTGCTGGCTGGACGGAAAGAAACTCGATATTAGTGTTGTTGCCCGCATGCCGCCGCAGGGAAGGACTTGCCCAACTAAGCCAACGTGCCTTGAGAAAGTGACATGGCACCAATGCCCGCAGACAGAGGAAGGGAGGGCCGTCCGAGCCAATTATCCCGGCGACACCATGGTCAAGCTCGGCGACGCCTGGGGACTAGCCAGGGTCTACCACGCCACGTACACGATAGTCCTGGACGAATTATTACGGCACGGGATGCAGCACCACGCCCACGAGTCTTTTATCTACTGCACCCACCCTTACCACGGCCCTTGCGACGACGACTTTTGGTTGGTTTACCAACTAACAGAGGGCGAGTGTCCGGCCTGTCTCGGCGACAAGGGCCTCCCGCGCAAGATCGTCGCGCGACGGGAGATGATGGACGGTGTGCTGCCGCTACTTACGGGCGACTTCCTCAGGCCCTCGCCGGCCGTGTTTGGATACGTCGCGCAGCTCGCCGTCCTGGCCAAGCACATGGTCGCCCGTAAGGTCCCAAACGTGGCCGTCAGGGGCGCCATGGTCGAGCAGCTCGTAAAGGAGATACGCGCCGAGCTCTTCTGCCGCTCCTTCGACGCCCATTGGGCGGGGCACGGCGTGGGGGACTGCGGCTGCTTCGTCGAGGACCGGGGGTTCTGTGCCAACCTAGGCCGTCATCTCCGGCAACGGGAGGCGCGCCGGATCTTCGAGTTCCACAGGAGCATCGTCCTCCCGTACATCAACTTGCCGGATCCCGACGACGACTGGGACTTGGTCCTGGCGCGGTATGGGATCGTCGAGTGGTTCGTCGACCAAAGGGTCGCCAGGTTCGACAAGATCGCCGTCTGCCGCTTCGAAGTCGAGCCCCGGGAGGACCAGCGGTACCAGGACTGCGTGCAGCGGCTCGAGGCGGCCGTCGTCAAGTACATTGACGTCCTCCGCTTCGCGCTGGCGCCCGACCGGCGCCCCGACCGCGACACGGAGCGCCGCCTCCGCGCGCGCGCCGTGTTCCTCCAGAAGCCCCTGCAGTGGATCGCCTACGACACCGGCCTCGCCGACAGCCTCGTCGAGGAGATCTCCGAGGTCGTCATCTACTGGTACCTCCGCGTCGGCACGCCCCTGAGCCCGCCCGTCGACAACGCCGCCTGGTTGGCGCCGCTGCAGCTCCGGCGGGACATTGACGGCATCCGCAAGGACATGCAGGCGGCCATGGAGCACCTCGACGCCGTCTTCTCGACGAGCACCCCGGAGGGATGGCGCCTCTTCCGCAGGAGCTTCAAGGAGCCGCCCCTACGCGAGGAGAAGGAGGTCGACGTCCTCCGCCGCGCGGAGGCTGCGGCCGGACGACGACGAAGTTGACGACGACCGCGAGTGCCCCGTGTGCGGCAGCGGCTTCGCCGACGACCCGTCGTCGTGTGCGAGCGGGCCCACCTGGTGTGCCGCCAGTGCACCGTCACCCACGTCGTCAACGCCGACGCGCCCCTCCTCGAGCACGACCCCGACAAGCTGGCCAGGTGCCCAATGTGCAGGGGCTCCATGGCCGCCTTCTACAGGGCCAACGCCAACCCGGCCGACGCGCTGCGGCAGCCCGCAGCCCCGGCGGCGGCCTCGGTGGTATGGTTTTGATTCCCGGCCGGAGGCCGACTAGGGCAGGCAAGAACAAGGTAGGTGGAGCAGTAAGCTCCCGAGATGGTGGAAAGGCAATTTCGAGAATACCCCGATGCCTTGTACGAGTTGAGTATTGCGGAGAAATATACCCAGATAACAGTGAGTTGAACCCAGGGTTTGCATAGCGTCTACCCTATCCCGGCTTTCTTGACCGGGGCCGCGTTGCCTCCCCAGGACAATGATGTTGCCGCGAATTGAATGCTCAAGCTCTTCGAAACAAGCAGCTGCTGAGAACTTGGACTCCTCAGTCCGGCTTGCTCGTTTGGCCAGGGTAGACAAACCTTTATTGAACATGCAAGCTCCTCACCTTAATCAGTTGAATCCGATTCACGTTCCACACAACAAAGGGATTCATCAGAAAAAAGAATCAACGTTAAAAAAAGCACTATCATACAGTTTTTGGGTTCGAGCGACAGGCTCGCAATATCCCTGAATCAGTAATGGCGAGTCTAGCTTCGTGTGTGCAGATAGAAACATAAGCACCACCCGATGATTCCCTCGCGTAACAGTCATCCGCCTACCTAACAAGCTCATCCATCCAGAGAGCAAAGAAGATACGATTACAGGGAGCCCTTGGTTATCTCAACGCCATCGTCCGCGTTCATAGAATTTTGGTGCCGCCGGTGCATCCGCCCGACCGACCGCCTGGTACTTCATGCCGCCAAAGTAATAGACTGTGGATAGTAATGAGTAGCCCCGTGATGCCACCTCTCTTAGGGCGTAAATGCCCAAACATGTGCTGGCGCTCTCATCTAGAATCCAAAGCCAGTAGGCTGAGGTGCGAAGCCGTTCGTCTGGCCGTAAGGCGCGGGAGGTGCGCCACCCATACCGCCGGGGCCGGCAGTGATCATGAGGCGGTTGCCGCCGAGGATGGGAGTGTTGGTCTCATCCTTCTCCTGCTCCTTCTCCTTGCTCTTGCGAGCCTCGTTGTCGGCCTTGAGGGCCGCGAGGTCCTTGGTCTGCTGGCACAACATGTTGATCATGTACGGCATGGCAAAGTCCGTAAGGCCGTTGCGCCAAGAGATTTCGAGAACCAAGTCAGGACGGATGAGGTCATAGCAGGCATAAAGCATGCCGACGTAGCATTCGCGGCTGCCAATGTCGACAAACTGTCTTTTGTCAGTACTAGGTATGGGTCAAGACATTGAGGGTTACTTACGTAGCGGAGCAAGTCCTCCACGACATCGGTCTTGCCAGAGATGGCAGCAGTCTCGATGGCGTCCTTGAAGAGCTTGTCCTGCTTGGAGAGAGCAATGGACTTCTCCCAGCGCTTGTTCTTGCGGTAGATGCTGGCTGCAATCTGGCGGAAGAAGATCAAGTCGTGCTTCTCCAGACGAGAGGCAAGGTCAACAGGATCGTAGTTGTCGTAGTTCTCAACAGAGTCGCGGAGCGTCTTGTAGTCCTCCTCCTCGATCAAAAGGTCGTTGATAGCATTGTTGACCGTGCGCTTGTTTTGGCCCTGCACGTTGACGAGGAAAGGCTTGATGAGCGGCAGGTTGTCGCTCTTCTCGAACATCTTGACCACACGGTTCACATCGATGCGAGGAGTGAGCGCCTGGAGCAGGTCCGTAAGCAGGGAAGGGTGCTGCTCAAGGTAGAAGTTGATGGCGCGGTAGTAGATCTCCAAGTTGGCGACCTTGACAACAATCTCCTTGAACTGCTGGTGCTCCCAGGAGTTCTCGGGGCGCTCAATGACCGCCAGAGCGGCGTTATCAAACTCATCGTAGTGGTAGTAGCAGAAAACCAGCTCGGGCCAGAGGTTCGCCTCCTCGCAGGCACGGATGATCTTGGGCAGGTTCATTCTGCTCCAGAAGAGCTTCAAGTGCTCCATGAGACGCTCAGGGTGGTACTTGGATAGAGCAATACCGAGCTCCGTGAACATACCCATGTGGGCACGCTCGAGGCCAAGACCCTGCTCCAACAGGCCAATAAGCTCATCGAAGTAGCCGTTGCGCTCATACTGCTTGACGAGGGTCTGCAGCTGCTCAGCATCGACGATGAGGTTGAGACCGCAGATCTGGGCAAGACGGAACTCCTTCTTCTCCACGCAGGCCTCGTGGACCTGCTTCCAGACCTTAATGTTGTTGGCCTTACGGGCGCACTCGACAGCAGCCTGGTACTCCTCGAGGTGGACGAGGGTGGTAGCCAGCTTGGCCCAGTTGGAGATGCTGGTGTAGAAGATCTTGGAGGCCTGGTAGAGACCCTCCTCGTAGGCCTTGTCACCTGACTCCTCAACATTGGCAACGTTGGTGCCGCGGAGGAAGTCCTCCAGCTCGCCAAGCTCGTCCATACGGGCGTAGCAGAAAGCGAGAGCAGTGTCGATGGCGGGCTCGCGCAGCGTCTTCCTGGCCATGCGCAAGTACTTGACGAGATCCTCGTCCTTGCCAGCGCGGACAGCGGTCTCAATGACCTCCTCGTAGTTCTTGGGGTCCTCAGCCTTGATGTAAGACTCGATGGAGTCGCTAACACGGAGACCGTCAAGCTGGGCTTTGGCCACCTTGCTCCAGACTTCGGGCAGGTCGACCTCCTCGGCGTAAGCCTGGGCACGGTCGATGCTCACAACGTTCTCAACCAGGACGTTAACAGCGGACGTCTTGTCGCCAGTCTTCTTAAAGATCTCGAAGGCCTCCTCGTGGAGACCGACTTCGATACAGGCGGACGCGATGTCGGGAGCGCTGAAGTTGTCCAGACGGTGGATGTAGTCCATAACCTTACCCTTGTCGGCCTTGGCAGCGGTGAACAGAAGCAAGTTCTGAAGGTTGGCGTTGTCGCTGAAAGGCGAAGGCTCAAGGACGATCTTCTCAAGCAGCTCAATAAGCTCGAGAGGGAGATCGCAGGCGAGGAAGGCGGCGACAGCCTCGGAGACCTTGGCAGGGTCGGTAGACTCAGGAACGGCGGTGGCAGTCACCTGGTCAATCACGGAGCGGCGGTGGATGTTGTTCTCGCTGAGAACAAAGGTCCACAGCTCGCGGTCAGCCCGCTCAAGCAGGTAGCGAGCCTGGTTGCGGTACATGCCGTTCTCATTCGTGATGTTAACAAGCTCGAGGTCGTTCTGGCCCTTTGAGTAGGCGATGAAAGCCAAGTTGGGGTCGCGCTTCTCGCAGTATTTGCCGACGGCGAGAGTGTCATACTGGTCGTTCTCCTTGAGGAACTTCTCAGGGTTGTTGTTCGAGTCGATGTAAATCTTGGCGAGAGCGTTGAAGACGGCCTGCTGCTGGTTGCCGGCAGCAAGGGTGGCCTCGAGGAAGGGCAGGAGAAGCTTGAGACGGTTGCGCGTCTCAACCTCAGAGACGAGCTCATCGATGGGGATCGAGGCGGGGTTTACAGTCGACAACAGGTTCTTGATGATGCTCTCGTCGCAGTCGACATCCAGGAGACCACCAATGACGGCAGGCGTTCGGCTGGGGTTGACACGCTGGACGTAAGTCTCGATGGACTGGAACTGCTGCTGCTGGTAAAGGTAGAGAACCAAGTCGTGGACGAAGTTGAATCGGTCGCAAACGATGATGAGGGGCAACTGCTCCTGAAGTCTGGCCTCCTTCAGGAAGTTCTTGACCTTCTCGGCGTTGTAGTAGTTGCTGTCTCTGCAAATGCGCTCAACCTCGTTGAACTGGCCCATCTTGGTGGCAGCCTCGATGTACTTGAAGTGAACGTCGGGGTCCTCGGAAAGGTTGACGATGCTGCCGAGGTAGTAGAAGAGACCCTCGGCAGTCTTGTACTTCTCGAAAAGGTCAATCAGGCGGACCGGACCAAGCAAATCGGAGTACTTGGTCGCGACTTGGACTACGGCCTGGAGATTCTGGCGGATGTTGTGCTTGATCATCGCGTCCAAGCAGTCCAGGGACTGCTCAACGGACAGCTTGCCGAAGAAACCGGTCAACCAGTCAAGGTTGAAGTTGGGGGTGGCAGCAATGTTGACTACAACACGCTTGACCGCCGCGGGGTCCTCGTAGAGCTCCAGGGCCTTCTGGGCCAAGCCAGCCTGTTCACAGAGAGTCGCAATGCGAGTCTTGTCGAAGTGGGAGAACATGTCGTTTCCAAGAATGGCATCGGCAACCTGGGGCGCATTCATCAAGTTCATCTCGAGGAGACGAGTCTGAAGGTGACCCTGGTCAGGTCTGTTGTCCTTGAGCGCATCCAAGAGGAAGGCAGTTGCCTGCTGGATCATGCCCTGGGACTGGAAAATGTCGACGACTCTCTCAATGTCAACCAAAGAACCGCCCTCGTTGTTGGCCAAAGCCGTAGCGAACTCCGCTCCCTTCTCCGGGTTGACACGAACAATGTGCTGGAGAAGCTGAACGTAGTCGGGCTGGTAGCCAACCTGGGAGGCGTAGGGCAGGATCTTATCGAACTGGCCAGTCTCAGCAAAGCCAGCAACGACCTTGTGGGGAACGTTGGCCTTAATGTACATGGCAAGGGCCATGTTCAAGTCGTGGGGCCGCACAAGGTCACCGAGCCTCTCCGATGGCGTGAGCTTGTTCTCCTTCTGCCACTTCTCGAGCAGGTTGAGACGGTTCTGGGCAAGAACAGGCTGAGCCAGTTCAATTGACTCGTGCTCGTTGAGCGCACCCTTGTCGAGAAGAAGACCAAAGTATTGCAGGACAAACGACATCTGACCAGGCTGTTGCGGCAGTGACTTGAACTTCTCGATCGTCTCGGGAGTTCGGAGGAACTGGCGAGGGGAGTTGGCGGCGATCTTTGCCGCCTCCATGAACTGACCGCTGTTGAACAGCTGCTCGAACTGACGAGCATAGAGATTATCAGCACCGGGGAGGCCAGCTCGTGATGCCATCTTGATAGCCATGTCGGTGTTGGCCGGGTTCTGGAGGAGGTAGGGGATGACGTTGCTGTCGTCGATCGAAACGAAGAGCACTTGACCCTTGCGGTTGATGCCGACAATACCGCGGGACTCGGTGTCGGCGCAGGTCGTGAAAATGGTATCGCTGGAGATGCGGTTCATGAAGATGCAGGCTGCGGTCTCGAGGTCGTATACGTGGATGAAACCGTACTTGGTGACCATGAAAATAACACCGTACTTCTGCGACACCTGCATGGCCACGGGGAAATCGCTAACCGCTTCGGGAGGGAAGAAGATATCGACGGCCTTCTTCGGGAAGACGGGGTTTGATTCAGCGTGGTCGACCTCGACGATGTGGAGCTTTGCGCCGGTTGCCGTTCTCACGGCGAAGGTGAAGAGCTTCGTGTCAGCAGGGGCACCCTCCAAGCGCAGAGTGCCGAACGCCGCAGCGTGACCCTCGATGGCTTGGCTGATGCCGCGGTCTTTGGAGTACAGCTGCATGGATCCGACAACGCGGCCTTGTTGCTGCGAGATGCCCACCACGACCATCCACTTGCCCTCGGCGTTCGTGCGGTAGTTGATGATTTGGCAACCCTGGTCGCTAGAGGTTAGCTCACGAAATCCCGTCACATGTGAAGAAGCCGAGCGTTGTACATACGTTGAGATTGGCATTGCGCTTGAACACCTCGACAGGCTGGGCCTGGCTGGGGTCGTAGACATCCCAGTGGTAGACGGCCGTATCTGTCACCAGGCCCAACGAGGTCTCGCTGATCCACTTCCAGTACTGGACGTCCTCGTTCATGGTGGTGGACTTGAGCTTCGCCTTCTTCTCGAGGTCGAAGATCTGAAGTGTTCTCGATTGCGCCTTGAGAGCAATGACTTGGCGAGTCCAGTGCATGATGGCACTATCGGCCTTGATGGGGCGTCGTGTCACATTGTTGCCGTTCTTCAGGTCGACGATGACGACTTCGGGCTGGGCAGCTTCGTTCTTCTTTTCCCGGATACACACGTAGGAGTCTGACTCGAGTGTCTGGATGAAGACGGGTTAGCTACGATGAAGGCATTGAAGGAAGGAGCGGACGGGGAAGAGGTTGCTTACGCAGGAGTTGAAGCCGATCGAGGAGTCCTCGACGCCGGCAGTCTGGAGCTGGATCAGCTCCTGGAACTTGATCGGTAGTGGCGCCATGACTGGCGGTATGTGTGGCAGGAAGCTTCCAGAGACCAAGTTGTGCTCCTCAGCTAAGTGGTGTCAGCTCCCAGAGTCGGATCAGCGGGTTGATCGGGTGTCGCGGGATTTCGTGGATGTGGGCGACGTGGTGTTGTGTCGTGAGTGTGTGTGGGCTTGGGAAAGGAGAAGGAGCTGGGGATAGCTTCCTTGCGACCCGAATGAATAATGCGCAGAAGGCAATTAATACAGGGAAACAAAGAGCGGCAAAGGAGGAGGAAGGCGTAAATACGGGGCAGCGATGCACCTCGCAGTGATGACAATCTGGAGGGCAAACGTTGATGATGGTTTGTTTGGGGGTGGGTGGGAGGAATGGGAAAGATGGGTACGGGGTGAGGTAGGATAGTGTACGGGATACGTAGTGCGAAGTGAGGTGGAAAGGTTGGAGATTATTTTAGGTGTAGTGTGTACCTTACGTTGCCTGTTCGGCTGCTTCCCAGGTTTGCCAGGTTTATTGCGCACTGGGACCGGGGGCGCGACGTCTAGGAGTGAGGGTCCACCACGTTGTCTGTGAGTTGTTCGAAGTGCAGTGCAGTGCAGTGTGTGTGTGAGGTGCCAGTGTGCGTCGTGTCTGTCCACTAGGCCGTTGCCAGATTTCCAACTGCCTGACAGGCCAGGCCTATTGCTCGCTCCTGTCGTTCTTTGCTGTCTTCAGCCAAGCCGCCATCTCCGTCCGTGCACCTTCTCTTTGCACCGGGGGAGGTCTGGCTTTGTCACGTGGCAATCATGCTGAGCTGGCCGTTTGCAGCCCCGGCGGAATGTTTGACCGGATGCAGGTGACATAAGCAATCCACCTTCCTGACCCGGCCCGGCTTTCGGCTGCGGCCGGCCACGGACCAAGAGGACGGGGGCAGTCTGACGAGTCTGCTTGTCTCAGAGTCAACTGCGTGAACTGGATCATTGGAAATTGAAATACCATAATGAAATTTGAGTTGGCCGATGCTTGATTTACGTTCCATGAGGACCTCATATTTCTCCGTAGGTAACCCAGTAATCCTTGCTCGAAGAAGTTCAACTGCAAAACTGCACTGGAAAATAGCTCGAGGGTTGACGCAATGAAACTCAATCCCAAGCTATGTAATTGCTTCTTCTATGTTTTGCCCAAACAACCACATCAGTGCTGACGCAGCTCAACGTTTGGTCCCTTGAATAGGTAAATATTACGTGGCCAAGTCTTGTATGCTGCAGAATACACGGCTTTAAGCTCGCTGTTACTTTTGGTCCCCAGACGCTTCAATCCCGGCCAATAGTCACATCCAAGAACCACGTCACAGCCGCTATTCTTCAGAAGCGTCGCCGGCCGGACTGCTAAGACACATGGCGTATAGTCGACCTTAGATTGTAAACAGCTGGGTCATTGCTTTGCCCTCGTCAGGAATAAGGGGGTCCCGGTAGGTGACAAAGTCGACACACTCCGGCAACTTGTGAATCGTCTTGTTCGCGCCATCTTGGGCAACTGTGTAATGATCAGCACCTACCTGCCGAACCAGAGCTCACAAACCAAGCTTACCTGAAGCAATTGAGTTGAGACGCTTGCTCTCCTCCATCGTCTTGCGCACTTGCTTCGCAACGTCGACTGCGAAGTTATCGTTGTGATCAACCAGGTCGATGTAGTGCTTGACAACGAGACGCCAGTCCTCTGGATCGGTGCCACAAAGGTCATCATAGGCAACGGAGCGAGCAATCGTTGTCGGATTGGTCGACTTGGCGATCCAGCAATGCATCCAGGGCTTCACCGCTGCCTTTGAAAAGACCATGACAAGCTGTTGCAGGTGTCGGGGGTTGCTGGTGGCGAGGTTGTAGACCTTGTCAATGTGCACCATCTGCGGTGCTTTTCAATCTTCAAGCAGCAATTGTCGGACGCACAAGCATATAGCGTGAACAAGCCGCTCGTGGCAGCGCAGACCCATATAGTCCGACAGGCGGGTTGCAGTGATCAAGTCGTCAATGAGGTCGGCAGCCGATCGTACGTTGCGATCCGGGTGCTGTGGGAATTTCCCCGTCATCAGGAAGCTGCTTATTAGTCCGAAAGCACCAGCCTCTTCACGTTGTAACTTGAACTCTCTTTCGACCTGCTCCTTCCACCCTAACGCCGAAGGTTTAAGCTTCAAGGCAATTTGGAAATATTCGAAATTCTGAACGAGAATGGCCTCGGGAATGGAGAAGCTATGCTTCTTCATGTTGAAGACAAAGTAGACTGTGATGTGGGCAGGATTGTATGGGAACCAAGACCTTGAGAGAGTAAATCAGTAGTGCCGAGATCAGATAAAACGTTCCACTGGTAAGTAACGTAGGAAAGCCAGGAGTGGTGGCCCACATAGGTTGTCTCCATGTGTCCAGGAGCTGTCTGTCTCGCATGTCAATTGACAGACTTATGAGAGACCTGTCGTCTTCTGGTTGATCGGAATGGGGGATGAACTGATACCACCTACCTTGACGTCGAAGCCAGCATCGCTGATATTGATGTCGTTTTTGTCAAGGGCTAGGCCTTGAAAACCGACACGAGCAAGACCTGTCTTCATTTCGTCGTTGCCAACCAGGCCCAGGGGGCTCTCCGGATCGTTATGGCCGTTGAGGTTAGACTCGTCGCCAGATTGAGACACGTTCGAGCTTGCTTGCCCGGACTCGGTCTCAACAGGTGCGCCAGCCAGCTCGGGAGCCGGCGCATGTACCGACATGTTGGCGATATGTCGCAGTGTTTTGCAGTGTACGAGGGATCTTGAGCAATCAAGATAGGTGTGAAGGAAAAGGAAGCACTGGGCGGCTATGAGAGAGGTTAGAGAAGGAACGTTAGGATCACACTGGGCGAAAGATTTCTTCGGACGGCAAAGATCTATTTCGTCTACCGGCAGGAGCCCTCGCTCGAGTCTTTGCAAGTTTCTATCCGAGGCAAATGTGACGGATGTGTCGTTCCTGCTTCACAATCGCCCACGCCTTCTACGCAGCTGCCACTGAAACTGTCTGCCGCTGTTTCTCTGAATACCCCGTCAGGCACAGCGATCAGTTGTGAAATGGGTAACCGGAGTGGCCTTTTTCTAATGGGCCGAGCCTCCCATTACTTATGGACACCGAGTCTTGTAGCATCAACTTGAAGATCTGTTCCCATGAAGAACCGTGAAGCATGCAAGCTCCATTCACATGAGCAATCTCCAGGCACCAAGCAGGAGAGCGGCGAAACCGGTACAGACTCCCATGAGCCACTGCAGCGTCTGGAACTTGACTTGCTCGAGCTTCTCGCGCAGCGCCGCAACCTCCTGCTCAATCTTGGTCTCCGTCTCCTTAATCTTGAGCTCTTGGCCGACAGCCTCCTCACGGATACGGCCCTTCTCCAAGTTGAGATCCAGACGTACGCTAGCTTGCGTCCGACCGATTTCGTCGCGCAAACGGGAGTTGAGCTTTGCAATATCGTTGCTCAGCTTCTCATGGGACGCGCGCGTCGTGTTGGACTCGGTGCTGTCGGCGGAGAGGAGCTCGGAGCGCAGCTTGGCGAAGTCGACCTTCTGGGTGTATGTGGCCTTGGCAGCGTCTTCGCGGAGGACCATGGTTCGGGTAAGGTTTTGTATGCTGAGCTACTGTAAGATAATGCAGGATACGGACTGAGAGCACGCCGCATACCTCTCCTGTATCACATCGTTGAGGACTTTCATCATGGCTTCGGCTTGCACCTCTGTGAAACCCTCGCTCTTCAACCGCTGCACAAACTTCAAGGTATCAAAGTGGTGGTCCCGTCGTCTCGCAGGAGTCGCATGGAACGATTTCGTCAGTCCCGGGGTTTCGAGGATCGAAGCGCGCTTGGGATTGAAGGCGGTGCTGCGGCATTTTGGAGATCTGTTCGAGTCGTGCAACGCATTGGGCTGGGTGTGCATCCGTCGACGGGAGCTCGCTGGGAGAGAAGTGAGGGGTCGCAGAGCTTGGGAAGCCGTTGCAGGACCAGTCCAGCTGAGTCTCGGGAGCAAGAACCTCGGGAGGGTGTCTACAGCCATTGCTGCTGGTTTGGCCATTTTTGGGAAGTTATCGGTGGATGTTGAATGAGCAGATCAATCAAGGGGATATTCTCCAGGAACAAGCGCGGGAGATTGAGATGACTAGCTGCAAGTGACGGCATGTCGTTGCGGTGACCCACTTGGGTGCCCAGGTTGCCGAAGACCGGCCGCAGGGTGCAGTGACCCTTCAGTCCCGCCCACCTGGGTCGATTCCTGCCTGAGGCACAAGCGCCAAAAAAAAAAATCTCGTCGCGACTACAAAAGTTGACATCGGCGGCAAATCCTTTCTCGTTTTCCTCTTTCTTCTTCATTATTGAACAACGCAAAATAAACATTCATGTTCTCGTGAAAACAAAATCCGGTGAAAGGTTCGCTTCGGCTGAACCCAGGACCATCGGACATGGAGATCGAAATGGAGAAGGAAGCGAACAATCTTGGGTGCGATGCCTCTCTGCCTACGGGCAGGTGAGAGGGAGCGCAATGATTGAGCGTACATACATTCGCCCATCGTCATTATTTGATGAATTTATAGTCTCAACCGAGGAGCGTGAATATGCCTTTCAAGCGTCTACGTCTTGGCCTTTCCCGCCTACCACGACACCTGTTTTCCTACGTGTGATGGCGATTCGAGGTCCCCTAAGTGGCGCCGAGATAACGCTGTTACGACACGCATGCTGTCCCTGTGCCTGGGGGCAATGAACTTTTACTACCCTGGGGTGTACACCTGGTTTCTGAATGGGCCAGTGTCGTTTTCGACAATGATGGCTACAAACGGCTCCTGAGTTGTAGAAAAAGACGAGAGCAATCGTGCCAGGTCATGTTTCACGTCTGATGTATGGGCCAATTCGGAAGGCTCGTTTTCACATGAGATTGGAGAGGCAATGGCGGTTCTCATATCGCGCAAACGTTGCAGAGCGTACAAAACTATTCTGTCCATTGAGGCAGGCAGCTTTGAAAATCTCAACTAGTTTCCCACCGAATTCGTATCACTTGAATACACGGACAAGTGCAGAGTAATTTTGTGTATTTAATCGGTTGTTTTCTCAAGAGGGAAAAGCGACGGAACCAAGTCTCACCCTATGTCACACATGATGTCGCGTGTATGTTCTTTCTTCAAGTTGTTTCGCATCCGAATTGATGGCCAGACCTTAGATAATTGCACAAGACAAGATGAAAGGCCCCGTTGAGGCCGACGAGCGACCCAAAACCTCGCTACTGGGGCCTTGGTCAATATATAGCTCCTTAAAGACCGGGTGGGAGTCATGGTTCAGGCAACGTTTTCGATGACAGCACGAGCTGCGATAGAGCAGAGAGCACCTGGCTGACTGCACCAGCGCTTGTCCTCGGTGTGGATAGCAGCTTCGGTGATAGGTTCGTCGGCATCTTGCCTTACCTTTCAACACGGCTAGCCGACGGTACAACACCATCGACCATCCCAGGCCTCACGTTTCTCAACGCCCTCAGCGGTGTCGTTGAAAAAGCGTAGCCTAGTCTGAGAACGCTATAGGAGAACAAGGGATCCAGCTACGAGGAGGCCACGACGCTGGTAAGGTTGTTGAGGTAGCATTTGGTCATGCTTCCACGCCTTCGAGTCAGAAAAAAGAGCCTCGGAACAACGCTTGAGTATAAAACTGCCCTTGGTGATGGCCACAGGGAAGGCGTCAGCGGCACGCTTCACTTTCCAGCACGCTGGCCAACAGTGCGGCACCAGCGACTGTCTTAGGCTTCAGCATTAGCCTCAGGGGGGGCGACAGCGTTGGCGTTTATGACCATGGCGGCCAGGACTACGAGATGTTACATTTTTAAGGTGGTCACGGCCTGTCGGTAGTTAATGAGGAGCAAACGAAGTCGAAGATTGTGGAAATGGGTGAACTTGTCGAGTTGAAAAAAAGTCACAGACGTTATAGCCTCGTTTGCCTCCAGGGTCAAATCAGATCCCTATCAAGGCCAAGAGCACAGTACTCCTAAAGGCGTTGCATAAAATATGTCAGTCGATGGTGAGACGTCATATGATGTTGTACGTGTCGCTCTCTAGCAGACCAACATCGCACGAATTGTTCAAGCTTTGATGAAAGATGTTAAGCTATGGATGGATATGGACAGACGAAACTGAGTGGACTCTATGAAGACCTCTTTTTTTCTTCGAAATTTTCAGCTATGGTCCAAGAACTGTTGAATGGAGAATTGACTGTGAAGATTTGTGGTTCAGGGAGTTTGGTCATCGGAAGGGCCCTTACGTACTGGGGCGAGCTATAGGGAGTGTGCTGTGATCCAAATAACCAATGAGGTATATTTGTATTGCATCTTGTCAACTATTTTTCTCCCAACGGTCAGCAAACTCATAGAACAAACCCATGCCGATCAAACAATGGGTATGTTGACAGACTTTGCCAACGAAACAGCGTTATTGATGACCTTGTTCTGATCTCTAGCAGGTTGCTTCAGGAGAACCGTCTTTGTAGTTCCTAGAAACTAGATTGAAATTTCCCAAACTGACGAATCTTGCACGTCTTCAGCTTATAGATGTATGGACTCAGAAATGTGTCTAATCTTTTGCTATAAGACCTAAGATTTCAAGCTATATACACTTGAAGGATATGAATCGTATAAGGTAACAGCAGAGAAAAGCTTCAGGCCGATAGGGCAATGCTCACCCGGGACGAGCATGCACATCCCTCTGGATGCTACCTATCCCCGGAGCTACCAGATAATACCTACCCGATGGCATACTGCTTACTTTAAGACACGGCTTATCTTCAGAAATTGCCGAACGCCACCTAGCTGTCACACAAGCTTATCAGAACCTTGGGACAATGCTTATTTACACCTTTATGCTGTCAAGCGCGCTGAATGGGCTCCTCATCGCGCCCCCCCCGCAGACATCAGGGCCTAAAACCCTCCAATAGCTGTGGAAAGTCCCCTCAGAATGACTTGGCGAAGTCACTTCCGGGGGCTACCTAGTCTTCCATTGATTAGGTGCAATGACGAGCTAACCCACGTCGTAGCCTCGCACTTTGACTTAACCATGGGCGTTTAGATCCTCTCATTGGAAGTGCCTTGTAAATGAAATGCAAATTGGATGAATGATAGCAATAGTCTTGTCTCAATAATTTCCTGTCGATGTTAGTAGTATACCGAGGACAAAGTCATTCTGAACAAGGAGGTTTGGCATGACCCCAAGTAGTATTTGGAGATAGAAAAGACCGTTTCACGTTGTAAGGGAGGGCATCCCCTTGTTGTTAGCAAAAAATATTAAGCTTCACTAGTATGAAAAAATTCCAAAGTGAAGTTTCCCTAATGCGTTAAGTGTAGCTGACTTTTGTACTGTTCAGAAAACTGTTCACCGGAAACCCGACGCCCAACTTACAACATGGCGTACCTCGCTCTTTCTGATAGACAGAAGATAATATGGAACAAGGCAACCAAAGCTGCTAATGTTTACCTATCCGGCGCTTACGCAGACTATTCGAGGTTCCCAGATCAACTAAACCGTTTCCGTGCGACTCAGCCCTACTATGCTAAACTAGCCAATGACGGCTGGCTCAAAGCCATGATCCCGACATCATGTGGCAGCTCCTGCGAGAAGTGGCTTGACATTGGCATTGTCATCGAAGGCTTTTACGACGCTAATATTTCAATCCATCTGGTTAGCAGCGCCCTTAGTCTTTTACCGCTTGTTCTCGGAGGGTCTTTTAAACAGAAAGAAAGATTCATAAAGCCTTTTATCTGTAGCGAGGGTGGCCACTATGTTGTCAACAGAGAAAAGATGAAGCCGTGATCTAGATGCTACCGGTTGTTGCAAGACTTACTGACAAGCGGGTAGTTATGGATGATAGACAGTGGCGGTTGGGAAGGCAAGGGTGCAACTCTTTCATGTCTTGTCGTGCGGTATTCCGAAAGCGGCGGACAAGAGGACCCCGACATTGATCCAGCATCAAACTTTATGACACTGTTGGTAACAAGTGTTGTTGAGAATGGAGATCATCGCTCAGAATCCACCAGCAGCGCATGAGCTTATCGGCGAGCCTGATCTCATGGGTCATGTCGCTGTCACTGGTCCTTACACCCGTTACACCAACTTCAGGGTCCCCGCAAACCACGTGCTTTTCCTTCCAGGCCAAGCTGTGCCAGTTGGTGAGGAGGTATTTGGATATACAGGAGCAATGGTTGGAGCAATGGCTGTGAAAACCATGCGTGCCGCCTTCATGCTCGCACTTCGCCAAGAAGCATAACCGCGGCGGCCCAATTCCTGTCATTGATAGGTAAAGCGTCACTGATCTGATGATTGACTCAAAGATCAAGATCGACTCGTCGCGACTTGTGGTATGGAAGGCATTTGGACCACGGCCCAGGATCCGCCAAAGACAGGTTTGAAAACTGGTTGGTGGCGAAGGTTCTCAGTAGCGAATAAGCACTACCCTCCCTGTGTGTATCACTGTATGCAAGCTATCGGCATGTAAGTCTCTTCAACAAACGAACTGAAAATAGATGCTCATAGGCCGAGAATTGCACTGCTAATTAATCAAAAGGACTTCCTATGCCAGCAAGAGTGTGTTTCCGAGATTACTCAACGATGCGGCCGTTTCCACTCTGTTTGATGGAGGCAAGGTTGGTATACGGCGACGCCAACTCCAGAGACTATTATGTGACGATGATTACCAGCCATGGGCTCCTCTCTAGTGTTGTCGGCCAAAAGGATCACGGGATTCGATTTGGTTTAGGAGAGTACGTCTGTATCGAAGCGAGGACAACGGAAGGGTTTAGCAACCTCAACGTTTGGGCTCAGGTACATCCACCGTGCCCGTTGTCATTCTAAATCACTCATGGTGAGATTCCAAAGATCGTTCACTCTTATATTTGGATTCGCCTGTCCCTTCACGAGTGTAATCCAATAGTCACAAGTGTGTATCGCACGTGGAGACAAAAGGGCCAACCTCTCTGACAAATCGCGACAAGCCAAACCCGACCTTTAGAGAACTGTGGGTTGCACACTGCACCCTGAACCTGGGGTCGATAGCATGTTGACTTGTCGTATTGACCATGGCCTAAATGCACACCCGTCACGATCACATAAAGTTACCCGCATGATTCGGAAACGCTTATGCACGCTAGAGTACATGACGTACGATGATCAAAATTAATTATAACCTAGAACCCCCGCCGGCATCCAACGCGATACATCCTCCTTCATAAATCTGTTGCAGACTTAACCCCGATATCTTCCGTAAGCAGTTCATACAAATATCAACCCGTTGCTTTCTTCCTCGAGGCGTTTTGAAATCTTGGACTACAAATTCATCGGCGGCATCCGTGCAGTAAAGTGCATACTTTGAACGACAATGAGATAGCCACTATGCGGACATCATCTCGCTACTCAAAGCCAATGGGTCCTAAAACAAGACCCGCTGGCCCTCTATTGCGCCATGCGAGGTGCTCTTCACAGTCCGCGAGTTCCTTCTGCAGCCCTTACCACAGCTACACTTTGGTGGCTGTTGCAGAGCTGCTATCAACCGCTCTCCCTCCAGCGAGTCTATCAGCCTCTGTGACTTGGAGGCCAGCCATTGAGGGACTAAGAAGCAAATTTCCTGAGATTTGAGCGACTAACATTTGAATTCAACATTGCGTGCCATGATCGGTACTAGAGAGTTCATCCCTTGTATCGAACCATGGGGCCGGATCGTTGCAGATATCAGACGGGAGTGTGCGTACCCCAATGTTCTCGATAACGTCGCTGAGAACAACCAGATGTCAGCTTTCTAGGGTCCTGAATGTCGTTCACTCCCCGTCAAGTCTGGATTTTTGCCCTTGTAATCTGGGCCGGACACCATGCTGCAAGCTTGAAAGATCATTGAAGAGTGTCCATACCCTCCAAAAAAAAAAGGATCAAAGAGCGTTAGCGGGGGACTGGAGGTGATCGGACTTTGGGAATGGGAGTTCTGCAGCGGCAAGTTCCAAATCTCTGAATGAGCATAAGTAGTGGATCCCTCTTTGGTTGCGTTGGTAATGAGAACTACCTACAGAGGCTAGTTGTGAGTCTAGACCAGCTAGGCGTAGTTGATGATTAAGCTTATTTCCCGAGAATTCAGATGCAACAATGAGAGTTGGGGAACACACCGCTCTTCTCCCAGTGTAGCATTGTACTCTGTAATCGCCGGAGAAATTTCTCCAAAAGGCACAGCGCAACGTCACAACTTTCCCGCGTGATCTGGATTTGATAGGCACAAAATAGCAACTCAGACCTCAGTGGTTGGCCGTGTCTGGTCTTGAATCGGGCACGGCATGTAATTGCCGTAGTGTCGCACCACCAATTCGTGAGACGAGGCTCATTAAAGTCCTTTGTTGTCATTAAGATGGGTTCAAGCCAAGGCCAAGCCCGATGCAGTATTAGACTGGTTCGTGTTTGCCTTGGGAGATCCGAATTGGGGTATGCAATCGTCAACCGCGAGTGTGTTTCTTTTTGGCAGTGCATGACCTCACTGGACATATGGTATGTTTTTTAAAATCAATAACACGTTAACCGCCAAATGCAACGGTTACACTAGCCCGATCCAAGCCTTGAGAATAAACTCCGAGGCCGCCGTGTCTTGCCTGGTCTCAGACTCTCAGCGAAAAACCACGTTCAACGACAACGCATTTCCAGCCCTCGAGTTGCCACGGTTCTAACGATAGTTAAGGTTCGTGCCTCTGCCAGCTAGATCCCGACCCTTTCACATCTGCCAACATGACGACATCACAGGATGACCCTAGGAAGAGTTGGGGACTGGTCTAGCACGTGTGTGGCCAACAGTCCAGCGCCGATCATGAACCGGTCAGGCGGTGAGGTGCATACATGGTGGGCCACGGTGTGGCGGACCGCCAATGCCGCTATTTCACTAATGACTTGCTTGCCTCCCCCAGCCTCCACGAACCCCGCAGTAATTTACATGGGACCAGAATCGTCATCTTCTTTCTCTTTCTCACATCTTAACTTTCCAGCCGCGAAAGATCTCGACAGACAAGAGATTCGAATCGCGATATCATGCCTCAACCAAAACTCAAAGACCCTAACGCGTTTCCGACCCGGCAATTGGCTGTTCTTGGTACTGCAACCCCCCATTCCGTTCTATACTGTCCCTTGAGAGACGGGACGACATCCTTATCGGCGTGCACACTCAGTACGGAGCCGGACAGCAGCTAACGCGTCTCACAGCAATATGTCGATTCTCGGAGCCCATCGCCTTCAACTCCATTCTGGCCTACACCTATCGCATGGTCCAGGACATTGGAATCGGTGAGAAAGATGCGGCCTTCGCCGCTGGTCTCCTGATCTCCGCCTACGCCGTGGCTGAGGCCATCACCTCAATGGGCTGGGGCGCCTTATCCGATCGCATCGGTCGCAAGCCCGTGGTGCTGTTTGGCCTGGTCGGCGTCGCCGTCTCGAGTCTGATTTTCGGAATGGCAAAAACCTACTGGGTCGCGCTCCTCGCGCGCTTCGTCGGTGGCGCTCTCAACGGCAACGTCTCGGTCATGCAGACCATGGTGGCAGAGATGGTGAAAAACCCAGACCATGAGCGTGAGTTTGTTTCCGTCCCGCCCATGCTGCGTTGACGCACGCCGCGTGTTGCTGCTGCTGTGTGGGGAAATGACAACTTTGCTAATCTTACTTTTTTGTTGGGGGTTTAGCCAAGGCTTACGCCGTGCAGCCATTCGTATGGACTTTGGGTGGTATCCTTGGCTCTGCCATGGGAGGTTTCCTTGCCCAACCTGCCTCCCAATACCCTACTGTCTTCTCTCAGGATGGGGTTTTCGGTAGGTATCCGTATCTGCTTCCTAACCTCGTATCCGTCGTCGCGATTCTCCTCGCTGTTGTCCAGGGCATATTCTTCTTGGAAGAGACCAAAGAAGACTGGGGAGAAGACGACCACCAATACCACGGCCGTAACAGTGTCGCCGTTGATGACGATGACGTCACTGACGAGACTACACCCCTGCGCCGCGCACCCATCCGGACTTTCAACCCACGCCGCTCCATGTCAACAAGTCACTCGAGACCTCGCTTCGCTGAGTCAAGTCTTCCTATGCCCTTTGAGCATGACTTTGATCTGAGACGATCGTCCTTTGGAACCGTCCACTCGATCAGGGTCGTGCCCGAGGACTTGCGACAGCACCTGCTCAACTCCCGTGCGCAGGCGACAGGCCAGAAGAAGGTCAAGACCTTCAACAAGACCGTTGTTATGCTCATCATAGCCTTGATCATCTTCTCGTATCATCAGATGGCAGCCGGTACGCTGTTGCCGACGTATCTCCAGGACGATCGCCAACAGCCGCGGGGTCACCTCGATCTGCAAGGAGGCTTAGGCAACGGCCTCAAGGATGTCGGTGTTTACCTGGCCATCAACGGTTTCTTGGGTCTTCTTATCCAGGGGTTGATTTTCCCCATCTTCGTCGAGCGCGTTGGTGTCTGGGGTTCCTTCATCGCCATGGTCGTCATATACCCAACAGCGTATCTCTTTGTGCCCTTCCTCTCAGCCCTTCCTGAAGCACTAACGGAAGCTGGCATTTGGTTTTCCCTTATTCTGCAGAGTTTCTACGGTGTCATTGTCGGCCCCGTCACGCTCATCCTGATCAAGAACGCGACGCCGACGTCGCAAGCGCTCGGAAAGGTCAATGGACTGGCCATGTCTGGTGCCTGTCTCGCCAGAACCATCTCCCCGCCCCTCGTGGGTGTCATCTACAGTTTCATGGGCTCCGGCGCGGCGTGGTTCAGTTGCGCTTTCTTTGCCTTTGTGGGACTCGTGCAAGTCTTCTGGGTGCCGAAGAAGCACATTGACGTGGACCACGTTGAGATCGGCAACGCCATCTCCAGGCGGTTCTCCGTCACCTCGCAGAGACGTGAGAGCCACCAGAGCATCGAGTCATCCCGTGGCCGACGCACCAACGGTGTTGTTTAGGTGTTCGAACTGCATGGCGATGGCGGTATCTGTCTAGCGCTATCATTTTGATTTTCTCCAGCCCCCTTTTCCCATTTTCACATACTGTTTTGTCTCTCCTGCATTGGCATTTGTTATGCGAAACTATGCGCGGACGCTTAATGCACTTGGGTCATGGTCTGTCTATATGGTTTTTCTTGGTGTTGATATACGACACGGACTTGATGATTTTCAGAATGGAATGCGGGCGTTCTACATATACGACTTTTCAAGATTTACGGATGACTGTCGCAGGAGTTAGCTACTTCCACACACACGAATTGACTTTTACGATCCAACGATTCTTTCACAATGGCTGACATTGGTGACACCTTTCGGAGACAGCGGCAGGCCCTGCTGTGGGCTGCGTCCCTTTTACGCCACCACGGGTGATGCTCTCCGGTCCCGAAGACAGCGCACCCCTTTCTAATTCACAATCCTACCTAATTTCGATCAACAACTAGGACCTCGCCTGTGGAGTAGCCGAGTAGATGCTTTCACTAATTTGAAGAACGCACTAACCAGCCCTGGCTAGAAAGAGCGATGAGCTAGCCCCTTGACCCGTGCAGAATAGCGCCTGGCCACATCAATAAGTGGGAGGCTGGTCTCACTTTGAAATCCGCTTATTCCTCGCACAAGTGCGCGTTACGGAGGTAAACAAGATGTGTCTAAATCACAACACTAACATCAGGAGCTATGCGTCGTCCTTCACAGGGCACATATGAAAGGAAAGGAACATAGGTAAGTTTGGGGCTAGAGGCAGCATCGATGACACGTCAAACGTAAGATAGGACTTGACTAATCGGGAGGCTATCTATGACATGTTGACATGTCCAAGGATTCAACGGCGCCTAGAAGGTCCGCACGAGGAACTCTCGTCACATCATTTCCGACACATCCTTCCGTAATAGTCGACAGTCCATGCATCACTGCCTACAGCGGCAACATTGTACAACAAGCCGTTGGGGTCATACTTGTGCTTGATATCCAACAGTTTGGGGTAGTTGATCCCAAAGAAGGTCTCTTGCCAGTCCTTCTGCTGGAAATCGGCCTCGTTCATGTACGCACCGGCGTCAGGGGTCACGGCCTCGATGACTGGCTGCACGACCTCCGTCATGCGGTTCTGTTCGGCCAGCATGTCTGCGAAGGGAACCTCGAAGCTCCATGGCAGCGTCAACGAGGCCGCCACGATGGAGTCGCGCCACTGCGGCAGCACGGCGTTGGCGCCATCCCCGCCGAAATGCGAGACGTTCAGGCCGACGCCGATGTAGGTCACGCCAAGCTCAACGAGCTGCTGCGCGGTCGGGCCGAAGTTCGGGAGCACGGAACGGGGAATGAGGCGGCCTCCGAAGAGCTGCGTGCCAACCTGGATGTTTCCAGAGGGGAGAGGACCCCAGTAGTTGTTGTAGTGGTCTCGGTAGGTGTCGAATGAGGTGTAGTTTGGCTGAAGGTTGATGTTTAGTGGAGCGAGGGAGTCGATAAGAGGGGCGAAAATCAGCTCGACCTCGGCCTGGGTCTTGTTATAAGCCGTTATGGCCGGAGACTGGAGAAAGCCCGGCCCGAAAAAGTAGATTACCATCAGGCCGGCGTCAACGATATCGGGGAGAGCGGCATGGAACACGTCAATCACCTGGTACAAGGTGCTATTGTCGGCAACGGTAATTGCAAACTTTGCTCCGCTGATGGGGGCGTCAGGATGCGCTCTTGTGGTAATGGAGGTGACGACTCCGTAGTTGCCGCCGCCACCGCCGCTCAGCGCCCAGTAGAGGTCTTCGTTCTCGCTCTTCGAAGCCGTAACAAGGTCTCCAGTGGGAGTGACAACCTCAAAGGACAAGGTGTTGTCGGCCGCCAAGCCATAGATGGTGCTCAGCGCAGAGTGACCGCCCCCCTCGAGTATCATTAGCATGCCGACCTATAGCTTGGACTTGAGAAGAATGTTAAGACCTACCTGGACATATCCTCCAGCAATACCGACGGTAGGACACTCGCCCGTAATGACTACTAGGCCGGCTTCATTGGCCGCAGCAATGGCCTCGAACCCCTGAATACCGGCCCCAGCCTTGAGGGCCTTGCCAGTGTAGTGCTCATCCTCCCAATCGAGGATTTCGGTGCCCTTGAGGTAGTGGGTCCAGACGGACAGCGCACCAGCGCCTGTCGACCGGCCGTTATAGTCGTGACCCGTGTTACGGATAATGAAGCGCACGTTGTTCTGGTCAGCGAACTTGAGTGCGGCCTGGATGTCCGCGGGCCCGGTGGCGTTCACAGCATAGACAACATAGTTGCTCAAGGTGCAAGGGACGTCTCTAGCCGTGAAGGGGTCGCAGCTGGCGTTGGCAAACAGGGGGCCATGACTGAAGAAGAAGACCCCATGCTGCGAGTCATGTCAGCCACGATCACTCTCGTGTAACCGCACCGATAGAGTGCATCACACACACGCGGAATCTCGAAGAAAGCAAATGTGCGTGAAAAAGAAAGAAAGAAATTGAGAACTGATCGGGGATAAAGACTTACTGCACCTCGGAGTAGAGCCATTCGTCCTGCAGAAGAGCGCACTCAGTCGCGTTGTAAGCGTCTCCGTGACACGGGCTGCCCAAAGGAACGGTAGCAACCAAACGGCCTCCGACGGTCTCGTTGAGCTGCGCCCACGCATCCGCAGACGGCCATCCTGCGTCCCCGGGAGGTACTTGCACGGGGTCGTCGAGTTCGTCGTCGCAGACCTGCCCGAGACTGAAACCATGGACGCGGAAGCGCTTCCGCCAGCCAGGACCAAGGGAGCGAGGATCGAGTGGCGCATCTTCATCTTGGCAACGAAGACGGGGTTGAAAGGGACGTGCTTCAAGCTTCTCTTGCAGATCGATTGGAACGATCTGGAGCAGCAGACAGCGGCGAAAACTCAAAAACGAAGACGAGGACGTGAAGAAAGGGGGCCGAAAAGGCAATCTCTCAAGTTTCATGGGCGACGGCTCTAGTAGTTGTATGCGACGCTGCCCAAAGTGGCTCCCTTCCTACGCAGCAAATTGCCTCAGCCCGTCTTCACAATTGGCTCTGCTGCCAATGCTTGTGTAATTGTGGCGAACACGCAAGCCGGCGCAGGGTAAGACAAGAGAGGGAGGAAGCCAATAATTCCCACCCGGCGACAAGCACTTTTGCGCACTTTTGCACAATTCAGGACATGATCTCCGCAGCGTTCGATGTGAACTACCCTCGCAAAGCCGTTGCCGCGGTGCCGTGATACTTTGGTTAGTTCGCCGACCTTGCGCAAGCCGACCGGGGCAAAGCCGATGGTGCCAATAAGGGAACACGGCGTAGTTCTGTACAGCATATGAATGGTCCACTCGTTCGCGGAAGAGTCGGTAAGCGAGAAGGAATCCCGTGTTTTCCATTGCAACCTTGAGCCAACAGCCTAACATCGCAACCTCTTCATTTTGGCCCGCGCGGGGAGTGGGCGGAGGGTTGTTACTACAAGGGTTCGGGCCGGGGGTTCCACAACCGGGGCTGTTCCGGCCTCCCGATTTGCTTCGCCGGGCTCGCCGCAATTCAGCCAATGCGGGCACTTGACTCGTGAACCCTGAAGAGGCGGGACCTGATATCCGCGAACCTTAAAACAGGACAACCGGGGGTCCTACAGGTCGATATCCTCGGACTATCTCAGGAGCCCTGCCGTTCATTTCACTATGCCTGCAGGCTTGCCATGCGAGGTGTTCGGGGTGTCGTTGGTGCGCAGTGCGCAAACATGAAAAGGCCAGAACAGCGTGTTGGAGGTCGGTTGATCGATTGATCGATCTGATGAATCATATCTAGTTGTCGTTTATTAAGGTTACAAAAGTATTATCTCGGTGGAAACAGACAGTCTGGGAACAGTCGTAACGTACCATGGGGGTTTCCTGCTTTGTATACTCTTGCGAAGCAGGGGATGTCACGCAATATCTTGGTAAAGGCGATGATGCAGGCCCCTTAGAGCCTCGACAGACCTAGATTAGGTCATTGTCTGGGTTTCTTTCTACACTGAGACACGGCGCACAACACTGTACCGGCTCCTTGGCTTCGCGTCGAGCGTCCACAAAGAAAGCCATCTGTCTTCGAGGAGCCACCGTCCGTGAGGCTATACTGTTTCACACATGTCATAACGTCAAGGCTGTCCCGCGCGTGGCTGTCATGAGCATAAGCTTCGATTGGCGTGGACTAGTCCCTATACGTGTGGCAAATCCCATTCATGACATGGCATACCATCCTGTTGGGTTCTTTCATCTTTCAATGCACGCCAAGAAAGGCATGCGAGTCGTTGATATCGAAAAAAGAGAGAAAAAGAAAGAGAAAAAAAAGATGACTTGTGGGGTTCCGATGCTGGGTTTCTTTAGCAAGCCACCCGCGCAATTTCGACGCCTCACACATGCAGTGCCGTCGAGCAGGCAATGCAGCAAGGGTCTGCCACACACCCACAGGGTCGGACACGGCACTTTTGATACGTGGAGCAAGCAGCACGCATGCTATGCCTATTCGATATGGTACACTGTAACTTAGTGTGGCTCTCCTCGCTGATCTTTAAGGCCTTGGGTCGGCCGTTCTCCTTATGAGTGTCTCTCAACATTCCCGCCGACCTGTCGACCTTGGGAAAAGGCATCGTTTTCCATCATGACGGGTTGGACGTTCAACACACCAGATGATACGCCAACCAACGGACCACAACTTGCCGCTGTCTGTATTGCTTTTACCGCCGTCGCCCTCTTTCTTGTCTGCCTTAGACTCTATGTTCGGACAACGCTGGTCAAAGCAGTTGGATATGGTATGTTATCGATGTATTGAACCTCTCGAGTCCACTGAGGGTCCACCGCACAGGGCAACGCTGATGACGAATTTTCTCTAGATGACTGGTTGATCATCATTTCTTGGGTAAGTTTGACTTGGAATAGTATTTGACGACCTCTGGAATTGACATATTCTCATCAGCTCGGAGCTTGCGGCTATACGGTGTGCACCGTGATACGTAAGACATTTGCAACAAACCAGCCTTCCCCTTGAGACTAATTGGAACGCAGAAACAAAATGGGGCCTTGGAATCACCAGGCTCAAAGACATGCCCACGCAGAATGTCTTGCATTTTGGCAAGGTGAGAAGCACACTCTCTCCGTCTGTATATCGTGCTAACGAGCTATCCGAAAGCTGCAATTCATCGGTGGCCCATTGTAAGTCTGGTTCATGGCATCGAGATGCAAGTCTTAACATCACGTATGGCTAACAATGCTGTTCTAGCTACGTCCTCGGCATATGGGCCTTCAAAATGAGCTTGCTATGTTCCTATCTACGCTTCTTTCCAGCGGGCGGGTATAAAATCGGCACGATAATAGTTGCGGTGGCCTGCACTATGGGCCACATTGCGTTTATCTGCGTCTTCATTTTCCTGTGTACACCAGTAAGAAAACATCACCTTGAAGGAAATGGAGTTCTTCGACTGATCCGACTACCAGGTCGAGAAGCAATACGATCCCTCGATCCCTGCCGACGTGGGTCATTGTGTAGACTCCATAGCATTCTACCTGACGTTCTCGTCCCTGACAATCGTTTTTGATGTCTTGATGTAAGATCTCTCTAGCACCAATCCCGATGGAAGCTAATCCCGCCCCCCTTTCCAGCATGTTTTTACCGTTCCCCGTCATCATAAACTCGCAGATACAGATGCGAAAGAAGATTGTGCTCCTGGCTCTCTTCATCCTCGGCGTCTTCGTCACCATCATCCAAGCAATCCGGATCCAGACCATCAAGAACCTCGTCAACTACCTTGACTCAGCAAAGAGCATCCAGTGGTCCGTCATTGAGAACTGCATCGGCGTCGTCATCGCATGTGTCCCGACGCTGGCTCCGATGGTCAAGTACTTCGCCGAGAAGAGCCGCAACTACAACGATAGCGATTCGCGGCCAAAAAACTCACGATACGCACTGCAGACCTGGGGCACCAAGCGGAGCGGAATGCAGCCGCTGGGAACTGGAATCGACAGAGAAGTTTCCGTCACTGGAACAACGAAGGCGGAGGACAGCACCGAGAACATCCTGTCCCAGAGCGGCATTACGAAGAGGACGGATCTACAAATCACGACGCACGATGCTCCGGAGACTTGGTCTAATAACGAACGGAAACAGGATGTTTGAGGAACTCGGGGGTGCGAAGGGGCCTTTTCAAGTGATACCAATTTCATTCTTCAGAGCTGCAAGCAAGCGTGTTTTCGCATGTTCTCAAATCTTTTTTGGCTTCTAATATCCATCTGCCATCTCGTAACGATTTCATGGGAATTTCCCTTCATAAATCCTATTTGATCGCAAGTGAGGCTGTCATAGTTTCCCTAGCATCCTGCTCCCTCTTTATCATACTTTTTCGGATGTGGACATTTCGACAAGAGACCTGGTCTCGCTGCGGTTTTGGCAATAACCCTAATCCCTATCCATGGTTGTGCCGTGCCCCTCTCTAGATGCAACTATCGCGATGCTCCACCATCGCCCGTGGAGATAGGCTCAGATTATCCGGAGAAGACACCCTTGACCTTGCTGCCAAACGAGTTTCCCGAGATGTCGGCAAAACCAATAAACTCTAAATTATAACTCAGCTCTTTAGCATCCAGATAGCCGAGCCATTCTGGTCTTTATCGCAGTGTCGCCAAGTATCAAAATGGAATACCGAAGCTGAGTAACAACCAAGGGGGAGATGGCCACCAATTTTCCGAGCTCCGTCTTCAGCGCCGATCGCGCCGTCTTGGTTCGAGAAAGCAACTCTGCTTCGGCAATCTACAGAAGATCAGCCAGAGCGCATTCGGCTGTGTACACGCCCGTCCGCCCTTTATCTCTCTCTCTCTCTCTCTCTCCGCCAGCTAAATTGGGATGATGAAATCTAGATCCGATAAATTGCTGATTAAGATCGAAGTCATTTCTCATAACCCTGAGGGGGCTTCGAACGCTAAGAGCGAAGCCAAAAAGATTCGGCGGTTCTACTTCAACTCTATGCATAACGTGCCACGGGAGGAGAAGACTGGTGTACGATGACTTCCAAATTTGTCGTCCTCGGTAGGTCATCCGGTGGTTCATATGCAGGCTACAACAGGCCAGTTTGATGCTCTTAAGGTTTTGATGTATCAACAGCTACCGTAGCAAGTGGATAACACCCACCGGTGATCGTGCTTGGGATGAACCCCGCCGCGCCTGGCCCCGTGCCGGCTACCGGTCAGATAGCGATAGTTTGTGGGGCAGCCCTCTTCCCGCGTCCTACGTCGCTAGTCGAGTCAGTGGTAGATCTTTACGGTTTGTCGGACGTTGGAATTGCCAATGGTCACATCAGCTTGCAAGGGAAAAGGCCTCGTATCGACTGTTACGCGCTTCAGGAGACAGTATCGAGTTTTTGACGACCACAGTACGTTTATGTAGACTCTCGAAGCTGTCCTGGGTCAAAAAGTACAAGAAAAGTTCACTGTCTATATCATTGACTCAAGTCGAACTCCACGCGTGCGATGTGGCTTGAACGTATCCCGTTCATTTTCAACAATAACATTTGCTCCGTCATTTTCGACCGCCTGGTTCGTCAAGTGGGTTCCGGAGACGCAGGTTGATTGGCCAAGTTCATAGCCGACGAGTGTCGCCCTTCGAACCACCAACAACGACACTCTAGGACTCGCCTGAGAGGCACTCAACCACAACGCCAAAGTCTTGGTCCATTTAAAAAGAATTATTTGAATAATTCATTCGAAAAGTATCAAACTGTTTCGACTGATCAAGTGTCTCCATGATTGTTGCTGCCTAAAGTCGTTGCCTAGAGTTCTATTCCAGACTTTCCAGTACATGCACAACACTGACTGCATTCGCTGACCACCATCACTGGCAAATGTACAACTCTGGATTACTTACTGGATTCAAACTCGAAGGAATTTGAACATTTGCTGAACCCTTGTTTTGACTTGTGATAGTCACTGCTTTAAACCTCATCAGCATCACATCTTCACGTTTACCCAGTTCATCGAGCGCCAACCACGATGTCTTCCCCTCTTCCCCTCCCCCACGTGTCCAGCACCGAACTCTTCATCGCCGAAGTCCGCGAAGACCTCATTAACGACATTGCATCCATCTCTACCCCCAGTTCCAAATCAGATCTCCTCACCTCGATTCGAAGCCTCGCCTTCCAATTCCTCAAAGACGCCGCTCACCGACCACCGCATGAGCACGAGCACTCGAGGCAGGGGCTCGAGGTTCTTTGGCACATGTTTACCGACCTCGCCAAGGCCTTGGACCAGGACGACGGTTTCCAGGACAAGCTCATCTCGCTGCTGTTGTGGACTAGGGAGTATGATCGTCTGTACAAGAGGATACATGGGATCGAGGGGGTCGAGAACGGCTGGGAGTCGTACGGTTTGGGTGACGTCCTGAAAGCGTCGTGGGAGCAGGTCGTTGCTACCGGAACACCAGAAGAACAGCGCAATCTTGCGTCTTTCTCCTCCAAAGCCCTCTCCGTCGGTATCTGTCGAGACTCTGTCGGCCAAACGGCCCTCTGGCTCCTCCGCGAAGCCCTCGAAACTTCAGATGAAGAAAGGTCCTTTTCACTCCTGCCCGCGGCTATCGTATGGATTGAAAATGCCTACCATAGCCTACTCGCCTTTTCGGCCATTGAGAAATCCTACAAAGACGATCCCCAGGCCGTGGCTGGCCTGTCGTCACCCGGTGCGTTGGCTCAAGCTGCAGGAGTCGATGACCACGGCTTCACTATGAAGCGGTGATTGTTTTGGAGACGCCGCTTGCAGAAGCTGAGCTGCTCCTCGGATGCGGATTCGGCGAAGCTGGCGAAAAAGGGGTTCATGCGTATGGTATTTTGTGGTCGGGAGCTGGGGTTCGAGGTGGAGGGAGAATCCAGGTTCTCAGATAGGCTTCAGAAGGCCATGTATGAGGAGCTTATCAAGAGTGGAAAGGAAAGTGTGGATGGTGACGAGATCGAGATCGATGTCGACTGGGTTGATTGAGCATTGTGAGTGGGAACCTGACATGCACGATTCTGACGAGGTTGCGCAATTTAGAGGTGTATATGAGGTCGGAAGTTCATATTGAATAAGTTGGTTTGATAGATGTTATACATAAAGCATGATGTACGCGTGTCATAATAGTCATCGTGCAGAATTCCCAGAGGTCAGTGTTATCCATGACCGGCCTGTCCCAATATTACCCGTACGCCTCAACTTTTGCTAATTCCGATCGCATCGAAAAAGGGTGTACCAAACACAGTTAACACGCAAGATTGCGCCTTGATCCTCATAACACAGCTGAAAAATTCATCAAACACTCTAGGAGGGGTTCCGCGGCGTGCCGCCACCCGAACCGTCCCCAATATTGCTCGGCCTGTTGGGTCTGACGACCACAAAGCCCACGTCTGGGAGCGGCCGTGGTCGATCAACCTGAAAACCCTTCTCAGGGGCGCTCGCTTGGCCAGTGACCTTTGCCCAGAATCCGGACGATGAACGGAAGGATGAGCGAGGATCGGACGGTCGGGGCAGTTCTTCAGAAGCCCTGTCTGCAGGCGGTGGGCGCGGAACACCATAATAGAGATCTGCCTCCCGAAAGGAGTAGTCGTTCCATCGCGGGCCGAGCGGTGCACGATTGGTGCTGGTGGGCGAGACTTGTGATGTCGAGCTGACCTCCTCCTCCCCAATTGACTCGGAAACCCGGCTCGGAGATGCGCCCGAAACTGATCGCTGAACGGAATGCCTATCTACAATTGAAGTGGAAGTCGAGATCGTCCTCGAAGGAGTGTAAAGGGAGGAGCCGATGCTGCGGGGATGATCCGCAGATGAGATGGACGCGCTCGACCGCGGCGGTCGGAAGTACCGACTTGAAGCGGTTGATGGGTTCAGACGTAGAGTGCTGGGACTGTCTGATCGGTAAGTCGGCCGCAAGTAGCCTGTGTTGGGCTCTTCAACATCTTCTGGGTCTGGATATGATGTATCAGGACCGTCGGTTGTATACAAAGAGGACAGGTTCGTTCGCGACACATCACGCCGACGGAGCTCACGGAGCCCATAGACCTACGAGATCGCAACAATTAGATGGGCATGGAATCGCAGCAAGTGAGACTTACATCAGGCTTTGGCGCTGCCAACCAGCTTCTGACAATATTTGTGAGCTCACAAGCCGCGGGGACAAAGAAGCCAAGCACAAGCATGCCAGTATGGACAGTAAGAAGCAAGTATCCAATGGCGCTCTTGATCTCATTGGTGGCAATCCCAGGCAGAAAGGTGACCAGAAAAATCAAACTGCAGAGTCTGATGGTAGCTGCGATGCTGCCGATAGAAAATGTTGAGTAAGCCTGGAACCCGGCAATACTAGCAAGTAAAAGTAGCTCGCAGGCTCCAAGAACAGCCAACTGTGCTGGGCCAGAAATTTGCAAACCACCAACGGCCGCGCCTCGCACGAAGGTCAGCGCGAAGAGAATAAGAATGAACCTCTCATCTTGCCGCCGGAAGTCTTCTGATGGGGGCATCTGCCTGTATCGCTTGGTGCTGTCAAAGACGAGAACGCCAAGACTGCGTGTTGGGATTTGCCGAATGAGCCAGATGAAGGCAGCCATCATGGCGACAATGAGCGTGACGGCCAGAGATGTATGATAAACTGGCAACCACGAGGCTTGATCAAGCTGGTAAAAGGACAAGGCCGCCAGAGGAAACATGAAATACGACAGAATGACACGCAAGACGCGGCTACAGGTCTCCCGTACCCCACCGACTGACCGTGACGGCCCACCGTCTGAGTTGCGATTCCTATTGAGCAGCCAGAAGACTTCGAGAGCCAAAGCGATGCTTGCTGCTATGACGAATATGAGGACAACCATGTTGAGCCACATATCCATTGTCATTGGGGCGCCGGCAATCTGGGTCATCAACTCCAAGCCATAAGTGCCGCCATATGTGCCGTTCAGGACGTATATCCCATCTTCTACACTTTCGTACGTTCGGCCGTGAGTAATTGGCCCATCGAAAAAGAGAGACCACCAGCTGAGATGGCTGACGACGGGTTGATAGAAGCCGGGGTACCGTAGACTGAGCCCACCGGTCAGGAAGATGAACTGAAGATACTGAAGGCAGTCTCCAACATTCGGAAGGACTGTTCGAACAGAGCGCGCTTCTCCATCATCCAAAGTGATGGGGGTGCTGTAAGCGGACCGTAAGATACCGACTAGAAGCACGAAAATAAATAGAGCCCAAGTCGAGTAAGTGATGACGGAGGTGATGGTCAGACTGAGAGCCGGGGTGATGTTCGCCTCCTGACAGCTGACTTCTTCCGAGTCGGGCCCCTCCAAATGGAACGTGATGTGAAAGGTCGATAACGGAGGCAAATGACCAATATCGGAGGCAACTGAAATAGAGAGACTGGCGGGATTCGTCAGTGGCGAGGGCCAGTTCTCTGGAAAGTTGAGTTTCTTGCATGTCGCATTCATCGTGGCGGTGCGATAAACCGAAGACCTTCCAAGCATGTCGATTTCCATCGTCGCGGCAGGCATCATCCGAGAAAGATCCTGGCACTCCGCTTCTTCCATCCATCGCCCAGCTCGCAGAGTCAAACGGTTCTCGCGGCCATCATCCGATGGCATCAGAGTGGCATCTATATTTTGAGGGACGAAGATATCGGTCTTGGTTGCCGGGCCGTCGCAGCCCTGCCATTGCACGTAGGCCCCTGAGGCACGGGTGGCCATAAACCATACCAACCCAAGGCGTGCGAACATTCCTGGCCTCATTTGAGACCTCGTGGTCTCGGCTCAGATGGAGAAAACAAAGTCGGAGCGTCTGATGTTGGCAAGACAGGGTTTCATTGGTCGCCTTATCACCGTGTTTCTGAAGATGATGGAGAGGAAGTAGAGTGCGGCAAACACACGTAACTGAAGGGAAGGGCTCAATTCTTTTTCGCCTTCCGCGGTGGATCCTTGGCGTTGCATTGCCGGGACTAAAGCTCAGCCTGCTCGTATCTTCTGTTGAAAGGGGTTTCCCTCGCCGGCGATCATCCCTGACTCGGGAATCCACAGCGCCCCTCTCCGCGGAGGCGCAACATCCTTGAGTGACCCAGGGCAGCACGTCAACTGGTGGATTGCGGCATGGATGGATTCGACGTGCAATGAGTTGATGGAGCAGGGAACACCGAGGAGAACTTGATGTCGGTGACGACTCTGGATCCCATAAAAATCGAGCTGAACTTATCATTTCGGCGCGAAGCAAATCAAGATCGAAAGCAAACACTTACGATTGACTCAAAGTTAAGTTGACGTGCGGTTTATCGCAACGAGTGAAGTTCAAGCCAGCCGAGGTGGCGCTGTGAGGAACGAGCCATACTCAGGAACGAGCTCACGGCAGATCCTAACACAGGTAGGTGGCGGCAGCCACATTGGAGCTCCTTGGCAACGACTTTTGGCACTTGCGACGATGACGAACGAGGCAACATGGTAAAGCATCGAAAGCGCGTGCCACAGCTCGGGAGAACTCTTGACGGGCTGCGCGCTAGGCCGGGCCTAGAAGGAAAGGTCTGTGTCCAGGTTGTCGTGAGATAGCAGCGCCTTCTCAGTTGCTGCTGGTGAAAGTCAATTTTAGGTCGTGTGTATGGGCCACGGCTCTGCCATGCGCTTTAAACGTGCGGCAGGTATCGATGTGGTGAATTGAGTCAGGCTATGTCAACAAGAAGCCAAATTGAAGCAGGCTCAATACGTCACATGCTTAGTGTTGTTGCTGCGGGCTGTTTGAATGTTGACCACGTTATGTATAACACTGCAGAAAGGGCATACACTTGCAAGCTTGGTTGTCAAAACGGTTCTGGAGGCAGAACTGTCGTCAACATATTGACGCGACAGTCATCTGACAAGTAATTGAAGTCGACGTAGGAAAGGAGACCTGCTTGTCTGGTTGGATGTCCACCAGCTGCAAAACCTCAAGCTTTACCTGAAACGGGTTAGACGGACGGAGACGATATGCGTGGTGGAGAGGATTGGGGGGTCTTGATGGAGGTGGGGTCTCTGCAGATGCAAGATGCCATGACCGATGTTTTTTGTCTTTCGGTAGTCGGTGACTCTGGTGCTATAAGTAAAAAAGTCCGAGAACTCGCGATTGACCTGTTGATTTCCAGGGCATGGGCATCTCATTCGAAGGCGGTAAGGGTTTGAGATTTCCGAGCAGTTCGGGGTCGTGACGCGTATATCTGCATTTTTGAAGCCGTCTACCCGTACATAGCACCGGCGGATCTTGCAGCCAAAGGCGGGAGATGGCCAGGCCGAGGCCAGGAAGTAAGTCGGGTCTCAAAGCCGCCGTATCGCCAGTCTCAGGTGTCAGTCTAGCAGGTTAGGCTGTAAAACCTGGGCAATCCTTGGTTTACCGGGTCATCGCCCGTAAAGATGACGGATCGGAAGAAACCAGTAAAGACGAAAGGAGCTAAACCTGGTGCGATGCGAGCAATCAAAGGTAGCGGTTGAGGCCAGTGCTAGCAGACGGACGTTTCTCTGCAAGAAAAGAAAGAAAGGTGCGCAGTGAAAGGCCAGAGTCGGAGATGAGACGATGGGTAACTACTGCAGCCAAGGGATACGCGATGCAGAAGGGATTAGGCTGACGCAGAGAGAGAGAGATCAAGACATTCAGGACAAAGACATGGGATGAAGGGCGGGACGACAATCGGAAGTGTGAGTTGTTTGTTTGTCCCTGCGCAGAAGGCGCCAGGGAGCAATCGGAAGCGCCACGGAGAGTGAGCACAGGGCGTCGTGAAGGCGAACGGGCGAGCTGTAGCGTCGTACGAGCGGCACGCATCGCGATGGCGCCACGGGCCAAAGTGAGTCCAATGTTTGGGATCCATCGATGGCCCATGTGTGTGTGATGTGGTGGAACATGGAGTCTTGAGAAGGGATGGGGAAATAAGGTGTCCAGTTCAGCTGGGCTTGAGGGCAAACAGAACAGGTTGAGGGCAATACCCTCCCGCGTTGCTGCTGATTAATGAAGTGCCGAGCAAACGAGCGCATTCGGCGGGCAACTCGGCGGTGGATGGTCGGGGCTGAAGAACAGTAGAAAAGAGGAGGCAACATGCGATGGCAACCGATTTGTCGAGGTAGCCGCGGAAACTCGGACAAGGTCTGTATGGCCTTGAGAGCCACAGCGGGGTGGCCTCGCTGCAAACCAGGAAGAAAGGATACCTTAGCCTTGTGGGCGAACAACATGCCAGGCGAACAAAGCACTTGAAGAACTGCAGGCGATGGAATGGAATGCACAACCTTCCATGGACTCGGTACTTGCCTCGTACATACACACACGATGGGACCGCATGCTTGGGACCGCCACCCTGCCACCCCCGCCCACGGAAGGGCCAACGGGAAGGTGCGCCCCGGGTTCCGGATGGAAAGACCGGACGGGACCTTCCAGGTTCCATTGGGATGAACCTCCGCCGCATGGGCATGGCGTCAAACAGAAGTCACGAGCAAGGCAGGCCCTCCGGCGTCCCTGTCATGGCAGACTCCGAACATGACACGCTCATCCAAATGCAGACAGACCTGCAGAGTTCAATAGTCGCATGTTCGTGTGTGTTTGTTTAGGAAGGAGCCAACCTACCTCGCTCGGCGCGGACGTCATCGACCCAGTCTGCTTAGTCTGCTGCCGCCGAGCTCAGCACTTCGAGACTCGACTTCGAGACTCTCTTGCTCGGGCCCGATGCGTGAAGCTGGGCCAAAGAGTGGTAAGGGGAGAGTTGGGGAATATAGCTGGGCACTTCTCAGGTGATCCGCGGTAGCTGCTGTCGTGTCCGGCCGGGGCCGCCAAAAACCGTGCTGTTGCCCTTGCAGAGCGCAGCCTAGCAGTAACGTGCATATGGTACCCTTGGTACCTTCTACTAGGTACCCTAGCATCCGTATCGTTTCGTTTCTTTTCGTGGTCTTGTCGTCTGCTCAATAGAGATACAGCTGCGATTTGGAAGGCCAAGGTAGGTCGGTGCGCAAGCTTCTCTCTTTCCCTACCTACCTACCTACCTACCTACCTACGCAGCCAAGCAAGCAGGGCAGGCAGTCAGGACTGCAGCAAACAGCAAAGGGCAGGCAGGTGCGTGAGTTGAGGGTGATTCCCCCGGGTCCCCTCCCCCCTCGATTACGGGGCCGCTTGACCGTATCGGGCTAAGCGAGCAAGCCACTTAATCTCTTCCCCAAGCTGCATTCCCCTGTCCGGACCTGCATTTCAAACCCCTCCCCTCCGTCTGAGCCTTTTCCTTCCCTTTCATCCACAGCTCGGAGTCGATCTGTTCCACTAGGTACACGCGTGTCTTTCCGCGCCCATTGATTCTATTTTTTGCGGCCCGCCCTTCGATCCACCCGATGTTTGCTTGCTTCTTCATGTCTTCAACTCGGACACACCTGCGAAGATCTCATTCTGCCGATATAGAAGAAGCACATAAAGAAACATCGAACAAACATCCGGTCAATCTACTCGTGGCCACTAGCCGCCACCCGTCGGACCTATTGCTAGACATGGTTGAATCAACCCAGACACACACTCTTTTCCTTCGGTGAGACTTACACTTCAGCATCGGCGCCAGCAACACCCACACCCACACATACACGCCCTGGCGCCGATGACAGAGCAGAGTACGGATAGTCCGCAACAACGCAAACGCCAAACAACGCCAACAGCACTACACAAGCTTCTACCCGACGGACGAGGCGCGATGTGGCTGCCCTGCCCTGCCCTGTCCTGAACTGCACTGCACTGCATTCAACCCGACCTCGACCCAGAATCCGTTTGGCTACGACTGCGACATGTACAGACTGCCTTGCCACAGCGTTTATTGTTTCTTAACGTGCCGCTATCCGAACATCCCTGGCTTGTCACATGGCCTGCTCTACGAATCTCATCCGACTGCCTGGATGCACCGTGGCTCTCCTCATGGCTCCCATGGCGAACGTCGCCCCCGAGGCCCATGGGAGCAAGCGCAGTCGCGGCGTCTAGCCCCGGCCCACTCCCTTGGGTCCTCAGCCTGTGAACTATGTCTTGACTCTCTTGCTTCTCTCTCTCTCTCTCTCTCTCTCTCCACGCACATGCTGTCCCCCGCTCAGAGCATGCGCTTGCTAGATGCTGTTTTGGACGCTGCTCTGAGCTTTACCCCTCTGGAAGTTTCCCTGCTTGCCCAGCTGTGCTTTTTCCGCTTGTCCTGAAATGTCTCTGGCGCCTCCAATATCTCGCCCTAATCAAACTCGGCCTAGGCATGCGCACCATCCCTACGGAACTTGGCCTCACAACCCCCAATCCAGCCCGCCCGAGGCATGGGTGTGTCAATTCAACCATGCAGTAGCCGGGAAACCTGCGTCGCCGCCTAGCTACCTTGCCTTTGGCCGGCTCTAGCTCGCGCGCCATGTGTCCTGCCAGCAACGGTCTTGACGACACGACACGACACCACCGGCCCTGCTCCGAGCCCGTTGTCTGTTGTCTGTTATCGCGCTCTGCCCTTCACTTGCAGACTTGGCAGTCATTGGGTTTTGTTTATTACCGGTCCTGTCCCCCAGACATCCATCATGTTGTCAACAGATGTTCTGTTGCATCCCTCTTTCAAGGCATTTCCGGGCTTCAACTTTCGAAGCAGACATTCATTTGTTCACTGCTTTTTGTCCTTCAATAGCCCACCATGAGGTTATCTCTTGCAGCGTTGGCTTCGCTGCCGGTGCTTGTTGCCTCTTTAGCCTCGACCGACTCGTACCGCGATGCTGTAAGTTCCATACTTTTCCCTCTTATACTCACTCCTATCTCGGCACATGGCGAGACATGCACATGCCAGTTGCTATGAAAGGCCGTGCTGACCGTTGGATGCTTTCTCATGACAGGATCTGCCTCAATCGGGCTACTTGCCCAACCACAACTTGAACCCCAACGTCGCAGGGTCTTCGAGCTTCAAGAACCTGTGGACTTTTGTCTCTCCTAATGCCAAGGAACTATGGCTAGCCAAACCTCTGGTGTACACACCCGAGGGCCAATCCGAGCTCGTCATCACCGCCTCGGAGATGAACATTGTCCGCGTCTTTGACAGTAAGACGGGGAAGCTGTTGAACAGCAGGACGCTTCAGCCGCCTTTCACTGCCCTCGACAGCAACTGCGGTGATATTCCAGACTGGGTTGGTGTTACTGGCACTCCCATCATCGACCCCAACACCGACATTATGTATCTGTTTTCCAAAGGCTACAGGGACGGGACGACTTCCGGCACTGCAAACGGAGTCTACAAGATGTACGCTATTCGGATACCCACCCTCGAAGACGTTGCTGGCTTTCCGGTTCTCATCGACGGCATCAACGCCGACAATGATCGCGCCCGCTATTTCGTCGGCGGCGTGGCTCTGCAGCGGCCGTCTCTGACGGAGCTCAACGGCCACATCGTGGCAGCGTTCGGCTCTCACTGCGGTCGTTGGAACTACACCGGCTACCTTGTCTCGGTCAGCAAGACCCCGGGTGTCGGTCCCGTGAGTATGTGGGCAACCGAAGCCGCGCCAGGCGCTCCAAAGCCTCAGCCGCTCGATCTGGCCACCGAAACTGGTGGCAAGGCTGGCATTTGGCAGAGCGGCATGGGCCTGCCTACCATCGGCAACAACGTTTTCTTCGTCGCTGGCAATGGTCAAGGACATGCCAATGGTAACGTGCCAGCTAGTGGCAGGCTTCCCATGTCAACGCTAGACGAGTGTATTGTGAAGATGGAGCTCTCAGCCACTGGCAAACTCAGCTTGATCGACTATTTCCAGCCATACGACTACATTGGCCTCGATGCCGGCGATCGCGACGTTGGCTCCTCCGGACTGGCCGTCTTGGACCCCTCTGTCTTCAAAGGCGCCGGAGTTAACCGGATTGGCGTGACCGCGGGAAAGAAGGGCCGCACCTATATCGTCAATGCTGACAACCTTGGCGGTTTCCGACAGGCTGCAGATGGTGGAGATGGTATCCTGCAGACCATCGAGCTCGGACTCTCTGTCTATGGTGGATTTGGTAGCTACCCTGCTGAAGGTGGCTACATTTATGTAACCCCGGTCGCTGGCAGTCTCGTTGCCTACAAGCTTGGCTTCGACTCAAAAGGCGCTCCCCAATTCAGTCTCGCTGGAAAGTCAACGTGGATCTCTGCCGGCCGAGTCGGTGTTGGTCAGATGACTGTTACGTCTGACAATGGAAAGATTGGTACTGGTATTGTAAGATTAGCCTTCCTAACCCGTCGACATGATGGTATGCGTGCACTAACAAACACCAGGTCTGGATCACCGACGTCAATACCGGTCTTATGGCCTTCCGAGCTGTTCCTCAGGACGGCGTCATGGTTCCCCTCACTCTTCCACAGTCCCAAGGCACGAACAAGTACCAGCGCCCTGTTTTCGGAGACGGCCGTGTATTTTTCCACTCCAACAACAACAAGCTCGTATGCTTTGGCGCTCCTGTTAATTCCGCCGTTAACTGCACCAGCCCGGTTGATTTTGGCTCCGTCGAGGTCGGATCTGTCGCCAGCGCGAGTGTCAGCTGCAAGGCCAACGTTGCACTCACAAAAGTCAATGGCTGTTCCGTTTCGGATCCGTCATGGTCGTGTTCCAACTCGACTCTGCCCAGGGCACTGTGGCCGCGGGCACATCCTTTTCTCTGAATGTGACATGGGACCTCTCAAACCCTGCTGCAAAGGTTGTTCCTGGTTTCCTCACCAGCGCGTTGACACTCTCTGTCAGCGCCGCGGCAGACTACGCTCCAACGACCGTAGTGTCGCTACAAGGCACCGTTGTCAAACAAGGTGCCTTCCTCAGTGCGGCCCCTTCCGACATCGCCTTTGGCAGACTCGTGCTGCGAGACGCCCCCGATGGCTTGACTGGCACAGCTCTGTTGCAGAACGTGGGCAACGGTACTCTGACTTTTGCTGGCTTTGCTTGGCAAAGTGATGCCGGTACTTACACCAACATCACTGACGATGGTAGTTTGGGCTCCGGCTTCTCGTCACCGAACTTCCCCGCTGTCGGTTCTTCCCTCGAGTCTGGCCAGAGCTTGTCTGTCCCGCTTCGTTTCTTCCAGCAAACCTCCGGGTCGTACACGACAAAGGTTACGATCTGGTCGAATGGCGGCTCGGCTATCCTCACATTGAGCGGCTCCGTCAATGATCCTCCAGTTGTGACATTTGAGCTGGCCGATGGCTCTGGCAACTGGAACGTGCTCTCAGATTACAAGGTTGCGTTTGGAAATGTGCTTGCTGGCGCTTTGGTCGATAAGCAGATTCGTGTCTGCAACAAGGGTGGCGCACCTTTGACAATCACCATTTCCAAGCCCCCTGCGACGCCTCAATTGTTTGCTCTCAACCCCAACAACGAGCTCACTGAAGGGACGCAGGTTCCGGCAGGAACATGTGCGATTGGCAGCGTCGGCGTACATGCCGCCCCTGTCCAGCCGAACCATCCAGCTCAGTCTTTGAGGGCTCTATGGACTCTCAGCACAGATGGCAACGACCCTGTAACAGGCCAAGCTTCCGGTTTACACAACATCGTTTTCGAGAGCACCGTTGTCACCAAGCAAGTCGGACCTCTCCTTACGAACGGAACCGCGCGGTATCAGTGGGTTGGATGCTTCAAGGACACTACCAACTTGGGCCGCAACTTGCAGAACTCGGTCAACACCGCCGACCAGCAGAAGACGAACACTCTCCAACAGTGTCAGACACTCTGCCTTGCCAGAGGCTTCATCCTTTCTGGCGTCCAATACCATTCAGAGTGCTGGTGTGGTGGAAACATCAAGAACCCCTCTACCTATACAGACGAGTCTCTCAACCTTTGCACCTTCGATTGCACGGGCGATGATACACAAGCTTGCGGCGGTGACAACGGACACATGAGCTTGTACGCTGATATAACCTCGTTCGACATTCAAGGATTCTACAAGTCGGTCAATGCCCCTAGCTCAAGCTCCTCAGTGCCGGTGGCGACGAGCTCTAGGCTTGCATCTTCTAGCACGGTTGTTTCAACAGCCTCGTCAAGCGCATCTTCTTCAGCCGGCAGCAGCATAGCGATTTCCAGCTCTGTGGCATCCAGCGTCCTTTCATCGGCCACATCGACCTCTCCTTCTTCGAGCAGCATCGGAATCTCCTCAAGTTTGTTCAGCAGCAGCAGCAGCAGCATTGCGAGCACTAGCACAATCGCGTCGTCCACCTCCACCTCTAGCACCGCGTCGTCAAGCCCGACGTCCACGATAGTCACGTCGCCCCTGAATCCTAGCATGCCCGCTATCATCAATGGACAATGGCAATACGCTGGTTGTTTCAAGGACCTTGTCAACAACACTCGACTTCTGAATGAAGCTTTTCTGGCTTCCGACGACATGACATTGGACAAGTGTGCTGCATTCTGCAGTACGGGCGCATACAATGGCGGCGCTTTCAACTACTTTGGTGTCGAATACAGCCGTGAGTGCTTCTGCGGTTGGGATGTCAAAGCAGCACAAACGAGCACCTCGGAGTCGGAATGTTCCTCATCATGCGCAGGCTCGCCCATCGGTTTGTGCGGAGCCGGAAATAGGCTTTCAGTCTACAACAACACCGTTCCCAACCAAGTCCCAAATGCTCCTCAACATGTCCCGAGAGCAAACGACTACAAGTTCCTAGGCTGCCAGACCGAGGGCGCCAACGGCCGCGCCTTGACTGGCAAGTTCACCGCCGCAGACACAATGACCGTCGAAACCTGCGCCTCTTTCTGTGCTGTGGATGGATGGCAATTCATGGGTGTTGAGTATGCTCGTGAATGTGAGTACATGATACCTCTATTGTCCTCGAACTGTTTTCTGACATGGCTCACTAGGTTTCTGTGGCAACTCAACCAATGCTGGGTCAGTGCCCGCTCCGCTTGACGATTGCAACATGATCTGCGCGGGAAGCAGGGTAAGTCTCACGATCTGTCTAGCATGACCCAAGTTAACATGTGGTAGGTACAATACTGTGGTTCGAGTAACCGTCTCGATCTTTATCAACTCTCCCCGCTTGCCCCTAGCGCGTCTTCGAGCACTGTGCTCCCCGCAAGCTCAACAGCTTCGGGTTCCTCCTCCATTGCCAGCTCATCAAGCATGGCGTCGGATCCTGTTGTCTCGTCTACCGCGTCATCGACTGGCGAAGTTTCAGCTCTCACTTCATCCAGCTCATCAGCCAGCCTCGCTTCATCCAGCTCGTCGGCCAGCAGCTTGGTTTCGTCCACACCACCGTTGACATCGTCGTCATCCACCATCCCTGTACCCACTGTCCCTGCATCGACAACAGCGAGCAGATCGATTGGAAAGACACCAAGTACGACGGCAGGACCCACGGCTACCGCCACCAACGGCTATTACTACATCGGCTGCTTCCAAGACACCAACTCGGGCCATGCGCTGCCCGGCTTGTTCGCCAACAACAGCGTCACCCCCGAGCTCTGCATTGACTACGCCAACTCAAAGTTTAGCAACTCGCCGACCTCGACAACAAAGATGCCATACGTCTTCCTCGAGTACCACCACGAGTGCTACGGCGGCGCCACCTTGGATTTCAAGGGCGCCGCGGTCACCTCCCTGGTTGGAAAACAGGCTTGCAAGGACTACTGTTACGGCAGCGTCAGCACATTTACAACGGACGGCAAGGTCACAACCACCACTGGCACGGCCAACTATTGCGGCGGGGCGAAGATGTTCGACCTGTACGCGATATCAACACCGGTCGCCTTCCCGACAACGGGTGGTCCTCTGGTCACTAGGACAGTGAACTGAGGCGGTCTGGCGGGGGAGGTATTATTGATAATTGCATAATCACGCCCGTTGAAGAGGCCTTGAAATATCTCAACGTGTCATTTCCTTAGCACATACCCAGGCATTCCACAAGACTGGATGTCAAGCAATTACTCGCATACTTAGACTTCATTTCATATTCATACTATTCTGTTCATACCACGTCATCTTCGAACCTTGTGCCCTTGCATGAGATTTGCTGTTCTTTGTCAAGTCATGTGTCGAGAGGTGCCGCCGCAGGCCATGCGACGCATTGTAACGTCCCATTTGCATCGTTCAAAGCGCATGCAGCGTGCTGCTTTAGACGTCTGCGGCATCAAAGTTGCGGATCAGGTCGTAGTAGAACCTCAAGATTTCCATGTGGGCACTAATCTTGATTCTCTCGTCAATGGTGTGGGCGTTGATGGTCGCGCCGTTTCGGATCGGCACGAAACGGTAGACGTTGCGCGTGAGGCCTAGTTACGCGGTCAGCTCATCGTACTCGCTCCTGGTTTTTGCACGCGCTCGTCGTGGGAAACTTACTCAAGTAGTGCCTCGTGTCGGTGTTGCCGGTCATGAGCTCGCCGACGGGCACGACTTTGCCCCCGTCAAACGCAAAGGTGGACTGCAACGTGCCGGAGAACAGGTCCCAGACGGGGCCCTTGGTCGGCGACAGGGGCGCGGGGAGCGTCGCCTGGGTGCGGCTCAGGTACAGCGTGCCGTTGTAGTCGACCTCGTACAGGGGCTTGACCGCATCGTCCAGCTTCTTCACGGAACCCAAGTCCCGTCCGTGCCGCTGCGTATACTCCTCGTAGTCCTGGTCGCCCTCGAAGGCCTTGACGGTGATGCCGTACTTCTCGGCGATGCCGCTAATGTAGCTGACGACGTTGTGCTGGATCTCGGGGATGCTGTTCTGCGGCGCGACGCGGTAGTTGACGCCGACGCGGATCTTCTCCGGCATGGCGTTGATCTTCTGGCCGGCCTGGAAGTAGTCGACGCTCTGCGACGTCTGCAGGCGGTAATGCGTCGGGCGGTCAATGGCCACCAGCTCCGCCACGAGGGCGTCAAGGTCGCCCTCCTCCAGCAGCTCCGTGATGCGCGGCTGGGCGTCGGGCGAGTACCGCGCCTGGCAGACCATGTGCTCGTAGAGCGGCGAGCTGGTCGTGAGTTTGGGGGAGTAGGGGTGGGACTCGAGGGCGACGACCATTTCGGAGACGATGCCGATGCCCGTGTGCGGGAAGGGGACGGACGAGTGGCCGCCGGTGACGTGCAGGTCCAGCCAGATGTCGACGTGGCCCTTCTCCATGACGGCGGGGAGGGCGTAGAGGGTGCCGTCGTCGAGCTGCTGCAGGCCCATGCCGCCCTCGTCGAGCACGAGGGCCATGCTGTCGTTGCCCCAGGTCTGCTGCAGGTGCGTGGCGATGTGCCCGGCGCCGCGCTGGCCGGAGCACTCCTCGTCGAAGCCCGAGGCGAGGATGATTGTGCGGGTGGGGGTCCAACCGGCGCCCGGGCCGGGCTGGGAGAGGAGAGTCTCGAGGGCGGACAGCAGGGCGGTGAAGGAGTTCTTGTCGTCCGAGACGCCGCGGCCCCACATCCACTCGCCGTCAAAGTGGGCGGAGAAGGGCGGGTAGGTCCAGGTGGCGGCGTCGGCGACGGGGACGACGTCCTGGTGGGCGGCGAGAAGGAGGGGCTTCAGGGAGGGGTCGGTGCCGCGGAGCGTGTAGACCAGGCCAAAGGTGTTTACCTTGACGAGCTCTGCGCGGGCGTGGCTGGCGGCGTTGTGTCAGAGACGTTGTTCCCGCCGGTGGTTTTTTTTCTCTTCTTTGCGCCGGGGAAGAGGGGGGACTTACAAGACGGGGTACGTCTTCTTCAAGACATCGTGCAGCTCGTAAAACACGTCCCAGCGCTTGTCCGTGTCGAAGTCGCCGAGGTCGTCGTAGCAGATAGACGGCACGCGGACAAGCGCCGCATGGCGCTCGACCTGCTTCCGGACGGCCTCGGGGGAGGTGAAGAGGTCCTTTGCGGAGGGGAGGCCGTCGGAGGGGGTCACCGCGGGCGGGAGGTCGCATTTGAAGTCGGATGCGGCGCCAACAAAGGGGTGCTGCTGCTCTGTGTAGAAGGGGGAGGTGGCGGACGTGAGGGCGGTCGTAGAGAGGAGGGTGAGGAGCGATTGGGAACGCATCTTGGAGGGTTTCGGTCGAGGCTCGCTCGGTCCGCGACTTTGTACTTTGGTTGCTGGCGTGCTATCACGAAGCTGTTCAGACTACACCGTCGGCCTGGTTCTCGCGGGCAGGTCAGGGAACGAGAGAAGAAGGGGGGGGTTCACCGGGGAGAGGGGAGCAGCGTCGAGCAAGACGTCATTTTTGTAGGTATGCAATCCGCCCGTACACGCGAATACTGGTCCCGGCATTGCGTGATAGCTATCCGGTCTCCCCAAATTCCTGATGCCCCCATTCGCCCAATTGGTGTGTGAGTCGCGTGGAGGGAGCTGCCCCCCGGCCGGCCGAGATAGGAGTTGGCGGCATGCTTCGCTTGGGGTTGTGGGGGGGGGGGGGGGGGGGGGGGGGGGGGGGGGGGGGGGGCGCAGGGCGTTGATAACGGCATCGAAAGTCTCCCAGTCCTTGCCCGAAGCCGCGTTTCGGAGTCGGAAGGGGGAGGGGCTGCTGTGTAGTCGCTGGCCGGTGCCGATACGGAGATGTGGACGAGGGGTGCATGGTCAATCGCTTGGGACAAGGAGGGTTCTCTGGAGGAAGTGATGTGCGGTTTGGGGGACGGGATTGTCGGACAGGCGCCGCGGGCAACTTGTTGTGCACCTTCCTAATCGGAGCGTGGAGGTCGAATAGCGGAACATGATTGGGTGGCGGCGAGAGGTTGCGTCGGGTATTGTCCGGTGGGGTGGAAGGAGGGAGGGAAGGGGACGGGGCGTCGGCAATTTTGGTGGTTGGTGATTGATTGAGAGATGAAGCGATAAAGGCAAGCGAGACGCCGGGCATGGCTGGTTGCTTGGACCTGCCTTTTGATTCCGTCTAGGGTGGTCATGCATGATGGGGGTTCCCACTGCAGACTGGCTTCCCGGTCCCAGGTCCGGGACTGCGGCTCCTGGCAGCGCCGGTTTCGGCACGGAGACCCGATCGGGAATGTTGAGATCACCGGGAAGGCGCACCGTATCAAGGCTATTCCGTAGGCTGGCGGCTATTTGATGAGCCTTGTTTAAGAGTCTGGCCTTTTCGTGCATACATGTACAGCGGTTGTTAAAGGGACTCAAGCCCGCTGCAGTTGGCCTTTACCTCTATCTCAGCTCAGACCTGGAGAACCTACACACATCAACCGGTTGAATCAACCCTCTGCTCCATGCGAATCAAATGGCAAGCTCGTCTTTCGACTTGGCAAAGACTTGCGACCCCCTCGCGAAACTCAACAGTTGACAAGGGCATGGCAACCTAGATCTGATCCTGCACGCAGACAATTGCGTGCTTTGCAAATGAGAAGCGAGCAAAACGAAAAGAAGAGCAAACCTCATTCTGCCTCAAGAAGGTCGCGATGCACCGAATACCACTTTCTTGGCGACGGCACTCGTTGCAAAACGCAAAAGAAAAGTCGACGTTGGCCTGATTCGAACAGACGCTCCCGAAGGAACAAGATTTCTAGTCTTGCGCATTAGACCACTCTGCCACAACGCCGGATGATCCCTGTTGTTCACCGCAACTGGGAGTGGAGATGCCAGGATCCGGCGAATGCTAGATTCAAGAACCTTTGCCAGAATGCCCTCCGTGTTGCAACAGGTCCCGTCCTCGGGATACGGACGTTATTCTTGTGCGCCCTTACGAACGGGCGGTCTAGGCATGGTTCGGTAAACGTTTGCAAGTCGCTGTTAGCACGACAGTACGAAAAAGAGAGACGCCTTGTCCTGGTCTCGCTGGCGTCCGACTCGTGGATGTCGGTCTCGAGGTACGGCGGGGATAGCTTGTTCAGCACTCCGATGAAGCGGTGTGATGGCTGAAACACTTATCGGTAGCGACGTCTTGACTCTTCTAGGTTTCTATGTCAGGGGCGTCGTCTTGCAGACTGACGGTTGTGGAGTGGCTGTCCCCAGCGCGAAGAGTTCAGTATGGAGCTCATAGAGGCTGCGATGCTGCTCAAGGCGTTAAGCTGGTGTCTCCCTTGAAACGATGAGTTGAGGCGAATCGACGCTGTGCGTCGTGACTGTTTCGTTTTGCTGTCAGCAAGATTGCTCGTTCCCGATTGAATCGTAGTTGCCAGGTGTCGAGGCCTCACGGGTGCCCAGTTGAGCGGCGAAAGAGGCGATCTCCCGCCGCGCGCCGCGTGTCCCGAGGACCTGGGCTCGTCCGATGTCGTCGTCGCCGGTTGCAACAGCAATGCTCTCTGTGCGCGCCGCCGCCCAGGCGGGTGCCGAGTGGCCCGGTTGCAAGATTCCAGTGAGCGCGAGGTCCAGGCTGTAGGGCTGCGCCGGCTGACTCGGTGACGATGGGAGAAGAAGCGACGAATCAAACGCCAATCGCCGATGCAGAAGCCGTATCCTCTGCTGAAAGGACAGCGTTGGCGAACTCGAGCTCCGATGACGATGCCGCTGCGGTTTCTGATTGCGGAGTTAAGGGATGCCTGCCGTCCAGTCTTCCCAATGTTTCAGTGTTTCCGCCTCTTTCTTGTGGTTTCGCTTGGGGCAGCGCAGAGACGGGCTTCAATTGCAGACGGATCTGCTCTCGACGTATCGGACGTAAGACGCGGTGCTGCTGCTTCCGCCGTTCCCGCGATGGACATTGCTGTTGCCGACGGGAAGCCCGACCGGCCGGATACAACACGGTGTTTTGGTCGTGGCAGCGATCGCAGGCAGATATCGGCAGGGGTCGAGGTATTGTCGTACTTTGAGTTCTACTATACCAGTAGTACACTAATTCACGAGGTGATGTGCAGCTTTGGTGGAGATGTTTTGTTCTCTAATCCGATCCCCTGTCACTTAGCTGATCCTCCTAAGGGAATGAACTTCTCCGGCCGACTACCATTTAACTTTTCAACTACATTTCATGGCGAACGTCATGAAGTCTGGACTTACTAGTGTCGTGCATTCAGCGAAGTCTAACATAACAATCACACGTGGTAGGATGGATGGGATGGGAGTTGGGACGCCAGTATTGGTCTGCGATGATACTTAGGATGAGCTGACAAATCGCGCAACTGGCAGAAGAACCAGGGATTCGGACGAAATGACGAGGCTCGTCGGAACATGAGCCAAGCATTTTCCATCCAAAGAAACTTCCCCCCGCATGACCGGCGACTTCATGTATTGCGACTTCACGTTTCACGATAAGACGCACAGTGTCGCGCCGTGCATCAACAATGGAAGGGTTGCAATTTAGGGTCAAGAATAAGTATTGAACATTGAAGTGTGAACTTTGTACAAGAACATGCAAGTCCCAGGTTTTCTCTGGGCGTGGCTCAGGTCCGTGGTGCGAAACTTTCGGATTCGTTTCCAAGTCATCTCGTCTCAAGACAGAAAGGTTAACCAGGGGGGGTATAAGATGCGAGCCCGACTGTCTTCTTCCTCTCTAAACTCTGGGTTCCCGTTTAGATACGCTTGCGAAGGGCCCGCTTCGCAGCGCGACGCTTGTTGCAGGAAGACTGTAGAGCCAAGTTAGCAAACGATGAACCATTCCAACCGTTCTGAAACCCAAACCCTATTGGTGCTAAGGCTTCGGACGGCGGGATGAAGTAGTACTTACGGCAGGCTCAGTAGCGACGGGTTCGCTGGCGGCACTGGTGGCAGGGGTGGCGGGAGTGGCAGCGGGGGCAGCGGAGGTCACGAGAGTGGTGGGGACGGCAGAGGGAGCGGCAGAGGGAGTAGCAGAGCCAGAGCCGGAGCCAGAGCCGCCGGAGGTGAAGTCGACGCAGGACATGTAAGTCTGGCCGGCCTCGGCAGAGTCCCACCACCACTGGAGGACGCAGTTGCCGGCGGTGCCGCAGTTGGAGGGCAGAGTGTCGGGGAGGGTGACGCTGAAGGCGGTGTTGTTGGCGGCGACACCAGTCTTGGTGCTGGCGTAGTTGGTGAAGGAGATCAAGGGCGAGCCAATGATGGAGTTGCTGGTGGTGTCGACGACGGACACGTTGGCGACACCAGTGTGGGGGGCGCGGATCTCAACCTTGAAGTCGACGGTCTGGCCGGGCGTGTAGCTCTGGATGTTGGCCGAGTTGTCGGCGAACTTGTAGCCCTTGCAGAGGGCAAGCTCGCACTTGGAAGCGTCGAGGCTGCTGCCAGCCTGCTGGGCGAGGCCCTGGATGTTGCCGTAGGGATCGGACTGCTCGGTGTTCCACATGGTGGTGCCGCAGGCCTCCTTGAAGGCATCGCCGGCAACGCGGGGAGTGGGCGAGGTGACCTTGCCGTGGGCCGAAACGGCGGCGACGAAGGAGAGGACGGTGACGATCTTGGACTGCATCTTGACTGATTTGTAGAGTTTCGAAACGTAAAGAGTCGTTGAAAGAATGGACTTTGCGGGATTTGTCTTGCGATGGTTGTAAAAAGCTCGAAAAGAATGGCTTGTGTCTAGCACAGCGTAAAGAGAGTGTGAATGAATGAACGTGAATGGAAATTCGGACAAGTTGGAATGAGACGAGGAGATCAGATCAGAAGAGACAGGCTCGATGGGGAGCGTGGCATGGCGGAGGCTCTTATACGGTTGGTGTTGGCTAGCAGTGACCCTCATCCCACATCGTCCCTCCCATCCCGTCTCATCCCGTCCCATCTCGCCGTCACTCCTCTTCGCTGCAAGTCTTGCATGCATGCTAGGGGTGTCATGGACGGCCCAGTCCGGACCCAGGTACGGACCCGGCGCCTCAATCTATGCAAGACGGCTTGTTGCGACCGAAGCTTTCGCGCCGTCAGGGGAGCGAATGACTGATCGTGAGGGACGAAGGGGAGCCCAGACCAGCCTAGGGTCGGGTATACCCAAAGGAAGAAGAAAGCAACTTGGCGACCCTCCCATCAGCCTTCCAAGAGTCACCGAGGCGCAACCAAGAGATGCGGTCCATCCGTATTCCTGGAACATGAGCTGGCAGCCAACGGCCCCCGGTCCACCTCCAGATCGAGGGAAGCGCAGCGATTGGGCGTCCGACGGGCTAGGCTCCCGCAACGGGCAGTAGTTGCTGGATGTTAATCTGACTGAGGCTAGGTGGACACGCTGATGGACCCGAGTTGCGCAGACGCCGTCATGACATGACCCCTGCTCACCTCGCAGCTCCTGAACCGGGGTTGCTGAAACGGCGCCATCACGCATCTTTCAGGCGGCTCCGCCGTGTGACCCCCACCACATCATCCTTTTCCCCCTTCGTGATGTGCTTGAGTTTGTCGAGTTCAGAGTGTCTGCCCGTCACTAGTCGTCGTGAGACTGTGCTCGCCCCTCGTCCCATTTCGGTCCCTCGGCTACCTGATCTTCGATGACTTCAATGGAGAACATCCACGCCTGGAACCTCCCTGCAAGCGAGAAATAAAAGGTCGGGCGCGGGTAGGGAAGATGCTTCTGTTGCAGGTGGTAGATCATGTTTACCGCATCCACGTTCATCAGTTGGAAATTTGACTCGCTCTAATCGCCTGTTTCAAGAGCTTCCTCCGTGGATTTTATCTCGATTGCTGTTTATTGCGAGTCGGTGGACTCAGCGCCTCTGCAGCCCCCCTTGCGAGTCGCACGACCTTTGCTGCGACCCTTGGACTTTCAACCTGGGCGCCAAATAGTATTAGTTCAGGCTTGGCCATATCAGTCTTCTTCGCCCGGGATTGCCGGCCAACCAAGGCGTGAATCTGTCTGTGTAATCCGGACGCATCTCCAATAGAACCAGATTCATTCCTCGTTCCTCAGTGCGACTCCAGTTGCACTACTCCGTCTTCGTGTCAGTGGTATCGTGAGCCGACGCTCGACGAATCTCCTGTCATCAACCTCTGACCGGACTTCGTCCTGGTGGACTCCGCTCTACCCGACTTGGCTCCCACGTCGCTTGGCCACATTGTGGCGCGTCACATGAACGAACTTTTTCAGTGATTTTCGATGCTTCCACCCCAGTACGAGATTCCGGCCCCATGATTTGCCTCCCACTTCTCGCTGATGATGCTGACATGATATGGTGAGATGCGGCGGGTGATGTGTCGGCAGGCTTTCCCCTTCCCGTCTGTTCCTCGCTCTTTTCGTCCAGCTGTCAACTGAACTAATTGAAACTCACCCCCGTGCCCACATCGTGGATCCTAGGCAGGGTCATGGGCGCTAAACCTTGCACTGCAGAGCGGGCCCGGGCTAGCCTCCTCATCCGTAAGATTAGGCCTTTTCAATTTCTACATAGTATCCTCAGGTGAGACGGGGGAGCTGGGCAAAGGATAGGGGAAGCAAACACGGTGTGGTCGATACGCAGGCCGCAGGCGGGGGATAGACTCTAGCGGCTCCTCAAACCGCCAGACATGTCATCCGCGCAAGTCGCTCCGCGGCTAAACTTCTTGGCCGAGTGAAGATGATATAAGCCATCAGTTGTTTCCCCTTTTTCCCAGCAATCGGCCTTCCCGGGCGGTCGGAAGACAGGTCCACTCTTTCTCGGCAGACAGAAGGCCTTGGCCAGCAGCTTCCGGCCGGCAGTCAAGACATGGGCGAGGGACGTGATCGAGGGTACAAATGTTCTGAGTAAAAAGGCTTCTTGTTTTTGCAACTTAAGCTTTAACATCACAAACAGGGGTTCTACAAGGATATAAGTTGCAATGCGACAGTGCATTCGGCGGCCTGCAAGCAACATGAGGTGCCCTGCCCTCAGTGCTAGTACCTTAATTAGGGGGGAAAAAGAAAAACCTACTTGTCTCCTAATTGGCAGACCGCCCTTACCATCATGAATGGTGACATACAGGCTTCGAGTGCCTTAGAGGGACCGATCAGGAATTTAGTTGCTGGAATGGGAAACCCTTCGCCGCATGCTGGGGAGAACCCGACACGGACGAGTTGAATCTGCGAGAGGCTCGGCTTCTTATCTTTTCAATGAGTTTATTGGAAAAATATCCGATAACTCCACCCATTTTTCCAGTAGTCATATGAAGACTTCCTTCAAAGGTTTCTACCTTCATCGCTGCAATTGAACAGGTCGGCAACCACCATTGTTTTAGCTTGGGCCGAAGCAACTAATGGGCTCAGACCGTTGTGCCGGTTGCCGTTCCCACGACCTCCAGAACTTTTGACGCGTCTGAATTTGAGTACCCTCGGATCGGCACCGCGTATCTCCTACCGACCGCAGGTACGGATCCCCCTTTAATACCATGTCATCCGCCGTTCAGCACAGCCGCGATTTACCTGACACCGCCCTTGCAGCTGCAACGCCGCCGTGGGGCAGGCTCAGCGATATTTTCGGCCGCAAGCCCACCTCTCCAGCTTTTATTGTGGAATTCTTTTGTCGGTTCTGTTATCGGCACCTTGGTCCAAGATATAGATCCGCTCATCGCCGGGTGGGTCATTCAGGGCATCGGCGATGGGGACATTCATGGGCTCTCGGCGACGGCTGTTAATGAGTGAGACATGGCCATCATATAAGAAAGAGGCACAAAGATGACGATTGTTTGCATCAAGGACTATGTCATTTTCAGTGTTGTATGGGGAACGTCTTGCGGCGCCGGACTTGTGGGCGGCGCCTTTCCCTAATATGCTGTAGATGATGCTTGTAAATCAATCATAAGTTTTATAGAAGCTCTACGCAAAGCCGCCCACAAATGCAGGTTGACCTTGCTACTAGTCCCAGCCATCGGGCTTGTTAGCATCTTCTTCTGTTTCCTCAATTTCCATACACCACGAATTCCAATCTTCGAAGGCCTTCGGGCAATGGACTGGCTCAGACACATTGTCGTGTCCAAGCCACAGCTACGTTCCTCCTTAGCCTAAGATACGATGGCATGACCTGCCAATGAGCTCGCCAATTGTAATGTTCAATACTCCTCATTATATTTGGCATTATCGCCATTGCCATCTTCGCGCTGGTCGAGGTGAAAGTAGGGAAATCACCAGTGACGTCGCTAAGCCTTTGGGGTTCAACTTCAACTGTCGCCGTTTATAATGTAGCGTAAATCCGCGAAGACCTTTTCATCGCAGATTTGTATCATCTTTGCCTTTCATCACAGTCAATTCTTGGCGCAAATTCAACTATGTCAGGCGTCTGCCTACTGCCAGTTGCTGTCACTCTGTGCGCCATATCCAGTTTGACGGGCGTATACATCAGCAGAACGGGAAAATTAAGCCCGTCCATACTATATACTGATAGTCCTCTCTCTTTCTCAGAGGACTATCTTCCTGTTTTTACGTCAATGTCCAAGCCTCTCAACTTGACAGAAACAGTCCTACGGAAAGATGGCAAGCAGGCAAGCAAGATCCACGGTTCTCACTGAAGTTGTATTCAATTAAACAGTAAAAGGCATCATTAGGATGTTTGTCATTTGTCGAATAAGAACTTTCACCGTTGTTGACATAGTAAAATTTTACAGAGTACCAATCCTCCTTCACACGTAAGATGGGGGGACGAGATGTTCTGCATCAAGTACCGGCGTCTTAAACCTGCATACATACGACAACGGACCTCAAGGTCTTTCATCAAGGACATATATTTGCTAACGTAGAGATATACTCAACCCCAAAGCCTCAGGGATGCCGACCCCAGATCCAGACATACGAGAACCCAACCAGGGTTCCGTTCAAAACATCCTGTCTCATCTCACTTTCTAACCGGTCAATGTCTCTGACACTCTCAAGCCCCTCAGTTCCACCATCCTCGAGTATTGCTAGCATAATTGGCCGGACAGCCTCAGTGGAAATCCTCTTCATTGGACCGCGCATTTTATCTTCGACGCTGTATGTGTTCCAGGTCTTTTCTTCAACGTCTGTGAAGCCTGACTTTCGCAATACAACAGGTAGCCGAGCTGGCATACTATGGTTGAGGTTACGGTTAGCAAGATGACCCAGCCAATCATACATACCATAGCATTTCCACTAGAGTATTCTGATTGAACTCACAACGGATCACGCCCGACGTTCATTTGCCACAGTGTCCCGATTCTCTTCCATTCGTCAAAAGCACGGCTCGGTGGAATACACTTCCACGATGAATCTGCCAGCTCTTCCCAATGCAGATACCCACCTGGACGCAAAAGGGTAAAAAGGTTGCGCGCAAGAGTACCCCAGTCTTCCGTCTTCATGGCCAATCTAACCAGCCTCACATGGACCATATCAAAAGTCCCCAACATCTGCTCGGGAAAAGGCTGCAGCGCGTTGTGCTGCATCATTGAGCAATTCGGCGGAAGTTCTGAAGCCCGTGGGAACTTGGTGGAGTCCATGTCGATACCCCGCAACTTCGCAGACGCAGGAAGCTGCCTTGCCATGTCTTTGAGCCATACGCCGGTTCCTGTCGCGATCTCCGCGACGTGCGGAGCCGGTAATTGCTCGAGGTATTCCAAAATATGCGGAGGGCAGAGACCACCACAGAGGGGCAGCCAGATGTTGTAGTGGTTGTACTCAAGACGCTCGCGTTCTTTGGCCAGGTCGCCGCTATTCAGCATGTAGACAGAGCCCTCCTCCTTGTTCCAGCGCTCCAGGCTAGGCACGGAGAATGGCTGTGCGGCTGCGGTCATGTTGTCTTATACTTGCGTGAATAATTATGATACTTTTCTCTTTGATGACGAGCTCCTGATGGTTTTCAGGTCGCGAATGTCCTCGGGCTGGTCGGGAATTTTATACCCAAGTCCCCCCGTGGTCTCTACTCTGAAGCTTTCGTCCGAGGTCGTGACTGAGTAATACGCACCTTAAACTTTGGCCAATCGCTCAAGGGTAACTTATCAATCATGATGCATTAGCAGTTCTGGGTTTTCGGCATTTCTTCGCCAGGCATGAGATTGGCTGATCAAGACCCATAGACTTGGTTCGCAAGAAGGAGAGTTCGATCAAATCTTAGGTAGATGAGCGCTGTCTCCCGTTTGACAAGTCCGGCAAGCTTAATTGAGGACTTCCGGCCCGCTTTCGGCTGAGATACGCCGGGAGGCCGGAGTTTGTGTGTAACCATATGTTCGATCCATCGGTCCAGATGGGGCAGATCAAGCCCGGCGCGCCTCACTACGTCCAAGTTGATGTCCTCTGTTGGTAGATCCCAGTCACACCTGGCCATGCGGGCGATTTCAATGGCATTTCCCTTTCAGCCAAGGATTTAGACAAACTGACAGGAAAATAAAACCATAAGACGTAGACCGTTCCCGGCCAGACGAGGGCCTTTGTGTCTTCAAGCCACAGCTGACTTCACTGCCAAAGTGGGCCGTGGCTTGCTAGAAACATTCCGGAGCCGGCATCTGCGCTGATACTCAAGCAATGCCACACTCCACTGTAAGATGAAGTCCTTCAAGGCCGCTCTCACGCCTGGAGCGGCTTTGTCGAGTGTCGCCCTCAAACGTATAATACTCCTTGGCTTCGTCTTGGTTTTTTTCTGGCAGGGTTCTAACTGGTGCACTGCGGCGAGGGACCCTCTGTCTGCGCGATTGACGAAACCTCAAGATGGATACATACGTAGGCACCGCCTTTATGCGGGCCAAAAACTATGATTACCCAGATGCCTTCGTCGAGTGTCTGAACTCGACCGATGGGACAAAATCCAACCTGCACGTCCACGAGTACTCCTGCATCCACTTCGCTTTCTGCAGCTGTCCTAGGATGAAGCCAGAACCAGATATTGCGGGGAAAGGTGTAAGTCAGACTTCTCGTTCAACCGAATCAGAGCGTATACACTAGAGATTGCCGCCTCTTGCTAACGGAGGCTCCCAAGTTCAGGTGATAATAGCCTTCACCGTGACGGCCTTTTTCACCCTCTGCCTAGCGATCTTCTGCCTCATCGTTGGGCGCACCAACGAAGCACGGCAATCCTTCAACCCCATAGATCGACTTGCCCGAAAACACGTATCCGGGCCAGTCCGCCGCTTCATGTTCCGAATCGGCATGAACCCCGACCTACAGTCTCTCGTCGCCTACGATCTCGTCAACACATTTAGCGACCTTCAGCTTGTGACCGGCCTCGCGGTCCTTGTCGGTGGGATCAAAGAGCTTGTCGATGGCACAATATCAACGTATCACTTCATGATCGTCACCGACCTCGCGTGGTTCTGCACGCTTACCCACTTGCTCTCGCTTGTCGTGACACGCAGCGTGCGCGACAGCGTAAAGCGGACACATCCCCAGAGATATCAGCACGAGAACACCGAACTGGCGGCGCGACTCGCCCGCGCTTTGCGTATCTGCTTTATGGCCGCTACTTTCGTGCTGTTGATGTATGCCTTCTGGGTCACTGGATACAAGGATATTTACGAAAAAGGCCAGTACAGGTGTCCCATGAAATGTGCAGTCGATAAACCAAAGGGTGGGCGTCCTTGGAGGCTGATGGTTATCAATATGACTCTGATGTCGTACTACTACGCTGTGCAGATGTTCCTCAGTTGGCGCACTGGGCGCCTATTTTGGATGGACCATATCAGAGGTTACCTAATCGACAAGAAGGGCCAGCCGGTCGACATATGGAAACCCGAGGTCGTCTTCAAGATGTGGAACGAGAACAAGGTGTGGAAGGGTCTGAAGATGTCTCTTTTAATGGTTTGGTATTTCCTTGCCTCAGAGGTTGAGACAATGCTGGGGCTGACCGTGTTCTTTTGGTTCGGGGTGTACTCGCTGGTTGACGATCGTGTCCGGGGGCATGATGAGATGGAACAAGAAATACGCCATGAAGAGAACGGACTGGTCTTCAGCCAGCTTGTGCCGATTTTCTTACTCATCATTCCATTCATGGGCCTCTTTGAGTCCTATGCAAGGCATTCGAAAGCAACCAAGGAGTCCGATGGCAAGGAAGTGGACAGCTGCACCTCGGAAGGACCCTGATTTGGTGTTACACGCAGATGACGAGCATCAAGGGATCGAAATAGACGACGAAACAAAAATTACGTATCAAGTCACCCAGCATGATGATGCCGAGGCAGAAAACTTGTCATGAAGCACACCAGTGGTTCAAGCCGAAGATCGGATTAGTTTCGGGCGAGTGAAAATGCCAGCTTATGGTCCAAGCAACTTGGCGGTGTTCATCGTGTCTTCCGCTTTGCGCTTTGAGAGTTGATGGGCACATACTATTTGCTTCGCCTCTTTTGGCATGGCGAGCAATCGAAACCTCCAAGGACTCTCTCATCAACCACCAACGAGCGTGATAGTTGACGGTCCTGACCTGCGGAAGCGACGAGGCTGACGCAGCAAAAGTCAAGAGATACCCCGCAAGATATATCAGCCACCACGAAAGCACGTCGATGGGTGACAGTCACTCAGCCGGACTGGAATGAGGAGGACTACCTAGAGATCATCGCTACTTCGCGCGTGTCTCATTACCCGGCCTTGCACATGCCAATGAGAAGCCACGATTCTTAATGTTTTGGATTTGACGCTAAGTTCATCCTCGCCTCTCCTGGGCGCGTCCGGCAGAGCGGTGGCTGAGCGAGAGGGGCGCTCTACGGGTCCCGATACCAGACGAACGAGGGGCAGGGCGAAGGATGCCAGACAGAGGTGCGAATTGCCCAGCCCACCATCACCGTGCCTTGTTTAGGCACACAAATTTCTCTGCAAGGCTTCTCACGAGAGACCTCGGAGACAAATCTCATTCTCCCGGGCGCTTATGCAGATCAAAGATCGTTCATGACGGCTTGCCACATTGCTTACCTCGCGAATCTGGAGGGGCATCAGTTCACTCCCAAGCCACACGATGCAAGGCGTAAGTGTATCGGTGACTGACATTGCCAGGTTGATATAAGACGAGTGCTTCTTCCGAAGAGTGATAATTAGAAGCTCAGACGACTGCAGACCGTGCATTTACTCTACAGTGTCATCGTCACACCTCATCATCACCCGGCCCGCACTTCCCAAAGACTTTGTCGCAAGCATATTAACCCACGGAGCACCCCAATACTTCTTCGTCAAGCTGTCATACAAAAACATTCGCACCAAACTCACAAAAATGCGTGCTTCCACCGTTGTCTTTGCGGTTCTTACCGCCACGGCCAACGCCGTCCAGGTCCCTAACCGCGTCAACGAGGCCCTCGCCGCCGCCAACGCCGCTGTCAAGGACCGTCGTGACCTCGATTCCTGTACTTCTGTCGCGACATCTATCCTTCCCAAGATCACCGACGGCGTCCCCACGCCTCCTGCCGACGTGGCCGCCTATCTCGCCCTTTCAGCAACCATCACCGATCCATGCTCTGACCCAACAATCACCGGCTCCATCGGCTCCGCCTACTCGACGTATGCGTCAGAGTACACCTCCTGGCGCAACAAGCACATCTCCGACTTCCGCGCGGTGTGGCAAGCTTGCAGCGACGTGCCGGGCGTTGTCGATGTTCTGCCTACGGGGACGGACCAGTGCAGTTCTCTCGTCGCGCAGATCACGAGTGCCGGGCCAGTGAATGGGGGCGGCTCTGGAAACGGCGTCGGGTCTCCAAACGCTGCGAGACCCAGGGAGACCGGAGCTGTTATGGCAGCAGCCGCCGTCGCTGGTTTTGTTGTCGCCGCTATTCAGTAAGACGGAAATAAGGTCAAAGGTAGGCCAGAGAGCCGAATACATGAGGGAAGAAACTCCAATAGGAGTCTTGGTATCAAACTATGTTATGTTTGGAAGTGTAATAACGAACTTGACACGGTGCTGCTTTCAGGGTTAAGAAACTTTAAGATGAGAGAAACAACAAAATTTACTACTGTACTGTTTTGCCTGACGTTGTCCAACTTGACTCCATTTGCGCCAGCTCCTTGTGGTATCTTTATAACCTCCCTATGTCGTGCCCATGAACAACACTCGAAATTATCATTATGTTTTGGTCCAAATACCTTCAAGAATCCAACAAACTCCATCATAGCAGCACGGCGAAGTTCCAGTTAGCCAGCGACGCACTGGACGTCTTCAGATCCCGCTTGAGCCAGCACCGCAGCTCAGCCTCCCCGTTGACCATCACGTTACCCCACGAGACGCCGGTGCATTGGGCGGTTTTCGCGCAAATTTCCATGCAGTCGCCCATACTGGCCGCTGGTGTGTTCGACATGTCGATGGCGCCGTCGCCGGTGTAGTCCACTCCACAAAGCCGGAGGAACCTCTTATCGGAGCCAATCACGTTGTAGATCGTGTTATCAGCCTCCGGACAGATGGAGTTGGGACCAGAAGTCGCTGTAGGAGACGCCGTCGTGGTCGAACTTGTTGTAGTTGATGTCAGCAGTGTGGTTGCCGTCGTCGATAAAGCAGTCGTTGTCGCCAGACTACTGCTGATCGATGAACTTGACATCGTCGGAACAATCAGGGTTGTCGTCGGAGAAGCAACCGACGTCGGCGTAAGAGTCGAGGAAGGACTGTTTTGCCTTGTTAGTTGAGGCACATCCCGGCTCAGTTGAAAAAGCCAGACATACCTGATTGTCGCCGAACTCCCGCCCGACTGGTCGGCCTTATTCTCAACACCAGCACCTACGCCCACTCCAACACCGATACCAACTCCTAGAGCAACCAGGAAGACCAAGCCGATAAGCAACCAAAACACCCAAATCTTTAACCCGCAACACCTGCGCCGTCTCCCGCGCTGACTGTCCTCATCGAAGTCAAAGGCGCTCTGCCGATACCCGCGTGACTTCGCGGAGGCGCCTTTCTCGCCCTCGGGCGGCGGCGTCCCCTCTCGGTAAAAGGTAAACTCCTCGTTGTTCACGGGAGTCGGGTCGTCGCCTGCCCAATAGACGCTGGGGATTGAGGCCTTGCCGAAGATGGAGCCCTTACCGCTGCGGACGGTGGGCGCCTTGCGAGGTGACGGCACGGTGCGTTTGGCATGGAGCTCTTGGGGGACGATCGGGTCTGGCTCGTCAGGCGGGGGAGGGCGGTCGTTCATCATTTTTGTCGTTGATGAGGCCCTTTTTGCGACCTGACCGGGCCGCAATTCCCCTTCAAATCGGTCCTATGGTACGGAGCAAAACTGGGAGGATTGCAGGTTGCAATGTCCCCTCGGAAGGTTGCTTTCCTCACGCACTGTCTTTTCTTGTTGCGTTATGCGTCCGCTTCCGGCACGATCATCTCGGCCTGGCCGGGACGAGAGGGGAATGTTTGGAGAGCCTCGCCAATCCCCTTAACAGAATGAAACGAATGCGTTTTTCAGGACGAATGCGACGTTGTTCAAAGGGCTAGTTGGGCGCGCCCCGGAGCGCAGATGCGCTGCGCTGCCGCGATCGAAACTGGGCCGGCCACGCCGTATTCCCAGTGCCCCGTCACGTCAGTCAGGGCCACGGCGGAAAGGAATGACGCCGGTTGGATCGGTTCGATTGAATGAATGAATGAATGAAATTGAACGAGCGTAATTGAATGTTAAGGAGAGAGTGTGAAAGAAACGGGAAAAGGCGAGATAGAAACGAAAAGTGGGCAACGACAGACTCAACTGTCCCACAAACCCATGATCCCTTCAAGAAAGAGTCTCCTCCTTTCCACCCTTACCCTGGGCTTCTCCATCAATAAAAGGCCTATATAAGAGAGCCGGAAGTGGTGTTGCCCCTGTTGTGATAATTTCCCGGGCCTGGGGGGATGATGTGACGGACTGGCGGACTAATCCGCTTTGGCACGTCCAAGCAATCGGCGCCATGCAATGGCGACTTGCGGCGCAGGGATCGTGTTGGTTTTGTTGGTAGAGAGGACGGGGACTCTGCGATAGGAAAACGTAGTGCGGCATCACTTTGTTTTCTGAGGTTGAAGCGGCTGCTGGAAAAAGGGCTTCAATCCATCCGAAGATATCGAGATGACTTGTCTAAAGATCGACTTTGTCAGCTGGAATATTGGGGAAAACGGCGTGCGTTGTTGGCCACATATTTGGAACATATAGTATTTTCCGGCTCTCCTATAGCATGCAATGTGACTCTGAACCAAATATCATGCAACCAAAACGCCGCTGGAGACAACGCTCGGCGGGCTGCTTTCCCCGATGGGTTAAGGGGCCCATCGAAAAACAGTCCTAGCGTACCCAAAACAGACAGATACCCAAGACGAGCATGAGCGTCAGCCACCAAGCCGAGAGAACAGGCTTTAGGCGACTTGGGCCGACGCGAAGGAGTCTTTCGCGTTGGCGCCGGAGGTTTTGTACTGCGCGTATGTCTGTGCTGTGTCTCTCCTTACCTCCCTAACGCTTTCAACCAACCCCTCATCCAATCCCCGAGTCCCACAACCTGGTGCTCGATTGCTTCAACAAGATCATATTCCTCTTCCTCGCAAGAAGACGATCGCCGTGCATGAGGCGGTTGAACATCCGTCCACATGGCTTGCAGCGCGCTTGATCTCGCCTCGATCGCTTCCGCTTTCCCGCAATAGTTGCGCTGCGCTTGAGAGTTTAGCGGTGCGTAACCCCCAATCTATCAACGGGTCTCGGTGCTTCACTCATATTCACTGGACGCAAGCTCCGGCAGGGTAAGGGTGAGAAGGGGCAGAGATGAGGGGCAGAGAGATGCGACAGAAGAAGGGGAACCGCTGGATTATGTGCTTTGGGTTGTGGATGGCTTGTGCGGAGGGTAAATTGGTCAGACTAGCAGAGTCTGCGATTCATGAAGGGACCGTTCATCTCAACTTTTATCCCAACGGTGCCCCTGCAAGCAGCCCAACCTCGAAGAAATGCCACGGGAAAACAGGAGGAAACAAGGAAAACACGCCTCCTGGCTTCGAGAACAACAACAGCAGCCTCATGTTGACGCCCGACAATCAAACTCCCACGCCCGAAGCAGCATGCTCACACAGCATTCCATGGCCAAAGCCCCTGTCAAAGCCCCGGTCGCTTTGCGAAAAGCTTTGCACCAGAATTCCCCGAAGCAGTGGAATGCAGCTTAGATTCTTCTACGGCTGCCGCTGAAGCCTGTGCGTTCCATGCCGGTGCCCATGAAGCCGAGGGTAAACAAGTTCCCATTGCAAACGGGAAATGAAGACAGCCAAACCTGGTCTGCCTACCAAGTACGCTGCCTCTCTCATCTCCTCTCCCGCCACCAGTCCCAGGGCGATCGCTGTAAGTCGGGCATGAGGTGGTGTGGATCGTCCCCACGGCTGACCCGGCATTCCGCCCATCGGGCACCAACTGGAGGACGCTCCCTCTGATGAGCCCATCAACAGTCAATGCCAACCTCTCTGGAAGCTTTCTTTTAACATGCACGTCGTCCCGGAGCGGATGCACGTTGCATGACTCCCGCAAGACCTTTCCTTGTCCTCATCTGTGTTCTTGGTGTTTGTCAGGCCGTTTTATTATATTTCTCTAGTGCCTGTCCTTACCGTCTCATCCCATTTCTGGCACCAGACCAAAAACAGGACGAAGCCATCGTCATCTTGCCTACCTGCACCTCAAAGAAGCTTGTGGGGATATATTGCAGTTATTGAGTGCCACTTCGGCCCGTTGATTGCAACCATGTCCCACAGACAAGCCCCGCCGAAGCCGAACCGGAGCTCGCGGCCCCAGACAGCCACCAAATCCGGCTCGGCACCGATGAGCTCCGAGGCCACGGCTCCGGCCCCCAAGATCTCTAGGCAGACCACCACCACCTTGGCGGCACCGAAGCCAGTCCGCCCTGTCTCAGCAACACTCCAGCCCCCGACGCCGCAGTGGACGGGGAATCCAAGCCCGCCTTCCTACACCAGCTTCAACGTCCCCCCGCCTGGAAGCCCGGCACCGAGCAACGGCGCCGGCGGCCCATCAGCCCCCCGAGGATGCCATCCTCTTCGCCCGGCGTTTCCGCTTCCAGCCGTCTGGCTGACATCCGCAGTCCGGGACCAGGTGCCATTACCAGCTTTCCGCCTCCCCCGCCAACGCCGCCCCAGACAGAATCAACGGGCTACATCCCTAAAAGTACCGCCCAGCCCCCAAAGAAGCCATCCACTCCAGTGCCCATTGCCACCCGGGTTCCAGTCAGTGCGACACATGGAGTCTTGACTCCTCCGGATAGTGCAACGAGCCCCGTGGAAGCGCCCGGGATTAAGCAGCGACCTGGGATGATCGACTTTGACAACCTTGAAGAGACTCTCCAAAACCTGCGCTTCGCACCCTCGCCGATGCTGTCCACCATCTACTCCGTACCAACAACCCCTCGCGACGAACTTTCTACCCCCGACTTCACCAACGGCGCCGCCTCTTGCTTCACACCTCCGTCCACCAACCCTACCCCCGAACCCGTTACGCCGCTGGACTCGACCCCACGAGGACCTCCGCCGGCGATCAAGGAACCCATCATGTCAGCCACCAGACCGCGCGCCAACTCCCGCAGAGCCAGCCCACCGAGCAGAAAACGTGGACGTGGCGTGGTTGCTTGCATCGATAGCCCTGTAGCCTTTTGTACGACGTGGTACACTCACCCTACCGCCCCAGACTTTTCCATCTGCTCCAGATGCTATGAAGACCATCTTGTCGGCACCCGCTTCGAGCACGATTTCCGTGGCAAGGTATGCGACGACAGCAAGCCCCGTGTATGCCGCTTCAGCAAACCCCGAATCAAGGACCACATCCTTCGAAACACCCTCGCCACAGGACGGATCGAAGACCTTATCAGTTTCCTTCGTCACAGAAGCACCATCCCCGACTGCAGGGGACTCGACGGCGCCAGGGGAAGCGAAGGGGCTAAATGGTACCGTCCCAAGAACAACGCCGTCCCGAACATGGTCGTCTGTCAAGCGTGCTTCGAAGACCACATCCAACCCTATCGCTTCGCCGCAAACTTTGAGGTGGCCGCAGGGCAGGCGCCTCACGACGTATGGTCGTGCGACCTGTCCATCCAGTACATCCGGAATATTTACAAGACTGCGGCGGCCAAGAACGACTGGGCTGACTTCACAAAGCAAGCCATCGCCCGGATGAGCATCCCCGCCTGCGCCAAGCGCCAGAAAGTAACCGTGGGCTCCCGGAAGTGGTTCACCCCGACGAAGAACCACGAGGGCGTCCTTGTTTGCGCCGCTTGCTACAACGACCACATCATCGGCTCCGGTGAGGAACGCAAGTGGCGCAACGCTGGGGACAACCTCGCGTCCCGATACGGTAGCTTGGTCTACTGCGTATTGGGCCACTTTAACGTTGGCATTGCCATGTCGCGCGCCATAGAGACCAACGACTTTTCCATCTTTTGGAAAGCCCTCGGTACGTCGTGCAGCGAAGAGTTCTGCGGCCCCCAGGGAATCAAGGACGGAAAATGGTATACCTTCCCGTCTCATCCCGAGGAATTTGGCATCTGCGCTTCATGCGTGGCTACAATTGCCGAGCCACTCGGCCTCGCATCCTCTCTCGTCCCCAAATGCGGTGTATCCCCCGGCACAACAACCCTCTGCTCCTTCAACCCGGCAAGCCCGCGATTCGTCTCCTACATGACGAAGCTGCTGGAAGGCTTCTTTACCGCTGACACTCAGCCCCTCGAATCCTACGCCCTCGAGTTTGCCAGCCTGCCCCTTTGTCCTCGCGACGAAGACTTTCAGAACCGTCGATGGTACGGCTGGAAAGACTGCACCATCTGCCCCTCCTGCTATCACGAGTTCGTTCGCGGCACTGCCCTCGCCGTTTCGATGCCTCTGAAGGGCGACATCGTCCCCACAAGTCTCATGTGCGAGATGTACAGCCCGCGCATGCGCAGCCTCTACTCTGAGGCCTGCGCACGCTCGCCGCCTGACGCATCGGAGCTTCTGGAGGTCTCCAAGGCCCGCCGCGCAGTGTATGTCGAAACTGTTCCTACGATCCGGGAGATGATCATGGAGGCACAGGTGGCGCTGGGACAGCAGCGGATGTTGAACGTCATGGGTTCGACTAACAGGGCCATGGGACAGATCCAGGACACCACGAGGCAGAGCCTGGGTGTGTGTAACATGCCGGGTGTTGGCTTCGGCTTCTCTAATCACTTTGAGATGCAAGGTGCGTTGTATGGAAAGCAGGCGAACTCGATACTGGCCGAGTATGGTTCTGGGTCGTGGACGCATGTTATCAAGCAGTTGGAGAGAAAATGGAGGGAGGTGGAATGAAAAGAGAGTGTGAAAATGTATTTCCTTGTTCAGAGATACCACTTAGAATTCAATCATTTGATCCAACCGCTGCACTCAAGACGCGTGATTCCTGCCTGTGAAACGAGCTGGTCGCTCGTCTATCTTAGTTTTGGATAAGCGCTAATTGCAGCTTGACCCCCGGTATGGCAAAACAGAACATTCTTGCCGCTGAACCCCCCTTCTCTTGCGGTGTTCAATAGCCCAGTGAACGCTTTACCCGTATAGACAGGGTCAACCAGAATGCCCTCTGAACGTGCCAGGTCCTTGATGCCACTCGCCGTCCGCTCGTCAAGGCGACCATATGCTCCACCGAGATACGAATAGTCTACTTCAAAGTCTTCACGTGTGAAATCATCTGGATCGATTCCGATATGTGAGGCCGTATTTTTCGCAATGTTCAAGACCGATTCAGCCACGTCGTCCTCCGGTGGCCTTAAGATCGAATATCCAATCAAGCGTTTGTTGGAGCCTTTCAGACCTAACTTCTGCGCAAGCTTGAAACCAGCGACCATACCACCCAATGTTGAACCAGAACCAAGGGCCACGATTATGACATCGAAAGACGTCTCAAGTTTCGCCTCTTGCTCCAGCACCTCGAAGGCCCATCTGGCATAGCCCAGGCCACCGAGAGGGTGAGTGCTTGCCCCGGGTGGAATAGGATAAGGCTTGCTCCCTCGCTCCTTGAGAGTTACAATCACATCGTCCACGGTTGTGTCAACTGGGAAAGTCTCCGCCCCTAGGATTTCGTTAAGCTGAATGTTGCCAGCGTACTGATACTCAGCATCGCTTGATACAACACGGGTGTTGGGATACAGAGCAACCTAGTTCTCTGTCAGTAGGTCTATCGCTAATCAAACCATTCTCACAAAGGTCCGTACTTACCTTGAGCCCAAGTCGTGCCGCAGCCGCGGAGGTTTGGCGCATGTGGTTCGACTGGATGCCGCCGGTGGTTACCAGAGTGTCTGCCCCTTGTTCGATTGCATCCGCCAAAACATACTCCAATTTCCGTACTTTGTTGCCGCCGAATGAAAGCCCGGAGTTGCAATCTTCACGCGCGATCCATACAGATGTCCCATTGTTCAACTCCTTAGTGAGCCGCGAGAGCGGTTCAATGTCTGCCGGTCGATTGTAGAGCAACTGTAATCGTGGAATCTCGCTGAACGGAGGTGGCAGGGCAACCATTTTGCTACTCGGCATCAAAGCTTTCCACAGACTAAATGCCTAAAGACACTATCCTTTGGAAGGTTTAAATAATCTGAAGATAAAGTTTTCATCAATGAGGGCATTCCGATTCAACGTAAGCAAAACCCCGCCTCTACCCACGTAATAGGCTAGTTATGACGTGCGAGGCAAGCCAACGTTAGGCGACATTTTCCAGTTGAAACTGGGCAGCTTATTTGCTGGTAGCCAAGTTCCGCCAATAAAAAGTAAAGTCTCGTAATCGATGAAGAATTACTAATGAAATACGGCGTGCTGTTTTGCTCTAGTCAAGTCTTTCAAAACCCCGCATGTTCCGATCGGTCGCTTCAATTCTGATGACTCATAGTCTGCGCAGTCTTTACCGAGGTTGATCTATCGCCTTGTTTCTTGAAGGGTACTTCGGATTGATGACAGCAGCATTGACAAAAACACAAATGGCATACCGTCGTCTATCAAACAATCTCTTTGCCTTCGTAAGCGGTGTCACAAGGGAGGCCAATCAACAATGGAAAGGTTGATACAGTAAATTCACAAGTTTTCGAAAGTTTGCTAGAATGTGGAAAATGAGATCATCGTAGGCAAAGGTAAGATTTGGTATGCTAAAAAGTTCATTTGAAGCCCTTATTAAGTTGTTTGAGACTACAACCTCTGAAAACACATAGAACTAGCTGAAATGACTGTTGATGCTAAGGTACTTTCCGTAGCGCCTGTAATGCAAACTAGAAATCAAATTGATATCTTATGTTCAATCGTATACGATGGTCATTCATAAACGATGGAAAAGCCTACAGCGTTCTACAAAAAGAGAGCGCCAACAACAGCGGCGCCGATCAGGCCAAGTCCTTGAGGAAAGACGACGCCCGCAGCATTCGGGTCTGGGTGGCCTGGCCGTTGGCGTTAGTAGGGGTGCCGTTGCTGCCGGAGCCAGCGCTAGACGATTGCGTTGGGGAGGCTCCGCCGCCGGCGCCGGAGCCGGGGGCAATGGTGGTGGTCAGCTGAGCCGAGTTGGTAGGGCGGGCTGCGGAGACGGAGGGCGTAGTGGAGGCGTAGGACGCGGTGGCTGCGTAGGAGGTGCTAGCGAAACCGCATGTTCTCAGGATGTCGTTGATATCTAAAATCAAATCAGTAATCGGAATTGCTGTGGGATTGAGATCACGTAAACTTACCATCGAGGTCATCACGGTCCTGGACGTTCTGGTCCATGCAGCTGGCGCAGAGGGCGGCGTACTGGGAGACGTTGATGCTGTTGTTGGTGCATACGCACTGAGCCTCAAGTCGGTCCTCAGTGAGGTCGTTGTTGATTAGGTCGTCGTTAACTTCGCAGGCCTGGCCGAGGTCGTAGATGGGCCGGCAGACAGCGCTGCACTGGGTAGGGATGTCATCGTTGTCAAGCTGGAGGTCGGCTTTGACGAAGGCGGCGGCGGCGAGGGAGAGAGCAATGCGATTGAAGTGCATTTTGGCAGTGGGCTTAGGTAATCGTTTCTTTTTAGCTAAGAAGTTAATGTGGTTTGTAGGGTAATATGTTGGCTGTTTGAATAGTTGGGTATAGGCTGTAGTTGCTGATGAGATTGTAGTAATGTTCATGGGAATCGATAAACATGGACGGAATGATGCAGAATATATAATCACATCTCAGACGGCACTACTCCCTGGATAAAACAGAAAGGTTTGCCGGCTGGGACCAACAACATTAACGCCAACAGCTAAGAAGAAAACCCACGTACAGCCGCACAGCAATGTCTTGGGCAGCGACCGCGCATCGTCACTTGGAGGCTTGGGTCTTGGTTGGCTGCTTGGCGCTGGGCAAGGTCCCTCTCAGTCGAATTGCAGCTGTTCAATGTGGATTTCGATGAGCGAAGCCAAGAAATCCCCTCGCAGCCCCAGCCTCAACCGACGACTCAAGATCCCGGTACATATCCGGTTGTTTGTTTTGTGCCAAGAAAGCACACTGAGCAAGTCGAGTTGGAACTTTAACGCGCTAATTACCTAACGTTGTTCCCTCGGAAGCATTACTGTGTATTTGAAGGGGCCAGTAGGTGGCTTTGGGGCCTTCTCGTCTCCATTTTGACCCGGTTGTCCTGCTTGTCAGAGTCTGTGTTTCTTCGCCTTGCCCAAGAATCTCCAGGAGAGCTTAATGCGATACTATGTACATCCGGGGGCCCTGGCATCCCCATAAACAGTCGCAATTTGACAGCGCGCTTGTGCTCCCTCATCCTAACAAGGATATGTGTCGCGTGTCACGATTTGACAGTATGACTACGGATATGACCGCACCTGAGCGTGATGGGCAAGTCAATGCCGGGGCGAAAGCCGGCCGAGAGCCGAACGGCGCAAACATGATGAGGCGCCGAGACTCCCGCATAGGACCAACCCAAGAACAGGAAGGCTGCATGTCAATCACCCTGTTCTACTCCAGTGCATTCTCGACTTGAGAAAGGCCAAACGCCAAGATGGAGAATGGAGGTGCTTGGTGTACACGCATGCGCCTCAACATCACCATCATCAATTAAAACATTCACAACTGATAGTTTGGCGCCAGGTCTCGTCCCTCACTGCCACCATCTTTCCATTTTCTTCTACCAATGCTGGCAATCTAACCACAATGACGGAACCTTCATTTTGGGTTTGCGCGCATCACTTAAGATGACAGTTACCCGTCGCCGGCACATCCCCGCCAAGAAGAGCAGAGCCACGGAGACACGTACCCGCCCGCCTCCCTCGCCAGCTCACCAAGCAACTAGGCCAAAGACTAAGCCGTCTTACAACAGCTGCACTGTCGGCCGCTCCCTCTGACTAGGCTATCTAGGCACAACCCCAAGAAAAGATCCCGTGGTGAGCTGTCGTGTTTCATCTGGTCTCTTGGCGGCATGGTCTCAGAGACCACCAAGAGAGCCGGCAAACGCCCTGCTGCTCCGTTTCCCTGCTCCCCATTCATCCATGTCTCGAAAGCTTGAAGGGGAACTTCCCTGCCTGTCTAATGACGCTGAGCTGCGGATGATCGACACCACGTCCTGTTACCGGGATCAGCGCTAAAATAGCGGCGCCCGACCAGTGAGAAGTTTTCTCTGCTCGTTCTACGTCTTGTGACTTGCTGCTACTATCCGTTGGTCTTCGCCAACTCCACGCAATCCTCGATGCATGCTGAGCGTGGAGGGGAAAAGCGTTGTAGCGGAGTTTTAGCTTTCCCGCTTCTTGCCCTCCGCCCCAGAAAACAGTTTTAGAACTTGTGGCCCTAGGCCAGCTGAGGAGGTGCGGGTATGTGATGCTAATTTTAGGCACCCCACGATGCACTTGCATCTTGGCACTCCTAAAGTTTTCCCTATGAACCAACAATCAAACCAAGGCCCGCTGAGAAACAATTCCAACGAATCAGCTTTTAGATGATTTTTCCGAGAACCCAGGAACTTCTGACGAACTTCTAGATTACATAGCCTCCGCGGAAATAAAATAAAAATATCGCCATCAGTTTCCCCATCCTTGTTCATGTTTCTTCTGCTGATCTCTCTCCACCGGTCTACGTGGCGTACCAAGCCGTCATTGAAGCTTTGCCGCAATCTAACCTGCACTCGCCCGCGCAAAAAGACTCGACATCATGAAGGGGTGTATTGATAGAGTCAAAGTGGATATTCAAAGATTTCACCCGGAGGCACAAAGACTCGGCAATGTTGCTCGAAGGCTTCCGTTGGGAAGCAGCACCGTAGCAGCACCATCGCAACAATTGCCGAGCAAATCATTGTGTGTACTCGTTTAGCAAGGCAGGGCTCTGACCTCTCAGCGGGCGAAGGGTGGTTACATATGAGGTGACTGTGCCGCTGCCGCTTTGTCTTGTGCTAATTTTGCGCGAAGTATCGTTCGTGCACTTATTCACTGATAGAATTAATCCGAGCGAGGCGATAGAAGGGGCTATCTCTGATGGGGTGTGTCTATGGTTGACATCCCGTGCCGCTATTTGGTTGGACAATGCAGCAGCACAGTAGCATATTGGACTATTATCAAGGTAATAGAAAATGACATCAATGCCATTGAACTTTGTCCAGCCTTCATATATGATAGAGTGTGTTGTTGGCATTTTACTCTGAGGGAGTCCCTAGTAGTGCACGACGAATGTGGACCAAGTAAGTTACAGAGCAATCAACTTCGGTCCCTAGATCTCTCTTGTTCGCCAGGTTGAACAGAAGAAGAAAACAAAATACACCTAAGAGCCGCTAAGAGTCTTAATACTACTTTCTCTTCGATCATGATATATATGAAGTTGCGTCAATGTTGGTTCATCTTGACTGGTAAATCTTGCTAAACGAGAATCACTTTCCTAATTTCCTTTTCTTTTTTAAGCAGTCAACTTCGATGTGAAACCAAGACCTGCACTTTTGAAAAATAGTCAAAGATGCAGATTAATTGAATCAGTGTACAGAGGAACCGTGTGTTAGGGCTTGGAGGGCCATGTCAATGGGGTCAGGCAGACCGTTTCGGTTCCTCGTGACACTGATTTGCAGTACAGGACAAAACAGTTGGGCAGCAAGGGGACAAGCGCCAATTCGAAACTTAAAGCTACGTCTTTCTTTACGATGTCTGATTACCTATCAAAGGTGCATGTCTGGCTTGTGGGCTCGCGCGAAGGCATGTTGACTGCCACGAGTGACGTGGATGACGAGCCTTGGGCTGCAGGTGACGAAACTCATGGTAAACCATACTAGGCCTCGCTATTGACATTTTATTGGTCGACGAAATAAATTGAAGTATTTAGCAGGCCCCCAAAATGCATAGGTACTGGCACAAACATGAACAAGGCATTGTGAGAGCAGTGGGCAGCAAGATAGCTAAGAAAGGGCGTAGACAGTTTATCTAGACGCAAAATACACGTTAATGCTATATTTATTGACCATTTGACATTCTTTATGTTGACATTGATTACCACTGCCAGCTGTATTTCCCGGGCATATTATGTCAGATCAAAGTGAGGAAGGAGAGGCGTGTAACTGCCAACACACCATTGACACCCGCTTCCATTGACCATATTTACAATCCAACGGGCACATGGCAATGTTTCGTTTGAAAAGAAGCTGCTCGTATTACACGAAATGCTCTAGAACTTGACTCTATCAAATTCCGGAAAACATGCGATAACCGCGAAATATTCCATTAACTTCCCAACTAGCATATCGAGAAGGGTTGTATGCGGTATTATTCTTATTACCGCAGGACGGCACATTGAGAATAGTCCAGATGAAAATATACGCAATAGAATTTATTCCGAGAGGGGATGACTTGCTTGCGTGGTGAAGCTTTCTGAGGCAAGATGCGTGTATTCCCCAATGTTGAGGCTGTCATCAGTGTGCTAAGAACCCGGTCTCAAGAACATAGACCATAGTGATGTACACTGTTTAAGCACTCACTTCTAATATTATAGCTATCAATTTTCTACTTCATTTTCTCCAATCATTATGGAAGCAATAGGCTATACAAATTGATTCAAAGTGTTACGTCAAGGAACCTGTTCGTTTGAGATGAATCGCCACCTGTGAAAGGCATCCGCTTCTTAATCGCCCTTCTCTACACATCACTATCATCCTTAATTAATGGGATGTAATTAGCTGAGCCTCGAATGCTGCAGGTCTTCCCATACATTGTTGCGTAGATGGCCATAGTCTCAACAAATTTAGATTCATAGACATAGTTGGTAACTGATACGCATGTTGCGATTCTACATGAAAACGAGCCGAGACAGCAATTTGAGGTTCCCTTTTCACGGGGGACTTATCCCCATCAACATCTTGGTCTCCGCTCCTGGGAAGCCCCCACGCCTCCTCACGTGAGGAGGAGTCGATGCGTCCGAACACAAGGCTAGGGCCGCAGAAGGTCCGAAACCAGGCGTTTACCTTGTTCCGGGCCTGCTATGAACTAGCAAGCAAGATAATCATTCTGGCAAGGAGGGTTGTTTCTTCCCGTCATTCGTCGGCCACCTGAGAGGACAGCTGAAGACCAATTCGATAGTGGCATGAGGCGGGGTGCTTTGCGCAACGCGTGGCGACGGATTCAGGATGGCGTGGGATGAGAGGGGACCGGGCCCAATGCCAAGCCCGGGTTCTGGACTATGCATCGTGATTCGCAGCCTCTGGAAACCAGCCAAACCTTTGAAACCCTTGCGAATTCTATGTGACTGCAATCTGTAAGGAACCGCCGGCCGACAGAACACGAATGTGTTGGGGAGTCTGGGGGTCGTGAAGGAGCTTTTGGCAGGGGTCATGCTCACACCAACACCCCATGATTTGCGGTATCTTTCTGCTAGCTCAGCGCACGCACTTGGCCGGAGTCCGGGCGTCGAGAAGAGCGTGGGGGTCTCTCTTGTGGTTTTCGGATCTTCTACTGGGCAAACAGTCCACGCGCTGCATTGAGCGCACATGGGCAGGGAGAGAAAACAGCGTGATCATAGTGACGAGACAGGATCGAAACAATGTGTTTGGACCAACCATCCGCTGCAACTCTTGGCTGCCTTTATTGGCTCATATCGCCCGAAGACATGGGCGTTTCGGCTGAGCACCGCGGCTCCGAAGTTGTCTTCCCCGACCGGATGTTTTCCTCACGCAGCGCACAATCATCGAGTCCCACTCCAGTGATGGTCACACGGCCTTGTGCCCCTGTTCAGTAATGATCCTGTTGGAACCAGAGCGTCGGCGGCGGCACTTTTGCTTAGTGACATGGTAATCAGTAAACTCCCATACGAGACAGCCCCATCCTGAAGAATGCCGGCCCAGTCAATTCAAAATCACACGAACACCGGCCTACCGGAGAAGATCCATCTCCATTTCACGTCTAGTGGCGTTGCACCTTGTGATGCACCATGCCACCCGGCTCACCGCAAACCTGGTTGCCTACCATGCTTGGTATGTCAGCCCCGGACTACATACACATCTACACACACTCCGTGATCCACGCATCTAGCCGCTTGTTCGAAAGCGGCAGGACAGGGTGTAGGCAAATAGCCACCCCCACGCCGCGCTGCCGCCCAACCTTGCGATACCCACCAAGTTCTTACATAGCCGCATGCTAAACATCATGGATCCCGGGTCCAATTGGGACCAATGTGTATATCAAGAGAGGTGTTCATGACCAGCCTGAACTCTATTCGTTCAAGGCGGCTTCTACGTGTACCCCTTGGATCGGGGGAGCAAATAAGGCCTTTCATAACACACAAGTCCTCCTCTGCGACAAGGCTCAAAACCCTTTACTACATCACTCTCTGTGCTTATAAAACCATAAGCCTCCCAACTATCAACCGTCTTTTGCTGGTCTGCTTCTCATCATTTTTGTTGATTCATTAATTTCACCAGAAGGTTCTATTTCTAGAGCACTCTTTAATAAACTCATTACCGCATACTAACATCATCGCAATGCCTGCTACCACCATGGCCACCCCTCCACCCCTAGAGGCCCATTACGGTGCTCCCAAAGCGGAACACCTTCGACTTCCCGACGGTGTATATGTTCCCACTTTGGCATTCTTCACAGATTCAGAAGAAGTCGACACGAACACTCTCGAACACCATCTCGTTAGACTCATCAACGCAGGTGTGGCAGGCATCGTCGTCCATGGGTCGAACGGCGAAGCGGTGCACTTGACAAGAGAGGAACGCAGCTCGATAATACGCTGTGCCGCCGACACCATTCATCAAGAAGGCCATGATGTCAGGATCCCGCTTATTGCCGGGTGCGGGGCTCAGTCGACCCGCGAGACGCTCCAACTTTGCAAAGACGCTGCCAAGAGCGGTGCGTCTCACGCACTGATGCTTCCTCCCAGCTACTACGGTTCCCTACTCGACAACGAAAAGATCGTCCAACACTTCTACGACGTTGCAGACGAATCGCCCATCCCTTTACTAATATACAACTTTCCCGCGGCGGCATCCGGACGGGATCTCACCTCAGACGCCATCGTGCAAATTGCGCAGCACCCCAACGTCGTTGGCGTAAAGCTTACATGTGGCAACACGGGCAAGCTCGCGCGCGTTGCGGATGACGTGCCTGAAGGCTTCTTTGTGGCGGGCGGCAGCGCCGACTTCATCCTGCAGGGCCAGGTCGTCGGCGGAAACGGCACCATCTCCGGGCTGGCTAATATTGCGCCGAGGGCATGCGTGCGAATCATGGAGCTTTTCAGCCAAGGCAAACTCGCCGAAGCGCGGAGGCTACAGGCGATTGTGGCAAAGGGCGACTGGGTTGCAATCAAGACAGGTTTCGTGGGCGTAAAGGCGGCGATTGGGCACTTTGAGCAGTACGGCGGCGCACCGCGAAAGCCCTGCATCAGACCCTCACCCCAGGAGCTGAAGGCCATTGCAGAAGGGCTGAGCCAGCTGCATCGGCTGGAGAGGGAGTTGGAAGAGGAAGCGGCTGGCGGTGGTGTACCCTGATTGATGGACTATTCCTGGGCCCGCTCGGTTTACCCGGAGGACTGGAGCTTGTTTGTGGCGTGAGGTGACAGTGGCACGGATGGGGAGCCTGATGGATGGGAGGCAAAATTGGGATGGATGGAACGTAAGGTTTCGGGCGTAAGACGGTCATGGCGCGGATCTGCTGGCCGGAGAGAATGTAGTGATGGGGGGCGATGGCTATACCTGCTTTGCTCGTCGAAGTAAAATCCGGATCGCAGTGAAACTTCTCGGAGTATTTGAGGGCGGGACAGGACAGTAAGCTGAGTGCTAGGTGTCATCAAGGTGGGAAAGGGGAGTATGGCTGATGGAAACGGACGGAAGTTCACGGGATGTGCGTCATTGAAAGCAGTCGCAGTTATTGGGCTAGCTCTTTTGATTGCTACGTTGCTTTATGGTCTGAGATCAATGAAACGGTACCCTCTCTGGGTAATCTTTTGCCAAAGGTGAGTTCTAACAGTGACATACCTTACGTTGGGGTAATTTGGCATTGCACTTGTTTGGTGTGATGGCAGCTTATCAGGTGTCCGTTACCTTAGTCTTCCGAGAAACACAGAATCAGCATTCATCAGACGCGAATCAATTCGGACGGCTACATCTCCATATTTTGAGTTGCATACATATGCTTCTGGAGTTTCCCCGGGGAAAAGTTTGCTAATCTGCAACCGCAGAATGTTCTGGACTTTGAGAGAGGTTGGTTGCCTCAGCCTTTAAATTACAAGGTTCTATCATGGGATTGCCCCCACGTTCTACGGAAGATCTTTCTCTTTGATTCAGGGGAACACTTATTGAACCGTCAATATCTAGCTCAAACGTCATATACTCGAGCGGTATTGTCATTAACCGGTAGCAACAGAATATTATCCCGCGGGATAAGTTAGACTTCGGCAGCTGCATGGAAAAACCCGACATTGAGGAATCAAATGCATTCGCCCGTTTGTCATTGATCACGTTGATGCTACAAGTTTGAGTGTCGCCACCTCACAGCTCGGAGGAAAAGAACCCGATGACGTCGGCCTCATTGTGTGGATGAAAGATCCATCGTCGTGGTCATTATTCAGAGACGGGCAAAGTCAGAAGCGCATTCGCCCAGATTTTGATATCTGCTACGCCCCGTGGTGGTTGTCAAACCCCGTACCCCAGATGACGATCACAGTCAAAACCCGGTGGCCGGAATTGGACAGACGATCAAGAGAGGCAAAGGAGTAAAGCAATGCCGATCTGCGACCAATAAAGTCTCAAAGGAGGAGGACACGTTCCTCTTTCAAGGTATGAGACTAGAAGCTGATCCCATCAATGTGGTACGCGCGCGTAATCCACGGCAAGGCACTGGAGATCAGCGGCGGGTGGGGGATGGTCCCCTATGCACCCCGCACTTTTAGGCGCTACTCGGCCTGCACTGCAAAGAGGGGTATGTCATGTCAGACAGGCTCGGGCGTTCTTGGTGCGGATAACACGGCTTGAGGAGTCTATAACACCGAGACATGATTCCTTGTGACTTTGTGTCTTTGTGTCTTTATTGAACATTTTTTTGATTACTTGAGTCTCAGTGCAACTTCCATGATTGAGCGTCGAGCAATCTTTAGAACGGGGTTATGCTTTCCAGATGATGCTGGTTTAAACAGTGTACCCGCTCCGAGGCGAAGATGGTGCAGTAGTTAATTGAGTATAATAGCTCTCCGATCACGGCTAGCGATATGGTGGCGTCTGAACACGCAGCCGATGACACCAACGAGAGGTGAGTTATACTGATGGTTGGAGTAAACACAAAGGATGCTGTGTGTACGTTGAAGAGTGGAAGTACGATTAGGTGTCAGCCGGCAAGGCCATTGTGATTGAGTGAAATAGACGTGTCGTTAAACACATCCTCCTGGTCGGATCTGCTGGCACAATCAACTAGTGAATTCTAGGTCCTGTTTACAAGGGTTTCAATCAAACATAGCGCATAGCTTCTCTAGCAGAGGCATGATAGGTAAATACTATAGGCCCTCGACTCTTATTGAGGCTCATAGTGAGTATTATGAACGAGAGAGGCCCGAGTATGGGGTTTACGGTTCAGGCGACTTTTTCTAGCTTAAGGACTTAGGCAGCGTGGGTGATAGTACTACAGACGACACGTCCGCTTTCCAGGCGGCGCTGTACTTAAGCCAGTGCATAGTTCTTTTCGTCAATGCTTAGTAACATTCTCACCTTGACCGTCACCGTCATTATGGGAACTAAGATTGCGAGTAGATTAAGCTATTCCCTCTTTTTGCTCCTTCCCCCTATCCCTCGCTCTTATTCATTTGCTAGCCTAGCTTTAGTAACCTAAAGGCATGCCTAAGATTGACAGCGTAGGGGATGTCGGGAATATTGAGATACAGAATCTCGTATTTCTTCTAGCTGTCGGCTAACAGCAGGTCTGCTTCTAGTAGAGTGGAACATTCAGGCAGTGAGCCTTAGAACCGCAGGTTTATGGGACTATTATATCCGCGTTGAAGGTGCTGTTGGAACAGAGTTAACATCACATGAATGCCCTACCATGACCAGAGGTGCATACCAAGGGTACAATGCCGCTAGCCTGATGTTCCACCTCATGATGTCTAATTTGAGCTACTTTGAAGACATGAGGCTCTGAGTCGTGGATCACATGATCGAGCATTCAAGTTGTATCTGTATGCAAGACATACACAGAACGATCTACAGTATTTCCCATCAACCTGATCCGAGCGATAGCGGTATCCCAATGGTGCAAACCTCTATTTACATCGTCCACACAGATACCTACATTAGATACCTATATTAAGCACCTCCTTCCTACTTGGGTCATGTACTATTGGCCATTCACCTGTCACCCTCACACACCTCTTGGCCAATAGAACACCGCCGGGCTCTGCCTACTGTAGCACAGCTCAGTCAGGTGATCACCTCAGTCTCCTCAGCTACAATGTTCAATCTCGTTGGTATGCCAACTAAACCCCCTCTCTGCCATATCTCGATATCTCTCTATCATCTCGACGCCCTGTTCTTCCTTTACCCCCTCCACGTTGCACACACAGTCTGGACCAACCGGTAACATGGCCGAACCGGTCGAACGCGATTCAGACGAGGAGGAAGACCTCATCTCACCTCCCCCAGGGGGGATTCGACCCCGAGGCTTCGCGCAAGCTCCTCGACCTCTTCAGGACGGAAGATGAGAACTCAATCGATTTAGCCACCTATTATTCGGGCCTGCCCCGTAACATCAAATTCTATGACCTGATACGCTGGGTCACCGACCCCGTCACAGGCGATACCGGAGTCCACATCGCTGCCGCGGCTGGAAACGTCAAGGTCCTGGATGCCATCACAAAAAGTTTCGGGAGAGACTGGCTCCCCAACGTCTAGCTTATGACGTGCCTCAGGGTAGTCTTCTTCTTACGCAATAAGGCCAGAGATGCTATCTTCCACGTCGCAGCCCGTGCTGGCCGCCTAGACGTCGTCAATGCTGCCTGGCGCATTTTCTTCCTCCTCCCGCAACGGGGTCGGCCTTCAAACGAATCTGGTTCTGAGGTCTACGCCCCCATAGATGAAGATTTGCCCGAGGTTGAAGATGATGTTGATCCTAAATACGTCCCCGAGTACATGATGGCCATTGTCCTCTTAGCAAGGAAGAACGCCGCCGGCCACACCCCTGCCGATGAGGCAGTTGCCGCCGGCCATGACGATGTCGCGGAGTGGGTAAGGCTGGTGCTAGACCGTCTCACCCTAGACGGCAAGAGAGCTACAGAGAGTAGGATGGCTAGGATGGAGGAGCTGGTCGACGGCCGCTACGATATTGATGGGCACCACATCATGTCAGACCAGATTCCAATTGAGAAGAGAGTATGGCAGATAGAGATGGACATGTGCATACGAGCGACTTTTGACGAGAGCTCCACTAATCACTTCATTGTTTGTATGTAGTGACAGATACCAGAGAGTGTCAAATTTATCGATGTTAACTTTGAGCCTCTGTTCCCTAAAATGGAAAAGAAAAGTAGACACGAAAGGAAATAAAAGAGACAAAATTGCCGCATTGAAGTTCACTGGCCCCTGTCAGTCGACGCCCTCTTTCCTACCGTCTATCCTTTGCTTAGTGTGACCAGATGAAAGCTCTATACGATTGCCTGCAGAGTCCGCAGCGCTCTTGGTGGAGTGTTTGTAAGCCATGGATACGACCCTGTACGTCTCGAAATTAGTCACAGACTTCGCATATGTCCTCTTCAGTATTTGGCCTACAAATGCTCTTTTGGCGTGGTTTCCGGTTGCCGAGGCCGAGGTGGAACAGCTCGTGGAACAAAGTAGCATTCATCGGGAAAAGCTCTGAGATTAGCTGCGCGCCCTTGTTGGACAAGTAGTTCTGTACGCATTGGTCGTGCTGTGATGCCTTCCGAGCGAATTCCAGCATCAGAGAAAGCCATTGGCATCTACTCGAGTGGCCTTGTAATCTTGCAGGGCTCGTAGTTGACCCATCGACATTGAGTACGTCTAACGTAGAGGTGCTTCCAATAGTTGAACCAGCTTCATGCACCAACGAATGCATTCCGAGTTGGCCTACTCACCAGCTATCACATTTTGCCGACAATCGAATCGCCTTAAGCACCTAGCTGTGCCAAACGTCACTACCCCATGTGAGCGATCTACTACAGGGGGAACGAGTGGGCGGCTGGTTGGCTGGGAGTCCTTTACTGTGTAGCTTCTGGGAGAATAGGGACTACGGCTGATTATTCCTTACGCAAGCCCCGTTGATCAAGATACGCACTACATTGTTCTCCGGGATACTTATTTTAGACTCAGGTCACTATAATCCGGTACTGAGTTTCTGACCAAGTTGTTTGATCCTGCTTGGTTTTTGTTATAGCCATCTAGGATTTACGATTTCAGCTAGGTCGGGCAGCCAAAGGAATAGAAACATGTTTTGGAATTATAGTCTTACAGCCAACATGTCCTAGACAGATGACCGCTGGTGATCGAGTATAATGCAGAGAGATCGACCATCGCTGTAGAGTACTATGTCAAATAGTGCAAAAATATTTGAAATATACTACAAGTAACTTGTAATGTCGTTTGATCACTATACATTACTATGTAAATTAATCATTTCTGAGAATCAGCAACTGGCATCCGTCAACACACATGGTCTAATTCTGCGTCCCATGTTATGAATAATACGTCCCTGATTTTTCAAGCCATCATGCGACGTCAGACGACAAGACAAACTTATCTCCACTAGAAATAAGTCCCGTTGTGACTGTCATAATGCATCGTCGATGTCATGGCCACTTGTGCGGTTCCATCTACTCCACCGTCTTCTCGCCCTTGGAGGTCTCATTCAAGCCCACCACAGGAACCGAGGCATCGTTGCTTTCCACGGTTTCGCCTCTCTTGAGGCCCAGCTGTCGTGTGTCGTAGCCGTTTGCCTCCAAGTAAGCGCGGTAACGAGCGTCTTCGATGGCGATGGTATCTTGGCCAATGTGCGGCAGGCAGAAAACGGCTAGAGCAGCGGACAGGACGCACAGAGATGAAGAGACCCAGAATGGGTACTGAGCTGAGGCTACGGCATCATTACCGGCAGCCGCCTGGATGTACGGGAAGACTGTGATGGTTGTCAGTAAGCCAAACTCTCTGACCTTTTCCTGGTCATTGAAACGTGAAAACTTACCCCAGGTACCCACGAATGCGCCGATCTTGCCAATAGCTGCGGCAATACCATAATATTTACCTTGAAATAGTCAGCGTATCTCGTTCCATAGTCTCGTTGTGGGAGGCTCCATACCGCGAATGCCCGTTGCGCATGTCTTGGCCGCCAACAAGCCGATGTTGTTCCCCGGACCAAACTCGCCCAGGGCCAGGAAAACGCCGTAGACAACGACGAAGCCGCCGACCATGCCGGGCTGCGACAGGTTGAAGTAGTCGCCCGCCATGATGAACCCGACGACAGCCTGCAGAAGGACGCCCACAGCGAGGGCGTACCGTGGACCCAACCAGTCGGAAGCAGGTGCGCCGAGCATGGTGCCGGGAATGTAGAATAGGTTGATGACTGTGTTCCAGCCGAAGACGGTCGTGAGCGGGGCCGTGTCTCCGTACAAGTTGCTCAGGATCGTGGAGGAATAGATGCCGAAAGAGTACGACGAGAACTAGTATGTGAGATGCTTAGTTCAATGCACATATCGATAGTCACCAAAATCATCATTGAGTGGGACTAACATCATAGATGAACCAGATCAAGCTGACGACAAAGAGACGCCAACCGTAGAACTTGAGAGACAGCAGGTACGGCGTCTTGGCGTAGCGCATCGAGTTCTTGGTGAACTCCTCGGGCTCTTTCACGAACAGGCGAAGCACGAAAAGGAACATGGGGAACACTACGCCGATGCCCAAGCTGGTGCGCCAGATGGTGCTGTAGTGGCCGTTGTGGCATGCGGCGGCGACTACGTACGGTACGAATGCTGTTGGAATGTTAGCCAGTCCCTAATGCGACTCAAAAGCCACGGTGACGAACCGCCAATAACGAAGCCCTGTATCGCATGTTAACAATGTTTCATGAGAGGAGATATCCACTTTCTCTTACCCAGTCAATCATCGTGTTGGTAAACATGATGAACCAGAGGTTTCTTGAGCCCGACTTCAGCTCGCCGGTGGACTCCGCTGCGCCGACGCTACCCGCGGGGTACTCGCCTCCAATGCCGATACCGACCTTTTACGAGGTTAGCCAGACCTCTCCGCTGCGAAACAGCTCCAGAAACGACAATCGACTCACGAAAAAGCGCCATGCGGCCAAGATGTTGAACATGCCGACGGCCTCGCCTCTGTAGTACGACCCAGCGGCGAGCGCAGTGAAGACAAGCAAGATAACGGTCGAGACGAGCAGCGAGTTGGTGCGCGACCAATGGTCGGCAAGCCAGCCGAAAGCCAGCTGCCCGACGACGGTGCCGGCGAAGGCGATATCGCTGACATACTTTTTGGCGTTGGAGGTTTTGTAGAGGTCGCCGTACTGGAGCGCGAGGACCGTGGTGACGGACCCGATAACCTACGAGGCATGATGTCGCATTAGCTACCTACGTCACCGGAGGGCTTGTTGGGAAAAAGATGATGCAGTTCGAGTTCCCTTGGGCTGGTGCTTACGTTGTTGATGTAGCCGTCAGAGAACAGGCCAGCACCGCACGCGATGACGGGGACGATGGCCTTCCGGAACGGTTTGCGCGGTGCGGCGGCCGCAGCCGCAGTCTCGTGCGCCGCCCCCTCGGACTCGGACGACTTCTTTCGTATGAAGTCGAGCATGGTAGCGACTGACTGATAAGTCGCCGTGTCGGTCCTCTGTACGGAGAACAGCCTTTTTGTGCCAAAAGTCTATAGACTCGCGACGAGCGAAAGAGGCAGACCGATCGAGGGGAGGTTGGGCGGGAAAAAAGGTGTGGTAGCCGTCGCGAGGATAAGAGACAAACGCATCAGAGCCAGGGTCGAAAGGGAACCGGGACGGTAATAAGGTATTTATTCGGACGATCATAAGCCCATCGGAGCGCAAGGGAACGACCTGAGCGAGCTACTACTACTCGGAATGCGCCATTCGCCAACCAGAGGCCTTATCTCCCACCTAGTCGGAGTTCCTTTACTGCTGCCACCTTGCGTAGTAAACTTTGGAAAACACTCCGTTTCCCTACCCACCTTGTCCCGGGCGCCTGGCGACGCGTCGGCGCTCACAACGTGCAGTCAGTTCGATGCAGCATAGGCGGAAAGACTCGACGGGTCGAGTTAGCGGCCATGACGGCTCGATGGTTTTGCGACAAACGAGTGGTCTGTTTGCCCGTTCGTGTTGAAAAGGTGATCCACAGTCGAGACGCAATATGCTGCTGAGGTACGGGTATGCGGCAAGAGGGGTAGGAGTTGGTGTTCCGTTCCGCTCTGGTGTGGTTACAGGGGAGGCGGTCCAACGTTGGTCCCCATCAAGGGCGACACCTGCTAGTCGTACAGTACAGTAGGAAGTACTTGTGCTCCTCTATCTCCAGGTCTGTCTGAAATGCGAAAGACATGCAGGCGAGCTGCTGTCGCGTGTCTCATTACTTCTCATGGCCAATTGCGGTTCTGCCAACATGGCGAAGGTAGGATCATGTCGCCCGGGTGCTAAGCTTTTCCAAGCGTTTTAGCGGCTTCTGGGAGCCCTAGGAAGCGCTCCCGTGCCAAGGCTTGTGTCCCCTCATGCGACCTGCCTTATTGTGTTGGGGTACTCCCCGGAGCTCTAAGTGTGATGTGCTGGCTGTTGGTTGTCGCTGTTAACACCGCACGAACTGTGTCCACACCGCATCCACCAGGCTAGGCGGGGGGAAAAGAAAAAGGAAGAAAAGGGAAGAAAAAATAGAGAGAGCCCGCCCCCCATTCTTTCATGTTTGCATGGGGCGAACACTTCGACGCTCTTCAATACAAGAGCCTACGTAAGCTGTTGGATGCGAATCGGCTTCACCGAGCGCAAGTCTCTGCCCAGATGTGTTACCGAGAAGACAACGAAAAACTTGTCAAGTTCTCTGGGGAAACGTACGACTTGGAATCACAAGAGACGCCAAACCCGTGCTTGGAATCCTAATAGTGACATGTTCCACGGCGCTTGTAACTCATTGCGCGAAGCTACCAGGAGGGGGCTTGAACAGTTGGCTCCAATTGCGCCGCTCAGATGCGTACAGGAGCGCACGTGGCCGCGATTACCTCTTGAACCGGCATGGGGGCACTCGGCTCGACCGAGCCGCCAAAGAGCCCGGCTGCGCGATCCAAATCCAATCGGCGGCCTGAATGCTTTCCACGTGTGCACCGAATTGCCGTCTGTTCCGGCCGGTTGACTCGGCCCCCCGAGATAGTCGATGGGGTTCCGCTGCCTGGGGCCGGATCGGAGACGGGCACGGCAACAGGTCGACTCAATCGCGTGTGATCCTTGCCCAGTCTCCGCAAAAGCTACGGCGGCGACAACGTTGGCATCTGGCATGCAGCTCACCCAGCATTGGTGGCGAGGACAGACTCTCAATCATTTGTCGCGGTTAGCGGTGCGAGCCACCCCTGAAGTGAGTCAAGCTGAGACTTGTGCCCACTATGACCGTTTTGTCCAGACCGGAACGTTCAAGGGGCAATCACATCTGAGTTTACGACGCTTCTGGTTCTATGATGGGCTTCTAAATCTGCGTGCTGTTTGGACGCTTGCATCTCCACATTGCCAAATTTAGACCAGATTCATCGGAGACGCAGACGCCCTGACTGAACCAGGTCTCGTACAACCGTCAGGGGAGTATTGTAAGCGAGAACGAGAACAATCTCCAAATGTGTTATCGGGCCAAGTCGTCATGATGATTGCTCATTTATGCCAATAGACCTTTAGCGCGGGCACATGGAGGGCTCGCCCCACGGCTTTCGCACAGAGCCGTGGCAGCCGCAACCCAGGCATTTTTAGCTTGGCCGACCAACAGTAAAGATACAACCTAAGCAGACACGGCACCCAAGTTGCCAGAGGCTTTTATATTTCTCGGGTCATCTGGTAGACGTAAAAGCAACCCATAGACCGACGTCCTCTTCGATTGTCACGACATTTTGATAAAGTTCGTGGCCCCCCAATCCCTCAGTTTTCGACCAACCCAATACATTCAGTTCCACCAAGTATCCGATTTTCATCAAGAAACTGCATCAAGCGTACTGCATCTTTAGCTAAAGTCGCCTTGGCCGAAGACATGGACGAACACGACATGCCTGCAGCTTGCACTCCCCACTACAGATCTCATCGACTTTCTGGCCAAGGGTGGCTAAGAGAATGACCGACGCTCTGTCTTCAGCGACCGAGTTTGTCATGATCGTAGCGCTGACGGAACGGTATTACGTGTGCAGCTCATACGAAGCAAAACGGCTGATGTCCCACGACAACGACTTTAGGCCCACATTCGGGGATCATCTTACCCGTGGCTTCAGGTTGATCGCCGTGGGCAACGACCTCAGACACCAGGGCTTGGCAGACGTCGTCTCTGTGATGTAAGGCAGCGGCACCCGCAGCAATACCGCGAGGATTACTGGTGCTAGGATCGCCGCGAGCACCGTCGAATGAATGTCTGGCTCCAGCGCAGAGGTATTCAACACTGACACTACCCATCAATCCAGTGTGTCTCAGAGATCTGGAGTACCAGAGACCTCAGATGGCTTGGGTGCAGCGCTACACGCGACTGCTGGCATCGGAGTCATGCCAGCAAGACTGACTTTGGGCCTTTTTTATCCTGGAGTAACCGCCACCACCAACAACTCGGAAATGGCCCAGGAGAATGGAGGTGACGACAGCATTGTTGGAAGTACTTATTTTAGGCCTCCTCGGAAGGTTTGATATCGTACTCAACCTCGGTCCTGATCACGTATTTGGCTCCCTTCCGAACCCCAGTGCCTTCGTGTAACGGTGCATCCTTAGCATCTCCATGCGGAAACATCGCGACTCCGCCCATGACAGGACGAACAGGGTACGCATTCAGCGTTCCCTCGCGCGCGGCCGGGAGGAAGTAGGTTGTTTCGCCGCCCTCAAACTCGTCGTTCAAGTAAATCAAGAAGGTAAAGAGCGAACTCTGTCCCTTGCCCTCAGGTGAGGCGTCGTACACATAGGTATCGTCGGGCAGGATACCAGAGGGTGGCCAAGCTCCGTCAATGTGCGCACGATACTCGGCGCCGGGAACGTAACGGTACACGCGGAAACGGCGGTTGAGACCGCGGACCACGCGTCCACCAACGGACGCAGGAACGAAAGGCGAGACTCGTGCCCACAGTGCATCGTGGAAGGCCGTGTCGATGACCCAGTAAAAGTTATGTGCCAGGATGCTAATGTCTCCATCCTCGCGCAGCGGTGCGTCGGGGAGGAAATTGACGGTCTCGCCGGCGGCAACGATGGCCTTGCACTCATCTGTAGAGAGCACATCTTTCAGGAGGCTAAGCCCAGGCACAATAGGGTGAGAGTGTAACGTGACTGGTGGACGCTCCGCTGTGAGCGGGATCGTGTTCGGGGCGGAGGTGTAAAGCAGGGCGTCGTGGTGGTTTGGCGGCTTGCGGAAAGGGCCACTTGTGCGTTCGATGACACGGAGAGATGCAGCCAGGTTCCGCGGTGCAGAATCGAATATGGTCTTATCACGAACCGAGGCGTATACTTGTTGTGGTGGCGTGGACGGGCGAAGATCCCAGGTTTCTTGGAGAGCGATGCCTGGCGTGGAAGAGAGAGGCAATGGCATTGCCTTAGGGTTGCTGTCCGAGTGGCCGCAGGCACGTAGCACAGCGTCGAGAACCAGCAGGCGCTGCTTGTCTCTTTCGCTGCGTTGAATGACTACTCCATCTCCTTCGCCTTCTGGCAAAGTTGACAGGCCGCTGATGACGTCCAAGTCTCGCACCCAGCGACACAACGCTCCCAATTTTGGTTCCTGGCCGCGAATCCTCATCTCAGCAAGCAATATTCTCGCCTCGTCGTATTTCTCGTCGGTAAGGGCACCCGTGATTCGAGCCGTGAGTCCTAGGTTCGTTCCGGCTACAAGACTCCTTCGTTAGTACTTGTTACGACGAGGGCCAGGAGACCAAGGAGTCACTGGGGGATATGACATACGCGCATTGTTGACGCCACTGGCGCAGTTCTGGCGAAAATCGTAGACGGCAACTCGGAGGTCTCGGCACTGCTTCGACTTGATCAAGTTCGGATACCTTGCAAGTGTGTTCAGTGTCTCAATCGCGATGTCGAGCTCCTCATCCGAAATGACCGTTTGGAGATTCTTGGGCTCGAGTATCGCAGCATTGTCATCACTACTGTCGGGAGGGGTGATGTTCGTGCTCGCTGCCGTCTTGGGGGCCTTCCGGGGCACTTCGGATAGCGCAGTCTGTTTGCGCTTTTTGGCTTTTGACTTCGTCATGGTTGAATATTGCAACAACCTAACCAAGACGGTATGCTGATGTTGGTGGAGTAGTGTAAATGGAGGTAGTGGGTGGCGTGAGGCGGAATGAGATTTTGGACCAAGCTCCCCACGTTCCCTACAGCAAAATGTCAAGGGTCCTGGCCCCCGCGGGGTTTTGCCGCTGGTTACGTTTTGATGCCTGAGGCATCCATTGATGGGCTTGAACGTTTTTGGATCTCTTTGGTGTAAACCCATCATCGGTTCAAAGGTTCAACCATGGTGGAATAAAGGCCGACTAACACACTACCTACAGTAGAAGTGAACCCTAAAACAAAGTTTAGACGTCTTGTCTCATCAGAGTGTTAAACGCCTTTCGTATGTTCATAGAACACTTTAGAGGGTTTCTGGCTTATCGAGATCTTCGGCACGGACCAGGTGATACAGCACGTGCCTCGACATACTTGCTGACGAGGCCGTGTGGTTGTTTCTTGCTCTCTTCATTCTATATATGGACTTTCCTGTGACCCGAGCGATAATAGCAAATCAATGGAGGGACATTAACGTCCAAGTTCAAGGGCAGGACTCTATGAAGGCGGAGTGATTCCCTGTGCCATACATTGCCAAGTCGAGGATCAAACGGTGCATTGATTGATGCTCATCATGTTTCCAATGCTGCCCAAGACTGGTTCAACGCGTAAGTGGCCCTAAGATTTTCGAGCTTCCTGATTCTAGTTACTGGCTTTCACAAAAGGGCGGTGGGTTTTGGGAACAAGCCCTTGATCCCATTCTCTATATACTAGAGTAAGTGAGCCCCCATTGGCATATTGGAGACATCTGAAAAGCGCTTACACTGAAAGTCTTGTTCTTAAAAAATTTCAATGCGGGTACCTGTTGAAATGGAATGGAGCAAGTCTCAAACACCATTGGATAGAGCAACACAGAGATTATCAAAGGCATAAGGGCCTCCGTAACGCACACACGGCATATTTCTGGACCAGCTAACCCAGCACTAGATTGATAATGCAACCAGTGATAAGACTTCTGGCAATCCAACCAAATCTCATTGATGGCATGGCATTTCCCCCGCAGTCTGGATAAGCAACGAGCCGGTGGTATTTTAGTCAGTGATTAAGAAATGTGGTATGTGTTAAGCCACATCGACTTACGAGGGCTGCATGCGACTGGTAAAGCACAATTAAGGACGACACAATGAAGCATACACTTTGTTTTGTTATCATATTAGTGCATGGTCACTTGAGCTTGAAAGTCTGCTTAGAAAAACATTTGCGGCCTCAGCTGGGCCTTTCAAGTGAAGATAGCTTTTGCCAAGAAAGGCGATAAATAAGACAGAGTAGGCCTCTAGAAAAAGATTCTGTGAGATTTCAAGGCCCCTGTGCATAGATTTCAGATACGTAGTCACCTAAATCACAAACTGGCGCAAGAATTTCCATGTGCCATGCAATCATCTTGTATCCCGCTAATGGCTAAGGGCTGTACCGCAACATACTCAAGGAAGGAAACGGAAGTGATTGATTTCTATTGAGTCTCTCTTGTGTACTTTCTTTCGTGGCACAGTGACTCCGATATCAGCGTTTAGTGCTGGTACACACTAACGGTGATTTATGTTCGCTCTAGCACCTTCTCAGAAGACAATGAGTCACTGACCGATTTCTCACATCTTAAAGACTCGCCAGACTCAAAGAACCTTAGTTTCCACAACAGGAGTTGATTTCTGGTCTTCGGCAGTCTTAGTGACCTCTGCGGCCCCCTCAATGTCTACCTAAGTAGTAATATTCCGGAACAGGCACCTTGCTGCAATGTCTCGCAGCTTATGTAACGCCAAGAGATCTTAAAGCGTTGTGAAGCAGGTCAATGGCCTTGGAGCACAAAGTGGAATTATTATAGCTAACGCTACTATTGTGGCAGATGTAGAAAATGCTTTTTTGACTAGGTGTGATGCCTATTGCTAATATCATCCAGGACGCAACGATCCTCCGCGTAACTTCGGTTCTCACCCTCATCTTAGATCATAGGCACTATGGAGTTGCCAGTGCTGCCCATTTTGTCAAGGCAGCCGAACAAGCTATTCTTTCCATCAGGACCGGCCATTCGACTTTATAGCTTTCAAGGACTACCACATGGCTGTGCAAAGCAAGATTAGCGGTGTACGGAACCCGCGGAAAGCCGGCTAGAAGCTCATCTCCAGGGTTGAATTTGTCGCCTTATGTTCGGATTTCTCTGGCCAATCAATACGGCTAGGCCGACTGTGCTACTGCCAACGTCTTCTTTGACAACGTTGGCGCGGTCTGCCGCAGCATGCATGGGTCGGCTCGCCTGCGCCATCAACCTGGGAGTTATTGGAGATCCCGGCATCAATATCGTAGAATGCTACGTTGCAGGGCCAGTTCGATTCTCACTCAGAAAAGGGCATCAGTGACAGCCTCTACGAAAAAACCTTCAAATACTACCGTTGCAACAGCTAGAACGCCCGCCGCCAAGAGCGGCCGCTGGCGCGTACACATTCATTGATTACCGGCTGGACTCTCCAGAAGCCCGCGGACTATGGCCTCAAAAGCGACGTATCGTTTTCTGCTCTTTCAATTGAGAGGGTGGCGGCAACGCCGGCACCGACAATGTTAGCGGCGGAAACGCCGAGATGATGGCACTGCTTGTCCTGCTCTGGTCTAAGTCGGCGGATCCAGCGGCCACATTGAGGACTACAGTGGGTGTGGTCAACGGGTGCTCAACGCAATTACTGCTACTGTCGGGGTTGATGGACCCGGCCCGGCGCTGTTTATGTACGGAATCGACTTGTTTACAGCTATGGGGTGCGCAATCGGATGAGAGCGAAACTAGGGCGCTGGCGACGACGCTTGACATCATGGTCGCGGCGTTATCTACCGACCTTCCTGAGAAGATCCTTGCAAACATTGCTGCTGGGGGTGACGAGAAGAGTTTGGGATAAAGTTGTGAAGAGCGCTCTAAGTTTTGTTTGTTTGTTTTAGATCGGTCATTTGTTACTCTCGGTCGTTGGTGATAGAGTAGTTTTATGTTTTCTGCAAGCGCTTATTGGAGCTTAGACCATTAGTGAACGGTCAGCCGTTACGCATCCATTGGGCTGTTTGGGGGGTAGGTGGTCACACCCATAATGATCTGTTTTTGGTGTCTAAGTTCCGCTCCCCTCCCGCAGCCCACACAACATTGTGCATCCGTTCGTCTCATCCAAACTGATGGGGCATGCTGAGGGAAGGCTTACCTAGCTCGTCCTCCGTACCTTGCTGCCTGAAGCCGACTTGAGAAGTTTCGGGAAAGCCCACAGAGAAAACATCCCATTTGTGAGGGAAAACATTGGGCTCTTACACCTGGCGATTGAGTAACATATTCAGATGATCATCAGAGTGTATCGCGAAGGGTTTAGTAATGGATCGATGCAGTTAAGCTTGCTTCATCCGTGCTTCTCATGATTAAACCATTCCTGGCTAGCCTCCCGCATCACGACCCCGAGAAAATGCTGTCCTTCGGTCATTGCTCTGGCATCGCTCTCGCATGCTGCTTTGAAGTGGGGGTAAGTTTGGCATTTTTTGCCGATTGCCTGATTCCAGGGTCTCTCAGCCGGATGGCAATGGTCTTTAACTGACTAAGGTCACGATCCACCTACAGTTTCACATGACGCTGACAGGTCGCTTGGCATGCACAACCAGCCCTGGACAGACCCTTGGCATTTGACCAAGGAGGTTATTTCGGCTGCACGTTCGCCCAAATTGACGGTCCGACAGACCCTGTTTGCTAGGGGTAACTACGGTAGCGCGCTCCGTACTGCACAGTCGAAACTAGTCACAGGCGGCGAAGAGGCCCTAGCACACTGAATGCATGGATTGTCAGTGAATTCTGCACAGATGTGAGATGAGGGGGAAAGCCGATTTGCAAATGAGTGCAACATGGAGATATCGAGAGCTTCTCCGGCAGAAGTGGGCGAAACGAACATCAACAGCTTTCTCTTTTAGGAAGGCATGTAGCCCCTCATGGTTTTTGAAAAGCGGAGCTCAATCTACATTTTGAGACTTTCCCTGCCGCACATCCTCGTATTACTCGCATCTTCGCCCCCTCACATCCTCGTACTATTCGCACCCTCGCAATATTCGCAATCAAGTACTTTCTCGTCGTCTCTCAACTTGGGCCGCCTACTATGTACGGCACTGCCGCCACCCCATGTTGCGTCTGGTGCATTCGCATGATGAGGGTCAACCATGAACGTGCACATATACCCATTGAACCAAGATGCGACTCCAGAGATTGTTTTGTAGACGAAAGTAGCCGGTCTGACCTGACGTGTCCTGCTCGAAAAACGGCGGCAACGCAAAATACAGGGCTTTGGGATAGTGCTTTAGTCGGTGCTCGGTAAAAAAAAAAAAAAAAAAAAAAAGGGCATTCCCCATGCGGGTACCGGTAAAAGATCCCTTTCTTCTGGAGAAATCTTCTGTAGCAGCCTCATCCGACAGCTAATAATGAGACATGCTTGCACGGGGGGTTGGGTTCGTCCCCAACATGCATAGGGATAGGTGTGGGCCCATACCTCCAACTTGGTCTACGAATCAGCCGTTCTCGTGCAGCTACCGCCTGGATATCCGGGAGGGTGTGGCAACGTGGGGTAGAATTCTTAAGGCTGAAGCTGTCTCTAGGTACAAAATCTGCTTGACCTTGTTGGCTGTCGATGCAGTGGTGAACCCAATGCCATAGAAGAGGAGATTATAGGAGAGGTGTAGGAGCTCGACCGTTATAGTTACAAATTTGAGTGACGTTTCCTAATGAAAACGCCTTATGTTTGGCGATGAGTGGTAGGAATGGTTTTATGGAAAGGATGGTTTTCGTAGTGCCCCGGTAAATAGTCAATGGCTCCGACTGTGCGTTCTTTCTATCACTTGACAGTTGGGATAGTTCTGCTCTGCAAGGGTCACCTCGAGTCATTGTCAAAGTAACCATACTTTTAGGGCCTTTGGCTGAGATTGAAGCCATCTCGTCACCATTATCCGAACCCCAACAGTGGTAAAGATCCCGACGTTGCGGTTACAACCAAGTCTCAACAATTCGAAGTTTCCAATGCTGGGTAGACAGACACTGCCACTGGGTTTTCTGTCCGTGTATGTATGGGTCACTTTCCTGCCTTACGTGGAGCTGCCTTGCAGCCGGGCTACAAATGACTGTATTCTCTTACAGCCCCTCGTCTTGCAGGCCTATATGAGGGAGAAAGAATCATAGCACAATAGCACGCATGGCTCAGTTGGTACTCTCTGACGGGGGTGGCTCCACTTTTCGCGACAGTATAAGCCTCTACTACACATATTTCGTCGGTCCATGAAGTAGCTTTTCCACTGCTGGACTGAATTCTTATTCCAGAGCATTAGATTATCAGCGACGTTCAAAAATTGCGTACAAGATTTATTCAGCTAAGCTTTCGCCTGTTCAAGATTAAAGCTGAAGGGCTTCATATGAAACATCGGATGACGGGATGGCAATTCTTCGCTTCTCGAGTCATTCTACTGCATAGCCTGCGGTAAAAAGTATCAGCTTGAACCATCCCCCAACGCAACAACCAATCAATGGACGACATTTCTTCAGACCGTTCACATGCCCGTGTGTTAATTTACCCTTTAGAGTAAGTGACAAGGCATAGCCCGGCACCCTACGCGATTCATTTTCATTCGGAGGGATCCGGCTTTACACTTCCCACCGTCGTTCTAGTAGCAGATATCTGATCTTGGTCTCATGACCCCTGCCTACACCATTGTGATGCTCTGGGGGTTGACGATGAGAACCCCCCAATTCGATCATCCGGATACCCCTAACCCCGAACTAACACAAGAGAGCCGATGTCATCATAACACGCACTACAGCTGTGGGTACTGGCCCTGTTTCTGATATTCTTCACTATCTTGATTACTGTCCCGTCCGAAGGTTTATCCTCTTGATCCCCGTCCCTCCCTCCATCTATCCTTTACCTCCGACGGTCTCTTCTAGACATTCGTTCTTTTCATACTTTTACACTTGAATTCAGTTTATTTTCTTTTCTATTTTCAGAGCCATGCTGGCTCATGGTTCTAACAAATAGCCTCTAACCTACACTCATTCTAACCACCGGGTGGTCCACGTTGACGATCAGGACTTGGAAGCCGCCACGGTTTCGCAAGAAAGTCAACGACGTCCTGATCCATACTACTCTCACAACTCAACCACACAGGTTCACAACGTTAATATGGACGCGAACAAGGACGGACACAAGGATGCAAACATGGACACGAAAGATTATAGTGATCTCGAGGTGGTGATGATGCGCCAGTCAATGATGATAGTGGACGAAAAGGTCGTCATTGACAAATTCGAGGAGGCCACGTCGGGTTCTTCCCCGATTACACCCGCGCCGGCCTACGTTGCACCCGTTCTCATGGCCACCGCACCGCCGACTCTCTCGCCTATGAGAGCGAACACCGACGACGGAGCCAGCTTCTACAACCAAAAAGCCATCGTTACTCAGCGGGAAGAGAAGACCATCTTGGGCGTGAAGAGGAAGGTTTTCATCCTCGGTGCTGTTGGAAGTGCCATGTTGTTGATCCTGATCCTCGGCCTGGCCATAGGACTCACCACGGGCAAGGGTAGCCGCTCTACCAACACCGGATCGCAGGCGGCTGATAAGCCAGGCACCATGTTTCTCAATAACTCCAGTCTGGCTGCGACGAACTGGACGGACTCGAACAATGTTGGTCGCGCCGCTGTCTTCTACCAGGATCAGTACAACGCCCTGAATGTCATGCTCTTCGACTCGCTAAGCGGAGGATGGACCCGGCGAAACGTCACGGCCAGTCTCATGAACAGCTCCTCCATCCCGGCCCTGGACGTCCTGCCGGGTACTCCTTTGGCTTGCGTCACCAACAAGTACCAAGTTAGCCTGTACTACCTTCAGCGAGACAACACTGTTTCTGAGGTTTATTCTTCGAACCCGGTGAGCGGCGACTGGCTGCCAGGCGCTCTGAACCCTAGCCTTACCCCGCAAGCCTCTAACGGTTCCCGGCTTGCCGCGTACTGGCAGGTTTGTCCAAGCTGTACCGACACACTACTGCTCGCATACGAGGATAATGGAGTCATTCAGCTTGCCAATTCTACCAAAGGCCAGTGGCAGTCGATGCCTGCAATCACCAAAAACGTCGTCCCCGGTAGCGGTCTTTCCATGAATCCCTTTACCGACTTCAACGGCACCGGCGCAACAGGAACAGACGCCAATGCGATCCGTGTCTATCAGTCCGACGATGACAAACTGATCGAGATGATTTCCGGACCATTGACTGATCAGCGTTGGGAGGTTGGCAACTTTGGTAAGCACAAAGTGGCAAAAGAACTGAATCCCCACTAACAACGATGCCAGGAAATGCACTCACCTCCAACCTCCCTACCAAGCCGGCGCCTCAAATTGCTTCATTGAGCTTCGGTCCCGCTGGATGGACCGAGAGCCTGGCAACGTATCTCACCAGTGACGGCAAGCTGGTCTCGGCGCACTGGAACACCTCGGGATGGACGGTCCGACCACCTAGTCTCGATCAGATGTTCGGCAACGCAACTGCGATCGCTTCAACACAATCCCAGCGAATTTACACCCTTGTAGACGGCGCAATCCACCAGTACAGGGTGGATGCTGCGACAGACCCCTTCAAATGGTTCCATGTCAATGCACTCCCGGCTTAGTCGAAATTCCACACTGCTATTATCCCACCACTGACGATCACAATCACCTGACAAGCATGCCTCCGTACGGCCAATCATGTGAAGTATTAATACATTTGCATTCTTTATAAATACTTTCTGTACCAGTCGACCTACACATCGTCATATTGCCTTTGCGGCAACTGTTGCTGTCTGCGTTGATGCTGATTCACGCTTTATTTGTAAAAATGCCCACGCAGCCCCCAAAGCACCGAGATATACAAGAGAGCCGTGAAAAGAGTAAGTTGAAGACAGGAAGAGAAAGATAAAAAAAAGAACAAACTATTTCAAATAAAAAAACCCGATGTGGGGTAACAATTTGTTTACTGGCACAGTCCGTATGTTGAATTGCTGTATATTTGTATAAATGTGCATGCTTAAAGGATAAAAACTGCTTACCGAAGTATTTGAAGCACGCAAGCTGGTCATAAGCGATGCTTTGATTGTTTACTAGTCGGCATGGGATCTTGTTGCTGTCCTTAGATTGAAGTCAGCTAGTACAAGATGCCAAAATATCGCATCCCTTGCAAGAGGGTATAGTATATGTAAAGTAGTTGTGTTCAAAATTTATCTTCTCCGAGTTCATATCACAGCAGGCCTGAAGGATGACACTATGTATATGAGGACAAAACCATGTATACCACTAAATAAACCAAGTCATCATATTCTGTTAAGGGCCATTCAAATTTGCGTACATATTGTTTTTTCCCAACCGCAGAACGCTATTAATAGCCCCAGTTAACATTGTTCCATCCACAGCTACCGACCCAACTTGCTCTAGAAGAATAGTTTGTTGGATGGATAGAGAAGACCCTCAAAATCACCACGTTCTACTCATAATCAATGCTGCGGTAGAGATAGTGAGGAGTTCGAAACTTCTCTCATTAATGTGAAGGTGAGAAGGACCGACAAAACCTTATGGTGTGAGACGAGCAGATTTCGATAATTATCATGAAAGCATGCAACCCGGGGGGGTTACGATATGTAGCACGTTCGCTGGGAGTCGGCCCGAATGACTTCTTCATTGCAATTGCAGCCATTGTTTCTAGTTATAGTAGTTGTATTCAATCCTGTTTAAGGAAACGTAGTCACACGATTCCTTTGCTCAAAGCAGCAACCGGCAGCAAAGGCCCATACAGTCGCGTTGCCTCCACTTACTCCACTTAAGTCTGATCTTTATGCGAAACGATTCATGTCCTTCAGCATTGGTGTCATGCTATATCAAAATATGGCGGAGCTTTTATGGCGTCCAGGTTTTCCCCAGTGTCAATGTTAAAGATCTAAACGGGGGATTTCTGATCCCGATTCCCGTAAAGACGTTTTCCGTTACTTTCTCGTGGTATTCTCTGGCCTAAGACTACCTTCATTACTTGAATGGCATGGAAAGTCGTAAGATAGACATCACAGTACTAAAAACTCAGACCTCTGCAAATTATATGCAGATACTTTGAGGTTTTCTACTTTACACTTTCGCTCATCCATGTGCGTCGTTGGTGGGATCTGACCTCATGATAAGAGAGTTGTGATCAACGCCAGAAGTAAGCAGTAGACCGAATCAACCCTCCACACTTCTAGCCAGAGTCAAGGTCGGAAGCCTTTCTACATTCTACCTCGGGTGCGGCAACGAAGCCCGCCGCTCGCTGCTTGCCACAAAAGCACATTCTCGCAAACTGCACGCTCAACGTCGAAGACCTTTTCAATACAAACCTCGGCACACTTATCAAATGTAATGTAGTCATTAGCCAAACTTACTAAGAAGAACAAATCTCAGCGAGTTTCAAAAAGGGGTTTCTTCACTACGTTCTAATTGATCCCAGACACAGCCGCTATTGGAACGGCAACAGTTCTTAGGTTATTAGTAGCGAATAGAAACCAAAGATCAGCTGCTAAAGAGCTGAAATCAACTGTCCGAAGAACACAGTCAACTTGCGACGGATTGTAAAAATATCGAACTAACAGCACCAAAAAAGTTCCCCTGTCTCTCTACAAACCAGACCTAGAAAGAAAAGAGAAGAAAAAAGGTCTTTGAACATGACTCCCACCCAAGAACGTAAGGGCTCAATAGACGGCAAAGGACCATAAGGTTTCCTTGCTTCACCGCCTGGATTCGCGAGTACATCTCTCAACCGTGCCTTGACTTTCTACCCCCGAGTCACCACCTTAGCAACACACGTTCGGACTTGTGCGTTCAGTTCTACGATGCCACATCCGGATTTGACGACTGGAGCCACCTAAAGATCCTGGCTGAAAGCCTTCACTACAAGACCCACAAGAGACTGAGGCTTATAGCTGCGGACTCATTATTTGCAAAGACGTAGGGTTCTGCTGCTTGTCGCTAAGTTGTCCAACATTAAGAAAGACCGCTAAGCGTGGAGCCCACCCCGTGGCTGAGATGCCTCCGCGTAAGGCAGGCGGGAGAGGTTTTAGCCATTAGAATACGCTGCTCTAGCAGCACACACTGTAGAAACCGGCCGTCTTCGTTGTCGACAAACCCTGCGAATGTTAGCATGAGGACGAGGGGCTCTTAAGGTGCTATGGGAGGTGCGCCTTAGTCACTGCGACAACATAGAGCCCGAGGCATCAGTTTTCCGAGTTACTCATGACGAACTGAAAGACACCTGGGAAAACTTCAGAGAATCCCTCTGGCCGGATAGCACGGTCTTGAATTTACAAGCCGGCTCAATACACTGACAAGCCAAAATGACGTCATTTGAGAAACTTCTTCCGAGAACTCTTGCATTCAAATAAAGGAGCAATGGTAAGAGAGCTATATTATATCACATGTGCGAGTTTGAACGTATTGAGTATCCAGCTACATCCCAAGCTATAGAGGAACGGAGGCTTCTCAATGTGGACCAAGAATTAGTACTCAATTATGCATATTTTGGAGACGAAGCTTACTTCTTACGGAGTTCGAGAGTGGCACGTGGGCCGTTGAAGGGTATCTCGCTTGGTGCCGTTAGCAACCCCCCGAAGGACAGAGCGCCAATCAGAACCGACCAGTTAACTGTTGACGCCGTGCCCGGTAAGTTGTAAAAGTCCAACTGCCGACTAACTCGGATTCGGATGCCGTGGCCTGACCTCAAGTGGGGCGAGATGGGCCGGACGGTGAACCAGCCGGAAAGTTATGCAACGAGTTGTGCATGACGCAGAGACCACCGATCAAAGTTACCCTGACGGCCACTCAATGTGCGGAGTTTCGTGCTACGCACTCCACCTCTACATCTATGCAACGGTAGCTCGCAGTAGTATCGCGGGGATCGTCGTTTCGTTTGGACTTCGGATCTGGGAGACTTAGCCGAATTCCGTTCTCCAACTTCGTTGGCCTTGATAAAGATGCTTCCGGACGCATGTTTGTCATTGATCAAGCTATAACTATCAAATTCATACCGTCCACACACAATTCAGTGTTGAATTGGTCTCTATTCGAAAGCTTACACCATGCCGACCCAACCCATAGGCTTCACAGGTCAAATTACGAGCCTCAATATGATTCCCCTGGTCTGTGTTGGAACCGTGTCTTCAGTATGTAAAGAAAAGCATTACCCTCGTCACACTCACCAATCGCCATCCATCATTCCTGAGAACCGTTAAACTTTACTGAGGCTCACAACTCATAGGCTTTTGTTTACCTTCTCGGAACCATTATCTATAACGTTTATTTCCACTCTTTGCGCCGATACCCTGGTCCCAAGCTCTGGGCTGCTACAAGGATACCCTACACCCGTAGTAGTCTTTCAGGACAGGTTCATCGTAGGATTTTAGAGCTACATCAGGAATATGGCCCTATCGTCAGGATTGCCCCCAATGAGCTTGCATACAATCACCCCGACGCTTGGAAGGATGTGCACGGTCACCTAAAGAACGGCACTGGCGATCATGGCAGAGATCCTGTGTTCACTACGGACACCAGACATAGCATCATTGGCGCGAACCGCGAGAACCACTCTCGTTTCCGCCGAGCGTTGTCACATGGCTTTTCAGCTCAGTCGATGTTCGACCAGGAGTCCATTATCGAAGGCTATGTCGACCTGCTTATTCGAAGGCTTCATGAACAATGTGCTGGGGAGCCTAAGGCTTTAAACATGGTCTCGTGGTACAATTGGACCACGTTCGACATCATCGGCGACTTGGCATTTGGGGAGCCTTTCCATTGTCTGGACGAATCAGACTACCATCCGTGGGTCAAGATGATCTTTGACGGCGTGAAGGCGGGTGCTTTTAACATGAACGCACGAAGATACCCCTTGATTGAGAGACTTCTGATGAACTTCGTGCCGGCCGATCTACAAAATCAGCGCGCTCAGCATATGGCACTTACCCATGAAAAAGTCCAGAAACGACTTTCGGCCAACTTTGAGCGACCAGACTTTATAGGTTCAATGTTGCGAAAAAAAGGCCCTGGTGTATGATATCACCCATTGCGACGATAGAATCTCGAACGTTGCTGAAGAATCATAGGAACTCACTTTCGAAGAGTTAAAATTCAACTCTTCAACCCTTATCACCGCTGGCTCTGAAACTACTGCGACAGCCCTCTCGGCTATTACGTACTACATTTTGTCAAACACAGATTCCCTGAAGAAGCTAAACGCCGAGGTTCGCAATGCATTTGCATCCGAAGACGATATCGGCATGGTAAGCGTGCAAAAGCTTGTTTATATGCAAGCTGTGATCAACGAAGGCTTGCGCATGTACCCTCCAGTACCGTCTGGAATCGTGCGCAGAGTGACCGATGACGGCGGAGTTTTCCTAGGCCAATATGTCCCCAGTGGCGTAAGTCGGGCTGTCAACTTGGCATACAACGAACCAGAAATATGAAACGCTAACACATCCTGCAAGACACTTGTGCAAGTTTGGCACTGGCCTACATACCATAGCCCCCAAAACTTCACTCTTCCTGATTCCTTCATTCCTGAACGCTGGCTTGATGACCCTCGTTTTGCAAGCGACAACAAGGATGGGTTTCAACCTTTCACGGTTGGACCCAGAAATTGCATTGGAAGAAAGTGAGTATCCTTCATCGTGCTATCCGTCCCATGTACTGCTTTCATTCGATTGCCGTGCTAATTTGAACCTTTCATCAAGCTTGGCTTACGCGGAGATGCGTCTAATCCTTGCGAGAATAATCTGGAACTTTGACATGGCGCTAGATGAAGCCAGCAGAGGCTGGGATGAGAAGAGCCAGGTTTATCTGCTGTGGGAGAAGGGACCTGTGAATGTCTTCCTCTCCCCCCGAACAATTGGTCCAGAGCATGTCACTGAGAAATGAATTGTCATGAAGACTAGACTAAAAGATCCTTTCCTAACCTTAGACCAACCTCTGTGTCTCATATTAGGGTGAATCTGAAGGGCTGAAAAATGACTGATGGTCATGGTCATAGAGGCCTAAACCAGATGAGCCACGCAATGCCACAGTGTCTGGATCGTACTTCATTCAATTATTTATTGCCGTGCTTCAGACCGAGGAAACAAGGGGAAAAATCATCCAAGCTCACAAATCCGATCTGATGATAGTCAGATAAGCAGCCAAGATACGGGGATTCTCATTGGCCAGCAGTTTCTAAGCCCTGACACGATCATGTTCACCTGTGGACACCACGATGGTAAGATGGTGCTTATTCACAGTTCATGTAAGGCCTTCGATCGTTTAGTTGATATGGGCATTACTAACTAATGCGGTACTCTCAAGTCGCCTGGCGTAATCTCCGTATCTTACAACTGACGTGAGGCTGACTTCCCCAGAGTACACTAGGCGTCAATATCGATGTGGAGTTTCTGAAGCTTGGTCTGCAAGGGATCAAGCAATTGCGTCCACAGGGGTACGTTCCCTGTTCCTGGGTGACCAAATTTAGGGATACAGGGACTGAAAAGGTCACAAATGTGGTTGAGCATGAACAGCAAAAGCCGCAGGCTGGCGCAACCAACCCTCAACTAGCCCTTGACCAGCGTGCCTCGCGTTGGTGGGAATGGGTCAATCAACGATTGCAATAACAGAAACAGGACTCGCAGTAGCGGTGAAGGGGTTTAGCGTCCTCTTCTCAGCCCACAAGCATCAGTCTGCCACGGTTGCGTACTACCTCACTTCCAGTCGTGAAAGTTCCTAACGTCGCGTTAGTAGCTATGGGCTTCCGTTTCATAGCAGACGCATGAAGGGGTCTCTGCAACATTGGCGTCGGCTCCCATTTCTGCCGCAATACTCACGAGGATCAACGGCGGGCCAATGCGAGCTAGAAGACACCCTGTGGGACTTGTTGATCCCACTCTAGATGCGAAACCGTCGCCCAATGATACTACTAGTTCAACAATCCTGGGTGCAGTATGGGTGAAGTATTGAGGGGGGTGAAAGCATTGGATGCGGCAACTGGAACTGGAAGTCTGGCTTATGGAAAATCGTCGACAGCATTTACGCAGTTACACCGAAAGCATCAAAATAATTGTTTCGGAGGATTGTCCACGTACACACTGACTAACGGTGAATGTAACGTAAGGAGTCCACCGAAAACCGAACAGTCGGCGAGACTTTATGAATGGATTCTGCCAACGTCAGCCGGAGACATTACTGCTCATGCAGAATTCGTCTATCCGGTCATGTCCAAAGGGATTGATGTCAAGCGACCGATTTCAAGTGTGGCTATCTATCCTCTCGAGCTATTCTATGTTAGGGATAGGAGGTTGTACTTTCCCTTGCCGTTCTGGCCAGAATCCCCCCCAGGCAGTGTTTCAGGAGGGAACAGATGTAAACCAAGCGGCCTCTAGGTGACGAGTGCAGCTGACAATGCACAGGCAAGCGGCTTTTCTTTTATGAGTAGTCAAGCTAGGAATGACACCGCCTCAACCAGAAATAGACCCATCACGACTGACACGCGTCGAGTGACGACTTTGAGCAGTCCTTCTCCGAGATCTCGACCCTGTTGTGGGCTACACCGGCACGGCAGCCAATGACAGAGCCTCGGATTGATTGACTGCTCTCAGATAGGCTCATTCACATTACTGTCCGAAACCCAGGGATCCCGGCTGGCGGAAGGTGGAATTGGTACGCCTAAGTCCGATCCATCACCCCACCGCTCGGTTGACGTTTGGTTTCCAGAGAGCCACATCCCAAATAGAGTTAGTTGTGCATCGTCCTAAAACTTTCCGACATGCCCTTCTTTAATGTTTATTTCCAGCTGGAGAGCGCAATGGTCAGCTTGCGCTCGTAGATATAATATGATAACACACTAATAGTATTCAACAAAGACATAGCCAGTAATCTCAATGCTCCAATCGTATGCTTGCGCGCTTTTGCGTCTTCCGCTTTGATTGGTGATTTGGGGGTAAAGGACCCGGAAGGCTTCGGGTCCGCGACTTCTCCGCCCCTATCCTCCGCCCCTATCCAAAGCTCTCCCACAGACCGAATCAGGAGATAAACGAAGCCACCAATGCCCTCTTCACTGGCCCCGCCCGCCCTCGGCATGGATGAGTAGGTAATCAGTTCTCAGCCAACTCTCATTGAAGCTTGCGCAAAGGCGCAGCGGCGCCACCCGCAAAGTGGAGAATGCCTCGTCACCCAGAGCTTTCGAGTACCCAGAACGCTCGAAGCCTCCTGGATCTCCATATTTCAACGGGATGTGGGAGGCCGAACCTGAGTCCCGAGTCATCCCACTCCGGGTCGACTTCTAGGTTACACTTTAGAACCGTCTTCTGTTTCCTTCACAAGCTTTTCCAAGTAATGATTGCCACTTGGCATGCACCTCGAGGCTGAGCTAGGGACATTAGAAATAGCCGTGGAGATGCATTGACTCGAAAACGTGCTCGGCGGGGAATACAGTCGTGTATGTGAGGCTCAGAGCCCCTGCGTGCTACGACGGCAACGGATTGTGGATGACTTTTTGCGCGTTGCTGGTTGGACGGATGTTCATACTACGATCCATGACATTGGGTTGAAAAGTCGAAAGTAGAATAGCGGGACGGGGATGACGAGGACCTCCCCATGTTGGAAGTTTGGATGAGAGTGATGCCCCAGACATCGTCCACATCACGTAAAGATGAACACGACGACAGCGGCGACGACGTTGGAGAACGTCAAGTTGTATAAATGCTGGTCTCGGAACCGATGAACTTGTCCTCAATTCCATCTCTAGCCGCACTACCGCAGCAACACTCGCTTCCATATCCCAAGGAACAAATATACGATCGCTTTAACATTCGCTACAGCTTGTCTTAATCACAACATCGACCATGGTTCGCATTTCCGCACTCTCGGCCGCTGGCCTTGCCCTCGCTGGCTACGTCTCCGCCCACCCTGGCGAGCACCACAGCCAAGACCACATGAAGCGCAACATCCAGCTTCGCGACAATATTGCCGCCATCGGCCAGCGCTCCCTCAACACCTGCTCCAACTCGGCCGGTGCCCAGGCCATGAAGAAGCGCGCCGTTGAGCGCCGTGCCCAGAAGGTCAAGGAGATCCGCGCCAAGAAGGGACTTACGGCCCGTGAGTAATTCTCCATCTGTAAGGCCAGGACATCAAACTAACCGCTTCTCAGCTGCTCGCAAGTACCGCCGCGATGCCGATGCCCTCACCGCCTGGGAGGCTGTCAACCACAACATGACTGGCTCCACCGATGTTGGTATGTTCTCCGCGCTTGAGGATGTCTTCAGCGCCAACACCTCTTGCGTCTTGGCTCCTGAGGTTACCGACGGCCCCTACTACATTGTCGGCGAGTACTTGCGCTCCAACGTCATTGAGACCGAGTACTGCGACGGTGTTCCTCTCTTCCTCGAGGTTCAGTACGTCGATGTCGCTACTTGCAACCCTATCCCCGCCGTTGCCGTCGACATCTGGAACTGCAACGCCACCGGTATCTACTCCGGAATCTCCACTTCCGGAAACTACGCCGCCGATGGCCTCAACAGCACCTACCTTCGCGGTGTCCAGATCACCGACCACGACGGTGTTGCTCAGTTCGAGACCATCTTCCCGGGTCACTACGAAGGCCGTGCTATCCACACTCACCTGCTCTCGCACGCCAACGCCACCGTGCTGCCCAACGGCACCATTTCTGTCTGGGATGCTCCCGTTAGCCACATCGGCCAGCTCTTCTGGCCCGAGACCCTCCGCTCTGCCGTTGAGGAGCTCTACCCTTACAACACCAACGAGCAGGCTATCACTAGCAATGCTGAGGACATGTGGTCCATTCTCCAGGCCGACGCTTCTTACGACCCCTTCCCCCAGTTCGTCTACCTCAGCGACAACCTCCAGGACGGTCTCTTCGCCTGGATCCAGATTGGTGTTAACGCCTCTGCTGACTACACCAACGATGATTACTACAATATTGCCGGTTATATTGACGAGGAGGGTGGCCACTCTACCGGTTCTTCTGTTGGCCCTTCTGGCGGTGGCAACGGCACCACGGGTGGAGCTCCTCCCTCTGGCTCCGGCGCTCCCCCTTCTTAAGGAGTGAGCTAAGTTGTGGGTCTGATGCACGGATCGGCACTTCCAGATTAACCTTCCTCTCTGTATGATACTTAGAACTCCATATACCATTAGACACATTAAACATACAAGCTCGGTGGAAGCGTACATATACTATCTTATCCAATTCCCCTCGGTCGTTTCAGTGAATACGCTTTCTGCAAGGCACTTGACAACCTGGACTGGCTAATCATGGTTGCCTGTCATTGGAAACCAAGTTAGGTTCAGAGATCGTAGGTGGGATCAGTGCGAACCAAGTAATTACGTACATTGCGGTCTTCATTACGCGAGGCGATCTCAATGTATGAAAACTGAATTAATCCTCCATGTTGATAAAGCACGAGAATCCGAAGAAGCTTTTGGTTTTTGACCATATCCTTATGGGCGCTCTTTGTAGCTTCCCTCTGTTGTTGCTGCTGCTTTTGTGCGACAGCTTCATGGTGCCACTATTGTCACCAATTTCGACCACTGAAGTAAAACACATTGTTTTGTATTTGTCCAGTAACACGTCACATTCATGGGTCAATGATTGAACAATTACAGCTTAGCACTTGGCGTCTGAAGCCCGCGACAGGATCAAAGCGCGATGGGGGAAACGGAGTAGTCAACACGAGCCATTACGTCGTTAAAGGATGTAGAAAACGGCAATACCTTGTGACATTCGGAAGCATTCCCGATGTCAGGGCATGATTGGGGTGCAGCGGATACATGAAATGGACCTTTCTGCCCGGCGCAGACAGTCGGTTTTCCGGTATCATCGGTACTTGGACTTCACCCATGGTCACCAGCACGTGCCGCTGCCAAGACGGACGACTCCAAAAGTGGAAGCTCGATCTCCCTTCGTTACGTAGCGTCCACCAATTATTTCCCCCCTTTGCACCACGCGTTTCACCCGAAAGAACCCCTCGGTATTCCATCACACAAATTTTTACGCGAGTCTGTCCCATAAATGCGCAGAGGACAATTCGGTAAACCACCATGGTCTAGCCTTCTTCTTGTCGCGCATGGTTAGAGGGGCTGGACCTGCATTGAGATCTTGGCACAGTGGCGTGGGCCCACTGACTTTAGCTGTCCAGAGCGCGTAGCAATGAGACGACATGATAAATGAGTTGTTCCTCTTCCATTGGCGAACGGTTTATTTGCCCGTCTTGCCATGTCAATCTGCTTTCTTCCGACTCGATAGAACCGCTAGAACCGCCATGGGTCTCAAGTATCTCACCTGTGCTGCGGCCATCGTCGCCGCCGTGGTGCATCCCTGGCTGGCAACCGCCATCGATCTTGAGCTCAACATTACGACCCTGACCGGTGGCGAAATCGAGTCGGACTGGACAAACATTTTCTATGCCAAGAACGAGCCGTTGCTGCTTGGAAACGACGGAGGGTCGGCCACGGGAGGTTTCCATGCCTGGGATCTGAACAGCGATTCGCCGCTCTCCGAGGTCAAGACAATAACTACTGGCCGAACAAAGATCATCACGACGGTCTATAACGTCACCGGCAAAGACCTTGCAGTTACGATCGCGATGCCGGATTCTGTCCTTCGCGTCTACGAACTCCCTGCCTTTACTGAAATCGAGGCTGCGCAGACAACCAAGCTCGGAGATTGGTCAGCCATTTGCTCGTGGCGCAGCAAGAGCCTGAACGACTATGTCTACCTTTTTGGGAAAACCCTGGCTGTGCAGTACCTCATTCGTCAAGGGAAGAGTTCTATTGAGCTGGTTGAGGTGGGTCTTTATGGATTGTTTAAGCCCCCTCTTGTCGTTACCCTCCACTGACGTTAACAGGTTCAAAGTATTCCAACCCCGGCTGAGTTTTCAGGTTGCGCCGTAGTCCAATCCCAGGCGAAGATGATTGCCACCGCGGATGATGACAAGGACATCTATATCTTTGACCTCAAAGAATCTACCATTGCCCCGAATGTCACCAAGCTTGGCGAAGCTTCGGATGATGTGACTGGTATTGCCGTTTACGCCTCCAACTCCACTGGCTTGGACTACCTGTTTGTGGCCCAAGAAGACAGTATTGCTGTTTACGAATATCCTTTTGATCTCCTCGGCAACATCAAGATGACTGGCTTGGAGGACATTGAGATACAAGGCCTAAGTCTATACCAAGGATCTACTTCCAAATACCCCAGCGGGGCACTCGGTTTTGCTGTCGAGGCGGATGACGTTGCCGGCTTCGGTCTGATGTCTTTGGAGGACGCCCTCAGTGAGCTAGGAGTGTCAGTCAACACTGCGTATGACCCTCGTAAGCAGTCTGGATGCCTCACTCACTCTAAAATCTGTGACGTCTGCTCAGGCAATGGCTACTGCCAGGAGAACGCGCTTGGTTGCGGCTGCTTCGCTGGCTTCACCGGCGACAAATGCGACGTGTTTCAATGCACAAACGACTGCTCTGGGCGTGGCGAATGCGTTGGGCCCAACCAGTGCAAGTGTGAAAACGGTTGGGGCGGTCTTCACTGCTCGTTTCTTCTGGTCGAGCCTTCATACGAGACTGACCAAAACGGAGGCGATGGAGATGATCCGGCCATCTGGATTTCACCAGAGTCAGCGGATAAATCTCGCATCATCACCACGACCAAGTCAACCGTCGGAGCCGGTCTGGGTGTTTTTGATCTCACTGGCAAGTTGCTCCAGACGATCGCCGCTGCTGAACCCAACAATGTCGACATTATCTACAACTTCCAAGCGGGTGATCGAAAAGTCGACCTTGCATTTGCTGCCTGCCGCGGAGATGATACCCTCTGGCACGTTGTTTTTCTTCTTACAATGTTAATCCTATGGCTAATACGAGTTCAGTTTATTTGAAATGACGTCGAACGGCACGCTCAAAGAAATTCCCGGCGGCATCCAGCCTGTCGAGCCTAAATACAAAGTCTATGGATCTTGTGTTTATAGGTCTCCCAGGACTGGCAAGCAGTACCTGTTCGTCAACGCAAAATCTGCTCGTTACCTGCAATACGAGTTAACTTCGACATCTAATGGAACTCTCCAAACAACCCTTGTCCGCGACTTCACTGGTGGTTCTGGGGGGCAGGTGGAGGGATGTGTAACCGACGAAGATAACGGCTGGATCTTCCTTGGCGAGGAACCGTCCGCTCTTTGGCGGTACGGCGCTGAGCCTGACTCGAAGGAGGAGGGTTTACGAATTGCGTACGTGGGCGATGGTCAGACAAACGCTGATGTCGAGGGCGTCACGCTTGTTTACGGCGCGAACCCTACCCAGGGCTACGTGATCGTCTCCAACCAGGGTGTCAGTGCCTACAATGTGTACAGGCGTGCTGAGCCCCATGAGTACGTGACTACTTTCACAATCACTAAATCTTCCGATGGTCAAGTTGATGCAGTGTCCAACACGGATGGTATCACTGCCATCGGTACGCAGTTGGGCAAGGACTTTCCACATGGTCTTGTCGTTACCCACGACGATGCGAACCAGTTGCCCAATGGCAGCACTAGTGCCGAGGCTAGCTTCAAGCTGGTTAGCTTGGAAAAGATTCTTGGTTCAGATGCACTCAAGTCACTCAACCTTTTGAATGATGTCGATGCGAATTGGGATCCGAGGAAGTGAACATTCTGGGGTTCGGGCGATATCCTGCACACTACAGATAGAACAGTAGTTTTAATGTATATATATGGTAAAACGAGAACATACGAAACTCAACTTCAGCGAAGCTTCCAGTCATCATTTTCACGCTTTGCGGATGACTTTCCGACCATGCAAATCGTGCTCTTTCGAGTAGGATTGGTGGTCAGCCCGAGCCCATGAGTTAGTAACAAAAGATTGCTTGATGTGTGACTGAAGATCATCACTTCGCATACGCTTATAGTCAAGTGATGCCTTAGTAGGCTATCATCATTACGGGCCATGATCAAGATGCTTTTACAGCAGAGCCCCCTGAGTGCAAACGTCCAAGTAAAAACGGCTATGGATCATACAGTTAACAGCATCAAGAATTCCGTGATTTGGTGTTGTACATCATTCTACACAGATACCCTAATCTTAAAATGCTCAGAGAATCAGGCCCCATCGAACGGCCTTTTTTGCCATCATAGCGATCACGCCAAGGGGCAAGAATCGCTCCTCGACCAGCCGGAGACCGCCGAACCGCTGCTTTGCTTCCTTGTGATACATCTGCGTCACCCACTCCACTTCGGTGAGCATACTGGCTGGTCGAAGGTTCAACTTTTCCAAAGTTTTATCAACTTCCCAGTCAGTCCGTGGTTGCGTCATGGCCGGCGTGTCCTGCAGGGTACAATATGCTTCCGCCACATGAGCGCTAGTGAGCTCACGGTGGGCGGTGTACTCTTCGAAGCTCATGAAGTTGTCCGCTTCACCGGGGCGGAGAACGTCGGCAGGGTCGAAGTGGCCAAACCTTCTCTCGGCACGATGCTCGCGCTCCTTAGCACCACTCAATGCCTCGAACTCTTTCTTCTTAAACCTGTAATCCTCCAGTTCCTTCTCGAAAAAGTCGTCAATTATCTCAATCGGAGACCCGTGCTCACGGTTAAGACTATCCTGCGTCATCAAGAAGGGAATGAAGGGGTTACGCAACCCGAGGCCACCCAGCTGGTCCGGAAATAGAAGGAACGCGTCCGAGACGTCTGCTACCCCAAAGCGCTCCTCAATCTTGGATTTGATGTATTGGACAGCGTTGTATCTGCCACTCATCTCACCGGCTGAATCGCACCAAGGCTCAAAGATGTCGTGTTGCATCTTTTGGTAGGTCTCCAAGATGCTCTTGGCATGCTCTTTTCCAAAGCAAAAAGCAGGCTCGCCGAAAGTATGACCGAAGAACCTGCTGATGCAGCTGTTCCAGGTTCGCACCCAATCCAGCACGCTCCGCGACTCTGCGAGTTGCCTTTTCAGCTGGGTGATGTGCTCCACTACATTCTCCTGGTCGATGATCCACTTGCCGCTCTCCGGGTCCAGTAAAAGGTGTCCAACACTGACGCAGCCGTCGGGTAGCTCTGCTGCAATGGCCTCGTCTTTTGGTAACCCGTTGTTGGTTAGGTATACCGACCCGGTTTTTTTGGTATTGAATTCGAGTCCCATCACACGAGCAAAGCGCTGCATGGCAGCCCAAGCCTTTGCGGTGTAGACTGGATCACCGACAACCCAGAGATCGTCGTGTAAGCGATACAATTGCAAGCCTGTCTCCTGGTTTACGACGAAGTCCATGACAAACAAAATGAGCTCCCCGATGAGCTTCTCAGGTGCCCTAGCCATGGGCATTCCGCGGCGTCTGATCCGTGGCCTGTTTGCTGACAGAGAATCCGACGAGGGGCTTAGGTTCAGAGGGGCCTCGAGAACCTTTCTGTAGAAGTCGATCAGTTTGACAGGGAACCCAAAGAAGCGCATGACGGCAAAGATTGACGTATGTGATAAGCTGGCCCCGAACCACTTTAGATCGGATTGCACTACAGCAGCCTGTCCATGGAGCGATTGCTGGATCAAGATCTCAGTCGCAAGCGTGCGGAGTAGGACCTGCTTGATGTTCTGGTTTGAAGTTTTCGCCCCTTCTTCCCGGGTGTCCCTTTTGACTCCCCAGCCGTCATCAACATCTTCCGACTGCTCTCCTTCGTCTGCATAGAGCCCATTATTGAGAGTGTCAACTCGGCTCGGAAGTGCAGCGACACAGAAGTTGTCGACATAATCTTTTCTACGGCGTTCTGCAATGTTTCCGAAAGTCCTGATTCTGACTGGAGCATCCAAAGAGGCACCTCTGGACCTTGGCCTGTCGTTTTCCCATTTTCGTTCGGAGACACGGCGTCTGCACCCTGGTACGTCTTCAATACCTTCGTTGAGGTAGTAGGCGCGCCGCTGCGCCTCTCTCTCGGTGAATGGCGGCCCAGCATGCCATCTCCAGAACTTGTTGCTTTCGTTAGAAACGATGCGTGTCAAAATCTCTTTGAGACTGACGCAGCTGTTGATACCAACGTAGTGGACGAAGATGGCCTGCAGTACATCTTCGTCCATCCAGATGCGATACTTGCCATTGAGCTGTTGGCGTGGCAAAACGGGCACGCCTTCTTCTCCAGCATCCCAATCCCAGGTTTCGAAGTTGGTAAACCGTGTGTTCAAGACGTCTGCGATCTCTCGCAGAACTACTTCGTTATGTTCGAACTCCTTAAGGAGGCCCTGCTTCTCGTCGCTGAGAAGGTCTTGTTCAAGCAAACCCTTGATGCACTGCTTCAAGGTTCTCTCATCGAAAGGCCGGGCTGTTACTAGCATGGCTTCGCTCTTGCTACGCATATGATATCTCACAGTGCGAAGGACTTCTTTCTTGTCGTCGGTGTCGAAGAAGCCATTAAGATACTTGTTGATCTCCACCTCGTCTGTGTCCAACGGTGTGAACACAACGTTCTCGAATTGGTCGCAAAGATTCTGCAGGCGCTCCTTCTGGCGGTCAATGAACTCGAAAGACGACTCTTCCTCGGCCAACGCAGTGGCGGCGGTGCTCTCCATAGGCTCCCCTGGATTCATCCATTCCGTCACAAGGTTCGAGTACAGGTGAGCCATGCTAAGCTTGTGACTCTGTACATCGAGCTTAGAGCGCAGAAAGTCTTCGGACGATTGCAGCATGTGAGCTGGCACCGATGCATCGTATTTCGACTGAGCCAAAAGACTCTCAATGTTGTCGACATCGTTTTCCTCATCGTAACCATTGCGACATAGCTCTTTCACACCGTGGAGCAGACAGCCAATGCGCTCGCCCTGGTCGGTGTGGCATTCGGCATCCTCGAGGATCTTGCTTTTACGATTCTCGTACTGTGCTCTTTGTTTTTCAAGTTCGCGGATCTTGGTCACTGTGATTGACTGGAGCGTTTTCGAGAGTATGGATGTCGAATGTGACATCTTGTGGGTGGTTGATAAAGAAATATGGGGCTAAACAAGACGTATGAATGAGCTGGAGTTTCTCTACTGTTCCTGGAGGTCTCATTGTCTCTATTTTATAAAGCAATCCAAATCAACATATGCGCCCTGTTGTCGTTTACGTCCGATGCCTGATTGAATGAAATCCATGAAACATTTGGTTGTCTACAAGCTCAAGACAGCTGAAATGCAGCCGGAGAAGCCATGGGAAGGCGATGGAGCTGCTGCCTGGCCGAGCGACGCCCTTGCGTTGACATGCATGACATCTCGCCGACAATATACGTTCAACGCACGTTCAACAAGACAGAACAGTGTACGGATGGAAGACTTTGATGCCAATCGAAACTCATGGAAACATCTTTTTGAGGCCTAGAATCTTCTCTCGGTCAGTGAGTTGAGACATGTTGTATTTTCTCTACACTTTTGCCAAGAATTGGGCAGCTGGCCCATGGGAATGTCAGAAAATTTATGCCATCAATCCGACAGTTCTTGAAACAAATAACTATCAAAACGTTTGATTGGATGGGCTTCAAGACTCAACATGTCTCGACAGTTCAGGATCGAATAGCCTCGGTGCTTTGGCTGTCAATTTGTCGTCTCGCAGATGATTGAGAGGTTGCGAGCTTGTATCCAATCGTGCTGGATCTCTTCATGATTGAGACTTTGTTCAAACAAGCTCCACTTAGCTCTCTAGCGCGTCAAAGACTGGTTTCCCCAATATGAACGATTTGTTCACAATGTAACAGATGAATGTTCTGTTTTCTGTGTTCATTTTGCTGGGACAGATAAGAGGCCGAGCATGATGGTACCTAGATCTAGCTAGAACGTAACGATAACGGTACCGTCGAAACCCCGAATATATCGATAGATTCAGAGCCCCGGCTCCCCCTTTTCGAATGCTCATAAGCATAATTGAGTAAGGGTGGGTAAACATGCCTCGAGGGACTCTGCTTTGACAATTGTCATGATGCATGGAATAATTTGGAGTCTGGGATGACGCCCATCAACTGCGATGCATGACTGATTTTTTTTTTAAATTCCTTGTTGACTTATAGTGAATGTTGAAGTTTTGCCGCTTCAACCAGAAGTTGTAGCTCGCCTGCCTATCGTCGGGGGAGCGGCAAGTCTCAACCGGGCGTGGACACGCTCACCGAATATGGCAGCACATTGACTGGTAAAAATGCAGGCTATTGAAAGCAAGCAACCGAACAACAAGAGCGCGTTGTTTTCCGGTTCTCGCCATGTGTTTTGATGATAGCTCGTTGGCTATTTCAAACCAAGTTTTAAAGATACTGGTCAAATAAGACCCGAAGCATGGTGGGATTCGGCCCCAGCCACTCATCCAGTTAGGGGGGAAAGAAATAACCAGCTGGGCGATAACGGAGGCTTGGTAGACACTGTGGCATTATGGCCAGCCAGCACACCCTAGGATCCATCCAGTGGCGGCGACCCGACGCGCGCGGCAGATCAGTGGGTAAGACTACCTATTCCGGGGCGGTCCCCGGGCGTGGGTTCCGTCTCTTTGATGATCCTTCCCGGCGACCGGCCGAGGTCAATCACTGCTCGTATTGATTTACCTGCCTAATTTGGACCGGCAGAGAGAAAGCAGACGGATTTGTCCATGATCGTGTTGTTTATCCCCAACACCCGAAAACCCCTAGCTTTGGAGGCACTGAATGACGCCGTCTGGACTTTGAGTCCACACTGGGAGTCATTCCTAGTTGCAGGATTTAACCAGTTCCAAGTATGCTTCGGGACACCTCATGCCCAGATCCGATCAGCCGCAGATGCCGTGGCGCGGAGCGGATACAGTCGGGGGCCCCGATAAATGAAGGTTGCATTGCAGCCCTGCCCACGAACAAGAAAGTGAGTGGGCGGGGTTCTCTATAAGACTATCGGCTTGTCTTATCGAGTCATTCCTTGAGGAAAAAACTTCCCAAGACGAGCGAGGTTCCCCACACTCCAAGACAAAAGGGGAGAGGGTCCTCCATCAACGCCATTTCTTGCTTAGATGAGCGCAACGGAGCCGATTGGATTCGGATGTAATCTGCTGCGTTCCCACTGCCGATCCGCGATTTTCGACCCAGACCTTACATGCTAATCTCCTTCTTTTCACCACCCAAACCTTCTTTGATCACGTTGGCACTTTGATTGAGCGCTTATCGTCGACACTGCAGAATATTGTTGGCTTTGCTTTAAATAAACTTTGTTACTCGCGGCAAACATAAGCGCAAGGGGCGGGTTTTCAAACAGTTTGACGGGCAATGGCGTCGACGTCGAAGGACAGCTGCCCCAGGGAGCAGGAAAAGGGCTTACACACACAGAACGCCGCGCTGGACACATCTGCCATCGCGACCGACGCCGCCAGCAGCAATAATCCCCCATTTTCACCACTGACATTATCAACGGCTGAGAAGGCACCAGCCCCTGCTGGACCCCCCGATGGTGGTTTGCAGGCATGGCTCCACATCCTTGGGTCATTCTTCCTCTACTTCAACACATGGGGTGAGTGGTAGTCAAGGCGCACATCACCATGGTTGTATCGCGAAGCATGCATCGCAGGTGACAACATGAACCAGATGCAGGAGCTGATCCGCCCATAGGCCTGATATCCAGTTTCGGCGCCTTCCAGGCGTATTACCAGTCGGACATCCTCAGCAACAATACGCCATTCGAGATATCGACGATCGGATCCCTGCAGAACTTCCTCATGGTATTTCTAGGATTCATCATCGGACCCATCTACGATCTTGGCTACTCTCGATACCTCCTTATCGTGGGATCGATTCTGGTATTGGTAGGCCTCATCCTGCAAGCCTTTTGTCAAAACCTATGGCAGTTCCTCCTCTGCCAGGGCCTAGTCATCGGTATCGGGACCGGTTGTCTGTCTACCCTAGGTGTAGCGCTGCCTTCTCAATGGTTTTCGACCAGATTGGCGCTTGCAAACGGCATTGCGGCCAACGGAAGCGGTGTTGGTGGGTAAGTTCAGTCAAGAAATGTGCAAAAGGCATTGCGACTTGCTGACGATCTGCAGTCTCGTTCTTCCTGCCCTGTTCCGAGCGATCCAGCCTAAAATCGGCTTTCGATGGACGGTCCTAATCTTCGCGCTGATCTCGCTGGTTACCCTCGGCATCAGTAACCTCGTCATCAAGACATCGAAGCTCAAGATCCCACTCAAGCGACGTCCGCTGGTTGACAAGTCCGTCTTCTATGACCTGCCCTTCCTCTTGTTCCTTGGCGCCTGCTGTCTACTTTTCCTCGGCATGTACACGCCCTACGTCTACGTGCAAAGCTATGCCCTGGAGAATCACATGGCGAGCGAGGACGTCGCCCTGTACCTCCTCTCGATTCTCAATGGTGCATCCATTGTTGGCCGCATCATCCCTAACTTCTTCGCGCCTTACATCGGCATTATGAACATGATCGCCAGCGCCGTCTTTGTCATGTCCATTACCGCCTTCTCCTTCGCTGCAACAAACAACCAGGCATCCCTGATCGCGGTTACAGTCATCTACGGCTTCTTCAGCGGCACATTCTTCGGGTTGCAACCGACGACCTTTGTGAAGTTGACGGCGGACAAGAGTTACATGGGCACAAGGTTTGGTATGGCGTTCACGGTGATGTCGGTGGCCCTGCTGTTCGGCTCGCCTATCGCAGGTGCGCTGTCGAAATCGCAGGGGTACTTGAGCGGTTGGATCTGGTCAGGATGCTGTCTAGCGGCGAGCGGGGTGACGATTTGCGTCGCGCGCGGTTTCTCTGGCGGTTGGAAGCCGAACAAGATTGTATGATTCCCATCTTTTATCGTTAGAAGAATACAAAACCTTAGCATCCCAGTGTAAATACAACACCAGCCCATTACGTTCAACTTCGCCAAAGTATGCGTGCTACAAAAGTGAAGAGCAGTGAGTTCCCACACAACATCATGAACATCCCGAAAGACGTCGGTATTGCAACATGCAACCTACGTATTGCCAATTCTCGGCACCTCGGAAATCGATCTGCTTTCGGGCCGTGGCCGCAACCCATTTCCAGCTTGCATCAACGGCAATGAACGTGCTTTGGACTGTGCCGATGTCGATAACCCTTTCCTTGACAGATACCGCCGAAAATGAATCCTGATTGTTCCAATGGCGCTTGAGCTGTCAGTGGAGCAGTGGAAGAACAACTTCTTGTGGATGGAAGGTGGACACAACAAGGTGGATGTCAGCCCGTTTCCCCTAAACTCGCCATTGCGACTTGGGCAAAGAACCCGAGCCCATAAGCAAGGGCACTTACTACTATGGGGTTTCTAGTGTATGCCACCATATCTCGACCTCCCTCCACTACATAGCAGCAAGGCGTGCAGATCTGCAGTTAATTCCAAGGCAACGTGTGGGTATCGCTGCACTGTGTCTTTTTTGGGGCACTTTGAGTTTGAGCGCTGCTTTGGGTTGCTTTGCGCGGGATAGTGTTTGCTTGAGATAGTCTCGACTTCGAGTTCATGGCGGGGATGGAAAGCCTGGCCTTCAATAACGCCCAGCTTCGCGTATAAGTAGTTGGCCGTGGGGCAACTCATGCTCACATCGGCACTTTTTGTTATTTTGCTCCAAGTTTGTTCATCAAAACGCCATCAAAACTAGTTGAAAGTGTCGATCAAGACTGTTGCTGTTATTGGCGTAAGCAAAACCCTCGCATCACCATACTCGCGTCACGCCCTAGATAAGACTGCTTACAACCATAACAGGCTTCCGGCCTCGTCGGCCTTCGTGTTGTCAAGGCTCTCCAGGACAAGGGCTTCGAAGTCACAGCAATCTTCCACGAATCCTCAACAGCCACATTCCCGTCCGGAGTCGCCGTTCGCAAGCCAACTTGTCGTCCGTTGAATCACTCACAGCCGCTTTCGCTGGCCAAGACGCAGTCGTCTCCGCTATATCGACCGTGGCGGTGATTGTTCCCGGCGCGCAGGACCCACTCATCGAAGCCGCGATGGTCGCCAGCGTTAAGCACTTTATCGTGTCTGAGTACGGCCTCAACACCCGTAACTTGAAAGGCGAAATCCTCGGAGATTGGCTCAAAGCCAAGACGAAGGCGGTTGATTATCTAATCAAGAAAGCCAAGGAGAACCTCAGTTTTACTTGGACAGGTATCGGAACAAGTCTTTTCTTCGACTGGGTAAGTGGAGTTGCCGAAATGAAAGGACGCGCCGCTGATCACGGTACGACAGAGTATTACGAGAGGAATCTACGGCATCTCGTTAGAGAACAAGAGCATTACCATCTTTGACTCCGGAAATCAAACAGTCTCCACGACGTCGCTGTCCTTCTTGGCAGAGGGCATCGTCGCCGTGTTGCAGCATCCTGCCGAAACGGCCAACAAGTACATCAACATTGTTGAGTCTGAAGTGACACAAAACCAGCTCCACAATCTGTTCGAGGAGGAGACTGGAACCAATTTTACGGTTAAGCACAAGACCGCTGATGAAGCCGAGAAGGTCGGCAAGGAGAAGCTGGCAGCCGGCGGAAGATTTCCCTTCGAGGAGTTCCTTCAGAAGTACTAGTTTGACGATGGTCCCGGACACGTCATTAAGGAGGAGGATAAGGAGAACAAAGTTCTTGAGCTGCCGCAGAGCCATTTGCGTGAAATTGTGAGACGGTACATTAAGGAACACAGTGCTTAAAGGAGACTAGCGAGCGATACTTTGGAACAACAGTAATAAACGCAATAAGAATACGGGTATGAACACAGCCTTTGCCTTTCAATATAGAGTTTGGGTAGACACCATTCGAAAGTGTCGGTGACTATTGTTTCAAAGCATCAAACATTAACCTACACACAAAAATGACATTGTTGGCCAACTTCGTCTGTTAGTCTCTTGGAGAAATCATTTGAGGACTACTAAGAAGAGAAAGGTTGCTGTGTTTGGTAACACCAGGCTTAGAGTACGCACGGCACTCATAATCGGTAAGGACAAGCACTTTCGTTCAGCTTTATCTCAAGCTCCTGTGGGTATGTGAAGCTCAAAGAAATTCATGGCCAATAACCATGGGACTTCTGGGAAACGCGTGATAAGTCTCTGTTCACCAATGTTAGGGCTCATACAGCAACCAGTCAAACAATAAGGAAGAACCAACCAATCAACTGTACTAGTATTTCGGTACTTTGGCATGTAATCCTACCTAGTTAGACTTAGTCTTGTTTCACGCAACTCGGTAGCCTTTACCTTCTTACAACACAACAGAGATTACTTCTGAATTTGGAACTTATTGTCCTATCATGAAATTGTTTGACACAGCAACCATTCGGCCCTCAGCAGGGATTGATAGAGTGGCCATTCTGAGAAACTCAGGAGTCATGATGAACAAAAACTAGGTAGAAGACAGGGAAAGCTTCAAAGAACACATATAGGAACATGATGCAAGCGTCAAAAGACACCAGAGCCAATTCATTTGTAGTATCTATGAACCTTTATGGATTCAAGTCGAGCTGAAGCGACTGGACAAGACGGCTGAAACGAGCCTTACGGCATCAGGCTCAGGCCTTGTGATCGGTTTTGAGGCTGTCCACATCGTCCTCGCTTTCGACACGGACGCGACATCCCTTGACGTCCGTCTTGGCTAGTATGTTGGTGTAGACGCGCCCAAAGACAGACGACCTCATGGTGCCGTGCTGCTTAGCGACGATGTCGACCTCGACGCGCTGGGCGAGGTAGATTTCATTAAAACGCACGTTGGTATCGGCGAGGCTCTTGCAGGCCGAGAAGGCCATGGAGAACATGGCGCCTTGGGAAATTGCCGGTAGAGCGCGGTCCCCCACGTCGCCCTGAGAGCCGGTGCACGTGGTCCAGGTACAATGCTTGTCCTTCTGCTCGAGGAGGTAGGGGATGGTGGCGCGGTAGGCGACTGTTGGTACAGGAGGACATGGGACCGTCAGCCTGGCTTAGGCGAGGTGCGTATTCCGGCGAGGAAGAGCCAAGAGAGGAGCAAGAGAAGGTGCAAAGGGGTCTTACAAAAGTTGGATTCAAAGTTGTGTGTCATGAACTCCCGGAGTTCCGCGGTGGTGGTCTCAAGCATGGTCTTTTCAGTGTATCCGCCCCCCACTGCTTCGTGTTAACCAAGGGGGTCAAAGGGCGGGAAAGAAGGAGGGTTTGCTCGTACCAGAGGAGAAGACATGCTGAAAGGCCGGTAGCGTTCCCGCGCGCACCTTGTCCACAACCCCCTGGACGCCTTGGTCGGAAATGACATCGGCCTCGACAACAGTAACCCTTTCCTGGCCCTCGCTCAGGTGCTCGAACAGCTTTTTGGCCGAGTCTTGGTTACGGATAATGGCGAGGACGTTGCGGCCGGACCGCAGGGCGCCCAAGATGGCGGCAATGCCAATGTTACCGGTGGCGCCGATGACCAGCACAGTTTCGATATCTTGAACCATGCTTGCTCTGCAAAGGGCTGCTATCAGATAGGTAGTGAGCGTGCGATAAGTGAGGGAATCAAGGTAAGGTATGGTGTGGTGTTGAGTGCTGTCCCTTCTCAGGAGAGGAAGACGTATGAGTTTCCCGCGGTGTGCTATTTAAACGCCGACGTCTGAAGGCTTGGCTTGCCAATCCATGATAACAAACCAACAGAATCTCGAGGTGAATTATTAAGCATATGTTGGTTGTTCCTTGAAAACATGCATGAAAGCTGTTGCAACTTGGGCACCCAGGGGTTGAGGGTGGGGCACCCTCAGTTGAGCTGATTGCTGCGGGTGACGAGACGAGAGGATGCCTAAAGCTACAGATGAGGCGTGCGCTCAGCTTTCTCCATGGCAAGGAAGGGATACTCAATTTTGAGTGCACATTTTACATGATTGTGTCCCGCGACAATGTTTACTTTCATGACCATGCCAAGTCTTCACTCGGGGCACATGTGAGGCAATGTACAACTTTGACGGCTGTTATGAAGATACATGTCTTTCACCTCGTTTCCATTGCTTCCCCTTGCGGCAAGAGGCTGAATATGGCTCATGGACAGCGGTAACCAATGGGGTATTCTCTGACGCCCGCATCCAGAGACATGCTGCATGTGCCAAGCAAAGACTTGGTGAGCCTGGGGGGTTGCACCCCCAAAACTTTAGTGTGCCCAATCAAGGGCGGGGGAAGGGGGACAAGGTCGGGGGCCGGGGGTAGCGCCGGCCGCGATGTCCTGAGCCCCGTGCCCCGAGAACCGGCACCGGCACGGGTTGACTGATTGGTTGACTGATGACGTCTTTGTCACCAGCTTGTAATCACATTAGGCCACAACACTATGCGACTAAACGTTTCATATACTTTGCTTCGTTGAAGAATGGCTACAAGGGCTAATGTAGAATTCTGCAAATTGTTTCACATCTCCGCAAAGGTGAGAGTAACCAGAAGGTGATGCCTTCGGTTTGGTTTCCCCACGACTTAACGTTCGCAATTGTTAACGTGTGAGCCCGCAGGCAAAATATACCATCCTCTCCGACCATTCGGCGCTTGATGCTATATTTGAGTTGATTATTTGATGATTGGCACGACGCATTGCGTTGGTTGTAACCCATATCCGCTTCATCCCCACTATTCATCCGCCGGCTTTCCACCCTTTCCGCTGCCGGCTATGTTTCTACAGCTTCATCGAATAAGGCATAACCCTAACTCAAGACCTAAAATCAATAGGGTCTAGCAGCACCGGAACTCAATGATACGATTGGCGTTACAAGGCACCATCTTTTGAACAATACTTTGGAAGGTAGTCGGTTATTCGTCTTGATTGTCTTGGTCACACTGTGTTACTTTTGTCTATTTAGGAGTTCACACACACTGCTACATGGCTCCTTAACTAGTATGAACCATCGGTCACAGCTTTTTAGTAAGCAACAAGAGGACTTTTCCATAGCAACTTCAGGCAGTCGTGGCTGCTGCCTAGTGGTAGTTTAGCCCTTTTAGTTCGTTACCCAATAGAAACAGCCAATCACATGGTGGAGTAAGGCAGCTCACCCCAATTCACTAATCCTTTAACAACTTCACGACCCCGCTCTGCCTCCACCATGGCATATTGGGATAAGACTCCACGGCCGACTCTATATAGCCGTCATTGCCAGTTCCAATTCAATGTTGCCGGAGCATGAACCAGTCAGAAGTGCTACACTCTGATTTCAAACTTTGCACCGTAGCCACACCGGTCGACTATCACGATGGCCAACACTGCTCCCAAAGTAGCTGAGAAAGAGCGGCGCGAGTCTCCGAGCATGGTGGACGAGAAAGCTCAAGATCTTGTTGACCAAATCAAGAGGAGCAAGCACTTCATCGTCTTCACTGGCGCAGGCATCTCCACGTCCGCCGGTAAGTTTCCATTGCATATGGTACAGACAGCGTGTCAACTGCCATCATACTTTGAACGGGACGAAAGCTCATGTGCGAACCCAGGTATTCCCGATTTTCGAGGGCCGGAGGGCGCCTGGACTTTGAGAGCTCAGAGGCGAAAGAGGACAGAGAAGACGGTCAGCACGCTGCAGGCTGTTCCGACGAAGACACACATGGCGCTTGTTGAGCTACAGAATCAGGGTATTTTGAAGTACCTGGTCAGTCAGAACTGCGATGGACTGCATCGAAAGAGTGGCATATTACCCGTGAGCTCATCATAATGCCTATGATTGTCTTGATAATATTTTCTGCTGACACTTTTTTTCACGATAGGATAGGATATCGGAGCTTCATGGCAACAGCAATAGGGAGTACTGTAAAGACTGCGGCAAAGAGTATCTACGCGGTATGCATTCCCCTTCATTCACAAGAAATTGAACCTAGGACGTCCAAACGCTATATTGCGAGCCACTGAGAAACAAGCCCTAACTTCATCATGGAGACTTTCGCGCCGTAGCAACCTACGAAAAGACCGTACACGACCACCGCACCGGTCGCAAGTGTGCCGTGTGCGCCGGCGTCCTCCTTGACACAATCGTCAACTTTGGCGAGTACCTCCCTACAGAGCCGCTCCAATTGGCGCGCGACCACGCCAAGAAGGCGGACCTCTGCCTCGCTCTCGGCTCATCCCTCACTGTTCCTCCTGCATGCACGATCCCCGAATCCATGGGCAAGAAGAAGCGTAGCCGCGCGAACCCCGACGGCGGGCGGCTGGTGGTGTGTAACCTTCAGAGCACACCATTAGATCATCTGTCTGAGCTAAGGCTGTGGGCTGAGACGGATGATTTGATGGTTAGGGTGATGACAAAGCTGGGTTTGGAGATTCCCGAGTTCGTTTTGAGGCGGAGGTTGTTAGTCGAAGTCGAGGCCGTTGGTGAGGATAGGTTCCAGGTTGGAGTCCAGGGGGTTGATGTCGATGGGACACCAGCTACGTTTCTTCAGTCTGTGAGGATGGAGGGGAGTCGGCGAGTGGTGAAGGCTGAGCCGTTTGCGATCTCATTCCGGAGAGAGTCGGGTGGTGAGATGGAGGTGAAGCTGGAGCTGGAGTTCATGGGTCACTATGGCGAGCCGAATTTGGAATTGGTTCAAACGTATACCGGCGAGGGAAAGTCGGAGGCTATGTACTTGCTCGAGTACAACCCATCAAATGGCGAGTGGAAGGTGAGGCAGCAAGAAGGCGATGTTTCTGTTGAAAGTGGTGGCGGAATGGAGCGGGATGAGGAGAGGGAGGACTCGTTGATGATTTCGGCCGAGGAGGCGGGGGTTCCTAGCCATGTTATCCCTTCATCCGCCGCAAGCGATATCATCGACCTCACGTCGTCTCCATAGATGGCAGTTGATTAATGTTCCTTTACGTAGAAGCAAGGCCTGATAAAGCAGCACAGATTCATGAATGAAGCTGACATGGAACTGAGTTCTTCGAAACTCGCTTACTGTTCTCTCTGGTTTGTTTTTGAATGCAAGTCTATAAATAACCCCTTCAGACCACACAGATAGAGACATGCTGGCAAAGACCGCATCACCGACACTTGTTGAGCCTGCCGAAGGCCTACTTATTATGCCATCGCACGGATTGGGGCAGCCACCCACTTCATTAACAGGACAATGTATTTTAAAGGGCGCGCAACCTCGTCAATGACGACGTTAGCTACTGCATCAACCTACCAGTTGCATAGTTGAATGCTTCGTTAGATGCCTAGCTCTCTGTCCCTTTTCGCGGGTTTCATCCGACATGTATTCACACCTAGACATATTGAGAGCAGCTGAGTGAAAGGATGAGGCTTCGGGTAGTGATCAAACCCTTGTGATTAAATCATATACAATCTCTATGAATCCAGCATCTCAGTCCAAGAGTTGTGCGTTGCATTTTAGGCAGGCCGTCTACCAAATTTTGAGCACAAAGAACATTGTTCGAACAGCAAGGCCCTCAAATTGTTTTGGGGCATGGATTTTACTCTTGCTCACCAGAACTTGGCTCAGAGATATCCCAGATTCTTCACATCGGTCTGAGTAGATCTGACGCAAAACAACACCAGACTAAGGATTTCGGACCTAGCTGCTAGACTGAATATGGCCTTAAGACTTATTCCAAATTTGATATCGACCTCCTGATCTAGCCCACTAGTATGCCAAAAGGCCATGGAAACATCATGATCTATCCGAGAACTCTTCAAAAAAAACGTTGAAAGGTGATGGCGAATGGCTTGCGGGAACGAAACCTCCCCGACAAGTTTCAACGACCTTCCAACTTTAGGGTGGTTTCAACATGAACAAAACGAATAGCGCCTACACTCGAAACGAACACTATCATGACGTCCTCGTGAGTGTTTGAAAACCGATAGTGTGTGTCTTAGATCGAAACATGACCTCGCTGATGCAAAGGGAACAAAGGTCGATTTCCCGCTAAAAGAGTGGAGCCAACCGGCTGGGTCGACTAGCGCCGACCGTTACTCCTTACACACCAAGGATCTAGGTCTCGGACCGATGGACTATGGTGGAAAAAGCCTGAAAGATTCGCCCGGCCGGTTTAGCCAGCCTGCCATCGAAGGGCAGCCAGCCTCCGGGATCCGAGCCGAGATCGCGGGGTGGAGAGACCGTGGAACGAGAGAGCAGCTTGACGTCACGAAACAGTTACATCTCCATGATCTGACCCCATCAACGCTTGTTTGACATCGTTAGACTAATGAATCTTTGGCATGGGGAATCCTGACCTTCTCAAAGCCGATAATTCCGGCATGAAGAGAGCTTATGACCGGGAAGGAAGCGTTCCATGGCTGTCCCTCGTATTTGCCGGTGGGTCCGAGCTGCTTGGCTATCCAAGTATTAGGGCCAACTATAGCTTGGATTATTGAGCAATGCTAAGCTTTTTTCTTTGTAGGAAAAAACATTTCAGAATTCCAAGACAATGCCAACAGGATGGACTCACAGCCATAACCAACGTCGAGAAACGTCCAAAGTGTGTGCGCTGGCGAAGTTGACCTATCTGGGGCGCTCGTCCCATGTTGGTGACCGAGCGTGAAGTAAGATTTGCGCCTGGCTGCGGGTGCAAGGAAACGGCTTGATGGACCGCAGCTGCCAGCTGATTTCGACCACTCAGCAGACTTAATTGAGGCCACGACTAGCCATGGTGTCTTGTTGACGGGTGTGCTGGGGCCACACGCGCGAAGCTTGGGTCAGGACTGCGATCAGCACATTGGACCACCAACGATATTTTCGTAAGCCGGACGCGGGAAGTCCAACAGCTATTGCGCTTACGAGATGACCTAACATCCAGTGTGATCGGGATCGCGATTGGATACCGAGGGGCCGGCCACTAAGTAATCACAACCAAAAGGTACAAGCACGGCGGGAGACCTGACGAGGTGCAACTCAGAGCGTTGCATATCACACCACGTGGGATTTTTTTTATGTCTTTTTTTGTTCCGGTCGTTCGTGCGAGTCAACCTATAATAAGAGCTCAAAGCTTATTGGCCCTAATGTATGAGCACTGAGCAAGCACTAGGATATGAGGGGATGAAGTGTCAACCCCGCGGGGCCCACCGGGGGCTTGGGTCGAGGTGCTGCTCGTATCCATAGTGAGATTGGGGTCAGTCGGCTTTGAGTGGTTGGGCAGGCGAGAAGCAATCGACGACGGGTGACGGGTCTAGCCATAATTTCAGTCGTGACTCTCGTATAAGTGCCGAGAGTCCGGAGAGGCGGGCGAGCCGAAGCCACAAGAGAGTAAGCCGGTGCGGAGAAAATCCGCGAGAACATCTCACTGGTGGTGCACGTCGTCATTTCACGCTTCCAAGGGACCTATTTCTCAGCTTGGGGACTCATATGGCGACCAGCGAGCCACCTCCAACAGGGCTTTGCATGATGAAGCGGCATGAATGAAAGCGAGCAAAGAGGCGGTTCGCTGCAAAGTAGAGAAGAAAGGAAGAAGCAGACCATGAACGGCTTGCAGTAGACTGCATCGCATCGAGCCGCAGCAGCGGTGGCAAGGATGCCAAAAAAGCTTCCAGCTTGGTTTCTTTTCTTAGCCTATGAACGATGCTAATGACAGGGTGCAGTCAGTCCATCCGGGCCAGTCATCCATACCTCACTGGCAGAAATCAAGCGTGTTGTGCCAGGCGAGCACTATCTGTCATGTCTAGGTCTGGATTAGCGACGGAGAACACGGCCGAGTTCCACCTAACGACGTGATTGAGCTTGAGGCGGGGAGACGCTGGCAAAGCGCTTGCGTGTGTAATTGCGGTCTTGTCTGGGTTGTCGCACAGGATTAACCATAAGTGGACGGACAAAGCCTGCACAGTGGGCTGAGACGAAGATGACGAAAGTAGAATCAAAGATGAATAAGAGATAGGATGCCGGAGGAAGAATGTAAGCCTCGCAGGACACCGACCGAATCGAAGGCGGCTGGGCAAAAGGTCCAAGGACTCGTCGGCTGGCCGTTAGCGGCAGGTTGCTACGCTTGCCATTGGAGAGAGAGAGAGACAGCAGATGATGCGTGATAGTACGTACCGATGCATGAAGATGTCAGGTAACAACGATGGATTGATTCATGGCTTACTCGGTTCTTTCCCGTCGTCACTCCGTCAGTGACATTCTCCTTCCCGCCTTGGCCGACCGTACCTTGCCTCTGCTTCACACTTGCACCAGCACCATCACCGGCGTCCGCCCGCACTTGCCCTTCGAACTAAACTCGCAGTTGCCCAGCGAAGGCAGCGGACAGCCCACTGAATGAAGCTGGCGATGCCCTACACTCCATCGTCTCGATCTAGCCTAGCGGCTTCGATCCGGCGTGTCGATTGTTCGACAGGCTGGGCAACCCCTGGGAAAGTACGCTAACGAGAGCGTCGCTAAGCAGGGGTAGGGACGGCCTTTTGGTTTTTTTTTCCCCCTCCTTTCCTCTTGTGTGTAAAGTTGGGGGATTTTTGGCGCAGTTCCCGTTGGAAGAGCAAACAAGCAGAGCAAAGAGGCTTTCATAGACATCCCCACCGTCCTTTTTCGTGACCCGCTCTGGTCGGGACCCCCCCGGTCGTGGGTGCGCCACCTGGAATCGTTGAAACATCAGCCCAATGACCGACCGTAGCAACAAAAGAAGACAAGGCTCTCCAACGATGTCTCGATGGACCTAATCTACCATAGGTAAGAGACGCAGTTTCGGACGCCAAAAAAGGACTACGAGCTCCACTACTTGCCATACTTGACGATCCTCAGGGTGTCTTCCAACTACTCATTCGCCGCGGTGTTGGCCACCCACTCTCCCCCCCTGGTGAAATCACCGGCGCGCGATTAGGCCACCGCTCTGCAACCGCCGACATGTACTCCCGTCATCGCCGGTCCTCCATAAGGCTTTCTCTCTCCTGGTTGATCGCGCCCCCACTGCTAGTCTGCTAATGTTTTTTTTTTTTTATGGACTATCTCCCGGGAGCCATGAAGCCGCGACCAGCCACAACACTAAGCACCGGTACGTGCGGGCGGAGGGACGTCACCGTCTACACTGGTCGCTTCCGAGCCTGACAAGCCTCCGAACGGTTGACCGGTCACCGGCTGAGAGTCGAAACGTACCGTTTGGTGTGAGTGTTCCCGAGCTCGTTACTAGATTGCTGTCACAACCTTCCGGTACGTGCTACTAATTCCATGATACAACCTAGCCTGCCAACATGCACACTACCACTACCTTGCCTGCATCAGGATGGGGTACCTGAGCTTCCGGGTTGACTAGGAAGAGGCATCGGTGATGGGTGACAAACACGCTACGAGGAGACAGCCAAACCATGTCCCAACTACGGCTCCAGCTCGTATTCTCTAGGGTTTCCCGCCCGCCCTGATGGGATGGGGTCGGTGTATAGATGGGCGGATAATTAGATGGAGGCTTCATCACTTCCGCGGCCCTCCGACCCGACCAGCAACCATCGACCGCCAATACGCCTCGCTGTCGTCGTCTTCTGATAAAGCCTGCCTCGCTCTACCAAGATCGCGGTTCCTGTTTCCTTCCCTCCTCTCCTCACCCACGGTCACTACGAGTAAATTGTCCCCTCGCTTCAAAGCAGCTACTCGAATTTCATAGTCACGGCCATTCAGTTTCAAAAGAACAACCATAATCGACATGCGCGGCCTTTACGTAGGACTGGGCGCCATTGCCCTGGCGTCCGTCAACGCCAATCAGTACCCCTTTTGCGTATGTTTCTCCACTCTGCGACATTCACCTCCGTCTTCTTCGCCTCTCTACTCATGCCTTATATGCCGAGATGGATCATGTCACCGGACCCTTCCAAACCGAGAACGGTTGACTAACATTCCTTAGGAGGAAGACAACTGCTACCGTAACCTCATTGACGAGCGTTTTGAGAAGGAGGCCAAAGTCTTCTGTGTTGAATTCTTGCACGGAACAACCACCGCTGCCGCGGCTGTACCCACCGACTTCAACAACTGCGAAGGCGATATCAAAGCCATTTCCTCTGCCTGCTCTTGCGTTACCTACAGCTTGACCAACACCGTCTCCACCACTACGAGCAGTTCTACCCCGTGGACTACCAGCACAACGGCCACCTCGACTACCGTCAGCATAACTTCGTCGTCCACAACTTTCTCATCCACAACGTCCTCAGCCACGACGTCCTCGTCCACAACATCCTCATCCACAACATCCTCGTCCACAATCTCCTCGTCTACAATCTCCTCGTCCACAATCTCTTCATCCCTGACGTCCTCGTCCACAACCTCCTCATCCACAACCTCCTCATCCACAACCTCCTCATCCCCGACGCCCTCATCTACCACCTCCTCATCCACTACGTCCTCGTCCACGACGTCCTCATTCACAACATCCTCGTCCACAATCTCCTCGTCTACAATCTCCTCGTCCACAATCTCTTCATCCCTGACATCCTCGTCCACAACCTCCTCGTCCACAACCTCCTCATCTACAACCTCCTCATCCCGACGCCCTCATCCACAACCTCCTCATCCACAACCTCGTCGTCCACGACGTCCTCATCAACGACTTCCTTGTCCACAACCTCCTCATCCACAACTTCCACATCCCCAACATCCTCGTCCACAACCTCATTGTCCACAACCTCCTCATCCACAACGTCCTCGTCCACAACCTCACCATCAACAATTTCCTCATCCACGACTTCCTCGTCCGTGTCTTCCTCTATCACGACGCCTTCGGTCACGACTTCCCCCTCCACGAGTGTGGTCGTCTCGACCAGCAGCACAAAGGAGACCTTTACTAGCACAACGACCACCTTCACGACGAGCACTTCCTATCTTACCAACAGCACACCAACCACCTCCGATGCGAGCGCCGCTCCCATTGCCAGCAGTATCGAGGAGACCTCTACTAGTATACTATCCACCTCCAAGACGAGCACTTCTTCCGCTCTGAGCAGCACAGCGGCCACCTCCAAAACGAGCACTTCTTCTATTACCAACAGTACACCAGTCACCTCCGATGCAAGCGCTGCTCCCATTGCCAGCAGCATCGAGGAACACTCAACCAGCCCTCTTGGAACTTTGAAGGCAACCACCTCAACTGTCGTTGGCAGCACCGCCGTGCCGATTGAAGGCGTCACTACATCTGCCGCAGTTAACAGTGGCAACGGAATCATCACCATGACCGAGAAGCCTCTTTTCACCGAGATCAGCACCATTGAGCTCACCACCTCAACTGTCTACACCACACGCGTCGAGACCTTGACCCTATGTCCTCCTACCGTCGCCGATTGCCCTTACAGTCCCATCACCACTACCCTGACGATTGCTATCTCAACCACCGTCTGCCCTGTGGTTGGAGAGCCTACCCAGCCGGTTCCCGTTATCCCAACGACCAGGATGACCACTTCGACTATCTACAAGACTCGTGTTGAGACCGTCACCAGTTGCCCACCCTCGGTCCCCGACTGCCCCGACCGACCCCACGTCACGACCAAGATAATTGCTATTTCCACGACTGTGTGCCCTGTCTCTGAGGAGTCCACAGACGCTGTGTCCACGCCCGCCGTCCCCCAGCCAACGTCTTGGACTACCTCGATCATCTACACCACCAAGGTCCACACCGTGTCTGCTTGCCATGGCAATACCACCAACTGTGTCAACACTCCTCGCATCACTACTGAGACGATCCCGGTCTCGACAACCATTTGCCCTGTAACTGAGAGCATGCCTTACACCTTCACTACGATTCTCTCTGTTCCCAGCAGCAACCCCCCCGCGCCGCCTGTCGGCACTCCTTCGCCAGAGACTAATCCTGCCCCTCTTGCAAGCTTCCAGCCTGCACCTCCCCCAGGAACTCATCCCGCTCCTCCTGCCAACAGTCAACCAGCTTCTTCGGCAGAGACTCATACTGCACCCCCCGCAAGCTCTGACACCGGGCCCCTAGCTAGCTCCCAGCCTGCATCGCCTCCGGCTACCCAACCCGTTTCTCCGCTGGAGACTCATCCTGCATCTCCTGCGAGCAGCCAGCTAGCTCCTTCGGTGGAGACTCATCCTGCCCCCCCTGCAAGCTCTCAACCTGCGCCCCCGGCCAAATCTCAGCCTGCACCTCCCCCAGGGACTTATCCCGCTCCTCCTGCCAGCGACCAGCCAGCTTCTTCGGCAGAGACTCATCCTGCACCCCCCGCAAGCTCTGACACCGGGCCCCTAGCTAGCTCCCAGCCTGCCAGCGACCAGCCAGCTTCTTCGGCAGAGACTCATCCTGTACCTCCTACTAGCAGTCGCCCTGCTCCTCCTGAGAGCACTTCTCCCACTGGCTCTTCTCCCGCTGCCACTACGCCCGTCGCTGCTCCCACCAAGACCACTTCTACCCCCGTTCTGGTCAGCGGAAACGCGGCTGATCACCTCAGCTCCGGTATGCTCGCCGCGGCTGCCGGTGTCGTTATTGCTGCCCTCCTTTAACTGTCTTCACGTTAAAAGTGTATGGGCTATTAAGTTGATTGAGAGTCATCTCACAATGCAAGTATTGTGGTTAAAGTTAAAATTGAAGGGAAAAAAATTCTGACGACAAAGAATATGAACGTGGGTCATGTCAAGCATGTTCATTGTAAGATTGTAGTATGTGTACATAATTTAGAAGAGGCCTGCCATCATGCGGCCAAAATTTAGAAAGGTTTTATGTTCCCTGAAAAGCCAAGAGATCAAGTGCATGATGGGGAAAAAAGCCAAAAGAAAAATCTTTAACAATCCAGTATATGGGAGTTTGTGCGTTCAAGAATGGTTTGCGTTGGAAAATGAGCTCATGTGTGCCCATTTCTAAGCTAGTTTACTTAAGTGGTGTCAAGGCAACCACAATTGATGCCAGTCTCTCTCCGTTACACAACGACCAAACGCTGTTTCATCAACACCAACTCAACTTGGTGAGTCCAACAAGATGACGGATGACCTCGCGAACCGATGATAAGCCTTAAACCTTGGGGAGGGTGGTTAGTTCCGGATCAAGTCGAAACACATTAAGCTACCAAAGGCTGGTGGGGACGCGAAGCTAGAAGGAAGACTCCAGAGTCACGATGGGCACCAGAACGAGACATACTGCCTACATCCGAATTCCTCGGTAGACTATCCACCATGTAACATGCGGGCTTCCCTTCTCCTTCAGCCTCCTTTCCAGAGTTGGGAATCTAACAGTGTTCACTCCTCGGGGAAGGGGGCAGCGGCTGGCCATTCAGGCGAGCAAAGACGCACTCTCTCCACCCTATTGACCAGTCGAGGTCAGCGTTGGTCCAGAGTTCGATAATAGAGGGAGAGGAGAAGAGCAAGGAAAAGCAGTAAGCAAATAGCAGTGGATTGTAGATGGAGTGTAGACTAATGAGAGGAACACTTGAGAAGGTTTCTTCTTTCGTAATGATTACCGTTGAATTTTGCCATCATGCGTTGCTTCCGCAAGGAAAACACAAGCCCTATGTGGTTGGAGATTGGGAAGGCTGAGAGAGGTATAACGAATGAGAAAACGATTACTTACACATCAACCAGTCAACGTAGGCCTTAATGACATTAACATAGGTGTAGGTGATGACTGTGATTGAGTACGAGGTCAGTTAGCAGCCTCTTATCTCCGTGGAGGCATGTGTGAAGGAGGAAGTAGGAGAGATATCATCAGCCGAATAGCGATTGTAGGTATCTAAAGGTTGTGACGGCCCGTGTCATTATAACGAAGAGGTCGTCTATGATGGAGTGTGTTTTCGTCATGATGCAGGAAAATGGGAACTAGCAGTGGTGGGATAAGGAAGGAATCACGTACTCTCGCCAGTCTCCTGGCAATGCTTTGTGACGGCATCATGGAACATGCCGTACATGTCGGACAGAGTAACGGGGGCGGTATCCATGATAGATCCGACATTATTCCAGAGATCGTTGTCGCCAGACATGCTTGGTGCTCGGCTGGGGTTTGGTAGTTGTAGATGTGCGAGATCTGGTAATAAGTGGGAGGTTAGTGAAGCTTCTACTGAATTTTGGGACAAAGACACTGAAAGCGGAAAACCGAGCTTAGTTCAGATCTACTGCAAGTTTGGTCGCTCATAGACGCGTAGTTTCGGTGCAAGCGAGAGGTTTGGTCATCATGGAGAGCTGGTGATGTCGTGTATGTGGCGTAGATGGAGTGAAGAGGAAGATGCTTACCGCAAAACGATGTGGGGTTGCAAGCAAGAGTTTGCAGTGCAGATTCTGGTAAATAAGGTGAAGTTAGCGGCTGACCAAAGGTACCGATGACATATTAAATATCGTAGGCCAGGGGGGAAAAAGACAAGACTCTATCAGAACATTGATGGAAGTCTCTCAAGGACTTGCGTCTCGGATTTCGAGCAACACATTCATCATCATGTAGAGCTGCCGTAGTGCTGTGGAGGCGACTATGAAATAAGAAATGTTGATTGTGAATCGGGAACTTACCCAGTGAGGATGAGGCTCTTTAGACGAGTGTAAGGCGAGAGGACTCACTGCGCAGGATTAAGACTTCAGGAGAAGTGGTGGGTGTTTTAGTAACAAACTAGCACAGAATGCAAGTACTGATGCAGTAAGAAAACGTCAGCGAGCGCATTGAAAGTTACGGTGTAAGCAATGCAAAGAAGCGGGTAGAAAAGGGATTCGAATCAGACGGACACAGGAATAAATTCAAGGACACGCGGTCTCAGAAGTCTTGCAAAATTTGGTCATCATGTGAGGCAAACGACGCCACGAAAGACAACGTTGGAGTTTGACGGGAGGAGGATTATGACTTACCAAAGACACTTGGGCTACAGAAATGATGATGCTTCTTCGGTCGGTGGTATTGACAGAAAACGTGCCCTGCGGGTTGTTCCATATATTAGCAAAAGACTCCTCAATGACGAAAAGAAGAACAGAAATAGGAGAGAAGAGGCTTGACGCAAACAAAGGATGCGTAGAAAATCAAGGACTTGGGGTCTCAAAAGTCTTGCGAAGATTTTGTCATCATGGTAGTCCATCGGTGCCATGATAGCACCGCAAGAAGGGAGGCAGATAGAGAGTTGTTACTCACCACAAGTGGCCTAGGCGTTGGAATACAATACACCCGCTATTGGCCAAGCTTCGACAAACCTATTTGTTCTGAGGTGACGAATGATTAGCAGATGGAGTGACTGTGTAGTGAGTATATGATAAACCACGTAATGTGGGTAGGGGAAGTGCTAAAATGAGATCTAGTCAATTTATCTTTTACGGACGTTGAACTCACCTCGAGTGATGCGACGTCGACAGCAAAGTTTTTGTTTCGTGTCGAGGCGCCTGCGGATGGGTGAGTCCTGTGAAGATGAAGAGATGTTAGCGAACGGATTCATTATGAGTTTGGGGGTAGGAGCATTAGAGGGAGAGGAGAGAATCTCGATAAGATCATCTGCACACAATTGCTCAGGGACGTGATGTCTCAAAAAGTGTAGAATGTATCATCATACGAGCAGAAGGCATCTTGAAGGTATCGTGAAACTGGATTCGTGAAGATCGTGAAGAAGGGAAAGCTCACCTTTCTCGTCCAAAGCGTGGCAAGACAGATTGGTTGAGAGATCGGAGCGCTTTTAAGAGCCTGAGATCTGTGAGGATGGTGACAAGTTAGCCGGTGGTCCAGCAGAGGGGCGAGTGTGATGAAAAATAGAGAAGCTCTGGGGAAATAGGTAACAAGATATCGTTGGCCGACGCGAAGTCTCGGAAATTTGAAATACTCAGTCTTCAAGGGAAGAGCGGAGCACGTCAAAAAAGACGACGTAAGTAGGACATCAGAGAAATCGGGGGTTACCGTGCGATGAGTCAATGTTTTGACAATGACTGAACTCAGTCGGGACGAATACTGCAGATTGGCCGTTGGAAGCAAGGAATAGGTTATCGTGATGACGGAATATGATGGAGAGAAAATTCAGACTCCAAATAGCTTGAAGAAGAGGCTTGAAACAGACAAGGGCATGAAGAAAAAAAGTGTTTCTGCTTAGTGACGTAGGCGTCAGAAGAACCACGTCACGAATGTCTCTCATAATGAAGAGGAAGTTAGGCAATGACCGCAATTTGGCGATTAAAAGAAACACTGAAAATGCTTACCGCTATTGGAAGAGCGATGCCAAGTGCGACGTGCGGTGGGAAGTGGCAGCCGGGCTGTTGGATGAACTTCTTCTGCAAAGTTTAAGGTGAAGAAGCGAAGCAAACGAGAGCCGAAATAGAGATTAAGAATTGGGTAGCGAGTCTGTTTGTGGAGAAGCTCGAGCATGAAGGGTAAGCCACATGGGTGTAGTGGAATAAAAGACCTGCGACGGGAAGATGGCTCGTTTTCTGCTTGGATAGATCCGACTGGACGAAGAAATGTAGGATGTGAGTGGCGAAGGTGTTCTTGGGTGGATAGTGGAAGGCTTCCCTGATGTACTCTGTGAGAGAAATGGCCCTCCAGTAGGAGTATCCAGAGCCGTTTTGGATTAGAGAACGATGTTTGAATTTCGACAATGAAAAAGGGAAGAGAGATTGTGTGGGAAGGGAGGGAGGGCTTGGAAGAGGGCTAAACTCTCTGGTCGATCTGGTGATGGAATAGACCAGACCAGACGGGGCATGGAGAATTTTGAACGAGGTTTGTAGACGAACAAAGGTTCCGGAAACCTTTGTGCGATCTGCCTCATCTAGCACACACAGCGAAGTTGGTTACCGGTCCGGCAGAGGTTCTTTATTGCGGAGCCTGCGCCGTGTGAACGGCCCCACCCGGTCTGGTGGGCTTCGGAGCACGGCAAGTAGGACTTAGGCCACAGAAACGGTCCACAGAGCTTTCACAAGATGGTCAATAAAAGCAAAGAATGGAATAAAAATGGTCTCAATGACAAAATTAACTTTGCCATCTCAATCTGCAACTGCAAACGATAACTTATAGCCTCTTCTTTCCTTCGCTTGCTGCGATATTGTATAGCAGAACCAGATGTTCGCGAGTTTCACTATGTAGAATCCTCTTCAAAATCGACAAAGCGATCACTTTTATTAGCATCGCATGAACAATTTCATTACATTTTAAATCATTAGCTTCAAGCATAAGGCGCATGTTTCGTTTCGGAATGACCAATATGACTTCTAATTAAGGTTTCATCCTGCTCTCCTTAGTGATAGCAGGGCTTCGCAGTCAGTCATTCATCAGTTTGGCCAGGTAAGGCTGTATTGATATCGTGCCGGAGCTCTACCAGCTCTTTGTTATTACCAAAACGGCCACCTATCAACCAGCTAAATATGCTGTATGTCACCTGCAGACAGCAAAGATAGTTGTCGCGCAGTGTCCTGTTTTAGTGACTCTTATCTAACCTACCAAACAAACAAATATCAAGATCAAAAGTCACTCAAGTCAGAGGAGGTGTTACTGCGCAAGTTTCGCATCGTCCAACTTAAATACACACTCGACTCTTCTACACTGCCTAGATTCAGTCGCCACACGTCGTATCGAGTCACACTTCCAACGAAACATAAAGAGCTGGCCAAAGCTCCACATTAACGAGAAAGGCAACACAACACAAAGACTTGGCATGAAAATGCATCGGCGGCTTCTGCCAGACCGACAGACTATTTGGTCAACTTTTTCAGGCCTCAAAGTTCCCATGCATCTCATAGCGAGCATTTCGCCCGCCTCCATTATGGACTCGAACGTTTCTGAAATCGTTGAGTGGCATCAACACTTGTCAACTTGCGTGCCTGGCAGGATCGATTAAACGTCCGCATGGGACCGAACGGTTCATGCAAGCCGTCATCCGGTTTAGAAGATCAGATTGCAGTGTTCTTGAACGAGATCTAGGTACATGGGGTGGCAAGCGATCAACAAACTTCGACCTCATTGCCACCTGGCTCATCATGCGCGTGCGTGCTAACACTGATCGAATGGCCCGGTCTACCTCCCGCTCGACTCAGTCTCATTGCCCACTTCCATACGCTTCAATGCGACTGGAAAATCAACGGCCGAGGCGCGTAATCTGGGCAGGTCATTCAGAGCCGAAACGGTTTCCTGCACAACGGGCTGCTACGCATGCAAGTCGAGATAATATAAGTCACCTCTAGTCTCATCATTTGACACTTGCCAACTCAGCCGCCACCTGCCTGGCGCTTTTTTAAATCTCAAAGCCTAGCATAACGGTTCGCATGTGACCAGAATTAGTGTCGCGGAGTACAACCTGTAATTAAAACCAACTGACCCATTCGCATTGCCAACGCACAATTCATTTCCATGGCATTTCGCATTTCAGCCATCGAGGCCGTCGCCGGCTTTGTTGCGGACCCCTTAATAAAGCTTTCACGACCCTTTCTTTTTCTCATGCGGCGGGACCTTGGACTTCTCCGAGATTCCGCCTGAGCAAAAATCTTTGTGACGCATCAACCCGACGTGTTCTGCCCTGTGTCACAATCGAGGTCTGAGCACATACACGTCGAGCCAGCGCACCGCCTCCCACCCCCAACCACCTACAAATCTGGTTTGGATTTAATGACCTCGACATCTGTTACAGGAGACCGTTGAGATTGTTTCCATCGAGGGTTCCCGTCAAGCTTAGTCGAAGCTGACATCACACATCATGAAGAGTCTCTTGACGCTTCTCCCGGCGCTGCGCCTAGTAAACTGGGCGCCGCCGGCCCAAGGCGCCGCGGCAACCAAAACCACCACCTCGACAGTCGCCAATCCGTGCTCCGCCGACACGTTCAGATTCCCCACAGAGCTCGAGGGGGCAGACCTCGTCAGCGTGACGGCGGCTGAGGTCAGAGACCTGACGTTCAAGCCGCAGACGCCGGAGGGTCGCGCAGCCATCCCATCGTCGGGCGGTGTCAGCTTCTGTAACGTCACGGTCAAGTATGTCCACACGGGCTTCGACGACGTGACGCGGGTGCAGGTGTGGCTGCCGCCTGCAGAAAGTTGGAACGAGCGGTTCGTGGGCGTCGGCGGAGGGGGTTACTCGGCCGGGCAGTTTGGTAGTGAGAAAGTCGTTGCAACGTTGGCGCAGGGCTATGCAAGTATGTTCTGACCTTTGCTCTTGCGTCCCTTTCCCTTCCATTATTGACGAGGCTGACGCGTTGCACAGCGAGCTCGACGGACGCCGGGCATGACGACAAGACGTGGGAGCAGGCGCCGTGGGCGCTCAAGAGCGACGGCACGATCAACGAGCGACTGCTCGTCAACTACGCACACGTGTCGGTGCACGACATGACCATCATCGCCAAGTCCATCGTGGCCCAGTATTACTCGAAGACGCCCAAGTACTCTTACTGGAGCGGGTGCTCGACGGGCGGCCGGCAGGGTATTATCGAAGCGCAGCGGTACCCCGCCGACTACGACGGCATTCTTTCCGGGGCGCCGGCCGTGAACCAGCCGAGCCTGATCATCAGCACGTACTGGCCGCAGTTCGTGATGAACCAGAAAAAGGTCTACCCGCACATCTGCGAGATGATTTTCATCACCCAGCTCGCCATCGACGCCTGTGACGAGCTGGACGGGGTCAAGGACGGCATCATTGCGGACCCCGACAGATGCACCTTCGACCCCGCCAGCGTTGTCGGGAAGGAACTCGACTGCGGAAACATGAAGATGACCATGTCGGCGGAGACGGCCGAGATTGCGCGGGAAATCTGGCGGGGCCCGCACGGCGCAGACGGCAAGCCCCTTTGGCTGGCCAAGGGATACCCCGTGGGCGCGCCCTTCACGGGCCGTTTCGGCCTGGGCAACACCAACTGCAGCGTCCCGGGGCAAGCGTGCTCTGGGCAGCCCTTCAAGATGTCGGTGGAGTGGATCCGAAACCTCGTGTACAAGAACCGGGGCTACGACGTGGGCAAGATGAGCCTCGCCGATCTGGAGGCGGCGTATCAAATTAGCCGGAAGGAGTACGAGGGCATTATCGGGGGCAACAACCCAGACCTGTCGGAGTTCAAGCGGCTAGGAAAGAAGATGATTAGCTGGCACGGGCTATCTGACGAGTGCGTTACGATGCGGACGTCGAGGGACTACTACGACCGGGTGCTTGAGGCGGACACGGGAGCCGCCGGGTACTATCGCCACTACGAAGCGCCCGGCGTGTTCCACTGCTACGGGCTCAACGGCACGTTCTACCCGCTCAAGGGGCTCGACACTCTGCGGGCCTGGGTCGAGGACGGAAGAGTGCCGGAGGTGCTGGATGGGTTCAAGGTCAGCGGGCGCAACGAGAGCGAGGCACCGACGAGGCCGCTGTGCGCGTATCCCTCGGCAGTCCGTTTCAACGGTGGCGATAAGGACAAAAGGGAGTCGTGGAGCTGCGAGAAGCAGCCAGAAGGACGCAAGTGGGATCGAGACGAGCTGTAGATCACGGACTGTCGAGGCTAGTCCGTGGGGTGTAGCGGTGTCAGGGACGGAGAGGCAAAAGCAGGGAACAATTCCGGGTAGTTGGGGCCAATAGGAGGAGCCGGTGACGGGCAAGATCGCCAGGTAGACAAAAGAGAATCAACAGCTTTACAGTATCACACTATGTACAGTCCAGAGGAGCGAGAGGAGACACTTTGGGTTCCGAGAATTGACGAGATTGGCGAACCAATTTACATGATTCGCCGGAGAGCAGTGTGGGCAACTCCGGTGATTCCTCCTACAGCAGTCGGAGTTTCCTCCGCCAAAGGTGAGTGGCTGCTACCGCCGTGTCCGGTCCCCACCTTATCCAGCGGAGTCGGGATTACATAAGATCTTTGTACTAGCCAAGGGTCCTCGACACCTGCAGAAGAACGTAACAGGAGAATCGTTGATTTGTCGAGCTGGAAACCAGAGTCCCGGGCGGATGAGATGAGATGGACATTGATTGGGCTCATGAGATTTGTGCCTTGTTCGCCTGGACAGGCGTTGAACTGTTGTCCCTCCCTGTGCGGCACATTTGCTCCATTTCCCCCTTTTTCTATCTGTTTGTTTGCATTCCGCTACCTTCTTCTCATGCTGCCATGTCGATGTCGCCTCGCCACGGGTGAGCAATATCGCCCCCACACGTTCTCCTTTGAGCGGCGCCCATTGGGGGTTTGAGGTCGCGGGCTCCCTTGAGCCCCCAATGGCGGTTCCCACCGCGGTATGTACGGTGACTAATAACTCTCAATGACTCTTGGTCCTTCCCCCCATTTCCCACGTCTTGCCCTTCTCGTCTTCTGCCAGATCCCCATTGGCGGCTGCGGGCGCACCGGCCTCTCCTACCTTAGCGACTGGAGACCTGCAGTGCACTGGGACCGAGTTTTCAGGGTCCAGCCCCACTCTGTCCGTCCCCACTTTCTGTGCTGACCTGACTTTCGCATCTTTGCCATCCACTGCCATTCCTGTTCCCGCCTAGCCCAGCTTAACAAATCCCATGCTGTGGCTTGGTCGCAAAAGACTGGACGGGACAATTCGCCCCCTCTCCCCGAGCTCAGGCTACGGCAACTTTCCTCTTAACAACCCCCCCATCTCGATCCCGATTTCACGTTCCATGTCTGAAGATCGAGAGTCAACACCATCGATCGGAAGGTCTTTGCAATATCCCTGGTCGCTCACCTCTTCGAACCCTGTGTCCCGCTGCCGCTGCCGCTCCCAGTGTGTGCGTGCGCAGTGTGCCGCCCACCACCCGCTGCCGCCGCCGTCGCTGACCTTGTCGTCATCGACGCTGCCGCTACCACCACCGCCGCCGTCCGTACGATCGATCTCTGCGTCGACGGACCTCCTTCGATCCCTCCGGACCTAACGCGCCAATTCCATTCGTCGCCCGCCCTTTGTAGCCCGAGGGCCCTCGCGGGAATCCCGTCCTCCACCGTGCTTTGCCCACGTGCGAGCCGTTGCCTTGGATCGGCCTCCAGGCCACCGGTTCGTTTGATGCCTTCCGGCCCCTCCAGTCCACGATCCGCTTCCATCCCGAGATCCGAGTCGTCCCCCGCCGCCACCCGTCTCTTGACCGCGACTAACCCGACCGAGTCGCACGGCGATACCAGTAACGATGGACAAGAAGACCCAGGGTCTCCAACGAGGCTATCGTGGAATCATCTCAGGCAAGGCGAGAGCCATCAGCGCGTACGTCTATTCCCAATCTCTTATCTACCTCCTTATCGCACAACCCATCCCGACCCATCCTTTCCACCTCAATGCATCTTGCACATGTCATCATCCTTTTTTCGTCCCCTGGTCTAACATCCGACTTGGCTTGCACAGATTCGCCATGGCGCGAAGCAGTTGCTTCGTTTAACCGAGAATTTCTCTGGCTACAACGGCCCTGGTCCCGCCGGCGGTTACGAGACCACAACCGAGCACCCCTTGCCCACCGACGATGACCTCCGTGCCATGTCGCGGCTTTCACATAGCATCGCCCGTGACATCAGCGAGATCAGGTCCCTCAGAAAGGATGACCCGAATGCGCATAGGCGGAAGCTCGGAGAGAGCAGCCAGCGGCAAGTCGCCTTCAAGAACGATGCGCCCGATCGCGCATCTCAGCCCCCTGGCCGCCGGGGCCGACGCAAAGTCGAGTTCTCGTGTCACAAGTGCCACCGCGTCGACACCCCCGAGTGGCGGCCCGGTCCGGACGGCCCCAGCACGCTATGCAACGTCTGCGGGTTGATATACGCCAAGAGAGAGCGCAAGAAGGAGGAGTCGACGATGCCTACCTTTGGGTCGCACAAACTTTCTTGAATATTTTCTTGTTTTTTATTTTTTTTACCCTTCTAACCACTTTTCCGCGAGTCGATGGACATATGATACGAACGTACGAAGGAATTATTCCAGATTGATCTACTGCTCGGTTCGCGGCACCGAGATGAGGAGCTGAAAAAGAATGGCGCTGGACACTGCTTTTAGGCAAGGATACCCAACGCGCCGCAAAGGGGGGCACGGATTTTTCTGATTTTTTGGGAGGGGGGGGGAGCATTGTTGTTTGGGCTGGTGTTTGGCGCAGATGAAATGGCAGATCATGAATATACCCGACAAGAATCGAACCCGTTCAATCTTCTAAGTCACTGTCACCTCTGTACTGCAACCTCGATTGACATGTTCGCGCCGCTTTGCTCAGCCAAGACGAGCAGTCTCCTGCCACCGAGCCCCGCCGCTAGTCGGCTCGTGCTGCGCTGAGCGATGTCTCCCAACATGGACGGCACATTGTCGTCAGGCTACACAAAGGGCTAATCTCTGTCTGACCTATGATGTCGACTTGTCCGAGTATCACCGTCCGCATCCAACACAACGCAGGATGCTCCTCTGACCGACAAAGACAGAATGCCCATCCCGCCCGGCGCTAGTTCCTCGCCCCCTCTTACGGTTACGGCGGTGCGGATGGACCGGAACTAGCAGGCAATTGACCAGCGGCACAGCTCCAGGCGTCCCCCGAGGAGCCGCGCCGAGGATGCGGGGAAAGTACACGGGAGATCAGTCCCCCTCCATGTCAGCCCATCGGGGCCCCATCCTCGGGACCAGCGACGATGCCACTGGTTCGCCGTTCGGTAGCTGATGTCGCATGCAGCTGCCAGGCAGCATTGGAAATCTCGTATTCCCGTTCGTGTCTTAACCTCATGATCACACCTCCCCTACTATTCACTTTGACGATCCCATCCGCCGTCATCAATGGCTTTACTCTGCCGAGCATGTGTTCGTGTTCGTCCTGCGCATCGTAGCATCGTCACATTGTCTCTCCATCGAGACAGTTTTGGTGCGTAGTCTATCTCACGGGCGTGAAGTGATCGCCAGGCTGAAGGTGATTCCCGGGTCCCACCGGGCGAGCTTTTGCATCGCCTGCTCACGACCCAATTGGGAAGTATCGTGACAATCGTCGATCCACGCTCGTATTTGGACGTCTTGGTCTTGCGCCGTCGCCCGATGGACATTGTTACTGCGGGAGACGTGCGATGGGTTCAGTGGCATGCAGGATGGAAAGACAGCCCACGGATGGGTATATAAGTCGAGGAGGAGCCTGGGCAATTACTGTCCCCATGATATAGCAGTCATCACTCAACCATCAAAGTCTCAATATCCACCTCTCACGGCCAAAACAACTATACCGCACAAGTCACATTGCCCCAACTACTTGACCAACAAGAAACCGCCTCAAGATGCAGCTCAAGACCCTCCTCCCAGTCCTCGCCGCAGCAACCCCCATCGCAGCCCTCGGCAAGGCCATCGTCGTCAACAACTGCATCGCCGAAGTCTCCGTCTGGTCCGTCGGCGGCTCTGTCCTCGCCGCGGGGCCCCTGGCTCCTAATGGCGGCTCCTACGCCGAGACCTTTTCCCGGGACCCCGCCACGGGCGGCCGCGCGCTGAAGGTGACGAGCGCGCGCGACGGCCTGTACACGGGCGCGCCGCAGCTTGTGTTCGCGTACAACCTGGATAACAGCGGCGTATGGTATGATTTGAGCACCGTCTTCGGGGACGGGTTCAAAGGGAGCAAGGTCGTTGTCGCGAGTCGGGAGGCGAGTTGTCCAGCCATTGTTTGGGAGGGCGGTGTCAGTCCCGGGGGCAGTCAGGTCAAGGTCTGCACGGCGGATCAGGATGTTGTCCTGACGCTCTGTGCTTGAGGGTGAAGTTGTTGTCTGGTGTTAAAAACTGGGAATTGGGACTAGTAAGATCGCACAGGAATTTGACCACTGGTGTTTCGACGTCAGGATCGGATCTTAAATTGTGCGAGCAGATGTACTTGGCAGCCATGCCCAATGCTAGTTGATGAACTCTAACGTGTCGTGTTCCACTTTCCTTGACCTTTTCCTCTGCATTACAGCACAAATGAATAGTTTCCCATAGATAGAAAGATTCGCTGTAGCCTGATTCAGAAAAAGACATTGAATAAAACCTTGGGGTGTCAAACCTACTTAGCCTTTGTGGCAAGGAAGACGGCGAAGATGCGTATATTGACAAGTTTTCAATATTGAATCAGCTATTATGTGGTGTCAATTTCTGCTAGTCTTTGGACCAAGATCGGATGAATGTTGCTGTTCTGGTGTAAATACAATCGTTGCAATAGACAAGAACACTAGCTCAGGATGTCGAATCTGTAAGTCGTTCTGTAGTGTCATCACCCATTTGAATCTGTCATCGCTCGTCATGGTCTTTGCTTCAAGACAACTCAATTCGCATTGGTGCTGTGCATTGTCATTTCCATGACCTGATTCTGACGGACAGCCGAAAATAGCATTGCCTTAGTCGGCGATTCGCCAGACGTCTGCAAACTAACAAACCCTATTCAAAGGCTATCGGATCCGTCTTGAATAGCCTATTGCAGGACTTAGACATTGTAACTGAGGACGCACTCGCAATATCATTCCTTGTCAGTGATCATGTTCGGATTTGGCCAAATGTCGGCAAGGGACAATCTGAATTGTTACTAGTGAAACAGCCCCTTGATGCAATTTAAGCCATGCTTTGCCGGATTATTCCTTCCAGATGAGGATACACGTTGCTCTGTTTGCTTTTTTGAATTGTAATCAAACAGAAATCTCGAGTTTTCACCAAGTAGTACGAATGTGAAATGTGTGCAACTCGTTGAAAGTGCCAATTGTTACGATCTGTAGTGCTGAGAGTCGGGTGGCGATTAGCCCGAGACCTTCAGGCCGCTAGCCGGTATGCATCATCTGCATACTCAACTGTATAGTATGTGTGCACTAGCTTTCTGTGATAAATTCTTTGGAGTCTTCACGTTCCTACTACCACATGCCATAAACTATTATATAATTCTCCATATCCTGATGTTCATTGAGAAACTGGGTGTCATTTCCCCTGACACTGACATGTCCTTTCAAATTTCGCCGCGCTCCATTTTGCAGCTTCTGCCCTTTGCCGTTACTGCTAGGTAGTCTGTAATGCTTGTGTGGGTGCGAAAGTAAGTCGACACGTCATAAACCCTGCGTCAAGGATCTGCCATTGTATTCCTCGAGGTGTTTTGGAGAGTAACGTCTGCGCAGAGTGAAGGCACCGATAAGCGAGGAACGTTTCCCGAAATTTATTCTTTATCAGGTGCAGGAACAGTGAGATATAAACCACTTGCGTCCTCAGCGGATGTAACGAGAAAGCTCAACGGTGACTGTGGGTTTGAATAGGGCTGGTGTGAGTAGTTCCCATCGCCTGGCCCACCCTTTCGAATAACCAAATACCAACCATGATATCACACTTAGGTTCTGTGTTGTTTCGGTCTAAGCCAGTATCTCATAGGTACTCTAAAGAACATGTAGACTTAAGAGGCCCCTGTTCGAATCTGGTATTGCATTTTCAAAAGCATCATTTCATAAAGTAAAGTAGAATGGGAAGCTTTTATGCCTGCAAACCGTCGTATTCACGTTGTATTAGCTTCCACCATACAATGGTTGTCTGCAGGCACATCTGTTTTAATAAAGTAAGGATCAAGGTTTAATTTGTGTCTCTGCTGGGCCTTAACTTGCACAGAACGTGGGTATGAAAGTCATAAATCAATGTACTTGTAAGTCCCGGGGCGTGCATCAGGTTATCTGCGGTGTTGATATTCTAGCGTTATCGCAGAAGGAAATGGCACATGTACACTGTTGGCTCCTAGTCACGATAGAGCTGCCATCCTCGGCCTCTGATGTGGAGTCATGTTTAAGGTCTGTAGCCGCCCAGCTGGTTACACAGCTGATTGCAGCAGCAAATCAATTTAAACGATACCTCGGCATTGTTCCCGTGAATTACCGACCTAGAGGGGCTGGACCCAGGCTGAGACCGGGAGGAGTTGGACTCTGGCGCAGGTCGCTGAAGTTGGCGACTCAACCCGGATAGCTGCTGGACACAGCGCTTTCAGCAAAACTCCTTTTTCAACACTTACCATGTGAGAAAGGGCTTAATCGGGAAGACTTTCAAAGTCTCCGACAAACTCACGAGGTGCTCTGGCCTTTTATTGCCGGCGTGGCCGCATCGATGAACCTAGAGGCCAAGATCTTGGCCATGATACAGCGGCCCATAATCGCATAGAAATCACACCTGCCAAGCACACATTCGATTCTTGGCTCCAACAATGAAGTTTTCTCATGCATGCGACACTCTCGCATCTTCGGGGTTTTATTGTGGGTGCCTGGCTCAAGACGAGCAATCTACCAAGGCATATGACTGATGCAAGTCGTCTCGGCTTCCGTTATAACTTGCAGGGGGTTTATATGATCGATGGAAGGGGCTTTTAGCCAGCTTGGAACGGTGGGTCTCCTTCATCTAATAAACAGCTGCGGCTAACGAACGGATTGCGTAGAGGCACCGACGTGGCCTTCAGTGAAGCAGGGATTTATGTGACCTCGCAGATCCTCCTGGTTTCAGGAGGCTGAAACCATGGCCCACAGTGTTCTCGCCTCAGAATGGACTCACTTCAAGTCCGAGTCACCAATAAGTCGTAGAATCACCATAACCAGGTAATACTCGCAGCAAAATTTCAACAGCAAGGCTTGCGCGTCCTGGAAATGCGAGGATTGAAATACAAAGAATACACGTCTCAGTCATCATGGATGACAGCAATCACATCCAGCCCTTTGGATTCGGTCGTCTTGGATTGGTCAAAGATGGTTCGCAGATCCGCAAATCAAAGATGGAATTCGCAGATGCCAGATGAGTGGATTTTTTTGATCGGCCCAGCCCGTCTAAGGGTGGCCCCGAAATACCTTACTCGATGGGACCGGCTCCCACACTTGATAACGCAATTTACTGCATTCATTGCCCCCTTTTGAAACCAAAATGAGATGACATGATCCGATTCCCAAGCCCACGTGTCTGGGAATGGCCATACAGACCCAGACGCGCGCTTCGGACGCTTCGGATCTCTTGGCGTCCCGGCCCCACCGCCGCGTCTGCTAGCCATAAGATGTGGAATGGCGAGGCGGTCGACCCAGTCAGATTTGCTTCATATATGGCACTCAGAGCCACAGATTGTTTTAGTTCATCTGCCCCAAAGGTCCAAACTGTTGATCCCGGTGATCCTCGAACTTTTACGTCTTTCCCGCTTAGCTCTCTCATTGTCGCCACCACGTGCAATCATTCTTACAACTGATCATCATGCCTGTCCTCGATGCACGGCTTATCCAGGCGGGAGTTGTCGAGGTTGGCCATGAGTTGATGAAGAGGAGCGTCGACCACACCGTGCTGGAGACGTTAGCTGTCGGTAAGTTTGTTTGCACCAGCGCAGCGCGGTTGCTCCGACGCGGTTTTTGCTGATCTATAGCCTACAGCGGGAACCTGCATTTTCGGGGTCGGTGGATTCATCTACTGGATCAACCATCGGTAGATGAGTACAGCGCACCTAATGAACGTAAGAAGAGTTGCTCTTGAGACAAAGTCTAGATTAAACACAAGAAGCTAACTCCTGGAAAAGATCAGGAGATCTTCCATATTTAAAGATATCCCGTACCAAAGAACGACGAAAAGAAACCGACGCCAACGTCCGCTGATACACAAGTGCCAGACAGTGGTGCAGGACACCACCAAACCCAACTCAAAAACCGAGCTTGATAATCCGGGCTTGTACTGTCAGCGCTTATGCATGCAAGACAACATGCACACAACTACAACCATACTTAACTTTTCAAGACCAGAGTGTTCATCCGAAAGACTCGCCCGCACTAGACGACTCAGCCCCAGAAAGTTTCCGGTTTTGGTATTAGAGTTGCTTCACAGGAGTTTGGTTGTAATTTTAAAGCGTTTTTTTACTTTTGATACCCTACAATTTCATTCGGCATATTCAGAGTATTCTGGAGGTCCAAAAATGGTACTAAACGTTGGAAGAGATAATACATGATAGAAACTTCTGTTACGATACCCTCATGGTGTAAGTCGATTCTGCCTAGATAGACCGCCTTTCTTTCCACGCGACCTCGCCCGGCTTTGTCAGCGACCCCTGACTTTATAAGCGGCCTTGCGGTGAAACACACTTAGAGAATACAAGCCACTTTCAAACTCATGACCTTACTGCGTACGGCAGGCTCTCAGCGATAAGTCCTTTCTCAGCCTAGAGATGGTGGGCCATAAGCAGTTAATGACCAATTTACAGCGTCTGCAACCAATTTTTTTGCGCTTGTTTCGTTTACTACAAGTCTATGCCCTGATGGAAAAACGAGGATAATACGATTATGGCTCCGAAAGTGTTTCAACTCATGCTTTGAGAGAGCACTGTGTCTAACCTCAACTCTATGAACCACAACAAGCGGGCTCGAAGCACCAAGCCTGCTTCGCGGTCTGGATATCTTTTGATGAGCGCAGGTTTGATCTCATGGCTGGCTTAGTGGGTTGCTGTGTATGCGCTTGGCTAAACAGCTCCAAATCATTCTCAGCAAACTTGTACCTAAGTATTCTCGGATTTTACTGGTTTAAGGCCGCCAAGACAGGCCCTTGGCTCACGTAAGTATCGTGCCTTGGCTGGAAAGCGCACATCGTATGTCGCTGTGGATGCATCTCCGGCTTCAATGCTGAGTGATGTAGGCGTGACTGGTAAACTCTTGGTGCCTGGCATAGTGTGCCCTTTACTCTTGAGCACACATTTTTAATGACGTTGTCATTAGGAGTGTTCGACGGACGGTGGACCAGCCATTTTATCCCAACAGAAAGGAATGGACGTCTTTTTCTTCTCCACCAATCTTTCCAACATCAGCATCGTTAGCTTGTTAGGGATCTGTTAAATTTAATTTAGGTACTAATTTGTAAGTAATGGACTCTCGGTCGCAGCGATCAATCCTATTTTATGTTTTCGGACAAAACGTTGAAAAACAAATAGGAGGCCACGTGTATGTTGGATGTGTTTCTATTCGGAAAAAGTTTGGCAAGGGTCGGTTTACAGACAGGAAGTCAATGGCATACTGACTGGATGAAGGTTTTCTACAGTCAGTATTGCATCCATACAAGTGTGGACTGTTATCGATTGTATGTTGTGCTTTGACACCGCGTCTGATTTGCTCTCATGGAATTGCTTCGGCTTTTAGAAACATCTGTCATACTTGGATAAATATGAACTACTAGATACTTTCAGCTGACTTTCAAGCTATTTTTGAAGGCAAGTGTAGTCAGATATTGCAGACATGAGTACTTCCGTATATGCTTCGATCACCCACAGTCTAGCGACACTAACTGCTCTGCTGGCACTTCTGTCCCCTGGTGATATTGGAGACATATCTGGAATCTCTCCTTAAATCGTTGGGGTAAAGTCACCTCCTTGACGACGAGTATTACATATCCCTGCAATCTAGATGGTGCAACGGTAAGCACGGTTTCTGTAGCAAAAAACAAGATCCGGGGAGGATAAGTAAACGCATTAACATGCGTTAGGGCTTGCGGCCATAAATGGAATCCATCTTCTTCCGTTCGATAACCAAAACACGTCGTGCGTTTTGAATCCAAGTCACACGTTTCCACAAAAGATCATGATATAACAGGGTCGTCATCCTCATGAGAAACGGGTACACTGGGCTTGGACCCGTCGTCCAATGAATGATGTGATAGTGCACGAGCTCTCAACACTAGACAATGTCCCAATCTGGACCTTGTTGTGTCTATGACTTACCTGCAAAGTCCAACTTTAGACATTTTCAGCGCTTGGGTCCCATCAATCAAGCCCGAAACGCAAGACGACACTGAAAGTGACGAGGTGAAACCTCCAGAGGCAGGTAGTCGAGGACGAAAGAGGTTAGATTGCAGAGAAAAGTTAACCAAGAATGGATTCGAGAGCTCAAGGGTTCTAATGTTGTTCTTAGCGAGCTCCTCTGAAAGGTATCGTTTATGTGAATGGTTGTTTACCACACGTACCGGGCGAGTGGCAAATGGTGGAACTTATTCAAGAGCTTCTTCATTTTTGTCTCAGCATCAGCGGCACGTATCATTTATTACACGGCCTTTCACAGCTTTCGGGAGGTGAGTGATATATACCTTTTATTTTCAGAAAACCAATATTGCAAAGTTGTGGAGTCGTTGCATGTCGCAGCAACCGCAGGAACAAACATTACTCCCAGGTACTACCAAAGATAAAGAATGAGCTACCGGGCCCTGTCGATGTCTTTACATTTAGGCAGTACTAAGTTATAGCTCTGTTTCTCATTAGAGATTGACCTCAATTTCTAACGTCCATTTGATATCGTACCGGTTCAAAAGACAATGCATGATCGCATTGGAAGGTGTATGAGAAACTCATGCCACTGAGACTTACATCAAACTATGCTCAAAGCTGGTTTATCACAAAATGACATGTCACTCGTAGCCAAACCTTCAGCGAGCTTATCTAGTGGTGTCCTTGTCTATTTTTAGTAAAATCCATGTCAGGATAGACGCCCTGAGATCTTCGATTTAGTACAAGTAGAAGCCTGGTACATAGGAAGGTTAGATGAGCGTAGAGGTGTTGTACGCAAATGTTAAACGGGGCTTGCGCTTTTGGCTTTGGTTAGTTTAGCGGTAATTGCCTTCAAATCTTTATTTCTCTAATCACTTTCAACACATCGTACTTACTTATAGCAAGGTGTGACTTTGCAGTACCTGTCATGCCCTGTATGAAGATGGCGAAAAGCGACGTCCCTTGAACACTACTAGATTCAGGGTCATTGTCTAAAAATCAAACTATCGGTGTCTTAATGCGCCAGTCTAATAACTGCCGCTGCAATGGTATCTCCAGAAGCACAGTGCAGGTCATGCTCAGCTTATTCTTCCGGCATGCACGAATAGTAATAGCTCCTCCTGATTTGAACCGTGAAACACTCTACACTTCATTTATGAAATAACGAGCCTGGCTGATACCAGATACATCCGCAATGTAACGAAGGCGGCCCCTTAGGTATCGTCTCTGCCTTGGCGTGGCGAAATCGCTCTTCATTGCCATAGCAATCGGCCACATGACAATAAGCCCAGCCTCTCCCTTCAGTGGATCATCTGGCTTGGTTGTGCCACAAGGGAATTGTGACACAATGACTCCGTATCCGTTCCAGCTGCAAAAGTATGGAACTCCGGACACAATATCGTCGATACGAGCGCTCGCTGAACAAGCAAGCTTTTCATACTCCTCGAAATCATCTAGACCTTCTCTTCCAGCTGACGCCAGCCATGAGCTGCAGCGGATCATTGTCGTAATAAGGTTCAAGTGAGAACACCACGTAACTATGTGGAGAACAGCCATGGGAAGGTTGAAAAACTTGTAGACTTGGCCCTCAAATGTAGGCTCCGTGTCGAGCTCTTCGTCGGTCCGATCGAATACCCATTCTGCAACCTCAACCTTCCACTGTGGGTTTGGATTAGCTCGAAGCTGGCTGAGCTCATACTCGAGTTTTCTGCATTTTTCCAGCAATTCGAGCATTTTTTCAACAGCTTCAGGCCCCGGATGATGTGCCTTGGCTATGAGGGAGTCAACGTTCTGCTGTACCTGGCTGCAAATGAGGTTGATATCGACTGTGGCGCGATTTGAGCGTTGGACTGCTTCGTTGTACAACAGCCATGAATACCCAGATAACTCCGCATCTTTGAAGAGGTTTTGTATCGACAGGCATTGGTTGCGTGTCATGGAGAACATTTCCCGGCCCTCGTCCGTCTGAAGACATTTTTGACCACGCATCTGGACAATTTTGGCGGCTCCTTTGATATGGCTTATGTACTCTTTCATGGAGTCTTTGGACATCAAGGTCTGCTATCATCAGCATAAAGATTATAGATACTGTCACATATAGGATACTTACCTCATAAAAAGCAAGCATGAGTACTGCCCCGAGTGTTTGATCATTATCAACCTCCATCGGGTCTGCAATTGCTTGACCCACTGCTCTCAAAGCACTGACATGATGTTCTTGAGCCCGTATCAGAGCAGGGCCTCTCAGGCCTTTGGACTGTCGCATTGCCAAAGCTGCCATTGATGTTGCTTTGAACGCCAACGAAAGGCATACCGAGATTTCTCCACGCCCAAGATAGCGAGGTAGAAAACTGTAGTAGCCGCGTGCAGTTGGTATCACGGGCACGTTAACGAACTCGGATAGGAACAGACAAGACGCCTGCTCGTCGAGTGGATTCAGCAGACCACCGGGTACGTTTTTGAAACACTCGATCAAGTCGCCTTCCTGATCGCCGATTCTGAATGGTGAGGAATTTCGCCTGGGAGCACTCAGTGATGTTGTCTGTGATGCGGTCCATGATGCCGTCTTGTCGTAATAATCTCCGGATGATCCGGAATTGAGCGATACCGATGAATTTGTCGAGCTGGTGCTATCCGAGCTGGCCTGCCTCAACTTTTTGAGCTTCTCTGCAGATACCTTCTGTTGATCGCGAACGACTGGCCCATATCCGGGGCAGTTTCTCTTTGACTTAGTGCATCTTAGGCAGAACGGTTTGGCCTCGTCGCATTTGACCTTCCTTATTCTGCACAACTTGCAACCACCTGAAGGCTTGCCTGTATAAACCATTGTTGTAAGAGACTGTGATTGTAAAGCTGCGGGGTATGGACAGATCACGGATCAAACGGATGCCAAAGGTGAAAAATAATGGGAACGGGCCGAAGAAATGGGAAACATGAAGGGCAGACCCTGTCGCTGACTTGAGTAAACTTTTGAGCTTACTGCCTCCAGGGTGTTAAGGGAAAGACCGGCAGATCTTATTTTGAAAGCTCAGACACAGACCACGATCAGGATTAAATGTCTTTCAAGTCATGTGATAAGATTTATCTGGACCAATCTGGACCGGGACAGTATGATTGCTAGTCTCTAAAGCGTGTCTTCAAATGTTGGGAAGGATGATACCCGTGTGCTTGAGCACGGGTGTCCGAGCCCAACAGTGCATGATGTGAGGCCAGTGCGCTTGATTAGCTTCTGTTGACAACCCATGGACACCTCCATATTTTGGTTTGGCAATACACAGAACCGTGAGAAGCACGGAAAATCTCGATGAACTGATCTTTAAATAGCTAGCCATTACTGTTTTGGCCGTGCCGCCTTCACAGGAAACCGAGGCGGTTTCCAGCCAGAGAGGCGTGCCTTATGTTTGTATAACGGCCCTCTTAACGCATTTTGCGACGAAGCCGTGCACGCTGTCATTGTGTGACAGCTTCCAACCAAATCCTGGAGCGCATGTTTCTTTGACTATGCCCAATGGCCGGTTTTCTATGGATGGGAAGCCAAAGCGTTTCACATTTTCTGAAGCAGCTAGTTTGCCCCCTCCTCCTGAGCCGAATCTTCGACCGAGCGTCCTAGTGGTGTTTCGTTTCAAGAGGATGCTGACAGATCAGAAATTCCACTCGTTTCATGGAGTTAGTCTGGAAGAATTGATATGGTGCGTTCCTCCGACCAGCATTCTATGGACAAGACGAACGTTGCCTGCGATTCGACAGCTGCACCAGTTGGGATAGCAATCTACCAAGCAGGCGGCTGACTCCGAAGCCTTCTGTTTGTAGCTGTACGAACCCAAAGTCTTAGCATTTTGCAAACAGAGGTATACTTGGTTTCCACACGGCCAATTACGGCTCTCTGTCGTCTGATAACGCTTGGTAGAACGTCCCTCTGTCTGGCCCCCATGGGAGTCTATCTACTCTTAGAATAGCAACAGGCGTGAAAGTTCCAGGTACAGTTGCGTGAAAAGTGGAATAGCCAAACTAAAGGCATGTACGTCTGCAGTCTCAGTCTGTTGTGTAAGAGGCTGCAAGCGTTTGTAGACTCGTAAATTGTCTGGAGCAACAGCAGTAACAAAGCTTGCATGGTCATACACATCTTGTCAAATCTGCCGTCCGCGCGCAGACCTCGTATTCGTCAAAAATCGATGACGATTGCACTTTAGATCACGCAAGATACCAGAGCGACTGCCTCAGCTTACAAGCTGCTGCTAATGTGACGTTATATGGCCCGGTTGATATATCATTAGAGATTTGACAATTGCCTCATTTCTCCCTTGTACCTGTACAGGCTTAAAGTGTGGTTAAATTCTGTTCCTATCTAGGGGGTCGAGATCGAGACGATCAATCCATAAATAGGCCCGGTTTAAGTTAAAAGAGAAATTTAGCGTGGGAATTCTCGGCCTTACACACCCATCGCTGATTTTTCGATCTTCTCCGTTGCATTGTGTTCAGTTCTGGCGGATATCTCTAAGATACACTATGAAGATGCATACTTCAGAAAACAGCCAAAAAATTCCCTAACTCTGAGTACATGAGTTTCTGAGCTGGTAAACGATGGGCTGGCTCCGGGCCTAGACTATAGCTAAGGAGCCAATCTTTACTGATTCGGACTACCATTACACGCTTTGCATAATTAAACCTTGATGGCCAGCAAAGAAATTGAAATCGAGAATTGTAAACAAAGCAAGGTGGGGTTATGGGTATTGGAGGAAGCTTGTCCCAAGTACATACAATCTGGTCACTGTTCCACGCAAAGCCAACGCTTGAGTTGGTTGTGTCACAGTTTTGACTGCCTGAGAATAGATGTGTATCAACTACTAACGAAGTTGATCGCGACATCAAGATACCAATAGCCTAATAAGAAATTAGAAGAAAAGTATTTACACACTTTCTGTCCATGTTATCCTGTGGGTTTGTTGCTTAATAACGAGGTATGATCATAGCTCCTCAGAGGTCTACATTTCTGAGACCTTCAGGATGATGAACATTTACGGCCATTTCATGCCGGTCCGCAAACCTTGTCTATTGCAGGAAGCCGATTCCCCCCTGCCCCTCCAAGATGATCACAAAAAAAAACCAGAACAGTAGCCACTGAAAGTCATTGCAGCGCCACTTGCTTTACAATAACCCAACCTACCTCTACCTTATTTTCAGTAAACTTAGGTCAAGTGGGGGGTGGGGGCATCACTAAACTTTTCGGTTTGTGGTTATCTCCTCCCGGTGGTATTGGTGTGCAAAACTTACACAGCGATACCGGTTAAACCTTTTGGGAAACTTCCAGACACAAATTTTCAATGTCGAGCTGAATGTGAAATGGCTAATGGCCGTAAACGAAGCAGAGGAGGAAAAGTAAGCTTTGAGCCACATGGTCCAATGCCTGCGCTGTCAATTAGCCATTGCTACACCTACATTGGGAGGCTGGTGAAAAGTCTACTATGGTGGTAGGGATATGTAATACCTACTAGCCAGGTCGTGAAAGGATAAGTCCCACCATTCCCACCGAGGGTGGTGACGTTCAGTGGTCAGAATTGTAGGCAGAGTTCACTGGGATGACTGAGTATTGCTACTTGAGCTGGTGGTAGCAGCTCAAGCCACATCTACTCAGCCAGGGGGTTAATTCTCGCCTGCAACTGCAGTACTTATTTTTCAGGGTTTCAAGTGCTAGCAGCAGTAACTTTGGTTGGTAAAGGTGTCACAAGAACATCTTTCCAGCCAGGCTCGTCATACGTACTCAACAGTCGTAAAAATTCAACACTTTTTAACCATTATCAGCGTCAAAACTTCAATACTTTGTTGTTTGCATGCAATGAAAGAGACTAGGCGACGGGTCCTACATAGACCATCCATTGAGCTCCAGCTTGCGCGGATAGACTTCCGCTCTGCACACTATGATATCACTATTTTCGACATTACTACGTTGCCCATGAGGCCATCCCACATGAATCACCTCCTTATACACATCCATAATAAACCTTCTCCTGACCCCTGCGTTTTTGATGACATTCTAGACAACAGACACATTAAGGATTTGAGCACGGGCCCAAAGTCTGTACAGGTGAGGCAAGCAAAAGTAAGTGAAAGACTGCGGCTCGTCCTGCGTCTGATGTACGGTTGAAAACTCCCAAGTCTTGAACTACCAGCAGAGAAAATGTTCACTATTGCCACATTGACGCAACTGGGTGTATCGAAAAGTTCACCAATACCCCCAATACAGCGTCTCCAAGCGAATTTAGACGGTGGAACTATAGACTTAATTCATCAGCCTCAAACCTAAGAATTGGTGGCGTGCTCTGCTTAATGTATCGAAGCCTTTGTTCTATTCATTTGGAAACCATGCTTTCATACTATCGAACCAGCAGAATCTTTGTCTCACTGCAAAGTCACTGAGAACTCGGCATGTCAGTTTCGAGTAATTCATACTTGCAGCCTTGTCCCAACTTTAACCTTCCTTGCGTGTGGGGCCCACCAACGCTGAACGTTTTCCGAAAATGGGATTTTGAGCTCGAAAGAAGCGTTGAACTGCTACAAGGGCTTCTGGTTTGCATCGCATGATGGGTGAAATCCGAAAGATCGTTCCAGAGTTTGGTAACACCAGCTAACTATCTCATGACCGATTGTCGCCTCACGAAGCGATCTATCTAGCTAGTCTATTCTTGTGGTTTGGTCGCGCCTTGAGATGTGTCTAGGAACTCATAGTTGACTACACAGGGTTGTGCAAAGTTTTTCCGACCACACTCATATTATATCGAGTGTTCTGAAATACAGCCTCTACGCAGTCTCTGCTATTTATCCGCAGGAAAATGGAAGTGACATAGGAACAATGCTAATTAGTGCGGCAGTGGGTTTCTAACCAGAACATTAACTCAACGATGAAGGAATCGAATCGGTGCGATCTTTTGAGATAAGACGACTTCAAGGCTCAAAATTCGATGCTGTACTGGACAGTGCGATGGGCTTGAAGGGCTGTGGCATATCTTAAAGGTATAGTCCAGAGCACTACACGCTGGGATTCCTCTCAAGAGTTGCATTGGCATGAGGCTCAACGCCTTGAAAGTCGAGTCGTTCAGGCTCAAAGGTCTAGCAACAACAGGATATACCAGAATCACTGGTACTTTCTCTTTAGTGGGCAACTGTCGGAAT